GCCCGCGACGACGACGACCGCCTTCGCGCGGTTCGGCCTGCTCGGCCTCGCTCGCTTCGACGACCTCTTCCTCGGCGCTCTCTTCGGTGTCGGCCTCGTCGAACTCGGCGTCATCGGCCGATGCTTCGTTCTCGGCCTGCTCGCCACCCTCGGCTCCGCCACGGTTGCGGCGGCCACGACGGCGGCGACGGCGCTTGCGGCCACCACCTTCGCCGTCTTCACGCGGTTCGCGAGGGCTAGCGGCTTCGGTCGCTTCCTCCTCGACCTCTTCCTCTTCTTCCTCTTCCTCTGCTTCTGTCACATCTCCTGCCATGACGAGACCATTTGGCACATCCGTTGGTCTGTTATTGATCGAGGTCTCCATTGTGGACCGGTCCTCGTTTCGTGATACGTTAACAGAATCGTCCTCTTCAGTGTCATCAGTGCCAGTCTCCTCGACTGATCGATCAGCACTAGCGACCCTCCCCTGGGATACTGGGCTGCTCGTCGCTCTGCTTGCAACAAATGCTGGCTTGGGTGGCTTTGACTTGACTGCCTCTTGCTGCCTCATGGCTTTTGCTTCGTCCTCTTCACCACTCTCCTCGTCGTCATCCTCAGTGGCTGTATTTGCCTCAGCCTGCTCATTTATAGCAGTATATACTTTGTTCGCACGAGTGATTGACTTTTTGGTATCCTGTTTTCGTCCTGCGACAGGTTTCGGCTTTGAACTGACACCTTTCTTTACTCGTTGTTTGGCTGGTCGTGCTGCCTGGTTGTCATCAGAGTCATCATCATCGTCAGTAACGTCAATAACCTCTTCCAACAAGTGACGTTTAGATGTGCTCTGCTTCGACCTGGAGGCATATGGCCCGCTCACAGTAGGAGGTTTGGATATGCCAGCCTTCCGGTCAGCTTTTTCCTGTTCAGCCTCCTCCCTGGTCATACTGTAATACTGGCAGTTCTTTCCATTCTTCAAACAGCTTGAGCATTTTGGTTCAAGATTGTCGCATCTGTTCTTCTTAGTCCAGCAAGCGTAACACCTACGCTCATCAAGTGGCGCCTTGACCGTCTGCTTTTTGCTAGCCTTCGAGCCTTGCTTCGGCTTCGGAACAGCAGGAGCAGGCTCTTCGAGGTCAGAGATTGATTCTGGTGAGCGCTCCACGTCTTCGTCTTCATCATCTGCAGGCGTCAAGTCACTTGTGTTCTTTGACCACAATGGCGTAGGATCTTTTCTGGACTCCTTGGATCTCTGCTTAGTAGGGGAGCTGTGGCGTTCCAACTCTTCTTGCATTTGAGCACTTGCACTGTCAATCGCAGTGTAGTCTTCATGTTGCTCATCAGCCTCTGCAACTTTAGTCGGTGCGACCCGCTTACGCTCCGCCCTCTGTTGCCGGGAGCTTGCAGGAATTATGACAGAAACCTTGCTTGTTGAAGACGCGTTACTATAGCGTCTCCGTGCCTGGTCCGGACGATGCTTCGGGTTTGCATTCTCCTGCATGGAGGTCGACTGCGCATTAGCCCTGGTTGGCTGATCCAGCGATGCAAAGCCTGTTTCTTCCCACGATGTATTCTGCTGTGCTTGTGTGTTCTCTTTGTTGCTATCAGTAGTCATTTGGTCGTCATCAACAACATTTCCACCTGAGACTGTGCGATTGTTGCTATTGCCAGAGTGAGGAGTTCGGACAAGCCTTGGAGTGATGGCGTTCGTCCGCGCTCTTGAACCTGGAGACATTTGACTATCGTCAATCTCGGAATCCGGGACATCATACACATCTTTTCTAGGTCTGCGGAACTTGCTGGCGGAAGAGGAGCCCGATTTTCGGGCAGTGGGTGAGGCAGATTTGAGACCATTTAGCATCGACACAGCTGCAGGGGTTCGAGTGACATGGTTTGGAAGATTTTTTCTAGAAGCATTGACATCCTGTTCTCTGTCTCGACGTTTCTGTTGAGCTGTATTAGGGATCTCTACCAGTCGCCGTGTCTGGTCGTGTGTACGAGCAGTCTCAGAGAGACCAGTACGCCGGCCTGATTGCCAAGATTCGGGTTGCTCAGGCAGGAGTTCCAGCTCGTCTCTTGTAGCAGGTGTCATGTTCCTCCACGGACGAGCTACCTCTGGTGACTCATTCTTAGGCTCGGGAGGTGGCTGATCAAAGGTACCTCGGTGGATATCTGATAGAAAATGAGCGCCTTGAAGATGAAAGACCGAAGGACTACGCCTACCAATCCCATTTCTGCTATGCATTGTATCTCCTTCGATTGAGCGAACGATCTCCTCGCCATCTTCTTCAATTTGGTCGAGTCTCCGTCGCTTTGACGGTCTGTTCTCTGGGCCATTCTTCTCAGGACCGCGCTTCTCTGAGCTCTGGAACGTGGGTACTGGTGGTATCTGACGTGATGGAGGAACCTGGTAATGCTGAAGGCTCAGATCTGGTACGACCGACCCTTGACGGACAGCTCTGCCTTGCTCTTGAATCACCTTGACAATGCGCTTCTGATCAGCGCCATCTCTTGCCGCCCTGCCCTCATCCACGAGTAGGTCAGCGACAATTGACTCGGGATCCAGATCGCAATCATCTTCGTCTTTCAGGTACTTTATCTGTCCAAGGACCCTACATAGAATGTGAGGAACGAAGCAACAATCCCACTTTCTGCATGCACGCACCTCTTATATATACTTTGATACTTATTTGTGATCTGTACCGCGAGTGTACCAATGGCCCATAACTCTGGCTCGTGAATCGCAAGTGAGAATTTCCTCTCACCGGCTAAGACTGGACTTGTTTGTTCGAGTGCGCGGAGGTACACATCCTCGGGTATGCACCTCGCGATCACAATGAGCTTCACCATGACAAGAAGCGACAAGAAGAATGTATGAGCATGATCGTGTCAGTCGCGAAAGCGACGCGTATCATAAATTCGAGAAGGTTTGCGGAGAAGAAACTAATTATTCGTGCGGAGTCGTGAATTGTGGCTAGTGGGGTCCTGCCTGTTGTGATACAAACTTTCACTCTACACTATCACTTTCAATTGCTCTAATGCACTGAAATGTTGATGATCTTTATATCGTCTTCAGGCTTCTCCTTGACTGTCCGCACGTTCTCGATCAGGTGAACGACATCCTTGCCCTTCTCTACCCTTCCAAAGACTGTGTGCTTCTTGTCTAACCAATCCGCCTTCTCGGCAGTCGTGATGAAGAACTGGCTGCCGTTCGAATTTGGTCCTGCGTTAGCCATGCTGACTGTGTACGGTCTATCGTGTTTCAGATCAGGGTGAAACTCGTCCTCGAACTCTCCTCCCCATATCGAGGTTCCTCCTGTTCCATCTCCTAAAGGATCACCACCCTGGATCATGAACTTGCGGATCACACGGTGAAAGATAGTGTTGTTGTAGTATCCATTTCGGGCGTGTGTTGTAAAGTTTTCAACCGTTTTCGGTGTATGCTGAGGAAAGAGCCGTATGTGAATATCTCCCATATTGGTATGGATCATGGCCGCCGATCCCATCCTTTGCTCTTTCTGCTCTTCTTTCTGCTTTTTACCCAGTTGCTTGGGCTTCTCGTTGTGCACGTCCCGGTTGGATTTGGACGGCGACTCTTCGTTGGTAAACATGTAGAAGCGGACCTTACCATATCCTGTAGCAAAGAGCATGGGATCTCGCTCCTCGGCAGCTTCAAGTAGGGGGTTGTTACTGGTCGCCATCGAGACTGTCACCACACCTTTCTGTTGTGGCGCTCCCTGATACATTGCTACGTCGAGCGCTCGAAAAGACTCGTCCTTACCATATACTCGCATTACTCGGCTCGTCGTCGTATTGACTACTTTAATGCCATGTAGTGAACCATAACAGATAAAGTGCCCTGACTCATCGAAACATATGTTTATCCGTGATCGCACGGCTGCACTATCCAGCTCTCGTTCCGTAGCCAATCTTCTGTTGAATTCGTTTTGATCGATTTTATGCAACGACGTCCCAGCTTCGTGCATGGCTGTAAGCGTTTCGATAGATTCGTCGTACGATCTCCGCAGCTTTCCAGACGTAAAATCAAAGACTCGAACCTTCCGGTCGGGGAAGGAGAATGTTGCGAACTGGTGTCCTGACGGAGAAATGGAAATACAGCACGGTGCAGACTTTGCCTTCTTGAAGTCAAATAGATTTGTGCTTGATTTGATCTTGAAGACATTGTCCGGCTTCTCGAAGTTTTCCCGTGGTTGCCAATACTCGACCATTCCTGACGCGTCCGCTGAGACTACGCAATCAAAGGCTTGGTTGTAGGCCATTGCGACAACTTCTGTGCGATGCAGATTGGCAAGCTTATGCAGTGGCGCGGTCTTGATGCCACGTCCATCGAAAATGTGTATCTCATTGCCCACACTCACTGCTAGATATGGCGGGGAGCCCCTCTGATATACCCAACATACCACAGTTCCTGCAGTCTCCAGGTTGATAATGGCCAGTAAGTCGAACGTAACCACATCAAAAATCTTGACGGTCAAGTCATCCTCGTCGCCAACCGTCGCATACAGACTTCCATCCGCACTTACAGCAGAACCTCGAATTCGACCTTCGTGCGCAGCATATTCCTTCGCAAAATCGATCCCAGAAGAGACCTTCTTCCAGAACTTTACAACTCCGTCCACTGAGGCAGTGATTACAAAGTCGACAGGCGAAGGTGCAACGGTTACACTCGAGATCTGCTCTTTGTGCATCAGAGATTTGGAATATCGCACGCCTTTAGGAAGTGCTTCGACATACAAAGCTTCAAAAGGTAGTTTGCGCTTCTTCTTTGGTGGCACTGATGAAGGCAGTGCTGGACCGAAGTCGTCGTCTGAGGATTCGGATCCTGGTGCATCGTCACCTGGATGCTGTCGCTTGAGTGCCATAGTGGTGCGCAATGGATGATATTCACCGTGGTGGATCGCTTGAGTTGATTAAAATAGTCTACATTTATTTTTGAGACTGATATTAGTTATAGTATTTTTATACGCAAAACGCGTCGCGTCGTTGAGCTCGGCCACGCTTTGTTAATGCCTGAGGCACGAATTCATACTGTGTCTCAATTGCTACAGCCGCAGTAACCTCTAGAGACATCCCAAGGCAAAAGCGTGGTAAATTTGTCAAGTATTGGCTATGTACACGCAGTGTACCATATATTCATGCATTTAATATTTCATCGTCGCCAGCCCCTCTCCTGCAACAGCAATGGGCAGTAAGATATGCCCGAAACCTCTCTATAGCTTGTGCCCCGATTAACGAACTATGGCAAACGACTCTTTCTATTATTGCAGCCGCCTGTCCTTTGTGTCCCAGAAACCTGGCGTAGCCTTTGCACACGACTGACGATCGAGACAAGCAACGTGGCCACTTTATAGTGGTCGGTCGTCGGTCGAAGATTGTGATATCCCTCAGAGCACGTTCTGAGTGAACGACGAGCGGCCCTGCTGTTAAATCACTTTCACGTTATTTTGACGTTGGGCCATGTCTCGTCGTCAACGACCGTAAAAGGACTGAAATCCATAAGGTCGACTTTCTATCATATTGACGTCTCGTACTTGGTACAATGACTGGCCGTCAAAATACATACTGGAGGCGTGTAAGAAGCTCAAATGCTGAACCTACCCTGTCTGTATTGACGTTCACGACGTGTACCGATATCCTGTACGTTCTCGCGGGACGTATATCTTGGAGGTGAGAAGGATGGAATGAAACCTTGAGCCCTGTGTGACGGTAGTGTGCTGTTTGACTCGAATAGTACACTCTAAAAAATAGTAAAAGAACTTCAACGTATTCTTTTTAAACCTATTCCCAGATTATGCTCTTCTCCAGGCCTCAGTCGTCCTATTTAACCACATACCAGGACCCCACCCGTGCCTTGTGACCTCCTCTCTTACACTCTTACTCGAGAACTTGTCCTCAACAGCACTTCTGGCGATCCGCGCTGTCTGTGCTGCCCTCTCAGCACGTTCAGCAGCCTCACCACTCTCCTGCTCGATCTTTGCTCTCCAAGCCCTATCATCTGCATCTCGAGCCTCCAGCTCGGCGATCCACCTCTCCCTCTTTTCAAGTGCTTTCTTTGCCTCCAGCGCCTTTTCAAAGGTCCTTCTCTTCAACCGTTCATCCTCGTAAAAGATAGATCCAGCCACGACGGCGACAAGGGTGAAGCCTTGGGCGTAAATACGAGCACGAAACATCTTGTTTGTCTGAGTGCTGTTGCCTTTCCGGATTGACCGCGAGGCTTGATAAAGGGCATAACATGTTGCGAGGATACCAAGTGGGATTAGTGGCTCTTGTCGAATTTTACGCCAGAGTTTGCCCGCACGTCCTTCCTCGAAGAACTCTGGGTTGTCGTCGAAGGAGGAGGGAATGTCGCCTGAGGACAAGGGGGCCGGGCTTCGTTCTGGTCTCGACATGTTTGCGATGTGTATGTAGCCAAAGTAGACGGTATGAGTTCAAGCAGTGGTTGTTCTCAACGGCGTCTCGTGAATCGGCGAAGACTGGAGGTTTGTCAAGACTTTGACCGTCTTCTGATTGCCCTGAGAGTCCGAATATCCGGGAACAGATCTAGTAACGGCGAGAACCAGATTGATAGTGGATGCTGTAGTTGGGAAGCAGGAGAGATGGTGGATTGAATATGCCAGGTTCGGGTTTAGAGATCGTCACGACTATCTACTCCGACGATCTGCGACAAAGCTACTGTGCAGCTTCGCTTACCATATCGATAACGATTCGGAGTTTTTATTTTGATTTGGCTGTGCCAGTGGTGAGCAACAGAATACCACGAGACACCAGCGCATGCTATAGCACGAACGTAAGAGCTAGATGTTGGCACGTTGACTATTTCCTCAGCTCGACTCAGTGGTCCAGTGTCTCCAGAGATAGCCCAGCGCGACCCCTTCGTTTTGTGTCAGAGCTCACCGCTACCAGACCGAAATTTCGATCGCTGGGCAAGTTCACCACGATTTTGCTGCTCTGTAGTCCAACATGGACTCAGAGTCCAGCACAAATGGTGTTGTGACGCCCACCACACCGAAGCGCACATCCACTCTAGCTCTGACAGAATATGCAAGCAACCCGACCCCAAACAGGACACCCCCGGTCGAGAGCAATAGCAAGATCCCACTCTATGATCTACCACGGGACTTCTTATTGCCCAATGGATTCCCTGACTACCTCCGACTTATTCTCACCTCGCGCGTCTACGATGTGATCACTGAGTCACCATTGTCCCATGCAGTCAACCTATCCAACAGATTAGAGTGCAAGGTGTTGTTGAAACGGGAGGACCTGTTGCCAGTCTTCTCTTTCAAGCTAAGAGGCGCATACAATAAAATGGCACACCTAAGTGACAAGGCCAAGTGGAAGGGCGTGATAGCTTGCTCAGCTGGGAACCACGCACAGGGCGTCGCATATTCAGCGAGACACCTCAAGATTCCAGCAACCATTGTCATGCCAAGCGGCACCCCAGCCATCAAGCACAAGAATGTGAGTAGGTTAGGTGGAGCTGTCGTGCTGCATGGCCCTGACTTCGACTCGGCCAAAGAGCATTGCTACCTGCTCGAGAAGCAGTATGGCTTGACGAACATTCCTCCGTTTGACGACCCGTACGTGATAGCCGGACAAGGAACGATAGGCCTGGAGCTGCTACGGCAGACATCCTTACAGAATCTGCATGCTATCTTCTGTTGCGTAGGTGGAGGTGGCTTGACAGCTGGGATAGGCATATATGTCAAGCGTATAGCACCTCATGTCAAAATTATAGGCGTCGAGGCTAACGACGCCAACGCTATGGTTCAATCACTAAAAGCTGGGAGGAGAGTATTCCTGAAAGATGTCGGTCTTTTCGCAGATGGCGCCGCAGTAAAGACAGTCGGCGAAGAAACATTCAGGATATGTCAGGAAGTCGTGGACGATGTGGTCATGGTCACCACAGACGAAATCTGCGCCGCCATAAAAGACACCTTCGAAGACACAAGATCCATTCTCGAACCTGCAGGAGCTCTGAGTCTGGCTGGCCTCAAGAAGTGGGTGGCCGAGAATCCATCAGAAGACCCAAACAGAGAGCTTGTTGCCATCACGTCAGGTGCAAACATGAACTTTGACCGACTACGCTTTGTGGCCGAACGTGCAAGTCTGGGTGAACAGAAAGAGGCGCTGTTGGCAATCACCATTCCCGAAAAGCCCGGTTCCTTTGCCGCTCTCATCGAAGCCATCTTACCCGCCGCTTGTACAGAGTTCTCCTATCGCTACAGCACATCCGACCCTTCCAAAGCCCATATTCTAATAGGTGTGTCCATCTCCAACGCCTCATCTCGCTCCTCAGAGCTGGCCTCTCTCTTTCTTCGCCTGGAGCAAGGAGGCATGGCTGCCCGAGACATATCCAGCGACGAACTAGCAAAGACGCACATCCGCTATCTCAACGGCGGTAGATCTTCCGTCGCTGACGAAAAATTGTTCATGTTCGAGTTTCCAGAACGTCCTGGAGCTCTATTCAAATTCCTGAGGACATTGCGTCCAGGTCAAAATATCAGTTTGTTCCATTACAGGAATTATGGCGGTGATGTCGGTAGGATATTGGCTGGTATTCAATGTCCTGAAAGTGAAAGGGGAGAACTGAAGAAGTTTCTGAATGATATTGAGTACCCTTGGACCGAGTGTACAGACAATGAGACGTATAAGACGTTCTTAAGGGAGTAGGCAGGGTGGCCCTTGAGCGCCAGCGCGCTGTCGGTAGCACACCTTTACAAATCAGACATAAGTCAAAAATCTGGTCTCACCCACATTGACATACTTCCCCGCCTGTACTCCAATTTCATAGGATCCGCTGTCACTCAACGCAAGGCTTTCCATCATTGCTCTACGAGCTACGATCGCATAGCATCAGTAAGAAACACGATCCGAACGGAAGGTACAAGATCGTCTAGGTCGATGTGCCAACGGAATGACATAAGATGTAGATACAAATGAGAATTCTTAAGTGCTCCTGATGTGGATGCATATACATACGTATACATATATAAGTATAGATAGTCTTACAGCTTATTCAATATCGCCTCTAGACATTAGATCTTATATGCAGTAGCAGATGAAAGGCTATATGCCATTGATGCTGCTGTAGGCACTTTCAGGTACCTGTGTCAGGGTAGAGTGTGAATTGGACTAATTTGCCGTCCATCAGTAACCAAAAACGAAAGTCTGTATTCTGTCCTTTCCCTTTACTCCCTAGGGAGCAAAAAAGGTCGATCTGGGGATTGAACCCAGGGCCCTCTCCGTGTAAAGGAGATGTGATAACCACTACACCAATCGACCTAAGAATTATCTGTGTGCATAATTGAAGCACAATTTCCGAGTGTATGTAATATGGCTCTATGACCGAGCAGGCTCCCAGAGACCTCAAAGTTTCGATCCTGATCCACCGACACTGGAAGAAGACCTTCGCTGAATGTCTTCCAGTCTCATAGAAGGTCTTCCAGTCCGTGGGCCTGTTCAATCAAACTGGAAGATCTTCCGGTAGACATTAAGAGTCTGTTGTCGAATGAAATTGACCAGCGGTTTCCAGATCCGGCAGGCGAAAGTAGCGAAAGTGGTAAAATCGTCACAGGCATGACGCCACCTAGTAGCAGATCAACAACTGTGCTTCGAGTCCGTAAAGGATGTTCGTGAGTGATGGTCTCTTCGAATGCGTGATGATCTCCGTTTGATACGATACTATGTTATTTGGCACAGAGTAGTAGTGTAGCATAAATACGCACTGCTTCTCTGGGTAAGTCGTGGTAGGCAGCTTGTCCTTGGTCGCTGATATAAATTCGCGTAATTTAATGACTACTTGAGCCTTAAGTAGATGAGCATGACTCGTAAAAGCACCCTTTCGTTCATCATCACAACCAGTCTTTTTCAACGTACGACTGGAGACTGCAGCATATGCTACTACCTCTATGCACTATCAACAGCAAGTCTTTGGTCCACGAGGAATTAGGTTCGGAACATGTAATTCATTATTGTGGCATTGTCTATGTTCACTAGCCTATCGAGCAGCCACACTCACTTGCCCTCTTGAAAGCTCCTCTGTAAAGCTCCATCATAGCAGCATAATGAAATAATATGCCGCCGAGCACAGCCAGGTGCCATATGTTATGACTCGCTCCAGCATAATCAAACAGTCCTGGCCACCACTTCTCCGGCACATGGCTGGCATAGATGATGGCTCCAACAAAGTAAACACAGACCGACTTGGTGATCGGCGCATAGAAGTAAAACGTCCATTCGATGCCCCTGGTGATGTTGAGCTGAAGAACAGGCGCGAAACCAGTCAGCGCCAGTGAGACGTAAAAGGCGACTCGTGCCCATTGCATGTCGGCACGGTTAAAGGACTCTCGCCATGGAAGAATTGTCCCGGCTAGACCCAGTACAGCTGTCAAAGACATGTAGACTGCTCGAGAGACTGGCTCACAATAGAAGGCAGTCCACTCAGTGGTCAAAATGCTGGCTGCCACAAGGAATGAGATACCTGTATAGTCGACACAAGCGAAACGTTCCATCAGACATTTGTCGGCTATGCCATTCATGGTGTGCCACATTGTGCTGCAAATGAGACACTTGCATGCAGCAGCGAAGAAGCAGCCTGCTATGAGCATATCCATTTTCGAAAAGGACGCGAATGCGTCGGATGAAGGGTAGTAATGAAAGGCAATAGCCAAGACGATAATTAGGCCGATAGCATGAGACCATATGTTGACAGTCTCGTTCGACGGCTTGAACATCGAGGTGATACACTCGATTTTGGATTCGGTAAATCGATATCCTCTTGTGATGTGAGGATTGACTCGCCAAGGGACGGGTAAATCTTCGTAGGTAATAAGTCGTGACTCGGCAGCTTGCTTGAGAGCATGAGATATGGACTCAGCCAGCAAGTCCTTTGCCTTTTTTGCCTTGTCGTAACCTTCCTCGAACAGGTCAAGAGTAGCATTTATTGAGTCATCTACCCTCTTCCAGCCTGAGTCCAGTAGATCCTTCCTGCGCGAATGCGCTCTTGCTTCCAACTCGCTCAAATAGCTTTCCATTAATTTCATGCTTGCGTGAGCCTTCTCGTCCAATGTCTCTCGTGTCGGTATCACATCATTGTATCCTGCTTCCAACGTCTCTACAAATATCTTTGCCCGGTGTCTTGCGACGCCCCAGAGCAGCTCGCCAGAGTGGTATGGCGAACACGCGTCCCTGACTTCTCTTAAGGCCTGGTATCCTCGTTCCAACTGTGCGTCAAAGTGAGTCAAAGTCTCTTTCTTGAATTGCTCTAACCGATCGAAGCGTTTCTTGAGTTCGTGGAGGAATAGATCGACTTTGACATATATCGCGTCTGGACTGTAGACGCTGGCTTGCGTCTGGTTTACTGGTTCGTAGGAATGCCGTCTCCCACGATGAAGGAGTCGAGATCGTTCGTTGCGACCACCAGGGCTAGCGTCTCGACTTGAACTGACGGCCTCCCGTTCAAGGACGAGAGAGCCGTATGTTCGAGACATAATTTAGTTACTGATATCGTATAGAGACCATCCGGATTCTGTTTAGAAGCTCTTAAGACTCTTCGGCAGAGGCGAACTCAGATGTGGAGGGGCCTATGTTGGAGATTGTGATATTCTTTCAGAGTCAAGGACGGTGTCGCGCGATTGCTTTCTGTAAGGACTGTGGGCTGGCGGGGCTATGGTGGTGGCAAGGAGGACAACGAATGCACATGAAAAGTGAGAGAAGATGAAGCTGGGGCTTGCTGGGATTCCCACGAGTAAAGATTCAGATTGCGTGCAGGTGCCGCTAGGAAGCTGGTTTGTATGGGGTCATCTCGGGAGCTAATGAGTCCCTACATTCGTCGCTTGAGCTACAGAAGCCCTAGAACATTGAGGACGAGCCTGTCAATGTTCACGTGCAAAACTGGGATCCTTCGACTGGCCTGGCTCTCATTATGCAAAGGTGTAGCATTCTTTTGATATCCTCAACATTATCGTGGCAGGACCTCGCACGGCACAGAGCAATCAATTTGTTCTAAAGAGCTTAAAGCTTGTCCTGATCTATCAGCAGCCACATTTTCTCGATGATCAAACCTCGCGTCATGCCAATTTCCTAAACCTACACCAATTTCAGAGTCCATTTAGAATACGAACCACAGAAGAACCACTAAACAAAGTCTACCAGTCCCAGCCTCATGACTGCAGCGGTTTCTTGAACCTCCCTTGTATCCAACAACGATACATTTTGATGCGTCGTTGTCGGTTCACAATCAACCTGCGATCGATATCCAAATTCAGGATATCAAAGCGAGGAAAGGTCATATCGGTCATGCCGTCATCCCCAGCATTTTTCCTCGGTTCCTGAATCTTGGCTCCATGCTGATACACGTCAGATCGCTCGTCCGACCCACCCATTATATCACCAGTATCGTCCCCAGCCCAGATACGTCGTAACTCGTCCTTCTCGAAAAAGTATACACGTGTACCGTCGCCTCTAACATAGAAGTTCTCCTCCATCCAGCGTCCGGTTTTGAAGCGTACCTGAGCCAGGTCTCCTCGACCATAGTCTCGAAACAATACTTCACCACCCGGTTTCAGCAGTCTGAAAATGTTCCTTACAGCCTGCTGCCATTGCCTAGGGTTTAGTGCAGAGAAGATGAATATCATGACTACCACATCCGCGCTTTCTTCTTCCATACCTTCGGGGAGTGACTCGCCTGCAACATCCCAGACTTCGGCTCTCATCTTGCCTAGCCGTCCATCTCTTCCTTCTGCGATTTCAGCATAATCTGGTGCCTCTCGCATCGTCTCAACGGCACGTTTGCTGAAGTCCGCAGCAACGACCTGTAGTTCTGGATTGGCATTAATCCTCATGATAGGAAATGCAGTATTACCAGCACCAGCACCCACCTCAAGCACGACTTTTCGTCCTGCATCAGCCTTGGTCACATCGCCTAGCACCGGAAATTCTTGTACTAGCCATTTGCGGTCTTTGAAAAACGTAGTGCTCTTTTGCTTGTAGAACAAGTCCCACCACTTCTCCGGTTGTGTATTGAACCTTTCGCGATCGAAGTCCGAGACAGGCGCAGCTCGTTGTTTGGCGTACTGTTCTTCGGTAAATTTCAGGTGTTCTTCGTCAGGGTCTACATGGTCCCAAGCATTATACTCAAAGACATCTTCTTGGTCGTTGAGGTAGCGCTGGCCGAATTGAAAGGGGTCTGTTCGTTTCGCGTTCGTAGCTGGATCGTGAGAAAGATGTGGTGGGATTGTGGTCAAGACAGGTTCGTGGCTCGTCTTGGTGCTTTGCGCATCACTTGGTTTGTCGTCCGTAATAGATAACTCTTCGACTTCTGCAGATAGGGCGACAGTCGCTCCATCGCCTTGTCCCCTGTCTGGTGCCATGTTCTTGATAAAGTCCAAATATCAAATTCGGCCACATTCTTGAATCTTGGACACAAATCGATTTGGAGCGCAGATCTCTCTGCACCGGAAGTGCGGGCCCTGCAGGGGTCCGTGGGTGCTGGAGACACATTGCATGTGGCTTCCAGCCTTACTGTCGCGCCTGTAACCACCCTGGCTTCTGTTTGTTACGAAACTATACTTTAACTCAGCAAGACTAAATTCATCCTCAACATCGACAACCCCTCGTTTCGCAGACCAAAATGACCGTCGAAGATATCATTGTCGCACCCGAACTCACACCATCCCTTGCGACAGCCCAAGCAACCCTACAGCAAACCCTCGCAATCATAGATCTTTTATCAGCGAATGCAACTACACCAACCACCCTAGAACTACAGCGCACCGTAGCACGACAAAACAGAATCCTGCAAGCTTACTTGGCTCGTCTGAAGCAACAAACCCGTCGCACCGCCTTTATCGCCAGGTCTACCAAAGCGCAGACAGCAGACGCCAGGAGAGAAGTCGATGGCTTACTCCTGCAGTTGCAGAACTTGTATTACGAGCAGCGCCATCTACTAGGAGAGATTGCGGCTTGTGAAGATTATCCTCATGCTTTTCGGGAATTGCCGCTTGTTGATGAGGAGGAGTATCTGGAGCATTTTCCTGAGCATGAGGAGTTGGACGAGAGCGCGCTAATGGAGCGGAGGATAAACCACGAGCAGGAAGAGAGGGACCGCATCGATGAAGAGAGGAAGGAATTGGTTAAGAGGAAGGATCAGTTGGTTTTGGAAAATACACGGCGGAAAGAGGTGGTGAAGAAGATGGACGAGAAGCTGGAAAGCTGGGTGGATGGTCTGGCTAAGTTAGAGGAGGAGTTGAAGGTGGCTCTATGACGAGGGCAGTCCTGATCCCAGCACAAACAGCGGAATAGGTCAACAAAGGTATATGCCGTTACCGTTGAGATTTTTCCACCTATAAAAAAGCCTCTTCTGGCTCGTGGTCGAATACTTCCACCTCAGAGCGAAGACACAATAGTATGTACAACCTGGGCCTAACCGCAACCTTATCTTATACAGATGCCAGATCCAGCGATTCTTCTGTGTTCTTTATGCAAGAACCTTTCCAACACTATGGTCTGGCCAAACGTCTCGGAAGCTCAATGCAAACCCTGCGCCCTTCATCTCCCAGATCGATCAAATATACCTCCTCGTCTCGATAGTCCTCCGCAAGGGCCTTGTCGTACTCCCGCTCACTCAAGAAACACGTGTAGTTTCGCGCACAGCACTCGGGACATCTATACTGTCCACAGTTCCGCTGAGACTCATTGAAGAAATTAAGAATATCGAACCAATTCACATGTGGTTTGTCAAATTCCGTGGAAGGCATCCGATTGAGCCAGTAGATCTTGTCGCGAGGGACGTGACGGAAACAGGCCCTGCACAGACGAAGAGCAGGCGGCACGTATGGCGGGAGTCCGTTCTCAGTCGTCGCCGTCGCGACTTGTGTCTCCATGCTTGAACTGGTACTGGCTCTACATCTTCTTGCTCGAGGTTTAGGTTGACGAGCCAGCAGATGGTATAATCCTTCTTTGTCACGGAACCCTCGCCAGGGTGCGAGGGACTCGCGATTTTCGGAAAGCAGACTGGCGATAGTCTTGCAACTCAAACCAAACACGACCTGGTAGTGCGGTACCTGGATTTTCTGCACAATGAGTAGGAGCAGCTCTGCTGGAAGCTTCAGCAGAGACGATTGCGACTGCGCATCGTGCTTGCTGAGTTGTAAGATGGTGTCTGAGACGAAAAATGGGGTGTATGGTCTTCTCGGCGGTCGCTGCGCGTATTGTGCTCGAGCAAGCTCCCTCTCTTTCTTGACTTGCAAAGGCAGCTGAAGGATTCGTCGGGATGCCGAAATGTTGCCGTTAGCTTCTCTAAAGTCTAGTGATATATCTGTGTAGAATGAAGGCGCTGCCGCCAAAGATACGTCCATAGATACGACCATGATACGGATGTACTCGACCAACGAACGAAAGAGTAGAGCACGAGACAGCCAAATACGATATCACGTTCTCTCAGGACAGCATTTGATGCGCATGCTTCGCTCAGCGACCTCACCGTGGGGGAGACGTTGTGGGGGGCACTATTTGATGATGAGTGCCCCCGGACCACCCCGCACACCCCAATGCAAGCACTTGTTTACTTAGTCTTAGCCAATCCCACACTTCTACAAGCTACTCGTATATCGACACGATCCATTCGTCCTCAAGCCTTCCACGACCAAGGTTGTGCAAAACACTGTCCCTGTCATGTTGTCATTTGTAAACGAAGCGGCTCAATTAGCTCGCTATTATGCTCAGATTTTTTGTCATCAACAAAAGGCCTGGTGTAGAAAATCAAAGTATTGAAGCTGACGAATTGTGCATGTGAATTTTATTGTAAAATTTGCACTATGCTGGACGCTGCATTGCGTTGTCACTGATCTATATCCCCGGATCGCCTTCTGAGGAACAAACCAAACACCGAATAATTATACCAGCTTCATCAAACCACCCAGGTTGATACTCTTTGGTCGCTCAATCGGCATGCCCAGAGCTCGATCCCAGATGAGCTGTGCTAGTGGACCAAGACCTCGACTGACGCCAAACGTGACTGTGTAGTAGAGAGGATCTCTGAAGCCGTAATGATGGAAGAGCACTCCCGATGCGCTATCGACATTAGGATGTGGGTTCTTGGTCTTGCCATGTTCAGTCAAGACTCCGGGCGCGACTTCACTGTTCTTCTTCACCAATCTGTACACAGGGTTGTTGGAGATATCTTCTCTGGCATCACCGAAATCGATGAGTGCCTTGAATCGAGGATCAGGCTTTCGTAGCACACCATGACCGTAACCTGGCACGACCTGGCCAGATTTCAAGGTCGCCCATAAGTAGTCCTTGACATCCTGGTCGGAAAAGTTTTCGCCAATGGAAGATTGCATCTTCAGGATCCACCGTAGAACCTCCTGAGCAGCTAGGCCATGCAGTGGTCCCGCAAGACCGAGCAGACCTGCAGAGTAAGACAAATACGGGTCGGAGAGTGCGGAGCCGACAAGGTGGGTGGCATGAGCAGATACGTTACCTCCTTCGTGGTCTCCGTGCAGTGCTAGGTACAAACGAAGCAGATCTTGAAAACCTTCATTTTCCTTTCCGGGCTTACCCAACAGCTTAGCAAAATTGTAAGCCCAGTCCTGATCCATATCCAGCGGCGAGTCAAGACATGACTTGTCGAAGATGGCAGCGGCAACTCGAGGAAGTTTGGCAAGGAGTGCAATGCTATCGTCGAATGTTGGCTCCCAGTAGTCGGCCTTGTTCATGCCCTCGGCGTATTTTCTGGCAAAGGCTGACTCTGTGTTCAAAGCTGCAACAGCGCAGGCAAGCTGTGTCATGGGATGCACGTTCTTGTCAAAAGACTGTAGCATCTGTTTGACGTGCTTTGGAAGTTCTGATTTCTCATTCAGCTCCCTCGACAGTGCTCGAACCTGGTTTGTGGAGGGGACTTTGCCGGTGAGCAGCAGCCAGAACATGGCTTCAGGAAGCATCTCAGTGCCAGATGTGCCCTTGGGAAGCTCGTTTTGGCAGTCCGCAATTGTTTTACCGTGGAAGCGAATACCTTCGTCTGCGTCTAGGACACTGCCTTCCCAGACCATTGACTTCATTGTCCTCATACCACCAATAACCATACCAACTGTAATATCACCAATTTTCTTGTCTGCATGGCTCTTGACTTGTTTCAACAGTTCTCGTTTCTCTGGGATAACCTCCTTCAAAGTCGTCTTGAGATCTGGCTCAGCGGCCGAGGCGTATGTTCGTCGTAGGCATCGTGGTGAGCTCTGAAGAGCTCGAAAGACTCGGGTAGCAGACCTTGGAGCTGCCATGACCTCTGCTAGTGCTACAATGAGTTGAAGGACAGGAGTAGACGCAGGTATAGTACCTGCAGAAGAGCAGACTTTTTAGCTTCGGATCGAGGTACAGCAAACCTTGACGGAAAGTCACCGAGCTATCGAAAAGTGCGTTGTAGCTGTGAGCTCTTGGAGAGCAGTCCGAGATTCAATAATTATGCACATTTACGTCGGTCGCTGTGCTACGAATGATTACGAAACCCCACCAATACCGAGGCACTTGCAATTGGAAAGAGGAGATCGCTGGCGGTTCCTTCCAACTGGACGTTTTTGGGATTCCCAGGCACCAAAATAGGCGGAACAAGCGGCAATGTTATTTTCGAGCTCATCTTTGAAACCAACCACTTCGGAAGCTGCCGACTTTTCTAGCTATGAATATTGGTGATTATTTTCTAGCCATAGCAGCGAGAATATTAAAAAGTCTCTACTGAGCTTGAATCACTGACATTAAAAGGCTCTAAGATCTGTACGCCAGGTTCGCCAATGCTCTGAAAGCAGGAAAGTCAACTCTTTTTCGGCATCATGGGCAGGGTACCACAATCACTACTCAGACTGGGCAGGCAAGCAAGGCTTCCGAGGCTGGTTGCCCAAACAACATATCATACGCTGCGAATGTCAAGTCAATTGGCAGCAGTGAAACCTCCGTTGTCAACAATCTTACCTTCAGATTCGTTTCAACTATTACCAGAATCAGAAAAGGCAGGAGCCGAGGATGCACTCTTCAATGAGCAAATCAAGCAGGTCAAAGAGTGGTGGGCATCACCTCGTTATGACGGTATTAAGCGCCCGTATACCGCCGAGGATGTGGTGAGCAAGCGAGGAGCTTTGCAGCAGACCTATCCAAGCTCGCTCATGGCACGTAAACTGTTCAACATTTTAAAAGAACGTCAAGCTCAAGGCAAGCCAGTACATACCATGGGTGCGATCGATCCGGTACAGATGACACAACAAGCACCAAACCAAGAAGTTCTTTACATTTCTGGTTGGGCTTGCTCAGCAGTTCTAACTGCGACCAATGAAGTTGCTCCTGACTTTGGTGATTATCCTTACAATACAGTTCCTAATCAGGTGCAAAGGCTTTTTAAGGCTCAACAACATCACGACCGCAAGCACTTCGATGCACGCCGGAAGTTGACGCCTGAAGAACGTGCCAAGACACCATATGTTGATTACATGAGACCAATTATTGCCGACGGAGACACAGGTCATGGTGGTTTGTCTGCCGTCATCAAATTAGCAAAATTATTCGCCGAGAATGGTGCTGCCGCCGTTCATTTTGAAGACCAACTGCATGGAGGCAAGAAATGTGGTCACTTGGCTGGCAAAGTTCTTGTGCCTATAGGTGAACATATTAATCGACTTGTGGCAGCTAGGTTTCAGTGGGATATGATGGGCTGCGAAAATCTTGTCCTCGCCCGAACTGATTCGGAAAGCGGTAAACTTCTTAGCAGTGCCATCGACGTCCGTGACCACGAGTTCATCCTAGGAGTTACAGAGAACACAGAGCCTCTGGCAGAACAACTGCAAGGCATGGAACTTAGTGGTGCACCAGGTCCAGAAATTGACAAGTTTGAGGCCGCCTGGGTCAAGGAGCACAAACTCGTCACTTTTGACGAAGCGGTATTGGGTCAACTCAAGGCTGATGATGTTGATCCTTCGGAATACCTCAAGAAGGTGAAGGCTGATCCCAATCTGTCCCTAACTAAGAGAAGAGCTTTGGCTAGGGAGTACACAAGCAAACCAGTACAGTGGTCCTGTGACATCCCACGGACAAGAGAAGGTTTCTACCACTACAAAGCAGGCATGAAAGCTGCCGCCAAGCGAGCTACCGAATTTGCACCCTATGCAGACCTCTTGTGGGTCGAGACAGGCGATCCAAACGTCGAGTTGGCAGCCAATTTCGCCAAGGATGTCCACGCAAAAGCGCCTGGCAAGATGTTTGTCTACAACCTCAGTCCTTCTTTCAACTGGATGGGCCATGGCTTTACAGAGGATAAGCTGAAATCATTCATCTGGGATATTGCAGAGCATGGGTTCATCCTTCAGCTTATCTCTCTCGCTGGCATCCATTCAACAGCTACTATCACCACTGAGCTGTCTCAAAAGTTCAAAGACGAAGGGATGTTAGCATACGTCAATCTGGTCCAGAAGCGTGAGAAAGCACTAGGAGTCGATGTTCTTACACACCAGAAATGGAGTGGCGCACCATATATGGACGGTATCCTAGGTGCAATCCAGAGTGGAAGCAGTGGCAGCAAGAGTATGGGCGAAGGCAATACTGAGGGACAATTCTAAGCTTTACACAACAAGTTCTGGACCGTCAGCGGGATAGCGGAAGGAACAGAGTGGTTTCGCTGGAAGCCTCCTCGCTTTAGCGATTACCGTAACCTCACTACAGGCCTGTCCAAGTCAAACTCATGATCTGTCCGAGAGGACGGAGAACCTAGGGCGATGGTGAGTTTTGGATTTTCTAGCCAAGTTCAACATCAAGATACCGCATCTCTGTCGTTGTGGTCTAGAGTTCCTGATCCATCGATACTGATCGTCGTGGGACAGAGGCATACAGAGGACATTGCACATTGGACATACTGTTTGGTTTTCCCTCTCTACCATTTTGGTAGCCGACAGAAATCTACCAACGAGCTTCATCATACCCTCAACACCTTTAAGGTGCTTGAGTGAGCCCTGTGCCTCTCATCAACGTGGGCCTTAGACTTATCGGGACGAGGAAGGGCGTATAATTCGGCTGTAGAGGCTGCCGAAGTTCAAAGACACACCTTCGATGCTATATTGGTGTCGCTTGGTTCTCGAGTTATAGTGCGCACTTATTTGGCTAGAGCCAGTACTTACGCTATAGGCGCAATTAGCATTCGACCTTGCGAAGCAGTTTATATGCGAGCTTGATAGATGTTGAGCTCCATGTCAGAAATGGTGCGGACCCGACGTCTATGTACTACCATTGACATGTTGCAAGTGTGTAGAGCGATTCTTACAAACGACGTGACCAAATGGATCATGCTAGAGAAAGCACGATTCACCTATGAGAGGACTCTGTGCCGGCAGAGAAGCGTTGCCGTGGTCATCCACAGACTTAAACGACCTGGAACGTGCACGTCAGGAACATACTCGAACTTTTCTAAAAGCAGATCTTCACGTGCCAAGTTACTGCTCAGATCACTTGTCGTCTGGACAACACTCATGCACTGGCATCATGTGCAAATTCAATCGATGTTACTATTGCGCGGACGGGTTGACGATTCCTGACCTTGGCGCTTTCGCAAGAAAACGGCGAAAACGGTGAATGCACTTCTATCACTCAATCGACACCATCTCTGTTCACTCTATCACTAAGGCAAGCACAGAAGCCAATGCCTTTATCCCAATGAGCAGGTTTGCTGCCAAAGTGTAATACAACAAACACATTATGTTGGCCAAAAGTTCAGAACAACCACTTTATTCAACTCCTTCAGTACAGGTATGCCACTTTGACAGGTTCTCGACTAGATTATTTGCACCGCTATCTACACTCCTCCACCAGCGATCAGAAGCCACAACATGTCTTCGAGACAACACTATCCTCTGAATCCTACACCTTTTCCCTCCGCTGGCGCATACGGACCAACAGATCATGCAATAGGTCTATTTGCGTCTCAAGCAAGAAGAATCTACATCAATCTTTCGCGATATGCGATAGAATACCTTGAACATACCGGCAGAGCTCGTGACAACGAATTGCTTCACCACTTGATGGAGCAAGCCTTGTACACGGCAGTCACCAATGGTAGGATCAATGAGCAGATGCGTCAAGAGATATTGAGGTTGATGGGAAGATACCTTGCTGGAGGACGACCACGAACTATCACAACTAGCACAACCGCTGTGCGTAATGTAACTGTTGTCAGAAACTCGACGACTGAGCATGCTCCTTCGAACCAGCATCAGCGGGATGGAGGGACTAAGGAGCAAGAGGATCAGAACCAGGAGAAGGAAAAAGAAAAGGGAAAGGAGACAGAATTGGACGAGGGCTCGAGTGCGGGCGATGCAACGGAAGCGGACGTGTCGGATTCGGCAGCTGGCTCTGCGATGATAGGATCCTCGAAAAGAACTTCAAATCAAAGGAGCCGGAATCACAAGCCTGGCACTAGTCTCGTCGATGTCCTCGCACAGATGCCAAAACGAGATGTGTGACTAGGTTTTGGCAGAGAGAACAAGTGTATGGTTGGCTTGACAGACAAAAACAAATGATACAGGAGCACTTTGCGTACTTAATAAACATTGAACCACATCGTTCTTCCTTAGAATACTCCTCAATCTTGGCAGAGCCAGTGATGGCCATCCAGCCTAGATACGTAAGACGTTCAAATGGCATCTAAACCCCTTCGCTCCGTTCTATGACTTTAGTCTAACTATAGCATCAGTTCCATGTACACCATAAAACGTGTACTCAGCATTCATCTCGCCCCCTACTCACTCCCCAACCGGATTCATCAGATTCCACAAATCACCTCTGCGCCTCATCAGTGCTTCGAACCCACCGTCCTCGACCACAGCACCGTTCTTAAGCATGACAACTCTATCAGCTATTTCCATCATCTCCTTGTTATGCGTCACAACTATGATAGTCGGCTTTTCCTCTTCAGGCAATTTCGTCAGCGCTAACAAGCTCTGGCGTATGACTTCTGCGCTGTCGCGGTCAAGAGCACTCGTCGGCTCGTCAAGGAGTAGGATCTTGGGTCGACGGGCGAAGACGCGCGCTAGAGCTATTCGTTGAGCTTGACCTCCTGATACGGATTGACCGCCGTCGCTGACTATGGTGTCATAGCCTGACGGGAGGGAGGTGATGAAGTCATGGATGCCTGTGGAACGGGCGGCGGTGTGAAGGCGCTCGTCGGATCTTGTGTCCTTATCTTCTTGTGTTTCGAGGCCGTACAGGATGTTTTCTCGTATGCTGATAGGAAAGAGAACGGCGTCTTGAGGCATGTAGGCGATATGTGAGCGAAGACTGGCAAGGTCAAGGGAGTGTATGTCGTGTCCTGATATCTGCAGACTTCGTGAGGCTGTTCGTGCGTCGCCTGCAAGGTAGAGGCCAAGTATCAGAAAGATTATGGTCGATTTGCCACAACCCGAACGACCTACTACTGCAATGAACTGTCCAGCTCCAATCGTGAGATCGAAATTGTTGAGAACAGCTGTAGTTGGTCTATTGGGATAGTGAAATGTCAGTCTGTTGAAGTTGATCGTGGCAGTGAAACTCTCGTGTTGCAACTTTAATAGACCTTCTTGTTCTTGAGAGTATGATGGTAAGTTCGTCAGTTTCAGCAAACGATTGCCTGCTTCTATACTGGACGAGATTCTGGGTACAAGAGTCAAGATAGAGCTTGCACTCAGCATGCTGTACAACATTAGGGACAATACTGTAAGTATTGACTTAGTTGTAAACTGTTGCGAGGTTGCTAAGGTGGTGCCATATGTAAAGATACAGGCCAGCGTGAAAGACAATAGACTTTCGGATGCCCCATAACAGATGCCAACGTAGAACCCGCGCCTGAGACCAACACGAAAAGTTTTGGATATTGAAGTTGTGTACTTCCTGTGAAATCGCGATTCCAGAGTGAGGGCTCTCACTGTTCGAACGTCGGAGAAGCTCTCGGCAAAGACATCGGCCGACTCAATGGCAGCGTCGTTGCTGCGCGATTGCCAACGTGTCGAAACGAAATCGAGCAGTTTCGTTACAGCATATATGACAGGAACGCACGCAACTACTGTCAGTGACAATTTCCAGCACGTGATCAAGCTCCAGGTGAGAGCGATCACGACCATCACAATGGCTATAAGCACGAATGAGACCAGCCTCCCTAGAAAATCGCGCACATCCTCTGCTGATTTGTCAAGGGAGCTGCAAATTTCTGTCAATGACAAGCTCTCGTTATCGAACCAAGTCTTTGATTGAATGAGGATGCGAGCGACAGCCAATTGACGTAAGGATTGTATCCATGCCTGTCCACAGGTTTCGAACAAGAATTGTATGATGAAAGCTGCTACGCCGTCGAGAAAGCATATGGTGATGAGTATTCCCGACCATTTCACCGCATCCCGAACCCAGCCTTTGTCCTGGTAAAAATTTGTAAACATCTTAGCCATTAGCCATGCTGTCATGGAGGGCAGGGCTGCGTACGAGACGGCAGTAATGAAGGCAAAGATTAGTGAGCGCCTGTGTTTCGAGCTTAAGGATGACCACACTGTGTACATAAGATCCCGAAACAAATAGGTCTCCCATTGCGGCATTGCAGTTTCCTCTGCGCCACGAAGAACTACTGCTGTGTTTTCAGCGACGTCCTGCCATATAGTGATGGGCCTGGCCGATTTCGCCATGGCCAGATCCTGTTGCAGATGTGTTGGTCTTAGAGCCGTCGAAGGATGCATGCTGTACGGTCTCACTGCTGGCGTTCTTGTCAAACGATCGCCCCATTTTTGAGACTTCGACATAGTCTCCAATTCGAAATCAATATGCAAGCTCTCGTCTACAAGTTGGCGCTTTGCATGTTTGCTCTTCACGACCTTGAGAGATTTACGGAACTTGTTATTGATGTTGTACCGATCGTCGGCTTTGTCGAGCAGACGACGGTGCTCCTCCAGCGTGCTCGCGCTGAATCCGCTTTCAAACGAGCTGACGGAGAGGTTGGTACCCGCACGGGCAGGCTGTGGTCTTTGGAAGTATTGTGTACGTCGTATTTGTGTCTGAAACTGTTCAGAGTCGTCCTCGATGGGTACGAGTGGGTTTCCGATCATGTCATGGTTAAGTGACTGCTGCAGCTGGCTTTCGGCAGTGGATCGATAGCCTTCCGAAATGATCCTACCATCCTTGAACGCATACATAAAATCGCCAGACCTGATTTGAGACATGTCGTGGGTGATGATGATTGTCGTCTTGCCACTCCGCCATTCCCTAAGGTTACGCATGATATGAATCTTTGCTGTGTGATCCAAAGCACTGGTCGACTCATCAAGGACCAAGACTGGTGTATCTCGTAGTCTGGCTCTAGCCAAAGCCAGCCGTTGTCTCTGTCCCCCAGACAGATCAGAGCCACCCTTGCCAATCTTTGTCTCAAGGCCATCTGGCAGAGCCTCAGTAGCGTGTTGGAGCTGGGCGAAATCCAAGCAGTCTGCGATTCGTGAAGCTGCCAGACTGGTATAATCTTCGAAACACATCGTGATGTTTTCACGAAGGGTGCCTCGAAACAAGACACTGTCTTGTTGGACCAAGGTAACGTTATTTCGGAGCCATCGAGTGTCCAACTTGTGAATTTTTGTGCCATCAATGGTGATGCATCCACTGTTGGCCGAATAGAACCGCAACAAAAGAGCACCTAGTGTGCTTTTGCCAGAACCGCTTCTGCCAACGACAAACCTGGCCATGTCAGCACCGATGCAGCATTAGACAATCAATCTCGGCAAACGTACGTAGTTTCATGAGCTGGAAAGAATAGCGTGACGTCTCCGAGGACGTAGTGATCAGGACGGACTGGATAGGAGAAGCTGACCTTGGGTCGTTAGTGTTCAAGAGGCCACGAACGCTTTGCGTCATTGAGAGTATTTACATTCTTGAACTCGATATCACCTTCCATAGAGGCTGGTGTTCTGCCTTTCACGCCATCATCATGAGCTTCTCCTTTTTCTACTTGACGTAATAAATGCTTTAATGCAGCGCCAGCAGCACGTCCCTTTTCTAACACCAACATTTGCGGCAGCAACTCGTTGAAGCTCGTAGAAGCAGATACTGCGGACCAGAAAGTTGTCAGGATCTCACCTGGACTTGCACCCCCTTTATGCACCAGGTAGGTGCCGAAGCCAAGAGCTAGAACCATGACGAGGGCTGCTGCGATGCGCATGAAGCCAGTCTGAAGTGCAGCAATATACGTTTGGCGACGAAAATGGCGATCTGACGAATCAAGGATATGGACGTAGTGCTGAACTTCGCTGCTTTCCGTGTTGTGGCATTTGACGAGTACCACATTCTTAATGGCATGATTGACCTGTTGTGTAGCGAGGGTTAGTCCTGCTTGTTGGTCCGTGATGGCCTGCCGGTAGCCTTTTGAGACAGAAGAAAGTACAAACGCTGTTATTGGGACAGTGGCAAGTATGGCTAAGGTTAACCTCCAGTTGTAGTAGAAGGCGACTACTAAAGAGGTAATGGATTGAATGATCAGGGCTACCACCAAGCCTAACGGTTGCGAAACAGCCATTTGAAAATCTGAGATCTGGCTACAACCAGGTTAGCCGAGACCTATCCAATGGAAACTGCCTACGTGTGGATTCTGCTGAGCAAAGAACTGACGCCAGCCTCTTGGGCCTCGAACCATGCCAGGTCTCTGACGATCAGGGCGGAAAAGAGATCTTCTCGGACAGCTGCGGCTTGCATTTCTCCGTACGTAATCCAAGTGGTGCAGACTGCTGCCTTCGCCAGCCATGTTATTGCTGCAACGACGATGAAAGCGTACACTATCGACCTTGTGCTATTTGTCATAACCTGGGCATCGATAGTGCCAGCAGCGTATTGTGCGAAGGATGTGAAAAAGTGACCAGTCAATATGGACATGGCAGGTTTGATGGTACCTGAGAGTGCTGCAAGTAGAACTGCAGGAATGAGTACAAACAAGTGTCCCGGTCGGTTGAAGGAGAATACAACCCTGTATGCGGCAAGGCCGCCTTGTCGTCGAGGATTCTCCTGCTCCTTCGAGTTCGGCGACACGCTCATGCGAGCACGACTGTTCATCGCCTGTGCCGTAAATGCACATCCACCATCGTAAAATGCTCATATGCTCAGGTAGTGGTTCTGTGAACGAGTTGATGGGTGGATCGTGTGCTAAGACAGAAAGTTGGTATTGTTCTTAAGGTATGCAAGGCCGGCAAGCGAACACGGACCAGACAGAGCTCTTGTCGACTACGAAGCTTTCTTAGCATTTTGTGCCTGCTCATAAATCCAATCATTCAGGCCAGCACGATTTCTGGCAATCTCGATGGCGTAGAACTGCATACGAACAGCAAAGATGGTTTCCTTCTCACCATATTCTGTTTGCGGGTTCTTTCTCAACATAGTGCCAAAATTGAAGTCTTCGACCTTTTTCTCGTACTGGTTGACGAAATTTCTCCATTGTTCTTTCCCTTCCTTACTCTTCATCTTGTCCTCATCTATGGTCTGAGCAGGATCGAAGTCGGGAAAGTCCTTTTTGAAATGTTCGAGAATCTCGTCATCCATACGCGTCAATCTCAATACGGATCCAGGCATCTTCTCGAGGATACCCCAATAGACCGTCATATGATGAACAGCCTTGACTGCAAACTGCTTCTCCATGTCCTCGTAGTTGGGCGCATTTTCGGCGTCGATCTGCTGCGTCAAAGACATGGTCGTGACTTCTTGCTGCTTACTTCGATATACAGGCTATATTCAATCGTGTTTAGGGACGCTCAAGGTCTGCTGTGTAGTCCAAAGTGTGCTAAGCAAGTTGTTACTGACCAAAAATTACGTGCACGAGATCCAATTATTTCTGAGGCAGGAGCGTCACTCACACGTGCAGGAAACCCTGGTCGAAGAAGGTGGTTGAACATTGCCGCTAAAAGATTACCGGTAGACCATGAAGTAGGCTAAAGGGCTGAGATCGACACCCCACCATATCCTACTAGGGTATTGCTGCAAAACTCGGAGCAGTGAGGTATGGGATGCAAATTGACGCATGTGAATTCGTTGCACGTTTCGGCTGCCACACATAAGGTTGTTCCTTTACAGCATCAGCACGTGAATATGAGAGGATTCTCACTCCGTATAGGAGGCTCTCTCTGACAGCGGGTGCAAAGGGTGTGTCGAAACAGAGCATGTTTCTCGTCGTGCCTACTCAGCTTCTCCACCTTCTGTGTTCCTTCTGAACCTCATCTTCATGCTCGTCTATATTCCCCAAGTGCTTCGATTGTGTGAAACTAATCTTTCTTTAAGCTGTACATTCATACTTCGAGGTCCTGAATTGCTTAATACACCAGCCTAGCAAATTTTCAAGTCGCGCCTGTACTGATCAGGTGTTAAGCGCTTGCCGTCCTGGCTGCCTATTTGACTACGTCCACTTTTTGAAAGTCCCTGTTGCACGACAAGTTCAGTCGCTGCCATGGACACGCCACAGCTGCATCGACCACTTCCTCGCAGAGCTTTCGACCTCACTCCGATTTCTGCTGATTCGTCCAAGCCTCCTTCGCCAGCAGCAGAGGCTCAGAACGCTGAGCTTCTGATGAACGATCGATCTGAACTTAGCCCTCCTCCCAGCCGCACACGATCCATCCTGAATCTAACCTCTTCAACCTTGTTGGGTATATACTCGAACGCTACTGATGGAGGAAGAGGAGATGAGCTGAATACACCTTGGGGCACTGGAGCTCAAACTCCCAGCTTGAGCCACAGACAAAGCGCTGATGTTGATCGACTACAAGTCCCGTCTTTCCCTTTCAGCAATGAGACTTCTCGGAAACCAGTAGTGCGTAAGGCACCGAAGAAGACTGTTAAGAACTTCTATCTTCCTTTGCTCACTCAGACTATCATGCTCTTCGCCTTTGGTCTGGGCTTCGGCTCCCTGCTCACACATCTACACAAAACACAGCAAATCACCCCGATGCCTGTACCACGCGGTGGTACAAACTCGAGACACTATCAGATTGCTTGGGGTATACTAGGAGTAATATTGGGAAATGCACTACCACAACTGGACTCTCTTCTGGACGATGACGACGCCATTACTGGTGGCTTCGACACTAAGACAACCCAGTATCAACATATTCGATCATTGTCCGGCACTTCCCAATCTGGCAAGGAGAGACCTTCACTTACTGATAATGGTCTCGGCCCCATGTGGTATTCAGCTGTCCGAAGTGTCGGAGCTTTTGCTGGGATCGCTTTTGCATTGGTATGTAACGAACCCATAAAAGACAGGATCTTCACTGACTTTCGCGCAGCGAAAAATCCCCTGGCAGTCAACTTTACAGGTTTCATTGACTCTAGCTGTTGCGAACCCAGTTTTGTGGTACTTGATCGACCGATCGAAGCCCGGTCTTGCATTGTCCCTCCTTGTGAGTGTAGCAGGCACATTCCTGTCCCTGTTACTCAACCCTTCATTTGTGCCGGTACCGAACATCTACCAAGAGCATGCTTCGGAGAAGCTGGGAGTATTTCTGTGGCTAGCCAGCATACTATTCTGCACTAGCTTGTGCTTTGGAGCTATTGGTAGACGATTGCAACTGTAGGAGAGCACATGAACATCATCAAGTAGGAGCTACCATTACCAGTCATGCTACCATTTTCTCGATTACTGCCGTGTCTACCTGCTAAGCTTCAGAAAGCCGGATTCACACCATCATACCCCACGTTCTCGATGTGCGCTCGCAACAACATACCAGGCCAGCTAGCCTTGGGATGCTTTTCTGAATCCGGCCAGGTCATACTATCCACCTTGTCGGGGATCTTCCTGGCCTGCTTGACCACTGCATCAGCCAGTACTTTCTCAATACGTAGACGTGGTAGAAGCAATTCGATTTCGGAAGAGTAAATTTGAGCACCATACGCGTCTCGACTAGCTTGGCTGAAATCCAACTTCACCCCCAGTCTTACCAACCTTGTAAAGGGATCGATCCGTTCCGCAATCCCTGGCGAAGTGTGCAACGCGATGGCAGTCCACACCTTGTGACACTCATCTGGAGGTATCCCGTGACTGGCGCAGAGGTTCGATGCTGCATCTGCACCCTCAATCTCAAACCTCTGACTACCATTATATTGATCGCTTGCACCAAAGTCATGACATATGCACGCCAAAAACAAGAGCGATAACTTGGTATCTTGCAAGTTGTTGCCTTTCTTGTCTGCAAGCCATTTCGCGAGCAAGTACACCCTCAAGCTGTGGTTGAGAATTGCTTCAGGAAGTGCTTCGGCGGCGACATTCAGTGCTGAATTGCATGCAATATTATCAGGAATCTGGCCCTGCAGGTCAGGCGGCAGTCGTGCAAGGATGTTCAAACCTTGTTCATTGTCCATTGTTTATTGGTGGTATGGGAGGTCCAACCAAGAACTGGCGTTTGGTTGCACGAGGATGGACGATATGCACGATGATAATATGATTGTTGTGGTTGTCAAGTACGACCGGTTTCTTTGCAAACATCAACATGAACTTTCCAAGGACAATTGTCTCACTGGCACGGAATGCGCCATAGATGTGAATGTCGGGTGCTGATTTTATGCATCCTCTTCGTCGGTAGCGTGGCTTTCCCCGGGTATTGCTAGCTGCTACGGATATTGATTGTGGCCCACTTTCATTTCTAAATGTGGTAGATTCGTCAATCAGATCATGTACAAGTACACAGAGTTATCGTCCGGCATGTCACTCTTGCTGTCTACGAACACATGATCCAAGATTTCTAGATAGGAGAGCGCTTGCGACGAAGAGTAGGTGGGTAGTACCCTGATAGACTGGTGACCGAACGAGCATCCAAGTCGATCTGCGCGACTTCAAGTTCAATGCTTCGAGGTCCAAATTGTCGCATCTCGTGTCTCAAACGTCTCCCAGCTTAGCAACAACGTCATGCTCAGCAAGCCTCACACCAATCCAAAACACTCAAAGCAGAGGCCTCCCCTGAAAACAAGCGCGTATGAGGCCTGAGCTGGTCAATCTTAGAGGTTGAGAAAGTACATTGATTCATGCACGCGATGAAACTAGCTCCATCCAGCATAGCGAAGGTTTCTCACACGCGACTTGCATGGCGGACAAGACCTTTTATTTTGGTGCAAAACACACCAGAGGTCCATCCCCTGCTAGTTTATCGATGAAAGTCATCTTCGCAGTCCCTCTCATACACCACTCCCTTCCAGTGTTTGGTCTCCGCCCCTCTCTTGGACCCTCTTGTCGCTCATCGCCTCACTTTATGTAGCAGAGAGTGCGCAATTTTGCCCTCTATCCACTCCTTTGCTCGCAACTAGCACGAGAGCCGGTCCTTTGGTGCCACGCTTCAGCTGCTGCCCAAAAAGAGTCCATGCTGCCTCCTACCACTGAGACTCTGGTTTCAATTCAACGACTCTTCACCGCCTCCAGCCCGCCAGCATGGTGTCCTTCCAATGCGAGGTAAGCTCCCATGCCTTGCATAAGTCTTCTTTACACTATTGACGTTCCGTTTACAGGGTTGCGGTGACGTGCAGACAAAGAAAAAACTCGACTCTCATAGGAACCAATGCCATGCGCCCTTCACGTGTATCGACTGCATGACCACATTTCAGGGCACTGGATATAGAGCACACACAGTATGTTGATACCATTGCCCGGCATGCGCCTTCACTGCAATCTGCTCGCTCTTGCAGCTGTTTTCTGCCCAACTACGCTGACCACATCCCAAGTCATGTATGACAGAAGCCCAAAAGTACGAGGGTCACCTTTACAGAGAGAAGCCCACCAAGGCTTCGAAGAGGAAATCAGTCTCTATATTAGAACCAAACGAGAACAATGCCCTCGTCCGGCACCAACCTACTGTCCAAGATGAAGAGCTCGAGATCCCTCCTCAAGTACCGACCCCTCCACCTGCTGTAACTACGGGCAGTAGAGACAGTGTGTTTGACTATCTTGTGGATGAAGACCCGGATACACCTCAGATTCAATTCGCATCAGAGAGAGAAGAGATGTCTCTGAAAAGGGATGCGCCTAGTGTGTTCGGTGGGAGTAGGCCAACAAGCAGGAACTCGAGCAGAGACGAGTACAGAAACAAAGAGGAACGTCTGGAAAGCAGGGACTACCAAGAGAATGGCTTCACCTATGGTGCCGAGCCTGTGAACCCACGACCTACCCACCCCAATGCTAGCTCTGTCACATTGGATTTCATGACTCCTGCCGCCAAAGCAGCAAAGGCCAAACTGGACCGAGGTGTACCACAATCAGCAGGACACAGCAGACAGAGTAGCAATAGCGAAAAGAAGCGCAAACGACCACAAAGCGATGATCACTCTGGCGACGTTAGCATGACCGATGCGCCTGGCACAATCGTCCGCTCAGTGGTCGATACACCAGGCGCCGTCAATCACTCAGGCCTGACAGGTGGTCTTCAGCGTATGCTTCAAGAAGAAGACGACGACGATTGGGGCCGCCTACAAGCACGTTCGCCACCATCATCGCCAAACCCCGAACGTGACAGCCGTGCTCTGACGAAGCTCAAGCCAGTCAAGTCTCTCAAGAACCACCAATCCGAGCCTCAATCCCCACTCAAACGTACCCGACGCTCAAAAGACGCAGATGATGCAGGCCTAGGAATCAGCATCAAAGGCCGTGCAGGCCGCGTCATGTCCATGATAGGCGGTGCCCTCTCCACACATACAGAGAGTGAGCTCGGCAAGCCAAGACGACGAGGCAGCAGCTCCGACGCCCGAGAAGATAAGATATTGGTCCGAGGCAGAGACGGTGATCGAAGAGAAAGAAAAAAGCACAAGGTCACCCGCCACAACGGAACTAGCAGTGCCAACGTTCGCATGGAGCGCTCTTCAAGGTCAAAGAAACGACAAGGCAGCACATCACCCGACATTCACGAATCGAAGAACGGCAGTACAAATGGCAAGCAAAAAGCCATTGAATACCACTCATCCAGCCACCACCGCTCCGCACACTCACCGTCCGACAGCGACGCCGATCGAGGTGGCCAGCAAATGGTCGTGTTCGGCGAAGAAGAACGCCGCAGACGGAAATGCGACGACTTCCTCGCCTACATCACGAAAGGTCCTGGCAGTGAGAAGGGCTATAGTATCAATAAAGTCCTCAAACGCTATCATCGTGACAGTGAAATCACCAAGGAAAACGACAAGAGGGAAGAAGAGAAGGATCTGTGGAAAGGCCTGCGTCTCAAGCGGAATGATCGAGGCGAGGTCGTTGTCTTTTTTGCTTGAGGAGCTGGCCTCTTTTTGATGAGTTGGATGATAATATGGTTGATGAAGGAGGAGGATACAAAGAACCACGCTTTTCATTCACATACACCTGTGATCGAATGTCTCCCATTCGAGCGCCAACTTACTTGCCTTACTTAGCGCCCTACTACCTACTTTACGCCTTTACACGACTTACCTGAACGATTCTCCTTTCCTAATCTCAAAATTAATCACGCCCTACTCTCCCATCAGTCCGATTTGAACCATGTACAAATACTAGCTTACTTCGATCTACCTACTTCCACCAATCTTCCTCTTTTTGAAAGTTGGAGCTGGGAGTCATGTTCGGCCTCTGTGTTCTACTTGATCAGTCGAGATATGTATTATGAATTAATATCGTTATTGTGTTATGGATTTTATGAGCAATTATTGGCCGCTATTGGTAAATGGGTAGATGAGGCAAGAGATGCAGTGTGCAATGCAGTTTCGAAATGAGAAATAATATAATATTACGTCAAATTCATTGAGGTTTACGCAAGCAAGAAAGGAGTTCGACATCAGGAGGTGGTTGTAGAAGGAATATATACGATCGTACAACGTTGTGATTGACCATAGTTATTGAGCATGGATTTCTGTCGATACTGCCACCGATCTCCTCGTCGTGCGCAGGGATGTGAAGAAGAAACCCGAGTTCAGAGAACTCTTTAATTGTCCATAGATATGCTGCCTCGTCTCCATCGACTACTCTTCCGAGACCACATGCTGAATATCCGCGACTCGGACCTTACACGAACCCATCCTAAACGTACCTGCTGATGATGGCAAACATCTCAACTTCGTTGCACAAAACGTGTTCTGGCCACGTCATTGCGTGCATCTTGTGTTTCGTTCGGGATAGCCTGCCTTCCCGTTCGGGCAATGAGATCAATTTCATGTACCGTGAGACAAGTTACGTACGTGGCCTTGGAGAAAGAGATGTGGACCTTGTGGTGAGTGGACCATGGTAGGCCGAGGTGGATTGAGTGGACAGAATCGAATGCCATGTGCCATGAGCGTTGTCCTGGCAGAGTACGAGGTGTTGACCTTTGTGTGTCTGATGCAATAGACTGGAATAAGCACCTTAGACAGCTACGCTTCTGCAAACTCTTGTTGTAAGCCGTTCAGAACACCCTATACTTTGATTTTGGGCCGCGTTGTATGTCTGCAGTATGTAACGGGTAGAAAGACGTATTTCGAGCTGGGCACGTACTTGGACGTGGTGTAGTATCTCTAAACGAGATCGACTGCCGCAGCTGCGATAATACACGATCGTGCTTGGCCATGTATGCGTACGAGAACTGAATGAAGCCTCGGAAGTTAGTGTTCAGATCCATGCATTCGCGATATGTAGAGTTTACGTTCGATGTTGAGTATGTTTCAAGTAGGTCTGGACACAGTCAGTCGGTGCACCACAACAAGAAGTCAGAGGGATCGTACTCACAGCTCTTCGTGCCGCTTCACCACTGGTGCTTGCTCAAAGGACCCCTCCAATTCCAGATACTCGGCAGCAAAGGCGGCAGTCAGGAGTGACCAGTCCTCGATGGTGGGAATGTCTAGGTATTCTGCATTGTCGCCAATTCGATGCCATTGAGAAGGAAACCGGGAAGGTATAAGATGAAGGGCCGGGACACCACGAGCAACGAAGGGAATATGATCGTCCTGCATCATGGTCTGCTGAAAGATAGCGTCGTTTTTCTTGTCCTTTTCTGGTAACCAAGTCTGGCTATTGTCGCTCTTGAACAACCCCATCTTACGGAGTCGATGTTCCAGTTTGGCGAGATGCTGATAAGCCCAGTGAGTATTTTGCATCCAGCTCGGGATTGGAAGACTCTCACCACTTCCCAGCAAGTCGAGTAGCACAAAGAGGTCGATGCTGTTGAGTTTAGTCTTGTAGGTGCTGCGGGCAGGATACATGGCCGTATCCCAATCGTCGGCTAGTGCTCGTGCACCATAGATGCTATCTGTTGCAGTCCAGGAATGAAAGGCTTCTTCGCCATCAAGGAAAAGGACTTGGAGGCCGAGAGCGTTGCTGTCCTCCAACTCGAATTCATCTGTGGTTTCCTGCATCTTTTGCCATTTGTTGGTCATAGCTGCGTCTATGCTCCGTACAGCGGACATAATCATTGCGCATGGAGCGGCAGAGTCGGTTGCGCCAATGAAACCTACGGGCTCAATCTTAGAGTCGTAATGGGCGACCAGCGTGAGGTAGCCGACATGACCATCACTCAGCCAAGGGGGACGTCTTGAAGCAATGAAATTCCTGAAAGGAACGTCCTCATTTCCATGAGTAGGTGTCTTCGAAGTGGAGTTTTGAACCTCGATATTCCATTCTGGTAGCTCGCCTTGGAAGAAACGGACGAAGTGGTCAAGGACTTTGGTGGAGTTCTCCGTACCAGGTACTCGAGGTATGAGGATAGGAGCCAGAATAGGTCCAGTGTGAATGTCAAAGTCTCTGGACTGCGAGCGAGGGAATCGTTGTCTGATCGTGCTGTCGCTTAGTGTTGAGTAGGCGTTTGGCTTCAGGCAGGTCGAGGCAAGCACGGCCAGCGCTGTTGTGACCCTACATAGTCTCATCCCGTCTTGGACTACTCGTACATAGGCTCAGCACGTAGACAGAGTGCAGAGGTTCAACAAGTTGTACTTCTCGCTCTCTTGTGCTCGGAGAATCTTCGGTTGCATTGATCGCGAATTGTCTCGGTTCGTTCTGTAGAACATCAACTTTCATTGCTAGCACGAGGCGCAAGGGTGCTGTAGATTACTTGGAGGGTTCGCGTGTGCATCAGAAATCGTCTTATGCAGGAATTTGATCTAAAATAGGCAGTCATGAGCCTACCGAGCTTCCTCGTGAGTGAGATGCGAGCAGCTTTCAGATCGTGCGCACCAAGTCACCACAACTCTCTCAGAAGATGCTTCAGCGTCTCTCAACACAAATTGGACTCCAAGTCTGCACCAGATGGTAACAAGAGGCAGCAGATAGACCGACGACCGAAACCCAGGTGGCCATACGATGGTGCTTTAACACGACCCAGTAAACTCTCACAATCACCTTCTTCAAGTCCAACACCTTCACAAGCCGGCCAACCACGTCAAGAGCAAAGCACGGAATTGGTTCCTGAAAAGAAGGAAGAGAAGGGACTTGATACTGGCCGCAGAGTGCCCGTTCCTCTCCGAGTCATTCCTAAAGCCGACCTGAATCACAACCTGAAACTGTCCCCGAGAGAAAGACTACACATCGAGGTCCTGACCAGACAACTACCGAAAAACAACCAAGAAAAGAAGCTCTACCGCGAAAGATTACAAGTGTACCATCTGGGCTCTCTTAAAGAAAGGTCAATGGCTTTCCTGAAAGTCGCTGCAATTGCCTCAGCTGCCCTCACTACTTTCGTCGTTGCGCCTGCTTTCCTCAAAGCTGGCTCTGCTCTCTGGTATGTGGCTACAATGTGGGGAACCGGCTTCGTGCCTGGCGTCGCCATCAACTACTGGACCAAGCCATACGTAACACGCATCTTCCTCGAACTTCCTCCAAAGGCGAGACAATCAAGCAAAGCTGCTATGGAATATGCAAGTAACCTACCCAGGGACGCCGATCTCGATATCAGATACATGAAGCCATGGGCTTTGGAAAGCTCCCTCAAAGCCAGGATCTCAGAATTGGAGCCCGTCAAGAGTGGTTTCAAACTCCCCGCCGTGAATCTGAAGCTAGTCGACTACAAGAGCCGCAAAGAATCTGGCAGCTTTGTGCCGAAAGCCTTCTGGGTTGACAAGAAATCCGCCACAGGCAAGTTGTCCAAAGATACTATTCCAGGTCTTTGGGACAGCCTCTACAAGCAGTTGATGAGGTCGTCAGAAGACGCTACTGCCACGAAATGGAAGAAAGCAGCTACCAAACAGCTCAATACTGCTGTTGCAAGCTAAACCTGCATGCGTGTGTCTCAAGCACAATCAATAATTAATCGCCCTCCAGAGACCTCTGGGTACATACCCTATTACTCCTTCATCCTTCAGGATGTCGCCGGCAAGACGTCCCGTCACTACGGACCGCTCTATTTCACGACCACCTACAACAAAACGTTCATACCCACCAGTACCACGACGTGTCCATTGGATCTCCGAGAACCCGGCTTTGGACGTGCAGGTCTGCTTCGTGAATCCCGACGATATTCTGTCGACTGAAAGAAACCATTTGCGTTGGTGAGTTGAGCCTACATCATTGACAGCTCCTATATATGCGTTTTTGGCTCGAATGGCTTCCTCCTCGTCATCAGATGCCACTGCTGCCAAGTTCTCGTTCTCAGCATCTGTGGACGCTGCTTCGTAGCCATCGACCTTCTTCCTATTAGGCGATTGTGGAGGCGATTCCAGACGAGACAACGAGGACAGGCCTCGCTTCAACGGTGGTGGCTTAAAAGGATGATCTTGACTGCTTGGTCGCTCAGAATCTGAGTCTGAGGGATCATTCGCAGCACTCGGCGGGACTACTTTTCGGCGCCGACGCCTCGCTGGTTTCCTCGGCTGCTCCACACGGTCGTTCTCCTTATTCAGACGCAAGGACAACGTATACCCACCAGGCAACCGTGTGCCATGTAACCTCAGCTTGATCTTGCGCCTCTGAAAAGCTTGCCTAAGCTTCTCCTGTTCCGTCTGCAATTTCTTACCTGATCCTGCCACAGCCACAGCCTCATCACCATCCTCACCTCCATCCGTCGTCTCACCATCCCCTTGCTCAACCGAATACGGCAAAACCTCATACCGCCCCGTGTCCCAAATCAACATCGACCCCGTCGCATGACTCGCCGTCTCAATCAAATGGTTCCACAAACAATGCACACGCGTCTCCGTAGCATTCCGATTTAACCGCCGACTATTCGGATCTCCCGGCAGTCCGTACATGATCGCGAAACTTATCGAGCTGGTCGGATTACACTGCAGACGCAGGTCGTAGTGCGTCCCTGCGATGGGATGGTCGTGTTGGTGGACGACGAAGTGGCTGCCTTTTAGGGAACCTGCGTTGCGGGTGTATAAGTCGATCCAGTTTGAGTGGTTGAGTCGTGGGGAGGTGGGGTCTGGCCAGCTTCGAGATGAGAGAGCTGAGAGGAGGTGGTTGGAGTAGAAGGCTACATGGTCTGTGATTGTTTGTTCACCAGCCTCGATCGCTGCTGATACGGACTTTGTATGTGGGAGGTCATCGTTGGCGCGGCTGACTTTCTTGGCTGAACATGGAGGCGAGACGGTTCGAGCTAGTGATTGTAGGCGCTGTAGGCCTCTCTGTCTTCGGCGATTCTGGCTAGCCTGGGAATTCTCGCGCTCCTTTTCCTGCTCAGATGATGAGTCGTGTTGCGGTAGAGGTCTCTTAGCCACCATCAGCCGTCAATACTCGGTATGTACATTGTATGTAAGCACGGTACTAATAACAAAAGAGCATTGCGATGTCATCAAAAAGATGCTATACCAGAGTCACGTGGAATAGTTTGTGCCGTTTGCATTTGGTGCTTGGGTAAAGACTGCAGTATTACCAAGGATAGGGTCTATCACTTGTTACCCAGCTGAAATAAGAAGCCACACAGACAGCGAGAAGCATAACCTATGCCTCCAGAGACCGAGTGCGTTCGTATTGAATGATATCTCCCCGAACTGTATCCCAAGGCTCATTCTAGCGAACCGACGATATCCCTTTCCCCGTTCGTGTCTCCTCGGAAGAGTTTTTACCTTTCCAGAACGCGACAGCTGCAAACATCACGAGCTTGACGCCGGAGGCTATGTACAGACAGGCGGCCAAGCCCCAGTATTTCCGTTTGTAGACAGCAGCAGCCAGACTTGCACCTGCTATCAAGGCCAGAATCGCGCATATTCGGTAGCCTTGTCGTGTCTGTCGTCCCCCATTGACAGTATAAAAGCTACACCAGAAAACCTTGACTGCACGCCATCGCGTACCTTTCTGTTTGTATGCACTGCTCAAAGACTCTTGCGCATCGTGCTTGAAGTGGATTGTACCAGTCATGTAATCGTGATACAAGGTAGATATGACGATGGTGGGCAGGTCACTGAAGGATAGGACTCGGGATAGTGTGACTTGACCAGCAGCTTGGAAGGCAAGGAGACCGATCGGAAGCAGGTCAAGGTAGTTATCGTGGCTGCAACAATTTAGCATTGACCGGTGTTAACAGGACATGAGCATACCCTTCCTCCTTTCGCTGATTTCCCGAGCTGAACTTATTCGCAGTGGTACTCGCTTTATTCGAGACAACCTTGAATTCAGCCAACGTCGCGCATGTGGAGAGAGTGACAGCCTGGATTCCAAGACAAGCTAGTATCCGAAGCCTGTTGTGACGACGCGGAGTATAGACTCGCGTAATTGATGAGAAGATGAAGCTGCCAATACAGAAGAAGACGATAGCAGTAAGGGATTTGAGCCAATGGTACTGATGTTGAGTTGGAGGCTCTCCAGCTATTCGTACTGCTAAAGTGATTGTATTGCCTGTCTGAAGATTGGCAAACACTGCCTAAGTGGTAAACGATGCGACATCGACAATGCCCGAGACAAAGAAGCAGGCCAGTAATAGAAAGATAGTATACTCTTGCGAGATGTTCTGGCGTAATCGCAGCGCTAACATGTCGGCTGACGATGAATGGCTAGGAGTTGCTGATATCTCGATATAAACGGATGTTGTTTCGTCGTCGGAGACGTAAGCAGGCTCGAACACTATCCTGTCGAGTGGCAGTCAGGGCAGGTGCACGGTAGGCAGGCGCGACTCAGTTCAGGCTGGCCTTCAACTGCTGAATCAGCATTTCGGTATTCGACTTTGGATGTGACCCTGATTTCTCTCTTCTCTGCCTATACTCAGTACAGGTTCGTTTCAGTCCTTCTTCTGTACTGAAACGAGGTTCATAACCAAGGATACGTCGTGCTTTCTCACCACTTGCGTAGCGGATTGCTGTGGCATCGTTGACACTTCCTCTCGAAAGAGTGGCAGGTGTGTGAGTGAACCATGTCAAGGCTTCCATGACTGCGCCTAAGACCCAAGCAAGACCAGCAGGCACTGGCACAGTAAAGGACGGTACATGGCCGTTGTACTGCTTCCAGACCGCAAGACAGAATTCACGGAACGAGGTTGGTTCGTTATTCTGTATGAAGAATGCTTCACCGGCAGCACTTGGGTCATCAGAGAGTAGGTTCTCCAAGGCGAGAACATGAGCATCTGCACTGTTGCCAACATAGACCGTATCCCATAAATTCAGCCCATCACCTACTTGGAAGACACTTTCGTTCTTGTCAATGATGCAGCTCACAATGCTCGGAAGCAATTGGTGGTCTCCCTCACCGAAGGTTGTAGCTGGTCGGATTGAGCATGTCAGCAAAGTAGATTTGGTCTCCTCACAGACCGACCCATTAGCCTGCAGGACAAGGGATTCTGCAACAGCCTTGGTCTCACCGTAAATGCTGGCCGTGCCTTGCTCGACCACGGGCCACCTTTCATCAATATTAGCATAGCTCTGAGTGTAATCATCAATCACCACACAGCAAGTCGAAGTGTAAACGAACGCCTTGACGCCTACTTTTTTGGCTGCATCCAGAACATTTCGAGTGCCATCCACATTGATACGATAGGCTTGCTTCCATAGACGCCTTCGATAGCGATCTTCCAAAGGTGGAACAAATCCAGCAACATGGATGACGGCTTCAGGTCGCCGATGCTGGAAGGCTTCATTCAAAGAAGGTATATCCAGTATGTTGATTGCCACAAACTCGACGTTGGGATGAGCAATGCCTCTTTCCTGGCACATACCCTTATCGATCGACATATCCAGGACACTTAGCTTCCATGTTGGGTGTTTTCCAAGCAGTGCTCGCACTATGGCTGATCCTACAAAACCGGTTCCTCCCGTGACGAAGACTAGTGGGCTTGCCATCTTGACTTACGTCAAATATTGGATGAGGTGGTAGACTGATTTAAGAGCATTATTGTAGAAGGATATGCGTGCAACGGGGCAAGAAAAGGTACAATCCTTCGAGTGCTCCTGCCGCTGGCCTGATGTTTTACTAACAGCCAATCGGAGAAGTTTATTGTACATGAAGTATGCTACATCAGATACTCGTATATTATGTCCATCTTTTTGTACTTCGAAGTGTCTTCCCGTGGCCTGAAATACTGCAGACGGCATTGGCACTGTTACACCTGACTCTCATCAATCATGCTGTCCATAACATTGCCTGTTCAACGATTCTCTTTCTTTGAGGAACAAGTAGACCAGCTGTGCTGTAAGCGCAGACTCTCGAGGCCAGGGTTTTGCGCAGCGATGGACGTAACATTCCTCAACAGAAGCCCGAAGTAGTGTTTCATCTAGATCCTGAGTGTGAATCAAATACCTCTTCAACGTACTCGGCACAACAATTGACCACCCAACTTCCGTTCAACACATTCCCTTGCCTCGAATATACCTTTATCCGTACTTACATACATACACTCACCAGGCCTCGTCAATCCATTAACATACCCACTCTTTCTCCCCAACACCAGCGCCCGCAGACCCTCAACATCCATCCATATCCGTCTCGTAGGCTTACTTACGAGCTCAATCTTCTCCATCACAGGCTGGCTATTCCAGTACTTCAAGCCTAACCATAATCTCCTCGACGCAATGTTTTCTCTTGTGACTGGCTCTATCTCATGTCCTGGAGTGTTCGAGCTCGGGTGGGAGAGGAGGTGGTGTGGTGGTGGTGGCTCGGGCCCACCACGCACGACTGTACTTATGAAGCCACTGTTTTGCAGTTGTAGTGCGAGACGTAAGTGTAGTTTTGAGTTCGGTATCGATGTAAGACCTAATCGTGCTTTGGATGCATTTGAGAGATGCGAACAGACGTTCGCTAACTTTTCCATGGACATCTTGGCTGGGGATTATGGATTGGCTTGTGCGCAAGGAAGACTCGATAGAACTCGGAGGTCTTGTTGTCGACGTCTGCTACTCCTCCTCTTGCTGCCGATGCGGGTGATCACTAAGAACAGAATATAGTAGATATGGCAGGATCCTGGTGGAGGGTGCGAGTATTCGTTTAGATGACTGCGACAAAACCTTCTCACAGGAACGACGACAACTAAATCAGACAGCGCATCGACTCCTTGATGTTGAAGCAGGTGGATCATGGGTGTGTTGAAGCGCAACGCTATCGACCACAAGATTCGCCAATACGAGACTCCAAAAGGCAACTTCGCCGACGCGTCTGGTATATATGTGTTCCCATCAAACATGAAGTAGAATTGGTCAGGTATTCTCGCCTTCCTGCGATTACTCCTTTACATGAGATGCCAGCTCTGTCTTCAGGGTACCCATATCTGACAAGTAATGTAATTGGCAGTGGTAAGAAAGTTAACCTTACTACGCATGGATGCGACTTCTAACATGGTGATGTGATGCTGATAGAACAGCAAAAATTGGGTAGTAGGTATCTGCAACACATCGAGGAAGTTGTACAGCATACATACTTGTCTTAGATGGTACCACTCGTGAATCTTGTCATCCCGTGATTCTTGTCTCTGCAGCATCGGCCCTCAAAAACCTCCCAAACTCACTGCTAGCACCCACGACTGTGTTGTCAGCCCCAGCACCAATACCTAGATCGGCCAGCCCTCTGCTTGGCCTGTTTCTGTCGTTCCCATACCGTGTTTTACCAGCATTTCCAAACAAGCAAGACCATAAATCCTCCTTGTCAACCATCTCACCACCAGTCTTGCCAGCCGCAAACATCTTGCTCAAGTCTGCTGCCTGCAGCTCTTTCGCGTTTGCTGTTTCAATTGCGATCTCGCCGTGATCACGACTAGGCGTAGTGGCTCGCGACACGTCACGACTTCTGCTGTCCATGTGGGCGAGTCTTCTCTTGACCGAGATATCGTAGATGGCTTCTTCAACAGTTCCCTCAATGAGATACATCCAGATATATGTCGCGCGTAGTTGTCCGATCCGGTGTACACGCGCGACAGCCTGCAGCTCGATCGCCGTATTGATCAGCGGTTCGCAAAGAACGACATGATTGGCACATACTAGGTTCAGTCCAGCAGCGTGAGCTTTGGCATGGAGGAGGAAACACTCATTTGCTGGATTAGTCTTGAAATCGAGAATGCCGTCCTTATCGTCGAATTTGGAGTGGATGATAGAATTGTCTCGCATAGAACGAGACAAGACTTCCAGGAAATCTCGATATTGTGAAAAGACGATTGTCTTGCTACCGGGATCAGATCTGCGAAGGTACAGAATATGCCTAACGAGAGTATCAACTTTGGAGCCGTAAGACGAACCACGCAGGTCGATCGATTGGATCTGTTGCAGCACCGAGGGTGACATTGTAGCGTATATCGCATTCGGCACCGATGGACTCACTTCCGTGGAAGCTTCTCGTTCGTGGAGTGAATCCTCCGGATCTTTGACTGCCTCAACCAGTTTGTACGTGACATCAAAGAAGTCAGCGAGCTGAAGGCGCCGCTTGCAAACCGGACAGTTGCGATGTTCAGACCACCACATCTGAATACACTCTTTGCAGAATTGATGTCCACAGACTGTGAGAGTGCCTATCTCAAACTCGAATTGGCAAATAGTGCAGATCTTAACTTGCTCTTCGTCCTCTTGTTCACCCTTCAGATTTAGCAGATAACGTCGCTTGGCCAGAATCACCGAAAGCTTTTTCGCGGCAATATCTTCCGCTTCTCTTGCACGATTGATCAATATCTGATTGGCAGATTGACCTACACTATCGTCGTCTCCAATAGGTGCGACCATGTCAGATATCACTTGTAGAGCTCGATAATAGTCAAGGCGAGCATTCATTGTGTCCCGGTAAAGATTGACCTCTTGTTCTAACATGCTCATGGCTCTCGTCTGTTCGGCGTGAAGTTTCTGTACATATTTAAGGAGATCGTTGACGATGACCAGTTCTGCCCGAGCTCTTGCACTCGTGCTTTCCTGCCACTCGAGAGCACTAGCTAGAGATCGAAGCTCGGTCAAAATACCTCGAAGCGACCCGTGCTGCAACGGGTCTATGCGAATTTTTGCTCGTTCGGCTAGTAGCTTGATCATCAATTCGGGAGCTGGACCCTCACCTTCCTTAGCAGTCCGCAGGAACTGCTTGGTCTCTTGCTTGAGAAGTAGGTTTTCCTGCCCGGTAATTGCATCGTTACGATCGGCGAATAATGCTCTGAGCATTTCCATGATTACGTACATCTCATCCTGATGCTTGGTGGAATCCTCGTACTCTTCACCTGTGAGCTCAACGCCATCCTCTTCATCGACTAATGTCTGACACAACATATCGGTCATCCTTGATCGAATCTCCGCAAACTTGTCTGCGTGATCGTTCATGGCTATACAATAATGGTAGAGTTTCTCGAAGACCTTTCGACTCTCAATACCACCATGATCGTCCTCTGAATATTTTAGCTTTGGTACAACAACAAGCCCGGAGTCCTGCTTCTTTGCCCTGATAGTCCTGACTCGTTTTTGAGCTTTGACTCGAGCTTCTGTCAGCAATTCTTTACGTATATGTTTAGCGTCTTCATAAGCTTCGGCCTCAAGCCTCTCTAGCTCCTCAACAGCGGCTTTCTGTGCAACCTCCTCAGGGGCCGTCTGGGACTCGGTTGATGGGGCGGATATTGTGGTGTCGGATGGAACGTTATTCGCCGGACCTGCACTCTCTTTGTCTATGTCTGGTTGTGAGTCAGACAGCACAGAGACAAGTTCAAGCTCTAGTTTCTGCTTAAGTTGGTAGAATGTGTTGCCGATGAAAAACGCGCAAACATGCTGGACCTCTAGTGCAGATCGCAATCGTTGACGAGCAGTAGTTAGCGAGGCGTCCGGATCCTCGTCTTCTTCGGTTTCGCTGTCCGCCACGGACGACTTATTATTTCTTCGTCGTATTTTAGCCTTATCAAGCTCTCTACGCAGATCATCGCGACAACTCTCTACGAAGGTACTTGCTTCAGCGTAGCATTCCTTGAAGATGTCTTGGGCGGCCTGTGATTCTCTGGCATGTTCCAGAATTCGGGCTCGATCAGCTCTTGCAACAAGCATATTCCTTTTTTCGGTGTGGAGTATGGCGTCGTTCTGCTCGATCATGACTTCCAACACCTGCGCGACAGTACGTAGTGGACCTCCACCTCTCTTTCCTAAAGCCTTCCTGTTACGACCTCCTATTTCTGGATGCAAGCAGGTTTGCCTTAACCGCTGCAGCCAAGTTCTCATGCTTTCGATTGTAACGGGATCGTTAGGACTCCATTCCCCATTCAGAGGTGCTCCGGAAGCGTCCAGTCCAACGGCTTGCTGCATGTCGTAATGCATTTGTGCATAGTGCGACTCTTCGACTGCAGTAAAAGGTATCGTAACGACTTGTCTCGATTGTGGCGGAATCCGTAACTCGTCCCGCACCAAGTCTTTACTGTGGCGCAATGCGGTTGCGCCAATGAATTCCCGAAACAGCGGGCGATAGTAGAAGACAAGATGGTCCCATAAGCGAGTCGATTTACACCAGGGTTCATACTTGAGGAACAGCATGAGCCCGTACAGGTCTCGATGACTCTGTTTGAGGGGTGTGCCAGTAACGGCCCAAGCATTGACACGTGGAATGAGCCTAGCTACAATAGCAGCATTGGAGACACCGCTTTCGACCATCTGCGCCTCGTCGAGCAGACAGCGCCACCACAACAACTGTGTAAGCGGGCTTTTCGGAGGTGTTCTGCGAGGTCTACTCCGAAGATTTCGATCTGATGCTTCCTGGACATAATGTATTTCGGAGGCGATGACGCTATAGGTAGTAAGCACGACATCTTGTTCAGCTAAAACTCGTACAATATCGTCCTTGCGCTTTGAGCTACTTTTGATACCTGCATAGTGAAACACACGCAGAGATGGAGCATGTTCTCGAAGTTCCTGCTTCCATTGTTCTAAGATTGTGGGAGGTGTAATGATGAGAGTGGCGTTAGTCTCAACCAGTGCTTCTGAATTCCACGGCTCGATTGGTGTCTTGTCCCTCGAGTGCGAACACATAAGTGCGATCATTTCCACCGTCTTGCCCAACCCCATTGCTTCAGCTAGGATTCCTCCTTTGATAGTACCATACTGCTCCATGACATCCGACCGGGAGGAAGATACAACGGCGAGCGCATGGCTGATGTAGCACGTCGAGCCGTCGGCATCGGTGACCTGCTCAAAGTCGAGAGGCAGAGTAGACTTCGCATCTGTGCTTCTTACGATCTGACCAGATGGCAAAGCCTTGACGCCCTCCCTGTTCAACATCCAATGAACTGCGCGATTCTGAAAAGGATACAGTGTGCACTGAACGGTGTCGAGACGTAGTGGATCTTGCTGTACTGGAACATGAACATTGTCGTAGAACTCTTTCACATCCCAAGGAGTCGCATCTAGACCTGCAGCAGAGTCGACGATAGAGCAGTGCTTCCTGAGAAGACCGCGGAAATTTGTATCGACCTTCTCTCGTGCGTGAACGGAATCGTGCCAAGATAGGTCGACATGAAGGACCAACAACGACTCTTCTAGGGTCAACTTTGCTTCGTACTGTGCCAGTGGTGTGGTAGGGCTGCTCTTGCGACCTCCTGCATTCGTGCGCAGGATGAGACAATCGCTGAGCAACGTTTCGGCTCTAGGGTCTTTACTTGGGACTTCGACATTGACGATGGCCTTGAACGATGAGACTCTCAGTCCAACATGAAACCTACCAGCATTCAGATTGAACGACAAAATTTCAGCGTCAGCAAATTTGTTGCCTTTTTGTAATATCTTGTAGACGTTTGCATCATTAGTGCTCACAACACAAGACCAACGCACAAGAGGAACAAAGTCCGAGTGGTTAGAGAGCAGAGAAGAGGCATCTGAGACGAGCTTTGCACGCTTGTTAGGACGATTCTGTTGCAGATCTTGATCGGACATGGCAATTTGCAGACATTGGCATGCACACGGAGGATGACAAGGAGGAAGTTCGTTCTGGTTGGCGAGAGACGAATAACGATAACGCTTCCGCCGTACCACTTTTTTCGGGGTAGAAAGACGTAAGAACAGAACGCCTGATCACGTGGCGGGTGCCTGGCTGTGTTGAGAGGTCCGATTCTGACTCCCAGTCGTGTAGCGAAATAATAGTCCAGTAATCCTGCTGCGGCAAGAAGCCTGAATATGGTTTCACAACATGTGTAGCAAGAGCCTGATTGAGGCGAAATTAAAAAATCATCTAGCACAGACACGGAGAATTATGCTTTGGATATGATTATATTCGCTTGCTCATTGCCTTTGAAGGCTACGCTCAAGAACGCTGCGCTAGAAGAGAATCGGATGTCATAAATACATGCATGCCAACACTCGCCTCAACCATTAATCGTGATCATCGTCGTATTCATGACCACCTCGTAAACCAACGATTCTGTATGATGACATGATAACTGAGTCTGGGTACCAACAGCATACTCTTGTGACTTTTCCTCTGCCTAATACTCCGCATCAAGTCTAGGAAGGCCGATGTGTCCAACGTGTAATATTGACAAGAAGACTGAAGCAATCTTGCAGAAGGTAGACCATTTACAACAGGAGCTTGAAAGCAGCCATGAGGACAGCCATGAAAGCACCAGTTGTGATGGTGGTCATGGAAGCGTCGCTGCCACTGGACGTAGCCGAGGCAGCAGATGAGGCAGCACTGCCTGTACCAGAAGCTGCAGAACTGCTGGCTCTGCTCGTGGCAGAAGCTACGCTGGACGAGGCACCAGAAGTAGAGAGGAGTGCTTCAGCTGTAGCATTTCGAGTACCACATTGCTGGTTTGTTCGGCAAGCTCCTTGGGCCTGAGCGTTGTTTGGGTTGTTTCTGACGCATTGGATGTAGGTCTCCTGGCAGACGAAGAAGGGCAGGCTCTGGGTATAGGCGGTGGAGTCTGGCACAGTTCCGTTGGGGCATGTGCAGCTGTACATGAGAGTGTTCTATTGACAAGTTAGTAGTGAAGATGGGCCAGATGGAAGTTCCTTACGCTATCGCATGTGTTGAGAGAAGCTGCACCACCGCATATCTGAGGGCAAGTGTTGAGCTGAGCCAGACACCATTGAACTGAAAGCTAATTAGTACAGACCATCTCAGCTGTTCGAATTAAAGACTCACACTTAGTGGCGGCGGTCACATTGTTGGCGTCGAATGCTTGTGTAGCAGTTGGTGGCATAGACTGCGCAACTGTGCTGGATGGTGCCACCGACGAGGCGCTGGAGGTTACAATGGTTTGAGCATTGCCAAAGGCAACAAGGGCCGATGCAGCCAGGATCGATCTGAAGAACATCTTGATAGAGTGATGTAAGTTTATTGTAGAGAGAATAGTGAAGCTGTTGGTGAGACCAATGTTAGCTGATGCAGCGTGGAAGATATTGCAAGCTATGAGAGACACGGCGAGCACAAGTGGTAGAAATAGTGGGCAAGCTGAGAGCTTGTGGCAAGAGCATGTGGGTTGGGAAGGAAGGATGGAGCAGCGACAAGACACGAGAAGGAAGAGTCTGCCGCTGCCAACCTTCGCAACTGCTCGGCGAGATGTTTGTGGAGAAAAACTGGAGGACAGTAGACGAACACAACTGCAACTTACTCTTTGCGATACAAGTCTGGACTTCTTTTGCTTCGCTATTGATGGGTCAACGACGAGGTGCTCTTGGAGAAGGAGATACGGACTGAAGGTAAATCACTGGCTGGGAAAGTCGTCCTTTATGCGATCTCGCTCTCGTCGCAGGTCAACAAACGTGTTGCATACAATCGGGAGGCGGGATTGGTTGGTCTGCTAGTTTCACGCCGGACCGACAGTGACATGCTCTAGCCTCAATTTAACCTGGATGTAGATTCACCCTAAACACTTTGATTTTGAACTAAAAACTCTGCTCCAACTTTTTTGCCAGTGCTATGGTTCCACCTCAAGCAAGGTCGTATGCAAGCACCTGCTCTTATCTCAAGCTAAAAAGTCCTCTCGCGGTCATCAAGCACGACAAGGACAAGAGATCTCGAAAGTCCGAGGCTTGCCACCAATCATAAACCTTCAGCGTACGTGGCTGTTCGTGCTTAAAGTCTTCTTGGTTTCACCAGACAAGATGGCGCTGTCCTCAATGAGGCAGAGCGACTAGACGCAAGGAATTTAATGCCAAAGCAGATCAAGCAGATCAAGCAGATTGACATATTGCCTAGCCCACGATCGTCCGGCACCAGACAATCTCTACCCCAAACCCGGTGAAGCGTCCTGACAATGTGGCTGGTGTCGTGATCGGCGTGGCGTAGACAGCATGACCGGGGATCCACTCTCTTCGAGATCCAGTTTACCGAATTCAACCAATACCAACACTTTACCCAAACCGAGGCTATATACTTTGTGGCCTGCGCGTGAAATCCGTTGTATACAGAATTCGGCGGTAGTGGTTGCGGTCGTGTTATACAACGTGGTTGCGTTGTACTTCATGACAAGTCGCCTGCGGTAGCACCAGAATTCGACAGGCACTCATCAAGTGGTTTCCTCCTGCGTTGCAAGTTCCCAGAGCTGTAGACACTGCCACCTTCACCATGAAGGAAGCATCCCAGGATAGCTCAGAGATGAGCGCTGCGGATTTCATGGAGACCTTTCTGATTAAGCAGAGCCCTCCACAAGAAAGCATAGACTACTTCAAATCTGTCCCCTGGCTCGCGAAGCACATCTCAAATCCAGCTTACAAGATAGTTCCAACGTTTAGCAGGCATCTAAAGACATCCGGGGAGGACTACTACTTCTCCCGCACAATAAACACCGAGCAAACGATGCCTCACATGATCAGCCTCCAACTACGCAATTTCGTCACACCAGACCTTACCGAAGCACAGCCTCGCGAGACAGTATCGCCGGAAAGATCACATACGGCAAAAACAATCGTGCCAGAGAATCCCGACTGCCTCTTTTTGATCTCCGTCGGCCCTCGAGGATTAGACGGACATCCTCTCACAATCCACGGCGGAGTCACCTGCGCTATTCTCGACGAGACCATGGGATTCCTTATCATGCTACACGACAACAACCTTCGAGGTCCTGGCCCGCGAGACAGTCTGTACACTGCCAATCTGAATGTGAGCTATCGGGCTCCTGTGTCGACTCCAGGGGAGCTCCTGGTGAAGACGTGGTTGGTAAAAAGACAGGGAAGGAAATGGTACTGTAAGGGACAGCTCGTGGACATGAAGGGTACAGTATTAGCCGAGGCAGACGGTTTATGGGTTACGGCACGCAGAGAAAAAATGTGAATACAGTGTGGCGTCTGGGAAGACTATCGAGTTTACGACTTCTAGAAGATAGAGTTACAATTAAAGGGACATAGAGCCCAGCTAGATGGTCAATTTGAGCTATGTATTGGGATCTCATTCTGGAAAGACGTGATCACCGACTTGGATGCACATCTCCTGGTTGTTCGTCATATCCGCAGCCAACGAGGCATGTACACCAAACCATACTCTTCCATCTCCTTTGCGTCGCGTCTTGGCCAGGGTCGAGAAAGGCTCCTGTTGAGGCTCGCCTGTTGCTTGGTTTATGCCAACCATCTGGCAGCGTTGGCAGGGACCAAGAATATCCATTTTGAGTACATTCGCACTCATTTTTCCTGCATCGACATCGTCCTCGATAAGCCTGCTTTCAGGATATGAACTGCTTGTCCTGCGAGACAGAGTAGTGTCGTCCTCGGCATTAGGAGACGAATCGGACGACGAAATCGAGCGAGAAGAACCGCCACTATCAGATTCGGGTACATCAGTCGATGTCTTTGATGGTGACGAGATGCAGTGCCGCTCAGGCGGCATCTTTCCAATCGAGATCGACAGCCAGTGGTCCTCTGCATAGGGCAAAGCTTCTGCGTCAGACAGCCCCTCCTGCTCAGCAACCACAATGTTAGCCCGGAAAGAGCTGGCCGATACCTTTGGCCGCTCGTCCTGACCAGTCTCTCGTGCTCGACGTTGGATCTGTCTGTTAAGCTCGTTGATACTGGACCTCGACACGATCAACATTGGACTTTCGTTGGCGAGCATTGTCTGTGGCAGCATTGTGGGTGATCTTGCTATTGAGGGAACAGATAGAGGTTTCCGAATACTAATACTTCTGGTTTGGCCAGTCGTTGGGTACCGTGCTAGACAGCAAGGAACGCCGAGAAAGTCCGTGAAGAACTTATTGATGGTTCTTGATTGATAGACCTGTAGTGAAACCATTTCACCGCAAACTTTTGAGCTACGTGCTGCGAAGCCAGTATTTCCACACTTCGTAGCAGAGATCGTGGTCAGTGAGGAGGTTTCGTTCAGGTCGATCTCGATCCCAGGAAGATCCGGCCTTGCACGTACACTTACTGTTATCACGCGGTTGACGAGATCCAGATGCGGCTGTAACAGGGCCATTCGTGGACATTTCTTCTGACTCAAAGCTACATTAGTACCTTCGTGCACAAGACACCATTCGCGATCCCAGGCGAGTCCTTTAGAGGTAACAATCCACCTTTGATCTGATGGAACGCGAAAGGGCGCACAGCTTTTGATTGGAAAGACAGAAAGAGCCTCCACAACAAATTGAGAGATCCTCGTGTCAGGTTTGCATGTTGGAGGTGAAGGGATGTATCGCTCAATAAAATATTCTTCAATAAACTTGATAAAAGCTTGTAAATCAGAGTTGGTGCTCATTGCACCAAAGCTGATCCTGATCACGCCTGTCGGAGTTCCATCGACAAGATGGCTTTGACCGCCACACCTATAACCAGATCTGTAGTTTGACAGGATTTGTCCATCCGTCAGACCTAGGTGACGGGAGACTCCGCCAGGATTGCAAAGCCCTCCAGTACGGAGCTGTATACCTTTGACTATGCAAAGCTTCTCAACCTCGGATGCGCTGACTATTCTGCCCAGACTATCCTTCAAGTTGAATGCCAGTATCGGACCATACTTGCCCTGTTGTGCATGTTCGTAAATAGTACATACGCTTGTGCCGTTGCCATGGCGAGCGGCCGCAAGGTAATTTCTTGCTTGATTTCTTAGATAGTTGGTGTGCCTCGATACGCGCTCCATTGATCCAAAAAGTCTAGCATGAGTGTTCATGGCATGGTCCAGGCCAAGGATGTTGTGGAAGGGCAGCGTCCCCTCTTCTAATGCACTATGTACTGTCTCTCTTCTAGCATACCAGTTCCTGGTCGACGTTGTCACAGCATCGACCGTCCCACCTGCAAAGTAGGCCTTGTTCATCAATACGTCGGCTGATTCTTTGCGAACCAGCAACGCACCTAGATCGGGAAACCCAAAAATCTTGTAGAAGCTCAAAGCGACAAAGTCTGGGACAACTTGCTTGTTACTAAGGTCTAGCGGCGATGTCGAGACAAAGCTTGCAGCGTCCAACAAGGTATATATTTTCTGTCCAGTTTTCGAGGCAGCTTCTCGGATACGCTGCGGCCAATTTAGAGGTAATTGTCGGCCTGTCATATTGGATTGACCTGGATATGCAAGAAGTTGCAGTCTGTCTGGGGCTCGATGTGCATGTGGGATGTTGCTAATCCACTTGTCGACGTGGTTATCATCTTCCAAGCATTGACTGCCTTGCATAGCCAGTTCCCTGCACCCAACCAAACTCGTGTGGGAGTCAGCATGGTAACCATACCGGAAGCCATGAGGGCTGTCGCGAAATGCTTCGGCAACCAGTTTTATAGCTGCTGTGGCATTGGCTACGAAGACTACATCGAAATCGTCAGGGCTGGCGTTGAAGAACCTCAACACTTTAAGTCTGATATCGTCAATCCGTATGGTGGATAACTGAGAGGCTGCTGAGGCTGAATGTGGGTTCCCAAACAGGTTTGTCGTAAGCTCTGCCGTCCATGCTTCAATTGTCGAGGTTGCATATGGCGTTGTTCCAGCATGATCGAGGTAGGTAGTACCCGTTAATGTAGGGTATTCACACAAACGAATATCGTCGACTCCAACATTGTAACCATTGTTGCCCTCTTCGATTGTTTGTGCTAGGTCATTTTGCGTGCGAGCACTGGCCTTGCCGAATGAGAGTTGGGATTCCTTGGTGAATCTGCTCACGACGGCCATTCTTGCTCTGGTGTAGGAGACTTGAAAGTCAACATGGCATATGAGGAAGTGTACAAATTGATTACGACAGGTTACATGGACAATTGGAAACTAGAGGGATGTACGAGATGGGATGTGAGGTAGATGTGGCAAGGGTGATAAGTGTGGTGATAACAGCGGCGGACACCGATTTTCAACCCAAGTGGAATTATCGCTCATTGGACCATCTCGCAGCTAATATGAACCATTGCTTTTGCTGTGCTGTAGTTACTGTATATCGCTTGCTGGCCACGTTGTATCCAGAAGTTGTCATTCGGTTCCCTAACGGATGACATCCTGATCACGATGTAGAGGACACGGGGGACGTGCACGTGTCGTCCGCAGGCACTTCAGCTCAGCACAGTCAAAGATCATGAAATTGTGCACAGCTGGATCCGAAAAATCCTTCTACAATAGGATGCAATATTGTTCTAGTTTGCCAGCCTTCGACGGACCTGAAGAAGTGGTTCTCTCCTCTCATATCGCTCCTGACATTGACAAGCATCTAATAAGAAAATTGTATATAGAAATTGGTCGTAATCGTCGTAAGTCGTAAATGGTCGGTAAATATATGCCCTTTTGCAACGAAATAGAATTAAACATAGTATGACCTGCGACCACTGCTGCTTCTGTGAGAGCCTCTTGAATGTCCCCTTCTGCTGCTATGTCTAGATCTGCGCACCTCCTTCACGACGACAGTTCGCTCGTGCCTGTGCAAGAACACTGCCAGAACTGCGGTGAAAAAGAAGAAGATGGTGTTCATTATGCCAAAAGCCCAGGACGCTTTCAGCATGGCGCAATTCCTGTCCAGACGTAGGGAAGTGCTTAGGTTGCTCTGTTCTCCAAAGTAGCCAAATGGGCCGATTTGAAAGTAGATCTGTGCTTCGCGAAAGTTGGAGCAGTTCGCATCAGCGATACGTCGAAGATAATAAACTGCAGCAATGAAGGCTCCCACGAAAAGGAGGTCGACGAACGCGACGAAGAGGGCCGATCGGCGAGTTGACCCAAGGCGAATTAGAGTTGCTAGAGCCCAGGCGCAGGCGAGGATCGAGACGATGAATACTACGAGGATGGATACTGGAGTCAATTGGTTCTGATCATTGAAACCATCGACGAACCATGCCTGCAATGTGTCAGCTTCGGGTATTGGATTCCTTCGAGATCTACTCACCAGCATTCCAATCACAGGTATGAGAGTCACGATCTCAAAGATCCTCCAGAAGGAGAAGAGTAATCCTCCGAGCATCTTGACGATTTACTGATTCAGTCCGGGCAATGTCTTCTGCGTAAAGTTATGTCTCAGAAGTACCAGTAATGGTTCGCGACGTCGTGTTTGCCGACAGCCAAGTTGGGCCTTATAGAAAGATGATCGCCTGATAATGCGGGGAAAGTTGAGAGCGGACGAAGAAGCGAGCCTGAATTAATAGAGGTTCAGTGAAGCTCGACTGTGTTGATGATGGAAGTCAAGAATGCACGTTAGACGGCATGTGGTAGAGGAAAGCGAAGGCCTGAGCTCACCAGCAGGTATTAAGAAATAGAAGCGGGATCGTTGCAGAAAACGCAGGGCTGGGTTTGTACTCGTATCAGACGATCATCCGAAGCATGGCTGGGTAGTGAGAGCTATTGAAGAAGCTAGAGTCGTTGCGGCATCGCGTACGACTTTCTTATCTGCAAGAAACTGCCGGCTACAGCGGACCTTGTGCAGTTGCAAGCAGCTACATCTAGTGCCCAGCTGTGCCCAGTTCTCTGGTGCCAATCACACTTGGTTTTGGCTTTATATATCTAGCCTTGGGCGTCATCAGCACAGGCCGCGACTTACTCATTGGCTGCTTTGCGTGTGAGCCGGCCTGAGTAACCTTTGCCTTGTATTGCTCTCTTCGCTTCAAGTTTGCTGATCTTGACTGCCATCTCTCAAGTTTTACCACTCGACCTACCGAAGAACCTGACAAACCTCGTCGAGAGAAGTGAGCGCTGAGTGATCTGAACTCACCGTGAGCAGTGCGCAATGTCCATCTTGTCTCGTTAACCAAGTCCTGATCAAATGATCCTGAACCATAGTCCTTCTGCAGCAATCAACGTTTCGCTGCTTGATTATTGACACGTGGCGTAACCTGCTGTGCATCCTTGTCAACTAATCCGCGTACAGACACCTCTACTACGAATTCACACCTTTCTGTACGGACACAATATGGACGATAACGCTGCCTCGACTACTTTGAATGCAGAACAAGCCCTGCGGCTGCCTTCTGAACAAGAGGCTCTCGACCTCGATCCTGCTTCATCGACGCCCCCCGTCTTCAACCATACCACAATAGCGCCCTCTGCTAAGAACCAGAACATATTGGCTCGCGCCTGGTATCGTTATGTTTCGGTCTCGGTTCCCCATCATCTGTGCAGGGATCATCTAGGTCAGTGCCTATCATTCCATTACAGTCACTCCTGGTGAACATGTGCTTCATCTCCCACCATTACGACGCTTGATTCATGTACTATCTCGGCTCATCGATTCTGGACTGACACAAATACACAACAGCAAACGAACGGACAGCTTTAGGCTATATCAGGTCGGTATTCAACGGGTTCCACTTCTATAGTGCTCGCTAACGCCAAGCATAGATCTGCGCAAGCCTTCGCCATGACTGGCGTTCTCATCTCTCAGTTCATGCGGGTTTTGCACTCTGTAACTCCTGACCCAGTCTTTGGCTTCTTTGTGGTCAGCGTACCCCTGTCCGCTATGTGTCATATCATGGCTCTCATCATCACTGTCTTGGGTTGTTACCGTTTTCTGCACTGGCAGTCGGAGATGACAAAAGGCTTCGCCATATCAAGTGGATGGGAAATGATGACAGTCTTCCTGTTGAGTTTGTTGGTACGTCTTCTCGCCTAATTCGGTATCCCACTCCCTAACTCTGCCAGGTACTATTGTGCATGTTCGCACTCGTAGTCGGTATAATAGCCGACGATATCGACCGATGAAGAACCTTGAACGATAACCATTCGGACTTCATCCATCTTCAACACTTACTTTATGCTACCAAGCCAGTAGTGGTTACTGGAATGCAATGCTTGTTGAATTGCACCACAACCGACCTGTCGTTCGCTTGTGATTAACCTGCCTATACTCCGGTACGATGCGTCTAGTTACTCCTCTTCTCACCTCACGAGTACTTCGACTCCACAGATCCTCGCTATGCCTGCGCTCGTGCTGAGGCCGGGAAGTGGGACCATACCATGCGAGTCTCTCTCCTTCCGAACCTTAAGATGCGATTCTGCACAATAGCTCAAGACTAGGAAACTTGCAGTCAGGACGAAGGATGCTTGTTCAATCAAATTCCCCGAACGCACAGGGATTCGAGGTCGGCCGCCGCCACTCGGTCAGATATTTGAAAATCCAAGTTGGGGAGTCAGCCAAGGAGAATCCACACATCGTTACCATATGGCTAGCTGACACTCAGCATGGAATGACCAATGCATAAATATTTTGAAGAATGCACACTCGGTGGTAAGGCTAACAAGTCAATAGTTTACATGTTGACTTTCGAGGCTAAGAACGGCTGCATGCTTGCGCACACCAATGGGAAAAGCCAATCTTTCAACTGCTTACCCACAATTCTGAAGCTGAAGCCTTGCTCATCACCTGGGCGCATGCTGAAAGCTTCTCAATGGCTCCTTCTAAGCGCTGCAAGACGGCCGTTGATGCGCGACCACTAGATTACAGCCACAACGGCTCTTGTCGAAATAGTTGCCGCTTTTCAGCCATTAGAAACAATCAATTGCCGGTAATTCTCAATTACCATATGCTGGCACGGCATGGCAGATTGCCAAGAAGCCCGTATCCTAATGATCATTCCCCATTGAAACATTACGAGCAACCCGTTCACAGTCAATTCGTTTTTACCGGGAGTATCTCTAGGTTCACGCGAAGCAAGTCACCATCCCACCTACTGCACTATCTGGGAATACCCTAGCGGCAGTGGAGATACTACTGGTGATCGATATGGTCACTGCTCAATGTCCATCTTCATGGCCAGGTTCTACGAGATTCGGGATCACTTCAATCTCTATGATCTCAAGTCGAAGGACGGTAGAGACTGTATCTTCCGAAACTCCACATGTACCTTTGACCTCTGGTCAATTGGCATCATGATTTCCACCAGCACCACTTGCAATATGCGGCGCGGCGGTCACAAAAGGACGCTCAAAGCTGCCTTGTTCTCATTCTTCTTGTACATTTAACTTTGGATAGCAAGGCAGATATAGAGCGTAATGAGACCTCTACATATTATACCAAGCTCTGTGCCACCAAGATATGCCCCAGCAATGTCAATTCCGACCCCTACTGAACCATTTTCTCATTTATCGCTGGAACCCCGTTCACCGGCTACGCCTTCGCCTACGTCACCCATGGCAACGCCAGAGACCTTGAGGGCCAGAGCACGTATGATCCAGGATGTGCTCTCAACATTCAATGATACTGCTCTCCCAACGGAAACGGTCCCTGACTACTTCAAGAACGTCGACGAGAATGCGGATAGGTCTCCCTCACAGCGTCCAAGGAGCAGCGAATGGACAATACCTGGAAGGCTTGAAGCAAGCATATTGCAATGGGGTTCGTATCACGACCAGAGCTTTGAGGTTGTCTCTTTGTGGCAGAGCACAGACAATCGTGCCAAGATTTTTCAGGAGAAATTGAAAAGCCGACTCAACGACCAATTGTCGATATATGACAGTATAGCTCAAGAGCCGCCCAACTCTCTGACTAGGCTCAAGGACATGCTTGGACCACTTATCAATGACTTCCGAAGGCTTTCGGGGATTTTCAGCGACGACCGACAACGACGCCAGTCGGAGGCAGTCGCACTTGTTCCAGAGGTGGAGATGCTCGCGGTGGCACTGGATACGTTGGACGCTGTCTGTCAAAGGTCTCAACCCATCGTTCCGATTGGTGCAGAGTCTTCACGCAGAACCAGAAGGCGTGTTTCCTCGGAACCAGGCATCAGCCTGTTCGGTTTGCTCATTCTTCAGCCAGATACAGAGCAAAGTCCCTTCTTGCTAGAAGGCCTTGACCAGTTTTCCACATCCGTACTGAAAGCTTGCACAGCAAAGCTGATATCAATAGAGGAGCTTCTACGCACGAAGATGGCACCAAAGTCTTACGTCGATACGATCGAAGCATTGCTGGAGAGGGCCGAAGAGACGCCGTTGGGGCCCGCGCATCCGAGCGGACCAGGAAGCGGCCGCCGACGCGGCCTCGAGGCAGAACCACGACCTGGATCGAAAAGAACACAGCCTGGTGCTGAATTAGAGACTCCCAAGAGAGGCAAGAGGTCAGATGGCAGATGAGGAGCACAGATGCGCAAGCAACCCAATATTTTTTCCCGATGCTGATTGACCATGGTCTTGTTCTCGGCTTTTCTTGGCATATTGATGAAGCTCATACATAATTCTCGTCAATAGTCGAAGCATTGATTAGTTGGTCTTTGTAGTAGCAATGGAGATTTTAAATTGATTAAAGACCGGCAAACTAGCTTGGCGTGTTGTCTAAGCAGCATGTAGTTTTCGTTCCTGACGTGTGTTCAGCACGCGATGTGCAGTGAAGATCGAGCTCTGGGGTCGAAATTTATTGCATTTGTGCCTTGCAAGAGGATGTTTCATCGACACTTTTGCCCATTTAGCACGGTTCCCTAGTGTGAGACTCGGCAATTTTGATATACGTGCCCATGGTGACACGCAAGAGCCATCGAATCACATACCCTGCTTTTCTCTTCGAACTTTCGACACGACTTGCTGATTGTGTACCATCATCTTTCCTGCATGCCTGGTAGACGGCTTATGAAGGATCTTCGCGAGATTGCCAGAGGCGAGGGAATGCAAGTCTTCCCGCACTACAGTAATAGGAACGGCTGCTGAAAAGTTCTCGTATACGTAGTCGACAAAGATGCCTTGAAGAGCTGAAGATGCTCGATCGCATGTCTCCCTTGAGTATTCATGATTTCGCGTCTAGCTTACTGGTACGCACCTAGAACTTCGGACCCCTCGATCTCGCAGTATATTTGGAGTCACCCTTCACCACCTTCCCCTTCGCCTTCATCTTCTCCTTCTTACTCATAACCCAAGCCTTACTCCCCTTCTTCGGTGTGCCCTTCAAACCACCCCTCGCCTCTCTGATCGCTCTCCCATCCTCAACATCCACATTATCCATCCCTCGAACCACGCCCGTAATGTCTCCTCCACCAACACTAAGCACAAGGTAATACTTTACGTTCTTCGTCCCTCCATCATCCTCAAGTAGTCCCGCGCCAAAACCTGCTCGTACTGCGGCGGAACTGATCATCTTCCTTTGTGTTTCGTTTCGTGGATAGAATTGGATAACTGCTTTTCCGCCACGTTTCAGCGCTACGTATAGGGTATCGAAGAATCGCCGTAGGCGGGACTCTGCTGTTTGCTGCGTTGGATTGTGTGTTGATTCGATGTTGCAGAGCCATTGGAGGGCGGAGATTGAGATTGCTGCGTCGAAGGAACCGGGGCGGAAGGGGAGGCCTTGGCCGAGGTCTAGGAGCATCAGGTCGCCGTCGGGGCCTAGGGTGCTGGAAGTGAGGTCTTCTTCCATTTGGTCTTCCTCGTCGTCGTCGTTGTCGTCGTCGTCGTCGTCTTCATCTTCGTTGTCATCTAGCTCATCAGATCCGTTAAGTTCGTGGTTGCCGTTCGTGTGACCATTCCTCGTCCTCATTGTCTGCTCGGGTCGTGTCTGCTGCCGCTGCAGCGCAATATCAAGCATGCTCGGGCTGATATCCACGCCTACCCACGTATGACCCTGTTGACTTAGAATCTCGCCACTAAGACCACTCCCACATCCACAATCCAACACAAACGCCGGTTGTCTTAGATCTAGGAGCTCAAGCGCTCTATGTGTCATGCTGGCCTGTATCTGGCGAATACGTGAAGAGGTTGTGTATTTGGCGGACTCGGTGTCATTGTAGAAGAGGTCTGGTGGGAGGAGGTCTTCGGGGCGCGACATTTTGGACGTTTATGCCCGTGGCACGAAAGAAGTTGGACTAGAAAGGTCTTGCGATTCTAGTGCTGCCTGGGAGTCATAGATCGTGTATTCGTTATGGATGAATAGAGAATCGGACGAGTCTTGGCTGAATTAATTCAATTGCGGTATTGCATACATAGGTCACCGCGAATGGCAACGGAGCAGTGTTCAGTATTGATGGATGCTGGGGGGGGTCGGTATAGAATGACGAGACAGACAGCTTGATTACAACTTTGGGTGAACTTGCATCAATTCATTATCTTGCGTTCTAATACAGATGCAAAGAACACCAACTTTTTAGTGGGCCCACGGTTATTCTACGGCACACGAGAGAGCCATGCTGACCTATCACGACCAACCTCATTTGGGTCGAATATTTGAGCTTAGATAAGACTTGATCATAGTTCATCAAAACAATCGGCCGAGAAAGGTCCTGAGAGCAGCTGTAGGGGACAGAAGACATCACTTGTAGTCATGCTTTACTCTTTTCGCATTATCACCATGACGTTAACCTCTTTCCACTTTGCAAAACACTGTCCAACTGGACGTGTCGAGATTGTGGTGATATCGAGGAATCGTCACAGAAGACCGACCGCACTTCAGATGTAATGATGGTGATCAGTGCCTGGGAGTCGAGACCAATAAATGGTATTGCAGGCTTCACTGCAAAACGACTCAGTATGCCGTAGAACGGGGGTCTGCATGCCCAAGACGCTTGTTGCATCGACCACGTTTCGTCTCCCGGCTTCGTTGTGATCGATAGCTGACCTTTGGGAGATTGTTCAACCATACAAAACGCTCAGGCTGCCTCCTTAATCACCACCGATATCAATTTCCCGTGGTTGTTGTTGCCGTCTGCCGCCCTGTCGTCTCTGTTGCCCATCGTAACCGTTTGGTCTGTCCTCATATCCATTCACGCCTTCTCGTGCGAATCGCTCTCGCTCACTCCTCACCACACCGAGCACGCCCTCTAGACTCCTTCTCCATACCATCAAGCGATTCTGAATCTCGCCCCACTGCTTCTCGCCAAAAACTCTATACGTCGCTCGTTGTACAAGGAACTGTTGTTTCGACTGAGACAGCTTCCCTTCCACAAGACCTGCACGTATCGTATCTATGACCCATATTTCGACGTCCTCATCAGGAACCTTCAGAGACGAGGCAATATCTGTATACGAGACTGATCTGTCTGGCGAAGCAGCAGCTACACTAGCCAGTGTCAGAAGACGGATCTTTGTGGTAAGAGAATCTTCGGCCGATTCTGGGATATCCAAGGATGACAAAGAGTGGTTGGAGATAAACCTCGAGTATTCTTCGTAATCGTCAGAAGTGAAGATGTCAAGAAGTTCAATGAGGTCATTGTCGGTCTTTCTGAGAGCCTGGATAGCATCTGAAGCAGTGAGGGGCGTGAAGTCGGTGATTGAGGGGTTGGTCAGTGCTGTGATTAGAGTTCTTTTAGCCAGAGACTGCGAATCTTCTTCTGAGGCTGCCTTTGGTGGTATGGTCTCCAGTGCCTTGAGCAGATACTGATAACTCAGATTATGAAAGCCCTGTGCCGTTGCGACGTCTGCAATAGTTGTGTGCAAATTCTGCGCATCCTCCTCGTCCAATTGCCATGCTGACAACCAGTTAGGGACATTCTGTTCCAGCTGTGGAACAAGAGCCTCGAATGCTTGCGCAGAGTTTGTAGCCTTTATCACTTTGAGAATGGCAAGGAAAACGTGGTATCTTGCCTCACTTGTAAGAGGCAGGACGTTAAATATTGTTGTCAGTGTCGAGATAGCAAGTGATGGTCCATACGTAGAGTTTGGTGCTACTGGCTGGTCAGACAGATATTGACATAACCTTGCGAAGAAGCCCTCTTGTGCAGGCGACTGCAGGCATAGGTTAATGAGAAGGTTATATGCAGCCGAGAATTCTGTGCAAATGTTGAGTCAGTCATTAATTAACCCGTAGCGGTTGAGCGTCGCTCTCTTACCTCTCTCTGGCGCTTTATTCAACGTCGTGGCCTTCGTAATGATCTTCTTCAACACATCGTCCTTGGCCTTTTGACCAGATGTATTGCCTGTTTCCTGCGACTCTGCCTCCCGGATCTGCCCAAGTTCAGATTCAATACTGTTGGCAATTCCTGCACCTTCGTCAAGGGTATCAAGGTATTGCGCAAGTTCCTCAGCAAGTTCGGCGAAGGAGCCTTCTATCAAAAGCGTTGACACCGGCATTCTTTGTGTAGATCCAGGGTAGCAGGTTATCGCAAGTCGGAAAAAGTCGACGCTTTCAATACATCCCAGGCCTACGCGGGCGCACTTTCCTTCCGAAGAGGCGGTTTGACTGAAATCTTGGCGAACCTCAGGCACAAAACTCCTTATCAGGCATCCAGGCACAACTCGAGCAGCGAAGCAACCGAGCGGCACAGTACGAATAGAGTGGTGCAACTCGGGTTGCAATATTCACAAACTGTAGATGAATAGACTGTTTACTCGTTATCGCTACTATCTTCGGTGTCTATTTCGCTACCAAGGCCACTCTCCGCCTCCGAAAGTCCTCCTTCGATATCAAGAGCTGGCAGCATGGCAAATGCAACGAGGCAGGTCACTCTGTTACCTGTCGAGTATACATCAGCCGACGCAGTGCCAACGAAACCGCCGTCCGTCTCCGGCTTGAGGATCTCGTCATCTCTAAGAGAAAGCAGGCTTATATCGCCGTTGCTGCATCCCACAATGGTTAAGCGACCAGGAAACCCATGCTTGGTCAGGTCCAGTATCTGAAAGTCCTTTATTCTTTTCGTGATTGCATGCTTCTCACCACCCATATAAGCAATAGGGTTCAGTAGTGGCAGATCCTTGGTGGCTGTCGACGCCTTCGCTGTATCGAAAAAGAGGATCTTTCCATCATCGGTTGAACACGCAAGAAATTCATGATCTTTGCCAGTCCTAAAATAGACAAGCTGGTGGACTTTGGTCAAAGTAGATGGCATGAGCACACATCTAGGCTTTGAATCTTGGCCAAAGACAACCACACCTCGTTCGAACGCAACTGAAAACTCGGTACCTGAATGATTCCAGCGTATCTTTCGGCCTTCACCGTGGCTGTACTTTCCCTCCTTGACAGCCTGAAGAATATCACGCTCAAAGTTGAGGACTCCAGCCTTCTTGCCAGTGACAAGGTTCCACAAGCGCATGCATTTCTCTCCACGACCAACACTGACCATCAGCTTCATGCTAGGGTGTATCGCGAAGTCATTCACACCTGACGGGACCGTTCCAGCACTCGCACTGTCACCAGAAGCTTGGCCAGAGACCTTTGGTCTCGGTGCTTTGACTGTGGAGATCACCTCTAGGTCACGCACACGTGTCACTGAAATAGTATTGTCCTCACTTGCGGATAGTAATTTAGATCGAGACGGAAAATGGAGAGCAGTAATACTCGAAGAATGCTGAACTAGTGTCCCGAGTTCTCGATTCAGAGGGTTCTCGCTAATCTGATTCGGCCCAAAAGTTGGCATTGTCGGAACTTTGCGACCTTTGCGATCAGTGTCTGGCACAGGTGCCGCCGATAATGAGTATATGTTGACGCGTTCGTCAGATCCTCCAGTGGCAAGATATACTCCTTGGTCAGACTCTTCGGGCATCGGGGACAACGCCAGACATCTGACCGCTGATTGATGAGCGTTGAACAGGAACGAGTCAGCGTATATTGACTTCAGCTTGCCATCGTTGAGGGACAACTTTGCGGTGATGCCGTGTAATGTCCGTTCGTAAGAACCGGTGATGATCTGAACAACAGGTAATTCGGTCTTGACATCGATGTGATTCTCGGTTCTTGGTATCTTCGTTGACTTGGGCGTAGCTGCACTCTTTGGTTGTTGTATGCTCGCGTTTGATGTCTTTAAACCACCATTGGCATTGTTTGCAGAAGACTTCGACGGCTGTGGCTTGATTGACGATGATGATACGCCTTGATTTTGAGATTGCAATTTTGCAGTCGCTTTTAGTGGCTGGGATGCACCATCGTTGACCACGTTTGGGGCTTTATCAGCCTCACGATCCCTCTTCCTCTTCGACATGGTCAAATTTTTGCGACCCAAATTTTTGCATTCAAAATTTCGAGCTCTGCCCAAGAATACTCTCTCGAGGAGCTGGTAATTTTGGATTGGGTGATTACACTGTCCTCAACATCAGTGTATGCGGTGTGCGCAAGATCTTATCTTGTGGTGTAAAAGTGGAACAGAACGATATGACGATGGGGATTGTAGAAAGGTTCTCGTGTTCGCTCATAGCAAAGGTTCAGAGAAATCTGGGAGAATGCATTCGGGGTGGCATAGTGTGGAGTTAAGCTAGGCTAAGAAGAACTTTAGAAAGGGATGCGGGCGCCTTGGTAGCCCTCGTGCCTCTGTCTGAACCCTCGTAGCATCACTATTCCTCTTATTCCTGGCTCCGACGCGAAAGACCTCAATCTGTACCATTAGAATTCGACCACAACGCGTTTAATTTAATTCTTCTGAGCGACTCAATCGACTCTATATATCTTCAGGCTAATTACAGGAAACTTTCAGACATCAAATCGAATGTCGTGTCATCGTCGTCGGCTCCATGATTCAAGCCGTCGAACGACTACGATCGGATGCACAGTAAGTCGCAACGCCAGCGTGTAAATGCTCAACAAGCATCGAAGAACCTACTAATCGCATTGCGATGATTATAGAAAGTTATTACAATCCAGAAAGCGCAAGTTAGCCCAGTTATACGAAGTTACGTGCCGTGGTCGGTCCCAGGACCAAGCCAGTGATCTGTACCTACAGCACTTACAGGCCTTCCAAGATGCAAACGATTTGCAGAAGTACGTACTGTTCATGCACACTTTACTGTTGCACTGCACTCTTCTTTCTTGATTGACCATGACACCTGCGCTCCCTTCTCGAATGTCTGTACTTACAAGCACCTCCGTATAGAGGTCGATTGTTCCATGAGTCGTCGCTGCCAGCGCGACGCGATATAGTTCGGCGCATCAAACCCACCGACAACCCTCAGCCTGTGAGGCAACACGATGGCTCACCTCGCCATGTCTCCAGAAGGTCTATGTCACCGTCCAAGTCGGCATCTGAGCAATCGAGAAGGACATCGGTGCAGCCTCCAACTCGACCCACATCACCTCGATCGACTGCCGATTCGAAACCTGTCGCTACACGTCCGATCGATGAGCCGCCTGCCACAACTAGACCAGTGAAGCAGGCAGAGAATGCAGCCATCGAGTCTGTACCTCCCTCAGTTGTTCAACAAACTGATCCACCACTACTACAGCAATCCTCAGTAGTACCAGTAAGTCAAGGTAAGGATACCTTGAACGGCCGACCTGAAGATATACGAAAGAAGACTCCCACTATACCTCCCACGCTCGAGACGCAAGATGCCCAATCATCGCCTACCTCATCCAACGGACGCCCCTCATCCCACACGCCAGGTCCTGAAGCAGGGTCACCAACAACTAGCCCAGGCGACGATACTGCTGCAACGTTGGATATATTGAACATGAAGCCACCGGAACCACGCAGGGAAGAACCACAAACACCAGACATACACATTGCCCCTACCCACAAAATGTCCGTATCGTTCATCGATGTGGACATGATGGATGCAGACCCGACCACTACTTTTGACTCTCCAGTGCAACCTTTGGAGCACCCTCCAACCCCGCCAGATCCTAAGCACAAGAAGCCGGCAATCACTGTCGACGTTCAAAACGACTCAAGGTCTTACTTCGATTCACGACAAGAGAGCACCGTCGTTGAGACGCCCGCTGCTATATCACAAAGCTCGGCTAGGCAGACACCGGCTGCAACACCAGCCGTTGATTCTTCTCGCAGAGCTACCAGAATCCAGTCGGGTGTCTTGCAGAAAAAGAGTGTCTCTGAAATTCTAGGCGAAAGTCCAAGACCTGGCTCACCCAACAACGATGCCTCTGCTGCCGTTTCAGCACGAGCTGCGGACAAAGATCGCAAGGAGAGGGAGAGGAGCCGACTGTCAACCGTGGTCTTCGCAAAGCCACAGAAACCAACTATCGAGTCTGACACCATCGAGCTTGCGCGATTAGACCAGCCATCGAAGGAGCTTGCAAAGCAAGCAGACCGTGACTATATGTATACCTTGTTTGAGAGTAAAGCACACTCACAGAACCGATCTGGATCGCTCACTTATCTACTTCAACATTCCCACAAAGCTATCTCAACTTCAGACCACCTGGTAGATTACCATTACCAAGCCCATTGTCGTGCACTTAAGAGATTGTACTCACTACAAAATCAGGATAACTGGAGCTTGAGGCAGAGAAAACGTGCAGAGGAACCAGCTCGACCTACCTCTCATTGGGATTTCCTGCTAGATCATGCAAAATGGATGCGTACCGACTTTCGCGAAGAGAGGCGCTGGAAGCTTGCTGCTGCAAGGGCTGTAGCGGAGGCCTGTGCGGAATGGATGGCCGCAGACCGCATGGGGAGGAAGTTGTTACAAGTCCATGTTCGTCCGCCAAGACAATTTGCAGATCTGAATTTGACAGATGGGCCAATCGAACAAGCACCATCTTCGCCCCCCGACCTCGAGCCGCATGGAGAAGACGACTCCGTAAGCGAAGATATAGCCGATCCTAGGGATGTTGTTACGTCGATTGCCCCCGCAGCCATATTCTCTCTTGGTGCTTCAGATTTCACCTTCGCTATAGACAAGACTCCTGCTTTCGACAAGCTATTGAACGAATTGCCACTTTATCAGCCCTCGAAGATTGAACCGGACCTCTCAAAGTCGAATTTGGCTGAACGTCTAGATTCACGTTGGAAAACAGATATTGTGCCCGTGTCGAGGTTCGCTACAGAAAAGCTCAAAGTCAAGGATTACAAACCCCCACTCAAACGCAGCAGATATGACTATGATGTCGATGACTCGCCGCCTGCAAAACGACCAGCACTCGAGCCACGCGAGACCGAGGTTGCCTTATTCATGCCAGAGAACAAGCACATTAGGGATAGGATTCATCCTGGCCATGCTTTCCGTCCACCAGCAGAACATCCTATGCCATCACAAGCTTTCTTCGAAACCCGAACGTCGTCGCAGTGGCTTGCTGTCGAGGACGATGAGGTACGACGTCAAGCACGAGAATACTCCTTCAACTGGACTCTAATCTCCGAGTTGATGACACCACCTACACTATATGTTTCTGGACAGGATAGACGCACGGCCTGGGAATGCTTCGAACGCTGGATCGGACTGGAAGGCATGCCCGCAGATATGGCTAAGACACCCTACTTCAAGACTTACTCAAACAGAATTGAAACCGCTCAACGCAACGTGCAAGCTCAGTGGGAAGAGCTCGAAAGACGCAATAATCAGACGCCAAGTACTCGTCGTAAAACGACATTACCGGTTCGCGTAGAACGCAAACACAATAGAAGGCATCTTTTCATGCTTGACGCAATGCGCAAACTCGCGAAGAAAAGAGAAGCTGTGCGTCAGAAGCAGGCTCAGTCTGCAGACATGGCTGCGATGCGGAAGTCTAACGATGTACATGCTCCGAGACCAGGAACCAAGACACCTGCCGAATGGTCTCAACTCAAGTACGAAAGAGAACAGAAGATGGTTAAGCAGCAAGAAATGTACAAACAGCAACTCATAGCTCACCAACGAGCAGTCGTGCAGCAACAACGTGCCGGGCAGAGTACTCCAGCTAATGGCATGCCAATCCCTCCCAATGCAGGAAACCAACTGCGTGTACCTGGATCTAATGGTGCGCCAGTACCTGCGATACCTAATGGGCAGATGCAGGTACAAAATGGCCAACCTCGACCCCATCCTAATATGATGGGTATGCATCAAGGTATGGGTATGCCCGCTGGCCTTGTTGGTCCGAAAGGGATGCCACAGCCCATGCCCATCGCAAATAGAGGCATGGTAGGATCGCCCCAACAGATCAAGATGCAACAGGAGCTTCTCCGACAAGCACAAGTCGCACAACAGAATGGAGGTCACTCGTCTCCGAGCATTCAACAAGCCTCAATGGCTAATGGCCAGAACCTGAACAACGCATTCATGAACTCCTTGAATCAGGGTAACAACCAAAGCTCGACCCCGAATCATGCATCACCTCTCCCTCAAACAAGTCACGTGCCGCAAAGTCTCTCCAGCGGTTCCATGCCGAAGATCAACCAATTAGCTGTAAGCATCCGCGAACAGTATCCCAATATGTCGGATGAGGAGGTCAAGGGCATTGCGACACGACAACTCCTCCAGTGGCAGCAACAGGCGACTGCCGCCGCCGCTGGCAATCCTCCCCGCCCGAAAGCGGTCAATCAAGCTGCTCTGAACGCTGCGATGGGCGCGGCAAATTCTGGCGCATATGCTGCAGCACAGAACCAAAATGCCATGAATATGAATGCTAACGTCAATTCAACAACTAATATGGGACATCCTCAGATGAGCTATGATGCAGCTCAACAATATCACCAGCGCATACGTATGCAGCAGCAACAGGCGCAACAGAACGCAGCACGAATGCATGCGCCAATAACACCTGGTATAAGTGCTTCGCCAGTCATGAATATGGCAAGACCAGTGAGTCAACACAGTCAACAGTCTGGTATGAACGGTGGAGTAGGTAGAACCTCGGTAACGCCTGCAAGAGATCAGAGGAGTGGCAGCGTTTCGACAAGCATGAATAATGGTCAAGCTCAAGGGACCGGCGCATCCCAGGTCCAGAGTCAGAGCCAAGGGCCACAAAGCAGTCCCATGCAAACCTGATACTGATTTTCTGCGAGCCAGCGTTCCGATTCATAGTTTCATTTCATACAAATCCAGAAGAACTTGGAGATGTGTAGCAATACCAAGCCTTACTTTTCGCCTTGGTACCCTTACAGCTTGCTTCTCCAAAGCACTAGTTTACAAATTTACAATGCCGATTGTAAGAGTACTAGTGAGATCGAATTTTATTACCATAGGCATTGCCAGCCGACATACTACTTCATGCTCTATCACTTCAACAATACATCAGTGATCACAGTAGAGCAGCCACAAGAAAAGCGGAAGGGTCGCAGTGCGTTGGTAATCACGTATTGATGTTGCATTGATCAACCACCGGCAATACCACATCGACAGTCTCCATACCTATTCCCACAACGAGTACCTGCGCCTTTCCGCTCGGAAATTCAGCAGACATGACTGCCAGATTACTGATATCTGCAACATTCGTGTATTGCTCTGCGAGAAAGTCGATCTGAATGAGTTCTACCAGATCGAGTGATATAGCTGTGCTGCTAGTAGTGCTTGCGTGGCTGTTCTCTTCTCCCATGGTAGGTAGCGCTGATAGGATGATCTTGACCAGCCACGTCTGAACGCGCTGATCATTGCCAGCGGTTATGACTACAAAAACCCTTCGTTCTTCTGCGTCACAACCGAGCTCTATGATGGTCAAGGCGGTCAATGCAGCAGCGTGGGCTTTGGGGATTATTAGGCTGCGATAGCGGAATGTTTCGGGCATTTCCTTGTCGGTTTCATGCATCCGTGAGGCGATTGTGAAAGCGAGAGCGTTGTCATCTCCTCCTGTGACAACCAAATCGTGGCCTGAATTAAGATGAACATTGTGTAAAGCCGTAATGCTGTTTTGATGCACCTTGTGTTGCCATTGAGATTGGATTGAGGTATTTGCAGCTTGTAGAGCTGGGGCTGGAGAGTTCGAATACTCGTGAGGTGGGGACGAGATACAGTATCTCGCGATCTGTCCATTTGTTGCAGATATGATCCCTTCCATAGTGTTGGTTTCCGTACGCTGCTCCAACCACATGTACGCCTGGGTTAAGCAAATCATACCAAAATCCAGCTCTCTAAGAACAACGAAATTACCTGTTTCGCCTGGATTGTCATATTGAATGAGCTTGGCTTTGCCGTTCGAGAATGCGGCCACAATAAACAGCCTGACAGAGCCGAGATTGGAGCTTGCAATAGAAATGTCGAAGCTCATGATCCTGGCGTCGGAGTGCCGGTCTGTACTTGGCAACGAGCCAGCAAACACGACACCTTGATTTATGACAGGTAATGGGGAGAGCGTCCAAGCGAACATCTCCTCCATGCCGGCTGCACTGATTAACGTGCTTCCGTCAGATGAGAAGCGAAGGGCCTGGAGGCCAGTTGTGTGTTTCCGCAGCACACAGGTATTTTTGATTTCACCTCCACCAGCATTACCGAGAATATACTCGAAGAGTCGTATGTCTGTATCCTCCGAGCCTGTAGCTATCAGCCAGCGATGCTTCTCAGGCTTTTGGACAGCAAGTGCTTTGATCTCACGGCCGTGCCCACCTTTGAGGATGACTTTGTGGTCGGATTCAGACTGCTCGTAGTAGTTGAATGTACCTGCCTGCGTCCAAGCGAATACATTGCTGCCAACAGTAGAGTTGCTGTGCCTAAATGACCAGCTTCTGTGTGCGCCGCCACACTCGACTGCCGAAGTTTGGGTCTGGTTGGTCTCATCCCAGACAACGAAATGCTTCGATCGAAATCCGTGTAATACCAGGTTCCGCTGTCCATTTGGTGATTGAACTAAATCGGCACCTTCAATATTGGGACCTAGAGGAGGAGCGACTTTGTGTACCAAGTGTATTTCAGTCTGCCAGGAATCATTCTGAGCTGCCCTTGTCAGATCGAGTCTCAAAGCGCAATAGTGCCCATCCCTTCCAGTGGTAAGAAAATGACACTTCATGCACAAGTCATCTTTCTCTTCAAAATTGGAAAGGCGATGGATTGATGTAACAGTATCTTCGCCATGCACACGACGGCGGCATATCTGCTGAGCACCGGATGTAGCGTGTTGGCGGACGTCTGCGAACGCTGCGACTGCTCCTGCTCGAGAACCACAAAGCAAGACCTGAATGTCCGACATATAGCATACGCTGCAAGTTTCAAAGTCTTTAGGTAATGCAACTGATGACTGCGACACCTCGAAGTTGTCCTGGATAATAGTGAGCCAGATCAGGTGCAAGCTTTGCATACCGTGGTAAGTTATTGTAACGCAAGATTCCGTTTTGCAACCTGCTTCGTGCTGGTTGAACCAGGCAATATCAACAGTGGAAACCTTGCCTGCTTCTAGCTGCCACAACCACGTAACCTTGAACGAGGCAAGGTTCAGTGCGTAAAGAGCACAGCGCGTAGTATCTACGAAGAGCGCGTGTGATGATATCGTTCTTGGCGCCATAATCAGTGGACTTCTCTTGTGACTTGGAACTACTGTCGTCCAGACAGGCTCCTTAGACCTGGTAGACCCTCGTAAAAGGCCTCCTCCATCCGTGCTCGCCAACACAAAACCTTGGCTAATAGTGACATACGATTTGAAGGCCACAACCTCAGGTGACAAATCGCTCAGTGATAATGGTGAGGCTCTTTCGACCGCTTGTGGATATACATCCCCGAAAGGCTGCTTGAGCGATCGAAGCTTTGCGCCTGTGAGTCCCGATGACTTGTAGCGCCTCCAGATCACTTGTCCGTCAGCTCCGCCAGTGTAAAAGTCGACTCCTGCATCAGTGCGGAGATAACATCTTGTCCAGATATTCTTACCTGCGTGATAGCGATCGCTGCAATGGTTCTCCAAAGATTCGATGGGATTCGTGGGAAAGAAAGCTGTCTGAGTCACTTTTAGGGACCATGATTGAGCTTGGCCGTCCTCGCCTGTAGACAGAAGTAAGCAAGGTTCATTCTCCGTTGAACATGCACGATCTGCGAAGTCTACATGCCATATCCTAGAGAGATGAGCCCACGTCATAGTCAGGCTCTCGTCATGACGAGTGAAAGGAAGACCTTCAGTTGGCGCGAGAGCCTCCTGGTTTATGGACACCGAGCTTCCTAGAGCATCAATATCAGAGATATCCCAGATGCGAATAGTTCTGTCGTCGCTACAGCTGGCTAGCAGTCGGTGCTGCTTATTCCCTGACACGACTAGGTGTGAAATGCTGACCCCGAATATCGAGCCGCGATGGCCATGAAATTCGCGCCATGGGTATGCTTGCCATTTGCCTCGCCTATCGTTGTATTTGTATAGCCATGTCAGCACTTCCCCAAAAGCGGTACCTGATGCAATGACGAAGCTGGTGGCACTAAGTTGCAAGACATCGGCACTATATAGGAAGGTACTTAGTGAGTCACAAAGTACTGTCGAATCGATGCGCCTGTGAGTTCGATTGATGCTTACCTCAATTAATGTGTTGTAAGACGAGACTAAAATAGCAGAATCAGGTACGTGACTGCACGGTAGACCACACAGAACCCAATCTACCAGTCGAGTCGACGCAACCAACTCGAATGATGGGATAACGAGCTGGCTTGAGGATCTCACCTCTAAAGTGATCCAAGTTGCTTGTCGTTGGCCATATACCAGCAAATCACATTGAGCCTTGTTATCAGAAAATTTAGTCGCAATCTCAACAATACCATGGATTACACACAAGTGATCAATGAGTATCTCAGAGATCAGGTCGCCAGTGTCAGCATTGTGCGCGGTCAGGAGCTGCCCTCTTCCAACAAGCAGCAATTGTCGGACGTGAGTGCTGGCAAAACATGCAACGGCAGTCACTGGAAGCACAGCGAAGACAGGCATGGATTGTAGAAGACAAATGGCCTATCTTGATGCTTCAGAGAGTTCGCTTGTCTGTGCCCTTGTAGTCTGTGATGTGGTAGAAAAGAGAGACAATCCCAACGAGGAAGGTGTGCTTGCAAGAGACCGCGCTACGTGCCGCTTGGAATGTGTTATCAGTACTTTGCCTCCGGCCAATTCAGCTTACCAACTGTCAGGGAATTCCCTTGTCCTTTCCAAACGCGTCGACGCGTTAAGGAAAACCATGGTCGCGATTGCTGAGTGGTACTTTTTGGACCTTCCTTGGAATGTTGCAAGTAAGTTGAACCCACAAATCCGCAATGGACCATACTGACTACAGTGGAGGGGTATTTTATGTCCTGCTTCATTACTGCCTGCTCGTTCCAGTCTCATATCATGATGACCTAGTAACGAACCCGAACTTAGGCAGTACTTTAATTCCATTTGACACACCTTAGCCATTCAGAGATGTGTGAGCAAATATAGTCCGCTACTATCAAGAATGTTATCAATTTTCAAAGGGAACAATTGCCACAATCTAAATACCACGAACATCTTCCAACCTTTGTCAAATTTTGACCTGAGGCACATGAAATCATCATTTGGTCATTCTCTACGCGTGGCGTCATGGGCTCTAGAGACCGTCCAGTTGACCTGACTCAGGACACGAGCAAACGAGGCAACAGTACACGTTATAACCCGGTAGGCTCTGGAGAAACCAAAAAGGTTATTCGAGACTCAATCCGACGTCAATTCAAATCTCGAGGCAGTACCAATGAGCCGATCGAGATTAGCGACAGCGATGACGGTGGAATCATAACGTCGAGCCACAAAACAAGCAATTCCAGAAACAAATCTTTACCTCTTGTTGAGGCCACGAATACAGGTCAGCAGCAGTTGAGAAATAGCCCTTCTAGCAACCCAGTGACAACGCGCAAATTAAATTCTAGATCACTACAGCACGTTGACCTTCAGAGTCGCCAGAAGCAACAAACGTCACACCTCGGACCGCCGCGCTTAGAACCTCCAGCGAACCAGAAAACTAACTGCTTCGGTATTATACTCCCATGCAAAGAATGCCGCAAAGAAAATCTTAGTTGTGACGGAGAACAGCCATGCGGATATTGTACCTCCGGATTCGACTGTGTGTACATGTTGGATACTGACGCTACGGGCGACAATGATGTGTCCGAGATAGGCTTACTTCCAGTCCATCGGCCCATAGAGGCGCATTATCTAGACATCGAACGAGCATACGCTGGCTACCATCATAGCTCAAAAGATATTGAAAATGAGAACAGCGATCGTCCGTCGGTGTACGTTGACTCCGAGGAGCAACCATTAAGCTCAATGGTTTTCGAAGAGAATGCCCTGGAGAAATTTCCCGTCAACAAGTTCGAGCCGCGAACCGCGAAAGATGTCCAAGACCTCGTAGAAAAGTTTCAACACAACATCAACCACGAGCAAGAGTATTGGCTCCAGGACGAACTACGTCGTTTTGTGGTCACGGCACAGAAGACGGATCTCTCACCCGTGTCGACAACCAAGACCAATCCATGGAGGAAACACATTGCGCAACTAAACTCGAGAGAGTCATCCCTGGATATTGATGGATATTCGACCGTTCAAATGAAGACGAGGTCTGAAAAAGTATGGAAAACTGTTCAGCTGCCTTTCAGGTTCCTCGAGGTCGACCGTACGTTACCTCTATTGCCGAAATACAAAAGCATAGGTCATCTAGGACCAAACTTCCTTTCCCGAAATATTCATACTCTTCAAGCTATACCCTATTTTCCAGACGAGGAACTCGATTCTGATGATGAGCTAGAGAACAAAAGACGGGAAGAGCTTGCTCAAGCATATCGCAATTGGGACGGCAGACCTGGTTCGGTCAGTTCGGAGTTTGAAAAGCAGAGAAAATGCCTAGAATCCGTCCATCGTTGGTGGACTGCTTTTCGTCAGCTGATCGCCACAATCGACCTTGGAAGAGAGCAGATCCGAAAATACGCCGAATTGAATGCAGCTGAGAGGTGTAAGACGTGTGGTTTGAGGTACCGCCAGAGCAATACGCCTTCGTCAAGCGCATTACTCAGCACCACGGACGTTGAGAAATGTCGTTGGTTGGCAAGTGCCGTAGCTAAAACATCCAAGATCACGCTTTGGCACTTTGTCGAGCGAAATCGAGCAGACCCTAATGTTACACAGAAGAAAGCAGATGAAAAGGAGGATCATTATAAGGTCAGCCCGTCATTATGTTCTATATGCTTTGTTCATAATTGTCTCATCCACGGCTCATACATCGATGACGACGATGGGCAGCTTAAGGAACAGATATTCATCAATGACCCTGAACAGCAGCACAATGTTAGACGATACATCACGAACCAAGTCGACGCTGATACCACAAAGCACATCTGCGGAATCTATTGTATAGCAGGTGTCGATGAAGATTGCGAGCTAAGTCGTGTGCTTGGTATTGACCATGTGGGCAATTGGACAGGATTGTCAAACCAGCATGTAGATATCAATGGCGACACAGCAGGTTATCAGAATAAAGAGCCTTGCAGTACCGATTGCTTTAAGGTCCGCCAGAGGAGACAAGGGACAATTGGCGCCAACTATGCTCAGGATTTCATGGCTGCTCTGACCCACCGTGAGCTGAAGACGCTCACGAGAACCGTTGAGCTCTATGGACACAACCTGAAATTACCTTGCATTGTTGCTCAAAGGTTGAAGATGCCATGCATATATGCTTTCCGATTCATCCTAGCGATTCACCAGATATCACCTCACCAAGATATTGTCCCGCTACCTAAGACTTCAGCCAAAACCTACAATACCAGCAGAGCAAACTTCCTCGACGATAGGCCACCAATCACTCCTTGTTCTCATCCTGGACCATGCCAACCAGACAAAGACTGTCCTTGCGCTCAAGCGAAGGCTCACTGCGAATGGTTTTGCGCTTGCGACGAGACATGTGGACGTCGTTTCAAAGGCTGTTCGTGTAAGGGAAGCTGTTTCGACGATGACAGATGTGCTTGTTGGGCGCAAAATCGAGAATGCGACCCTTGGTTGTGTCGATGTGGAGTTCTTGAAGTGCTTGATCCAAGCAACAAGTACAACGAAGAGCTAAGGAAGCAGAAGGGTTGTTGTCGTAACAACAAGGTCCAGCTTGATTTACCAGCTAGAACGGTCAAAGCTGAATCTGACGTGCAGGGATGGGGTCTGTTCGCTGGTGTCGATATGCCGAAGAACACCTACATTGGTGAGTACAAAGGAGAGGTCGTCAGCGAGCTAGAAAGTGTACGTCGTGGAATCGTCTATCACAACGTTGGTCAGGAGTATCTCTTCAACTTCAACACAGGTCAAGTAATTGATGGATCGATGTTCGGTAACAAGTCAAGATTTATGAACAACACGCAAGATCCAAAGCATATCAACATCGTTTCTTACAAACTCATAGCGAATGGTGTCACAAGAGTTTTCTTCTATACCAAGCATCCTGTCAAGGCGGGCGACGAGCTGCTTTACAATTACCAGTACCCAGCCGATGTACAAGCCAGATTCTGGGAGAAAGGCGCTAAATCGAACAATGGTGGATTAATTCCAATACCAAAACCACACTTGGGTGGGACTGGAGCAAGGACAGCGAGAAAGACTCTCGACAAACAGAATCCTAAAGCTCGTCTAAAGGGCAAGGAGGCAGAGACGACTGCTATGCAGCCACAAAAGAGAAAGAGGCAAATTGTTGATGACGAAGACGAGGCCATTGATCGTATTTCCGAAGACTTTGTCGAGGAGGAAGAATTCGAAGATGCTGTCGAAGAGCAGGACCCTGATGAGGAAGCAGACGCCGATGATGATTACAGTGAGTTTGGTACAGGAACAGAGAAGAGCTCCCAAGACTTGTCCGACCTTGAGCACGAGTCTGAGCTTGAGGTTGAGGAGAGTGACGATGAGCCGAACGACAACCAAACAGTGTCGAAATCTGTCTCCACCAACATATCTAACCAAAATAGGATCGTCAATAAGGTAGTAGTCAAGCAGAAACGACGATTGAATCCTGCTACTGACAGGAGATTTCGAGGTAATCGCACGAAATGAGACTCTGAGACGGCTATTCAATGTGCGTCTCAGATGTCATGATGCGACCAACATTTCGATCGAGCTGCGCTCTTGTTATATGCTGCTTTTAATGAACGACATAAGTGCTAAATATCGCCAACGATGCGTCTCCCGCCACTTTTTTTTCTCGTTCTTAGAACCACGTGACATTGACCATCGCTACTTCGTTCGTCGTTTGATGACCATCAATAACTTATGCCGCTCTGGAAATTCAATAATCCTTAGCATGCTTCGCATGTCTGCTTCTTGCGCTTCTTTCTAAACACTCCATCTTGCCAAGTGCGTGATGCATGACGTGGACAGAACTCTCGTGGATAAAGTCGAATCACAACGTGCAGAACTCGAGAGCAACGTGGCAAAGTTGCGCAAAGCGCTCAATCACTGGCAGACTCTAGAGCTTGACTATGAAGGGTTGAAAGAGGAATTCCAGGAGTTACCCGAGCAGACGACTAAGCGGGAATATCTTGATGCGGCGCACGACTTCGCACCACACATAGTGGACGACAAGGAGTTGGAAGATTTAATCGAGCCCAGTAAAGGTAAACTTCGGCAGCCTAAGCAGGTTGTCGATCTTCTGTCGAAACGAACCGAGTGGGTGTCGAGGAACATTACGAGTTTAAAGGCACAAATCGCGGACTTTGAGAAGAAGCACGAATCTGGGCATGACGAACACGAACAAGAAACGACCTTGCCAGTTGCTGAGATTACCGAAGAATTGGATGACCAGGGAAATGTGATTTCGAGCACGATACAGCCACAGAGCGAGTCCGCCTCAAAAGTCCTCGGCATCTTGGAAAAAGAAAAGGTTCTGTCACAAGAGGCCCGAAGTGAGCCGCAAGCCACGTCTATAGGCAAACAGCAGGTCAAAGACGAAAACATAGAGACTGCCCAGGATGTTTCTGAGTCACTCGACAGCACGGAGGAGAGCGCAGAAGCCACACTCACTGACGGGACAACTGTGCTGCCGAGCTCGTATGACGAGGTCATGAATCCGGACGACACGGAGGAAGAAGCTCAAATCAGAAAAGAGATGCTCCAGTACGATGCGCTTGCGGAAGTAGGAAACATTGTTGCGGAATTGGATTTGGCCGAAGGCAGCGACAGTTTTAGAGACGATGGAGAATTTTCGGAAGACCCCAGTGATGCTGAGGACGATCATGACGACGACGACTCTTGGGACGACGACGATGACGACCTGGAAGAAGATGAGGAGGACGAGTATGGTCGGGTCAGAGCACCACGATATACTCAGAAACAGCGGCAACAGATGGAAGAGCTCCAGAGACGCCTCGGCTTCCAGATGGAGAACGTCGGTCCCACGCCCGATCTTCCTAAAGAGGTTCAGGAACAGATCGAAGTACTCAAACCATTAGAAGCGCAGCAATATCTCGAAAGCCTACCGCCAAGCATAAGGAACCAGCTTACACAGAGTCAAGATAGAAAGATACCTCCCAAGGAAGCTGCACGTAAGGCGGCCATTGCTCGTTACGAAGCATCACAGGATGGCGTAGAAAAGAAGTCCAAGACAGCGAACACGAGAGAAAAACCGAAAAAGTCTGTCGCGTTTGCACCGGAGCTCGATATTGCAGAAGAAGCCAAAGCTCAACAGCCAAAAACAGCAACGACCCGCGAAGTTGTGATCGAGCGTTCGGGCTTGGCTTCGAATGGCCCTGCAAAGAGACCACCACAACCCACGGCTGGTAAAGCGTCACGTTTCAAAACCGATCGCGCCTCTCATGCGCAGGCTTCCATACTACCTCCACCAATGGAGCCGAAGCCGAAGCAGGACTCTGATCTTGGTCCGCCGGGTAAGACTTTGAGCGAGAATCTTGTCGAACGGTCAATTGCTGTAGATGCAGCCCAAGCACCTGATCCTGATGACTTCGATGAAGAGCTTCAAAAAAGACAAATCGCGTTGGAGCACCATCAGTTGCGGAACCGAAAAATCCACGAACAAGGCGGATACGTAAAAAGCGGGGAGGACGAGAATTGGGATGAGGCGCATGCCGTGCCTGAAGTCCTGGACAGGATCACTGGTCAGCCGAGAAAGATCAGCAGATTTAAGGCTGCTAGGTTGAGGTCGTGAGCAAGAATCCCTTTTGGTCTTATAGTCAACTTATCGCTAATCCAGGCCTCCATGTCCCTAGTGACTGTTCATGCCTAAGGCTTCCACGGACTGGACGCGCCATTGTTCCTTCGGGAGCCCAGCATCCCTCAATTTCTTTGAAGTGCAGTCACAACGCGTCTCGTCTTTGCAGCCACATCAATTTGAACCCAGAGAAATCAAAGATGTTTCTTGTCTCGTCTGCCATGGCACAAGACGGTACGTGCCTATTTCCACTCTTCTTCTTCATACATGCTCGTGCTACGTTTCGCGTGGTCCACCTCATCACGATTCTATGAACGATGATCGTATATAGTACACGGAGTTGGATGGAACATTGCCATGCCTCATGAACTTCGGCTCTCTCAATGCCATTGTTCACAATTGTGGCCGAAACATATGTTCGAAGTTTCCGAGATCAAATTTCTGGGCTCTCTGCTACTGCGTCCATCCGTATCACTTTAGGAGCATCCTAAGACGCAGCGACTCGTTTCACCCAGCACAATTTGTTGCTCTAGATAGAAATAGAATCACTAGAAAGATTGCGTAGTTTCGACAGTCAGTAGAGTAATTACCAGTGTGAGCAGTTGATTTTTGGCTTCCCCATGCACTGCAAATCTGAGAGCGGGCTGGCTGTGTTGCCTTCTATCTTCGTGGTCACCAATCGACGTGCAGAGCAGCCAGTATGACGGCTAAAAGTAGTCCGGAGCCTACCACCTGCCATCCAAATAATGGGCCCTACTGGTCAAGGACGCGTCGCGGTTTACGCGTGCAACTGCTGGCTCGACAAAATACGAGATACGATAGGACGAGAATGTGATGCCTGAGAAACAGAACACTTGGGCAAGTCGAGACGAGATTTAGCTGGAAGGTTATGGCAGGTACTGCGGTTCACCATGGAACAATTTTTGGTCGGCCTGTATCTGAAACGCTCTCCGTAGCAGCTTCCTACGGTGAGTCTCAAAGCCCGTCACCGCCGGAAGATCACCTTCGGTTACTTCCGAAGCAGCGTGGTTTGCTCTTAGATCCAGCCGTAGTGGTCTAGCTTACCAGCCACTTCTCACTTGGCAGACGCGAACGCGTGTCCCCACTCTGTTCCGACGCGTTCGCGTTCTTCAATAGCCGACTCGCTCTTTCCCTCCGAACTTCGCAGCTTCATCCCACGCACTCAGAGCCTCGTCCTGGAAGTTCGTACATCCAGCAAAAGCAGTAAGCACACCACACGAGTCATGATGGGAACCACTGTTCTCGGAAAACGTTCCAGAAATTCGTGGACGGAAGGTACGATTCAGAGCTCGATCGCTCCTTCCCAATTTGTTACAGAAACTGACAACAGCTTTACAGAAATCGCGTCTTCTCAACCACTACGAAAGCGGACGACTAGGAGATCAAACCCACAGATTTATGAAGATGCAGCAGCAATTGCAGCTCAAATCCCGGCGCATGCTGTCGCGAAATCTGTCTCTGTTCGATCCTCAAAATCGAGCGCCTTGAGCCCCAAATCGCGGCCAACCTCGACATTTGAACGCGTCAACATTGAGCTTCCTGATGTACCCTCTTCAATACCTGAATACAATGAAAATTGTCCACCTGTCGGAGCATCGGCCTCGACACCCTCGACCATCAGATTTAAAAATGTTCTCGACGGAACCCCCAGCACTCCTAAGCGCCGAGTCCGGCTTTTAGGGGGGCTGTTCACTCCACAAACTCCAAGAACGTACGATGCTACAGCTTCACGATCGGAAAATGTCTACACGCGTGCAAGACAGCTGTTCGCCCAATCGACCTCACCATCCAAGCTAATCGGACGTGACATCGAGAGGCAGCAGGTCAGAAATTGCTTGAACAACGCAAAATCCACGCGATGCGGAGGCTGTACATACATCAGTGGCCCGCCTGGAACCGGCAAGAGTGCCTTGGTGCATGAGGTTCTTGAGGATTTTAAAGAAGATCCAGCATTTTGCGTTTCAGTCATCAATTGCGTGAGCTTGAGAACAGCAGCACAAGTGTATGGCAAGCTGGTAGAAGACTTCTGCTCAACCTCTTCGACTAAATCCACCCCCGAAGTACGATTGAGACGACTATTTACAAGCAAGTCCGGAAAGACCAACCACGTGGTAATGCTCGACGAGATTGACAGCCTCGTTGATGCAGAATGCGAAGTCCTCTACAACCTCTTCGACTGGGCATTACATCCCAGTTCTTCTTTGACTCTCATTGGCATTGCGAACGCTTTGGACCTCACTGATCGATTTCTGCCTCGGTTGAAATCCAAAGGTCTTAAGCCTCAACTTCTGCCGTTCACACCGTACACTTCTCAACAAATATCGACTATTATTACGGACAAACTCAGGACATTATTACCGAAAGACACAACAGTTGCAACAGATTTCGTGCCTTGCATACACCCTGCGGCTGTTCAGCTTTGTGGGAAGAAGATTGCATCGCAAACAGGAGATCTAAGAAAAGCGTTTAACTTGATACGGAAAGCAATCGACCAAGTTGAGAAAGAATGCCTAGCGAAGCAGGCACAAGACAGTCCAAGCAAAAGAGCATTGACCGAGGTCGTGAATGTGTCTAAAGAAGCCGGAATCTCAGCAAAGACGCCTCGCCAGTGTCAATTAAGCTTCACTGCGGAAAACGCACCACGAGCAAGCATTGCACACATGGCCAAGCTTGCGTCAAGTATCTTTAACAACGGCACCTCGTCAAGGTTAGCTGGTCTGAACTTGCAACAGAAAGCTGTTCTCTGCTCGATAATCAGCAAAGAGAGCAGACGTCAGCAGCGTGATCCGTACATAACTCCTACTAAGAGTACGAACAAGGCGCCAACGGTTGGGGAGCTTTTCACAAAGTACACTTTGTTGTGTAGAAGAGATGACGGCATTCTGCAACCACTCAAAGACACAGAGTTTCGCGACGTTGTCGCAAGCCTGGAAACCTTAGGTCTTGTACACGAGTCCAAGGCAAGGTCTTCCGGCCTTTTGACTCCGTCTTCGTCATCACGTAATCGCGAAATGCATAACGATCGAGCAATAGCCAGTGTGGTTGCAGAGAAGGAGATGCGTGAAAGTTTGGTCGGGGCTGGTGCTGATCTGCTCAAGCGGCTACTAGATGAAGCTTGAACTGGAGTTTTAGATAACAAGACATGCTCTTGATTTGAGCGTAAATGAAAGCTTCGCATAAAGATACTAAGTCTTCTGCACTAAGTCTTCTGCACTAAGTCTTCTGCACTAAGTCTTCTATAATCATGCCTGTGTACCCGTCACATTCGTTGTATTGATAGAGTAAACAACTTGTTCTGCCCACAGACCAGAATGTACACCGACTGCCAGTACATCTACACCAAGTGAAGCATGATGTAACTCAGCACATGCTCGCTGTTGCACGGGTTCAGGTGCACCCTCTATGTGGAGCTGGTAGCCAATCGATTTCCTTGTCCTCAGACAAGCTTCTCGATATTCTGGATCAGATTGCTTGTTTAGTGGGCCGCGCGTCCAGTGGGCTTTTCCGGCACCCCACGTAGCCATTCAGGTAACCTTTCGAGCGCAGCGGCTTTGCGATTCGATGTCAGCAGCTGAGTGTAAACTTTTGACAGTGCAGGAGGCATATTCTCGGCAAGGATGCTGGTTGCGATGCGTCTGTCTGCGAGTCTTCTTCATGTTGTTGCATCGTGCAGCTGTATACCCCTCCTCAAACGTAAAGCTCTATTCCAGGAAATAAGGTAGCTGCTGACGGGGTCGTATCTACAGCACTCCGGCCAACATGAGCGCCAATGACAGTGAACCACATTTGCGCGATGGACATCCATTCGACAAGTATGGCGCGAAGCTCGTGGAGAAGGCAGGCCATCTACAAGAGAAGGTGCTGACCCAGAGTAAGAAGGATGAGCAGAAGAAAGGCCCAGCTGGTGGCTTTGACAACAGGCCCGTCCCACAAGCTCCTCCAGGATACACAGTCAGGATCATCTTCCACCGTGCTGAAAACCTGCCCTTTAGTGATTTTGCAACACTCTCAACTGATCCTTACATACATGCGACTTTCAAGACAGACTTGGTGAAGCGGAACAAACAAGATCCTGATCTGTATTTACGAACGCCTACTATCCACCGAAATACGAAGCCGAAGTGGGAGACGCAGTGGGTGATCGCTCATGTCCCTGCTTCTGGCTTCCACCTCAAGTGCAGGCTTTACGACGAAGATCCGAGCGACCACGACGACAGGCTGGGAAACGTGCATATCGTGGTGGACAGAATCTCCGATAGTTGGCCCGGAATCAAAGAGGAGGCGTATGATCTCAAGAAGCGCATGGGCAGCAAAAGAGCGTACACTTTCAGAGGAGCGGCATCAATTCTCCGCAGAGGCCTCAAGATGAGTGCCCAACTCATTGTCAGTATCGAAAGTCTAGGCCGCAGTCCTGGAGACGATGGTGGACGATCCTATACAGTGGCACCACTTCCTTGGTCGAGACACCACTCACCTTTGATAGGACGTATAGCAGGAACGAAGGATCGCGAGGAGTCCAGCTGTGGAAAAAAGAGTGTTGAAAGGTATAATTTTCAAGCCATTCAGATGCAGCTCACTGGTCCTGTGCCTGCGCCGATGGTAAGTCCGATCCCAGAACTGCGGATAGAAGGATCAAACAAACTTCATTTGCATCGTGTTGATCAGTATTTCGTTACTAAATCTCGCAGTATCATCGATATGTCGAATTCAGGCCGTTCATAGCAGGCATGTTCACCGATGTTACCTTGCGTGGCCGAATCCTCAATAGAGCGCTGCATCACCAGCATGCCAGAGTCTACAACTACGATACCTCTACGACGTATGGCATATTCGAGAAACCTTGCCTAGCGATGACGAAACAGTTCCTCGAGTTTGTCCATTACGACCAAGGTGGCAGGATCTATACTTACGTCTTGAGTCTGGATGGCTTGTGGCGCTTCACCGAAACAGGCAAGGAGTTCGGCATCGACATGCTTAGTAAACATACTATGCATAGCGATGTGAGCATATACATCGCCTTCAGTGGTGAATTCTTCGTGCGAAGGCTAAAGCATCAAGATCGTGAACAGAACGACAACACTGACCTTACAGATCGAATTGCGCCACCTTCTGCTGACCCTGAGAATTCAGGAAATCCATCAGGACGGCATTCCCATGGCGATATACCTAAGGACCCGTCCCACTACGAGCTCATAATAGATAACGATAGTGGCACTTATAGGCCCAATGCGGAGCTGCTCCCACTGCTCAAGGAATACATGGCTATGAATCTGCCAGGATTACGTGTTGCGACACTCGATTGTCAGAAAGACGAAAAGAAGATGAAGAAGCTGAAGGAAGAACAAGTCGAGCGTAAGAAGCGATCTGGCAAGCAGATTACCTATATGCAGAATTCAAGCATGAGTAGTCTTAGCTCGAGCGATGAGGAGGAGCTTGAGGCCAGAGCGTTGGGACAAGAACGGCCCAATGCCTACAAGAGGAAGGTCGCTAAAGGACAATCCAAGATGCAAGCTCATGCACACAAGGACTCGGCGAAAAAGGAAAGCATAGGCCAAGAACATGCTTACCTGAGTCCTGAAAGGCACAATAATAACGAATACGTGTCTGATCGGGACAGTCGAGACATGTCTTCGAGTCTGAGCTCGGGAGAACACGTGCTTCGGAGTCAACGAGTCGACAATCGAGAAGGACTGCGAAACACGAATGAAAGCTACGCCTCTAGAGATTTGCCGACGCTTCTGAAGAAGGACACGAATGGTCATGTGCCACAACCACAGACTTTCTCAGAACACGAACCTGAACATCCTTATGTTGAACCTGAGACAGGCGATCACAAGCCAGCTGGAGGAATTGTCTATAATGGTGTAATCAGTACTGCTGGAGTTGAACGGAGTTGTCGGCCTCATGCTAAACATTGTGTCACAAACTGTGAGGCAAAGCAACAATGAGCATGTGTGCATGTGATATCCCGTAACGATACCATTATAATTTATGCTTGAATGGATAGCGCGGATGGACTCCACTGAGTTGGTCTGTCTCTGCATTGATACCCAGATGATACTCGCGTTTGCTTATTAGTGCTGAAGAGGTCTGTGTTACCTCGACGGCGCCCCGGCAGTCTTGAACAACGAATAAAGATGACAATATTTAGCTCAGTGTCCTTGCATAATGCTGATCAGCATTTTAGTCAATGTCAGACGGCCATGTCGCCACAAGAAGCACGACTTCAGCACAACACGCTCCGACAGATACACAGTATGCTAGATGACCACGAAAAGCACGGTCTGAAAAAATTGTGTAGGTCATCCATCCTCAAGGCAAACGAGGCAGTCGCGACGCGCAATCGCTAGTGTGGCAAAGCCTAACCGTTTCGGGAGATCGTCCCTTGGAAATTGCTAGAAGAGGCAAGAACGATGTGGCACTATCTCGCACTTTCGCCACGGCTGACTGATAGGACTTTTACAGAATGCTTGCTAAGATGCCTAGCATGTTCTACGATCAGAACAAAGATCTATAAGATCAAGACTCGCGTTTCATTGTAGTAGATCCTCACCATCAAGGTAGAACATCTTCCGAGCAACTCAAGAATTCTTCTTCAATCAAATCAGTCACCAAGCATAAGCAACTACACAAGCGACATGTCTTCACTCTTCTTCCGACCAGTTGTCACATATCCAGTGCGCTATAGCGTACCATCATTCTTCGCTCGACCCTCAATCACACCTCATGATGTGGCGCCATTGTTCTCTCTCTTCGATGAGACCTTTGCTCAGCTCGAGAGAGCGCAGCGACAAGCAAGACAGCACTACAGACGGCCGTTCAATCCCAAGTTCGATGTGAAGGAGTCCAAGGAGGCATACTCTCTCGAAGGTGAACTTCCTGGATTTGACGCTAAGGATATCAGCATTGAGTTTCTTGATGATGGTCATACCCTGCAGATCAAGGGCAAGACAGTGAAGGAGTCAAGGAACGACCAACAGCCCAAGTCGGTGACTGCCACGCAATCCGACGCACCAAAGGCTGTTGAGTCAGCTCCTACCGAACAAAAGTCTGACACTGGCAGCGTCAAGAGCCATCAAGCCACAGTCGAGGACGATACTGAAGAGCAGCCAGCCAATTCATCTGCTGTTGCTGAACAACCTCAGCAGACTGAGCAAGTGGTTGCAGAGTCATCACAGGCTCCTCAGCAGCAAGTAGCTCAACAACAACCACAGGAAGAGTCAAAGCGGTGGATCAGCGAGCGCTACACAGGATCCTTCACGAGGTCATTCCAGTTTCCGACCAAGGTCAATCAAGATGCTGTGAAGGCATCATTGAGGGATGGCATCTTGGCCATTACTCTGCCGTTCGCTCGAAAGCCAGAGAGCAGAAAGATTCAGATACAGTAAAGGTGGTCATTGTGACTAATATTTGGGATGATTCTTTGGGACACCATTTGTACATTTACTACCTTTGATACACTTACAAGCATGGCGCTGGATGCACTAGGTTCCAGAATAATAACTCTCTGATCCTTTCTATTGTTTTTCTTGCATATCGTTTTCCTGACTACAAACAACATCTGTAATGCTTCTTGGGAGGATGTTCGATGTTACGAAAACTGAGTGCATCGCTTTCCAATCTAACCGCCCGGAATGACTTGGTGCGGACCACCGACCCCAAGAATAGCTCAACACTAGCAGTAGTAGTTCTCGCCACTGAACATCATTCGGCGAAATCAAAGATCGTGTCTATCACTTCTCACACTATGAGATACTGATAGTCTGTATGCCCATTGAGCTGAAGCTCACGCTGTAGACAACCGCCCTGTTACTCTCATTGCGATAAGCGTGAGGTACTCGAGCACTGACGCCCGTGTGGAAATCGTGGCTGGTATCGCGGACGGGAAACAGACGCTGACTCCAGTGACACAAGCCACATTTGACGCGGCCCAGACGGGGTTGATGTGCATGAACCAGGTTTTTTGAAATCCTTGATCCTTGCCATGGCTTAGGGCGGCTCCTCTGAAACCAGGTGTTACCAAGATTTCTGCAGCAACCAGACAGGTAAACAACCTAGGCGAAACTTACACTAACGATACCTCCATTACCAAGGCCAATCACATCTACCATGGCTCGCTCGTCGCACACCGCGCCATGTGAGTGTTCCAGCCACTTCTTTGACCACCAAGATCTAGACAAGAGATTGTCGTTTACAGCCAATCATGTCGATAGCACGGCAATCAGTTCTCGAGATCCCGACATATTCAGGTTTGACTCCGATTTCAATCAGATACCCTGGTAATTCTCCGGCGCTGCCTCATCTTTGCGTACCGTAAGAGGGAGGCAAATTCCCAGATGTCGACGACTTTGTACATAGCAGCTCTTGTCGACTCTGTAAAATCTATCGAAAGAACGTCGACGAGCTCGCGGGTTCTCGCAGTGAAGAAGGTTTAATGATTTACATCAATATGCATGCGCACTAAGTTTGTGTGTGTGATCGGCTCCCAGCCTACTCGGGTAGCTCGTCAAATCTGTCAAGTCTTGGGTCATGGCGTTCATGCGGAGAAAGTCCGTTGTTTATCATGAGGATGTTTATACCGAGGACTTTGAACCACAACGGCGTCGACGACTTTCCAAGCCAAACACCAAGTCGATGAAGGACTTGTCATCTACGATGACCGTCCACACATCCGGGAAGAGAGGATCCAGCAATGCTTCGCAAGCAGATCTTCATAGCTTGTATCCAAATGAGTCGAGAGAGGCCTTGAGGTCAAAGTTGCTCGCCTCCAGCTCAGATGTAGCATTAACCAAAGGACATGGAACAGGTTCGATGGTGGCAGCTACAGCAGCGAAATATGAGAGGAACTCACTGGCATATCCATCACAAATGTCGCCCACTTCCTCGAAAGGGCTGCAGCACTCAATATCCCGTTTGTTGAGTTTCAAGGCGCCGTCCGAAAGTCACGAGCCTGGCGCGAGCAATCCTATGAGCAAGGACCAGTACGGCGACTTTAACTTCGGTAGTGTTAGCCCTTCAGCTTCGTCACTCGAACAAGTTGCTCAGGATTCTGCACCGCCAGCCAGGAGAACGGCTTCATTTACACCTGGGATGGCAACGAGGGCGACCAACTCGCAGAATAACCTCATAGCTGTGGCGCCTCTGTCTCCACCAATTCGCGTTGAAGTGATGCCCGGCGATGATACCGACAAACAGGCACCGAGCATTGAAACGGGTGAACCCTGGACTCCGCCGCCACAGAACAACCGCCCGGTGACGCCAATGAGCCTTGAATATGGGCATATCGGTAGACTGGATTTAGGCTCTTTAAGGGTGGTGAACGGTTCTCCTGCGCCAAGTGAAATTTCGAAATACAGCAAGCCCATGTTATGGTCATCTGGCGTACGAAGGAACACCTCAAGTGTTTACGAGTCCGACTATGGCACCATGAGGTCTAGGAAGGCGATGAGTCTCACTCCGGAGAATGAAATGGTATCCGCATTGAGCCGGCCCAGCGTACAGACAAGGGATGTTCATGGATCATCGACGTCCAAGGTTGGTGCAGATTCACGACCTCGACACCTGTTCGATGAGACTGTGCACCAGGGACACATTGGACCGGCCAAAGTCACGGAAACCAGCGATGCTACGAACGACATGGCAGAGAATTATAGAGCAGAGTTGCCACGGAGCCCATTTATGAGCTCTTCTCCACCACAATCGCCAGGTTCATTACCATGGAGGACGACAGAACCACTGTCTTCTCCCATACTTAGTGCAATGTCACCACATTCGTTTGCTGCAGGTTACGACAATTCCGATACCAGGTCTCAGAAGGCCGACCACTTTGTGCGAGAAGTTCCGATTAGATCGAGGAGATCGTCTAATTTGGCTACACACACTGAGTCGCCACAGGCTCAGCATTCAAGCCCCTTGTTGCCAGCTCAAATTCCACACAGATCGCATTCGCCTGAGTCTTTCTTCTCGGCACCTGAATCCAGCGACGACGGGAACGATCACTTCAAGTCTGCAGTTGAGCTACAGCCAAACAGAGACCGATCTAGATCGCCCAAAAAGTCCGTTCACGCATCGCCCTTAAAGCAAGTCTTCGGAGCTGGACATTTTGATATGCAGCCGCCTAATGCCTCGGAATGGGATAGTGGTTACAGTTCGCACACGTCTCTCAGTATAGCTAGCCTAACGAATGAAGCTGCGGATCGTGATTCTGAGGCCCTCAAAGGTGCCCTGGCAGACAGGCATAGATATGATCGCATGAACCCTCAAATTGTCAGGAAGCTAGGTCAGCCTGTCTCGGTAAATATTCCTAGTCCACACGCGGCTGTCAGCCCTGTCGTTGCCAAAATCGAAAATTCAAAAGCTTCATCAGACTTGCCATCGAGCAACGTGATTGGCAAAGATGCTGTTGCAGAGACAGCGGTCACGCCCATTCAAACCAAGGAGAAGCAACGGAAAAGATTGACGAAGTTAAGACGCAAGTCGGGCATCAACCCAGTTGGGGAACTTGTGGTACATCGACTAGTATCAATCGAGGGACTAAATATCCCGCCTGTCTCGACGACGGCTCGAGCAAACCTGGCTATGCGCTCCGAAGCTGTCCCTGAATTAGACAGGACGTACAAAACGCAGAACCATACGGCTCTTGATCCTAAAGCCTCAACTTTGTCCTTGGCTCAATATAATCCGGTCTTGCGGTTTCCATCACCTGAGCCGGAGCAAGATGAGCCACGCTCTAGACGCCCACGATCGCGGTCACGTACTAGAGGGCGATCACTTTCACGTCCTAGGTCTTGGTTTGGGTGGTCGAAGGACAAAACAATCGAGCAAAAGAAGTCATCTAATGCAGTAGCGCAAGAACCTGATTTGAAGGACCTTGGTTCGGTAATAGATCTCCTAGGTACGAATCCATACGATATCGCCCAGACGAGGAGACAAACACATTCACCATTGTTGCGCCAGCAAAGTTACGATCGAAGTGACAGTTTGCAGCGAAGAACGACGCCTTCAAATATCACGACAACCCCTGCGCGACCAAAGTCGATGATGGATGACGCAGCAGCTTCCAAGCTCTCGAAGATTCGACGACAGTCTCAAATCGAGAGGACCTCACAAGCAATATCTCGCAGGTCTTTTGATGATCGTGGAGGGATTCCTGGGAAAGTTCCGCATTCAGCTAGGTTAAGCATTGATGCTCCTCCACTACCTCCACTACCAAAGAAAGACGAGATCAAGAAGCGCATGTCTATGAAATCTGGGCGAGAGTTATCGCACAGTCCTGTCCCGATTGAGGAGACGCAGGCGACGGAGCCGGCGTTGACCACTCAAGAGCAAGAGGAGGCGCCTCCACCACCACCTCATTCACCACTACCAAGCTTTGTGGATGACGATGGTGACTGGAAGCAGCCAGAACACTATCCATGGCACATCCCGCCACCTGTCACAACGTTTGCGGACTACAACCATACCAACGATGGTCCTCTTCACGATAATTTCGGTCAGGAAGACGCACCCCCACCACCTCCGCCACATTCGCCTTGTCCTCAAGACGAGAGAGAAGGAAGGTCAAGAGAAGTCAGCTGGACTGCCCAGGCTGAAGCTTGGCGGGACAGGAAGCGTTCAGCTAGTGCCAAGCTCAGAAACTCGTGGCATGCTCGCGACGAGAGTACACATCGTGCACGCAGAGACTCGTCAACATGGCAAGCTCCTGTTCAGTATACGGAAGCACCCTACGAGGCTCACAAGCCCGTGTTGTATAACAACATGAATGAGATGTGGCATCAAGGACAAGGATACGACGGTGTTTCTGCTCACGCATACTACCCGCCGCAAAGGCGTGCTTACACCTACGACGACAGATATTATGGAAATGAGGATAATCAGTGGCCTTCCCAGGTCTGCGATGGAGCTCCCGACCTCGATCACTGGCAGCAGGAACCGTACTACCAACAATGGCCTATATCCAACGTTGCAAATGCTCACCAGTTGCCCCGGACGCAAACCTGGACAGACAGCGACCAACGACATTATCACAACCAGCCATATCGATCACAGCAACCATACGACTATTACGGTCCCCCCAGGCCTTCCTCAAGGCGATACTCGAACGAATACTACAACGATCCAATGTACCATCCTCAAGCCCCAAGATCGCACAGGTCTCGTCCCACATCACGACATAGCCAAACGCGTGATCCCCGGCCTACATCACGACATAGTCAAACACACGTCTCTCGCCCAACGTCACGGCACAGCCAACACTCGCGCAGGTCATTCGCGGAACAACTCCATCCCGAACCGGTTGATGTCCCGCCTGCACCACAATTCAAGAGTGCGCAGTTCCCGCACCCTGGGAGGTACTCAGGAGGCCTGGACTACGACTACCGCCAGCGATCGCATGGCTTTGCGGATTCAGCTGGTGCTGGTGCTGGTGTTGGTGCTGGTTATCCGAGTGGAGGAAAGCAGCAGCAGCATGGCATTAATAGAGGTAGCTGGCTGGATATGGAGGCTTATGGTGTTGATCTGGGGGATGTGCCTGCTATGCGGGCGCCGGTTCGTGCAACGGGTCTGACAATGATCTATCGTTGAGCAAGGAAGAAGAGTCACGTCTTTTGTCTCCAAATTTAGGGGTAATAGCAAAGCCTGCTGGCAAGTCAAAGATATGTATCTGTTATTTGAGATGAAACATAGGCTTTCGGGAGCTTCGTCCCATGCAGTGGACTATAGCCTAATCTTGAAGATACGTAGTAGGGTGATGAAGATACGAAGCACAGCAGCAGCCAGTAATGCATCAAGCGATGGCTGCGTTGATGCTTCTGGTGGGATAGACCTTTTAAGTTTTAACTTAATATCATAAAAACAATACCATGACTATCTGGTCTGAGACGTGACCGCCATGTTCAACAGTCTCGAATCCCCGTACAGTGGACTCCTTGCTCGACTGTGGGCGAGTATGTGGTCAGTGCCACGTTTCATTCAAGCATGTGGTCAAAGGCTTATGCAGGTTAGCAGGGAGCTTAGCATTTACCACCATGCATCGGGGGAGGTGAGACGCGCTGCATTGCCGAGAAGGCAGTGGTTGCGAGCTAGAAAATCCTGCATTGTGATATGCTGTTTCGCAAGCAACCTCCTTAAGCCCGTTCGAATCAAATCTGAGAGAGTTGTCAAGCGAGTTCGCAAGATCTTCCAAATGGCGGAGGAGCGCTCCGTACTCGACGGACGTTGCGACGCTGATTGTGAATCGTGGAGATTATGCCAGCCCCAGTATCTCGGGGATGTCTCGCATGGTGAGTGCGCATTGTTGTCCGACGACTTCATCCTCACATATCGCGAAAGGCTCTTTAGGCAAGGTAAATAGTAATCGAAGAAGTGTTCGTATGCAGATGACAAATATATCGATTGCTCCCATTCTGGGTCCGCACCGGTCGAGTTACGGAGCAAAAAGTATCCATACAGTAAGTATTACGAGATGAATCTCACATGATCGGATGTATCGGTTCCGTTATGGGAGTTGCGTGCAAAGTCTTCGCATATCAAAGCAGGTACAATGCGAGCAACTTCCAGTGCCTCCAGTAACCTAAGCCTTGCAAGTTCGTGGGATCCTTCTTCGCACAGTGTTAACTCGTTACAGTAGTGTTTCTCCCATTATGCGAGAGCTGTGACCAGCACGATCAGGCGAATAGAAGGCTGAATTTAGCAGTTCAGCCGAAAAGGCTTATCTACGTGTAAGATTTGTGGCGTTATCCGCTGAAGCCAGATGATGCACGCCAATATTTGGATCGTTCGAGTCTTTTGTCACGAGGCCTTCATTCCATCTGTTCAGCAGCATTGGTTCGAGTGACAATTTCATTATTCAATAGTACAGTAGCTTCTGCCATACTAACTATTTTCGTGTAGATGCGTTTTGAAGTAGTGACTGTGGTTCTGACTGCCTTCTTGCCATACGCAAATTCTTACCCGCGTCCAGAGAAGCTGTTTCTGCTTTGCGTGAAAATGCCGAAATTGCTGTAGCGTCTAGGGGTTTCGTGTGGAACTGGCCCAGCTTGTTTCAATGCTGTGTCTGATTCCAATATTAGCATGTACTACTACGGAGTCACTCTTGGGTATTGTTCCATGCCCGTCCACACTTGTAAGCTGTCCGTCCTGCTCAGCGGATCGCACGGAGTTTGGCCTCGGTTAGAGTGTTACATGCCCGAAACAACATCATGCAAGCCATTTGCTCCCAGTCCTCACAAACTCACACTTGGCTGAATGCATTTACAATCCATCACCGATCAAAGAGGCGATCGTATTTCAACTCGAGTGCGCAGGAAAAGACGTCACACCCAAGACATAAAGAATGAGGATTAGACTCAAGCCACAACTGCTCATAGTGGGAGGTGTGAGCACTGGCGCAGATTTGAAGCAAAATGACCTCAGCCTAGCTTGGCTGCACCTCTACCCCATGCTCATTTCGGTCATCATTGGAGTCACACACAATCCGCTTGTTCTCTGAGGCTTCTGCAGGCACGAATCAGATCTTAGGTAAAGTGCCGATTTATGCTGAGCTTTTCCAGCTTGGTGATCGTCCATGGTCGATCCTAGAGTTTGAGGTCCACCTAACTTCATTCCACCTGAAATCATGCATGACGTTCATACGAGATAGTGCATCTTCGGAACGCGCTCTTCACTTCGTTTGAAAGGTCGACGGCGGACGGTACCTCATTACCTTATTGGGACGCTTCGCTAGCCTGGCAGGTCCCCATGACTGGACGAAATATCAACGACCTGAATGATTTGTGGTGCTCCAGAGGAGATTCATCCACTTCTCCACGGCGATTGAGCTGCTGTCAAGATCTAGTTGACAGCTCCAGAAATGCAAATTCCGGCGCTTGCTGCATACATAACCTAGGGTGAGTTGCGGTCTTTTCACAACACTCTTCCTCTCTTCTTCGTACGGTAGACATCTTTCGTATTACTTGACCCCGACCAGTACACACAACATGTCGACCAACCAAGCTCACAACCAGGTCGAGAACCCGGCATCTGCAGCTGCTAATGGCGGCACTCAATCTCATGACTTCGAGAAGATCACACAAGGCATGAGCCATGAAGAAAAACAGAAAGCTATACATGCGAGTCGATTTGGCTATGGACCTCTGGCTCATATGAGGACCAACGACAGCGGTAGTGGTGGCCTTCTCCCTGGTATGCACAACATCTTCATCGTCTCTACGCGAATAGTGGCTAATTATCTTACCAGCTTTCGGAGGAGAGTTCCAACCTGGTCTATACAAGGGTGTTGAAAACAGGAAATTCGCCAACCCAGCACCTTTGGGCCTCAGTGGTACGGACAATTGATCTTGAAGCTTTCGCAAGTAAGATACTGATATCCTGACAGCTTTCGCATTAACAACTTTCGTCTTGAGTTGTATCAACGTGGGCGCTCGCGACATTGCGGAGCCCAATATCGTTGTCGCCCTGGCCTTCGGTTATGGTGGTCTCGTGCAACTCCTTGCCGGAATGTGGTATGTAACAAGAGTTGCCCAGCTCCAAAGTACCAAGACTAATAGACGACAGGGAAATGGCTGTGGGAAACACTTTCGGTGCTACTGCTCTCTCCTCATACGGCGGATTCTGGCTGGCATTTGCTATCGTCCTCACTCCTGGTGGATTCAACATTGTTTCCACACTGGAAGAGACAGACAACGGCGCACCTACGCAATTCCACAACTCCTTTTCACTTTTCCTTTGGGTAAGTTTTGCATTTTCCATCACAATTTAGCATCGTCTGACATGAATCTAGGGCTGGTTCATTTTCACAACTGTCTTACTTCTATGCACATTGAAGTCTACAGTCGCATTCTTCTTACTCTTCTTCACGCTTGACATGGCTTTCCTCTTGCTGGCCATCGGATACATGAACGAAACTGCTGAGCTCCAACCAAACCCATCGTGTATCAAAGCTGGTGGTGGCTTCGGTCTTGCGGCGGCATTCATTGCATGGTACAATGCTTTGGCAGGTATTGCCGACACATCTAACAGCTTCTTCATCATTCCTGTGGCCCATTTCCCTTGGTCAGAGACCGGCAAGCAGAAGAGAGGCAAGCCAAGCCATCTTGATTAGATGGCCGCAGCCATGTCAGGACTGCATACTATCACGAAATAAAAGTACCCGTCCGAATTTTGGGCGCAACCATTGATACCCAGCGAGGACTTCTCGCGACGACGTTGTGTTAACGAGCTACATAGTAATAACAACCATTTTGTAATATCATAGCTGTTACTTCACTTCAATGCTTATGTCTACAAGCCACTACGCATGCTGTACCGTCATAGAATTCAGGAACACCTTCGCATACGCCCGTGACTGCCACCTGCGTTTCCTCGATCACCGTTGACCCGCTCGTTAGCAGGAGTTGTGGATACCTTGACGTCATGCTGTGTCGCCTTCCTCAAACGAATACCACGAACATCGTTATCTCGATGCAACCTAGCTTTTGTGCTCGTGTAGCCACATTGCATAATAGTCGCTACCAAACAGTTCTCAAGGCATTGTATCGCTAGCCGCGTATCCACTCCTTGTACGAACTGCTAGCAACTCATCCGAAAGAGAGGCTCAACCACTGCAGCAATGCATCAATGACCAATTGACAGCAGGCAGAATGAGCATTTTCACAGAAGCCGTCAAACAAGCTGTGATACTTGGGGGTTGTTGACCGCTAGTTTCACCGTTGAAACGACATGCCACGTCGCGCTGTCAAATCTGAAGGCGAGATAAGTGACATTTCGTAAGAGATAGCCGTCGTCAAAAGTGGGTCATGCTAACCCAAGGATACATACTTCTACCTTGACTTTCTTCCACTTGGATTTTGCGATTGGTCAAGATTTGTATAACGGCAGTCTTACGAGATTATCTTAACGTCCTTGGCCGCTGTCCATTCAGACGACCTTGACCTATCTTGCACCCCTGGGTCACAAAGTATACCTCCAGTCACACCTATTTTACGTTGTCCGTGTCCCAACTACTGTCTCGGCGTTCTACATGCTTCAACATGTGTGGAATCAGTTGCATCGTGGCCTTGGAGGGACGTGCAAAAAGTGGAGGAGCAAGAGACAAGGCGGACATCGAACGTCGACTAGAAGCCAGCTTCGAGAAGATCCGTCACCGTGGGCCTGACTCGACTGGAAAATGGGTCAGTCAAGACGGCAAAGTGGCTCTTGGCCATGTACGACTTGAGATCAACGACCTGAGCTCTTCCGGTAGCCAGCCCTTGCACTCGGCCGACAATACGCTTCACTCGGTGGTGAATGGTGAGATCTACAACTACGAAGAACATAGGCAGGACATGGAGGAGAAGCTGAACTACAAGTTTCAGGGCACATCTGACTCGGAACTTGTCTTGGCTCTATACAAATACTATGGACTCTCATTCTTGTCGAAGATTCGTGGAGAGTACTCCATCTGTCTGTATGACCAGGAACGCGAGCTTTTCTTAGCAGTCAGAGATCGTTATGGTATCAAACCCCTATTCTGGACCATTCAGGACGGTGAGCTCATGTTGGCTGCTGAGATGAAAGCTTTCTTGCCAATGGGCTGGCAGCCAGAATGGGACGTCAAGAGCATTGTGGGTGGTGACTTCCAAATAGCTAGTGCTACTATCTTCAAAGGAGTGCAGAAAGTAAGACCTGGTCATGTGCTCATGTGCAGGTCCTTTGGCACGGTACATGAGCAACAATACTGGGACTCTGAATATCCTGACAAAAACGTCAAGGATCCTCGCTCAGAAGAAGAGATGATACAAGGAGTCCGCGAACGACTACTTGACTCGATCAGACAAAGATTGAAAGCTGATGTCAAAGTTGGTGTCTCCTTGAGTGGTGGTATTGATTCCAGTGTCGTCGCCGGGATGGTCAATCACCTGATGCGCGAAGGTGCCAAGATTGGTGCGGAGTCGGAGAATGAGCGGCTCAGTTGTTTTGGCATTGCTTTTGATGAAGACAGTGGTTTTGACGAGTCAATTACGGCTAATCGTACAGCTGACTTCCTAGGTGTCAAGTTCTACAAGAAACATATGAACGAGCAGGAACTCGCTAACAGCTTTGAGGATGCCACATGGTTGGACGAACAACCGAATCCAGACCTCAACTTCATTGGCACCTACGCTTTGTCGAAGCTGTTCCAAGAAAAAGGGTTCCGGGTCAACATCAACGGTCAGGGCTCCGACGAGATATTCGGTGGCTACAACATCTTCCTGCCAGACTTTCTGCGAGAACCGGATCATACCTTCAGTGGAGCTGCGATACCAGACGAGGTTCGTGTACGAGCTCTCGACGAAGCAGAGAGCAAGCTGAACGAGGTCTACGGTGGTCGGCTAGACCTTAAGGGTACCTCTGTTGCACGTCGACAGCTCAACAACACGTTGACGCCGGCACAGATGGCTGCTGCGTTTCCACCCTTGCCCTTCAAGGAAGATTTCCTCCCAGCTAACAACAAGGTGGATGCGTGTCTGACTTATGCTGAGGGAGTCCATGGTACTATGCTAGAACGCGTTAACAGCAGATGGCACCCACTTCACACAGCAGAGTACATCTTCACCAAAGCACATTTGCAGAACCTTTTACTTTCCAATCTCGGCGACCGAGGAGAAATGGCACACTCAATCGAAGGACGAACTCCATTCCTCGACCATAAACTCACAGAATATGTCAACCACCTCCCACCAAGCATGAAGATCCGACGAAACGCCCACGGTGACTGGATCGAGAAGTACGTGCTGCGGGAGGCCGGCAAGCCGTTCATCACTCAAGAGATCTACGAGAAAAAGAAGCATCCCTATAGTGCACCAGTACAATTTCCCAAAGGAGGTCCTTTGTACAACCTCTTGAAACGTCTTGTCACCGAAGAGAACGTTTCCAAACTTGGCTTCCTGGAGACCAAAGGACTGGCCAAAGTTGTTGATGATGCATTTGAGTCAAAGCATATGCCTACTTTCAGACTGGCCATATGTCTTGCACAATGGATTGTGTTGCAACAGCGCTTCGGAGTGGCAAAGGCTGTGAGTGAGAAGACTATCCTTACCAACAACTTGGATAGGACTACGAGCCGAGAAGGTGCAAACCTGATGCTTGGATAAAGATTCCTCGCGGTTAAGCCCCGCCCTAAGTTTGTCGACTGCTGTTCTGGTTCCGTTATTAGGAGGCGTGTTGTATATATTCTTATGAACCAGAGGCAGGTGATTGTGTGCACTAATTCTGTTGGGAAGACCTAGGTTTCTTGCAAGGAGGAGCTGCGTGGCCTGGCTACCGATGGCCTATCGGCAGCGTTGGAGTCATACGGAAATGACAGCGAACCAAGGTTAATGCTCAAATTATCCTTCCACCATCTCATTTCCCTTACGCTTCACGATGCGCCAGCAAGCTTGTAGTGTATGACAGAGTGCGTAGGGAGTGTCTAGGGTCAGGAATCTGTGGTCATGGATGGTGATGCGTGGAAGCTGACGAGGCCAATACTGCTACTGTTACGTGTAGAAGCTTGGTATTAGCTTGGCGTGGATCGTTAGGATTGTAGTGCTGCTTGTTTCCTTGGTAGATCTTCGCACGCTAGTAGCCTTTCGCATCCGCGTGATAGCTGACAAACAGCTCGCCTTCACCATATAGCCACCCATATAGCTGGTCTTGGCCTTCACTGAGTGAGCTTACGGGAGTGACACGGACAATCGTCGCAGTATAACATGGGTAAATTCTACAGGCTGTGGACTTTATCGTTTGGGAATACGTAGATTAGTACTGCAGGACACAGATCGATGTCGGCCAGACGGGTATGAGTCTGGTCCGGTTGCTTGTGAGATTATGATTACGCAGGTCGGCAATACGTATGCACTACTCGAGTATACTGTGCTGCAGCATGATCATCTAGAAAGTTTATTGGTGTTAACATACGTAAAAGTGGCAGCTGATGAAGTTTCACCAACACATGAGTGCCATGAGCCTTTCTTCGATTGCAGACCTCAACGAGCAGACCGAGTCTGAAACACATATGGCATGCTGCCCGTTGTCTGCGAACCTCGTAAGTAACAAGGGCACGAGGCAACAAGAGAGATACATGGTTGTTGTAGGCACGTGGAAGGTCTCAGCCTAATAGGGAGGGCGTACGTGGACAGTGAGATGATTGCGTAGGCAGGAGTGATCTGATCGCCGGATTCTTAAGCCGCACCTAGTCTTACACTTTGTAGCTTTCATTACGCTTGGCAACTTCGTGGGCGTTCCAGATCATTGTTATAGGGCACTACTCGGTGGCAAAGAAGAAGAATCGTCAACTGAGAAGGATAGTGATAACAAGGCAGTCTTTGTGATGAGGCATGAGAAGTTGTTCACGCCGTTTCGAGGTTGAGCCTGGTGAAAGTGCCTGCAGGGCTGCGGCTCGAAATTGGCAAGTGGAGCCGGGATTGCGAATTGTGAACGAGACTCGTGGAAAGTTTGATGAAATCGCCGCGCGTTCACTTCTCGGCATGGACAAAAACGGAGCCATTCTGAGGCAGAGCGCGAATTAGCAGGCGTGCTGCGTCATGCCTTCACACGGTTCTGGCCAACCAAGTTCTTCTGCCTTTTTTGGGTCTCTGGGGCTCGCCCAGCAGGTCCATCTGAGGGGATTCGCAAGCCTGTGGCCGGAACGTGTGTACACGCAAACTCATCTCACGAGCTCAGTCCAGCACTCTTGAACGCACCACGCAATCTCTCAGCTTGGTCAACGAACACGTCGCTGTCGCCTCTTCCCCTGTGTCTAACTCATATCGTTGTTTTTCCCAACGCTGTCCGACCCATCTGCTGAAGACCGAAGAGATTTTCCTGGGCTTTACAGCGCTACTGAGAAAACCCCGGGTTGTGGCGAAGGACTAACCAACGCGGCTGTGCACGAGTCTCTTTCGTCTCTGCGCCTGGCTTCCAAACCACCACTTTCTCCCGGCTCAATCCCGTACCTGCAGCTCGCATACACCTTTGAGCACATCTTGCGTGCATGCCCAAACATCAGCAACAGTGAATTTCGACACTACATCGCGAACATGGCAGGGACTGGGCAGGTACAACCAACATCGCTGGATGAGCAATTTGACTTCAGCGCCGGCGATTTATCCAAACAGTTCGAGCAATTACTTCTGACTCGACGTCTGAATGATCTGGAAGAGCGAGCGAGAGGACCGCGGTCCTCTCAGTCTTCAAACAGGTCTGCTGCACCTTCACCGTTCCGACAAACACAGAGCTCGTCACCTGCTCCTCAACGACACCAGCAGCAGCAAAGGCAACAGCAACCACCTACTCCTCCAGCATATTCCTCATGTCGCAATACTCCTTTAGTACCATGCGCACCACAGGATGCTGCGTCCCTGAAATTTCGAAACCTCCTTCTCACACTTTCTGTTACACCTACGAAATACGAAAACCCAGGTCTACTTGACGAAGCATTAACACACATACCTATAGATAGGATATACTCAGAAGCCGAGGAAGAGCACAATATTATGAAAGGCATGGCTGCGTCAATAGGCGAAAACGTCAAGGAGGAGTGGGGTTATCAGGATTGTGTTATTCGATCATTGCTTCGGTATGTTGTATCCTGAAAGATCCAGCGGCTGCAACTAACAACCCCTCTAGGTGGTTCAAACGAGAATTCTTCGAGTTTGTTTGCAATCCTGCATGTCAAGTATGCCGCAGTCCGACTGTCGCTCAAGGCCAGGTTTCGCCCACACAAGAAGAAAACGCATACGGTGCCACGAGAGTCGAGCTGTACAAATGCCCTAACCCCGCCTGTGGTGCTCACGAGCGCTTTCCTCGTTACTCAGATGTCTGGATATTGATGAAGACCCGACGTGGCCGAGCCGGCGAGTTTGCAAATTGCTTTGGCATGCTATGTCGTGCTGCTGGTGCTAGGGTACGCTGGGTATGGAACACTGAAGACTCTGTATGGATTGAGGTCTATAGTCTTCACAAGCGTAGGTGGATACATGTCGATCCTTGTGAGGAGCTATGGGACACACCTCGTGTCTATACTGAAGGTAAGCTAGCACTTCCTCACTTCATGGCCTTCACTTTCTTACCAATCTTGACAGGCTGGAATCGCAAGTTCGCTTACTGCATCGCCTTCTCCAACGAAGGTGCCACCGATGTCACACGGCGCTACGTTCGAAACCCCTCAGCACACGGTCTTCCTCGGAACCGTTGTCCAGAAGAGTGCCTCTTATGGATGATGTATGAAATCAGGAAACTTCGAAGAGATGGCATGAACAAGCCCGACCAACAAAGGTTACGAGCCGAAGACGAAAGAGAAGAGCACGAGCTACAAGCATATGTCGCCCACGCCGTCACTAGAGACATGTTAAACTCTATACCTGGTTCCCGACGACAACACTCACGACCTGGCGAACAGAAAGTCGTCAATGAGGCCCAACAGCAGGCACAGTGGCAGAATACCCCGTTCATACCTCATCAACAAGACGGACGAAATGCAAGATGATAGACTTTCAACACGAACCTTTACCTACACTCACTCCTTGTGTATATGATTCTCCACGACGACACTAATGCACTCCCGCATTCATTTTCTCATTTATTCTGGTCTGGATTTCTAAAAGCATAGCATAGCATAGCAGTATGGCGCTCTCACCACAAAAGGACATGTTTAGCAAAGAGGGGCTCCTGTGGTTGATTTTTGTTCCTTGAAAGATGATATTTACGGATGGGCGCATTGCAGGAGCGACGACCTTGATTAAGCGATGGATCTGTCATCGTCAGGACAGATTGGGTGATAACAGCGAGCCAGGCATATATTAGACGAATTTCTGGTTTTTAGTTGGAGGGCAATATACGATGTGGTTAGATGTGAAGCAAACGAGGTGCAGGACATGGTACATGCGATGCACGAATGGTGGATGAGGTTGTCGGTTGGGCAAGAGTAGCATAGTATGCAGAGGTGATGATGCTTCGAATCGAGGATTCAAACGAAGATAGTAATCAGACATGATGGTTATTCCATCAAAATTGATACAAACTACTCTATTCAAGATATTATCCATTTTTATGTCGTCGAGCACCACCACTAGACGACTTGATGACTTGTATAGCAGACCGTCTATGCGTGCTCTCCGCAAAAAGCGCCTCGATCAAATCAACCACTTCCTCCGCACTGAACTCGAGACTGAGTCCCGCATCCGTCCAGAGGTATTTGATATCGACCAGCGAACCATCGAGGATCTGCTCGAGATACTGGAAGCGGAGGTAGGATGGAGCATGGAGAGCGATGGTCGAGATAGATGGCTGCTCTCCCTTTTCTTCTTGCTGACTCTGCATTACAGTGGTAGGATGGGGCGCCAAAAACAGATCCTCGAGCTTACTGACCTGCTGCATGAACTGCAACAGTTTTCTCGACTCGGATTCCTGGATGTCTTCCATGTCTTCGATGTCCTTGATCATCTTGGACATGATGCTGCTGACGAGGTTGCCGATGCTTTGTGCGAGGTGGCTGGGGGATAGGACTCGTGACCATTGAGCGTGCAAGGTGCGGAGATAGTCTGTTGTGCTGGAGATGGCTGTTTCGCATTGTGTGAGGTAGGGATCTACCGTGCAGGAGATGAAGCCTTGGGCGTTGTCGAGGAGGTCGTGGAGGATGGTGCGTTGGGTGGTTAGTTCGGCTGTGTAGGTTTGACGGGCGAATTTGGAGAGGATGTCGATATCGGCTTGGAGGGAAGAGGGGGAGTTGTGCGCGTGTTCGGAGAGCTTTTGGGCGAGGTATAGGGTGTCGTTGTAGAGGTTCATGCGGGAGAGGGTGGTTGAGGTGGTGTAGCGGTCTGTAGCTGTGGCTCGAAACATGGCGAGAACAAGGCTGGGCAGTGTCTGCATACCTGCTGCAGGCGATGTAGAGGTGTTGAAGTACGATTGAGGGAATGTTTGTAAAGTGTGCGAGTCGGCCATGTCTTTTCCAATTTGTTCAAGGATGTAGTCTGGAATGTCGGTGATAATGTACTCTTCGGTAAGAGTTATATCCTGCTCCTTGGGTTGTGTGTCGAGTTTGCCATTGAGATTATGTGGTGTGTCTCTGTTTGGCAAGGTATTGTTAGCGACGCTTTCATCGTCTCCCCACCCCCAAGCATCAGCATCATTATCGTCTGCTTCGGACTTCGAATTGGTGGACGCCTGCGCATCGCTTTCATGGTCATCAGCGTCGAACCCCCAGGCATCTGAGCCATCCTCCTCAGTGACCTCTGGATGCTTCACAACGTCGCCAGGCTTCTGAGAATCAGCCTCGTCCCAATCCTCCGCCCAGTTGTCATCAACTGACGGAGCAATATCAGGTTTCGATGACTCTACGACAACGGTCTGCCTCTCCAATCGTTGAACCTGGCGTGTACTGCCGGTAGCTATTTTGAGGGACTTTCGAACAGTGTCAAGTGATGTGGCACGCCTCTTGTTAAGCCATGTTTTGAGTATATCACTAACCCAGGCGTCAAGTTTATCAGCTTCGGCAACACCAACACCTCGGAGCCATGTAGCAAAGTCTTGGACAGTGTTTTGGAGCAACTGTATGTCCTTTAACTCGTCTAATGCTAAAGGAATTGAGACATCTAGCCAGTGGACGATAAGTCGAGGTATGATTTGAGCCGCAATATGGCTAACGAGCGATGTTTGCAGTTTGGCAGGTGTATTTTCGTGAACGAAATGCAGTAGATCCTTGATTGTGTTGACCTGATCGAGCGCTGAAGGGACAGTAGGGGACAAGAACAGACGAAGAGCATGACCGGTAGTTGTTGTTCCAGTAATATGTGAGCGAGAGTGCCGGAAGAAGTGTGGTAGCAGAAGGGAGTCTAACCGCTTTGTGAACTGGTGTCGAATGTCGTCAAATGCACCAATCGACTCCAGAGCAATCAAGATATCAGCCAGTGAGAAAGAAGAAACGTTTTGATCATGCTCGAGATGGGGATAGATTGCAAGATCGACAGCATCTGTGGTTCGGTTGATGCTACAGAGCGAGTAGAAGACAGATTGGAGCTCCTGGGCGAGATGCTGGACCAAATCTCTGTGAGTCTGTGATAGTAAAGGCCGAGCCTGATCGCTTTGAATGGACTGTATAGTAGTTTCTATATCAGGGAGAGCTTTTGCGGCTTGAGTGAGTTGTGCTTGACGAATATCAGCATCGGCCTTGTTCAAGCTGGCCGACGTGTTCGCGATGAGAACAACTTGTTGTTCCAGAGTTTCGTTGAAAGATATCTCATCCTGAAGCAGGCTAACTTTGGAGCGTGCGTCTTGTCTGGCCGAGCGTAAAGCCTCGATACGAGCATACTCCTGCACAATATAGCGGTAGTCTTCCTTACATCGCACGATATCCTGCTGTACCTTCTTTGCCTGTGAGATCCAACCGTTCACATCTTCAGCCTGATCCTTGCTGATTGCGCTTACACTCTTGCGCAAGTCGTCCTTTGCCAGTCGAATTTGTTCCAACAGTGGAGGGATGGCACTTGTTTTGATGTCGGATGATAATATTTCCTCCGAGTCTGGAAAGGAGCCATCCTTGATTGCAGAAACTATATCTGCCGCCATAGTAGCTACCTCTTCAAAACTAAAGCCTGGACACTACGTTCAGCATACACCTCATCGTTGAGTCGATTCAGCAGTACGGGTTCTATTGCACGACAGAGTGGTAGTAGCGTCCGCTCCCACCTTCGAGATACAACCGAAGATGTGCCGATGGATCCAGAAACTTTTTTGCTTCGCAGTGCCTGTCCAGTCCTCGACAAGATGAGTTCAAGTCGCTGAGAAGGTGCGTTACGGCACTACGAACATCATGGCAGCTTCGGAGGTGAATGGCGTCACGGCTCAAAATGTCCGTCTGCGTTTCACAACGCGAGAGGGGGATCTCGAACTTCAAAGCAATGCGCCAGTCTTGATCCCGACGACTTTTCGACGATACCAATTGTCGCAATACATCAATTCCCAGCTAAACCTTACGAGCCCAGTTCCGTTTGAGATTCTCGTAAACGGCAGCTACCTTCGAACGAGCCTTGAAGACTATCTCAGCCAGAATGGTATTTCAACGGAAAACACCTTGACCGTCGAGTACGTCCGAGCGAGGATTCCTCCCCAATATACTGCCAGCTACGAGCACGATGACTGGGTTAGCGATGTCCATGTCACCCCGAACATGCACGCCGACAAGCCAAGAATATTGACAGCAAGCTATGATAGTCGCATAAGAGTTTGGAATACATCTTCCCAGGTGCTGGCCACTTCCGCTGCTTCGTCAGATGGTGGCCATGCTTCCTTTGTGAAATCTGCCAAATTTGTATCTCCTACTCAGATCGTGTCCGCAAGTTACGATCGCACGGTGAAGGTGTGGACTTACCAAGAGAACGATGAGGCCTCGCAGGCTAGCTTGACCCCAACACTCGATCTCTACGGGCACCAAGCCGCAGTAGAATCCGTAGCAGCCCACGCGTCGACCCATAGACTCTTGACCGCTTCCATGGATCATTCTGTCGGGTTCTGGTCCACGAGAAAGAGTGACGCTCCACCCGCTCCGGGGAATCTCGTTCCAAGGGCGATCACCAAGGAAGGCAAGAGGAGGAAGCTCAATCCATCTATATCTACTGCTCAGCGCGGGCCGCTGTCTCTCATGCGTGCTCATACTGCTCCTGTTTCCGACGCCAAGTTCGATAAGAAAGATGCGACCGTCGGCTATTCCTCCTCGATGGATCACACTGTCCGGACGTGGGACTTGGCTACGGGTGCTTTGGTCGACACGAGGACGACGAACAGTGCTCTTTTCTGTCTAGACCAGATGCCAGCCTTGTCACTTCTGGCAGCAGGATCCGCAGGTCGGGATGTCAAATTGGTGGATCCTAGAGCTTCGGCGACACAAGTTGTCGCCATGACCTTACAGGGCCACAAGAATCACGTTGTCTCCTTGGCTCCGGATCCCAAGAACGACTATGTGCTGGCAAGTGGCAGCCACGATGGAACCTGTCGCGTATGGGACGTCAGGAGTACGAAAAGCGGGAAAGCAGGCGTTACTGGGCAAAGCATTTTCACAATTCCACGTGCGAGTCTCCAAGGCAAGCCAGCGTTAGCGACTGGGGAAGGTGTCAAGGTCTTCGGCTTGTGCTGGGACTCGCGGATAGGACTTCTGAGTGCTGGCGAAGACAAGGCTGTGCAAGTCAACAGCAGTGATAATGTGACTTGAGCATTGCGACCAGTGACTACAATTCGTGCCATAATTCTTGGGCTTTCGTTGGCAATATTAATTTCTGGAGCCCCACATAATGATGTGCCCCAGTGGAAACTCAAAACTTCAAGATTCGGCTCAAAGAAGCTGATCACGGAGCAATGCAGATCGAACTTGTCGAAATCAGCTGCTCGTGTTTGCTTTGGCGCCATCCCATCACCTCCTTTGTATGTTACCTTGTGTAAATTGTCCCCAAGCCGTACGCAGAATCGCACGAAAATCAAGAGAGAATGCTGTACGCACGTCTTGCATCCGGCTAACCCATGCTAGCCAAGAGCATGAACCGAAAGCCGCAAAGCCAGGGTGAGGACACCAGCACGGTGACGTGTTGAATCGTTATGCACTGATGTGCTTGAAATTGGGCGTGGCCGTCCTGCAGCCTTAGATATTGCTCAGCACTCAGAGCCCAGAGACATAACGAAAATCATACTCGCCAGACTCGGAAAAGGTTGAAGGACTTCAGGCCCCAGCTAAACACAGAACATTTGCCTCTTTTTGGCCTGCGAGATAATTTTTGGATTCTTGGAGATTAAGTTCCGAAGCACCGAACTAGCGGCAAAGCTCAAGCCCCGATCATTTTAGGTGCATTGGCGTGCAGTCAAGACAGCCCTGGATACCATATCCCAGGTCTCAGTGGGCGGACAAACAGATTGGTGGGTGAAGCCACTGTCATCCATTTTCGGTTCTCGTCAGGTCCGACCACACAAAGAGACACCCATGACGGCCATTTCCATCCACGACATCTGACACTAGCTTGAGTCCCAAAGTGGCTGCAAGTAACCTAAAGCTTTCCACTAGGAAGTGCTTAGGCCATGTCTTGCTCCTCCGCGCCGCCTGTTGGAGCCTGGTCAAAAACTTCTTGGGTGTGAGCCAATCCTTGTCTGTGGCTCGAAACCGCTGGCTGTTGAACAACATCTGCGCATTCTTTATTGTTGCTGGTCGATTGGCGAGCATCATCTATTCACATCCATTGCCGTCATCTGAATCGACGTCTACATTCTGCTTGATAATTGTCCTGCATCCTCAGTCAATCGTTCAGTAGTCGACCCCTGCAGCAGCGTGGTTTTGTGCCCAGTTTCGATTTGTTGAACACTCCCAGCCACTACTCGGTAGTAGTCTAGCAACGCTCCAGGAACCCAAGTCCGAAAATTACACTCGCTTGAGCAACGCGAACCAACCACTCTACAAACAGCAGAAGGGCAATTGCACTCACTTTTGCTGTACTCTGTCAAATCTTTCGAGCATTGCTATCCTGCTCCAAGTCACTGGCTTCAGGTTCGCACAATCCTATGTCATACATGATCTGTGCTCAATGCAAATACTGACATGCTCGGTTCATGCAGTCTTTCGGTCGACCTTCGATGATAACCTCCGCTCGTTACTAGACCCAGTACTCCTTCCTCTCCTTGCCCACTACTACACGATCTTGACCGACCGGTTGACCTCTTGAGAACACAAACATTCGCAACCGGCTCTATGCCAATAAAATTGCCCAAGGGGTTCCCGCGTCGCAAATCTTCAGGCACTGTACTGGATGACTTTTCCAACACCAACAATGACTCCAATACCGATACAGGTTCCTCCTTCAAGGTTCTAGCAAGGCCTCACAGCCAGGCTAAGTCCTTCGATGGTGGTGCTGCTCTACGACCCTCGCCTCTGACACCAAAACCATTGCCGCAGCCAAGGTCAAGCTTCGATGAAGACCATGAAGATTTATTTTCGGTAGCACGAAATGATGCAGCCAACCGGTGAGACAATATCAACGTCAAACTTTGGCACCTGCTGACCATGATAGCGGTAGTGGCGCTACGTCGAACTCTCTATCTACCGCGCCGTACGACAGCGCAGCCTCTTCTACACGATATAGCAATTCATCCACGAACCCCTCTTCCGTCGACTCGGGCTCTGGTAGAAATATCAAAGCAGCAGCAGGACAACCAGTCTACGACGACATTCCTGTTCCACCACCTCATATCGCAAAGAGTGGTTTCCTCAAAAACGCCGGTCGCACCTTTTCTTTCGGCATCACTAAGCACAATAGTCGAGAATCCAACGATCTGCCATCTCCATTACCGTCGGACAGGCATCGTCGTCCTGCCTTGGCCGAAACAAGAGAAAGAGCCATGACAACCAGCAGCGTGACAACCGCCACAGCACCTAGACTGGACGATGCCACTTTCTCTACCAAAGACGGAGATGACGACTTCGGTAACATGTTTGCCAACCTTGATTCCAGGTCGAGTCGAGACGTAGGTTGCATGGATTCTTCTCCGCCTAAGGAGGAACTATCAATAAACCAGACTAACCAATTCCAGCATACTGTAATAACCCGTCCAAGCCCCTTGAAGTCAGCACAACGATCTGCTCCACCAGAACCCGTCCGCGTCAATAGACACGTCCCAGTTGAAGACTCGCCTGCCTCTTGGAATTCTCAGCATTCTCAAGATGGTCTCATCGGCTCACCCAGCCCATCACGCACTGTAACCCAAACCAGCCCACAGTCATCCAACCTGCGCAACATCACAATGAACACAATTCGCTCTCAGGACACCAGTGATGACAACATGTTCGAAGACACTCCACTGCGTCGATCACCCGAGTCTGTCGCTGCCAAACCCACCATAACGACCTCTCCTCGACCACCTCCTTCCTCTTTTCCAGCGACAGCCATGACAAGAGCTCGTACTCAATCGAATGGAGCTTCTTCGATACAGCGGTCTGATGCTGGCTCCGAGTATGGGCAGCCTGCCTTCGACCCCTCCTTGTTGGCGAACGTTCAACTTGCCTCACGTTATGAAGAGACAGCTTCCTCGCCGACTCAGACAAACGCGAGCAAGGTTATGACTCCTGCCGAGTTCGAGCGCTACAAGAAGCAAAAGGAGGATACGAGACGGTACAACAAGGTCTTTGGCAAGGCTGATTCCGACGATGGCAGTGGCGACGATTATGACGATGAGGAGGACGATGAGCAAGAACGTGAGAAGCTGGCGGCTAAGCAGAGAAAGAAGCAGGAAGCCCACTTGGCCGTATACCGCCAGCAAATGAGAAAAGTCGCTGGGGATGTTCCTAATCCGGACCAGAGACCGGGCACCAGTATAGGCATCTACCAGTCCGGGAACGCGAGCCAGAACGACCTGACCACCATGAACAGACGTATGTCTCAGCTGACTGTGGATGGTGCAGCATCTACACCGCTTGGAATGGGGAAGCTTCCCGTGGATGATGAGCCAGACGAGGATGAGGACGTTCCACTAGGCATCCTTGCTGCTCATGGCTTCCCGAACAAGAACAAACCACCTACACGACTAGCAGCCTCAACTTCGAATCCCAACCTGAGAAACTTGGCCCAAATGCAAGGGGGAGCATCGGTCGTCGGAGACCCAGCAAACAGAGGCTCCTTGCCAGCTTTTGCACGGCACTTGCCCCCGGATCCCTACTACGGGGCTAGCCTTGTTCACCAGGCCGAGCGAGCACCTCTCAACATGTCTCAATCACAACTTGTCACACAACCTCAACCCTCGGGCGCCGCAACCGCCCATCCTTTACACCCTGCAGGACTTGTAGGCGTTATCGCTGGAGAAGAACGTGCTCGTGCCCTGCGGCGAGGCAGTCCAAATCCACAAGGTGGCTACGATATGCCTATGGGCTCTGCTCCGACCTCTGCAAGAGTACCTCAATTTATGCCGCCTCAGCCAGTGCTTACACCGTCCGAACATGCACAGTTGCAGATGTCCCAATCTATGGCCCAAATGATGCAGATGCAGATGCAGTGGATGCAGCAGATGTCAGCCATGATGGGCCCAAATCAGAGCATGCAAATGCCCCCAATGCCTATGATGGGAATGGGAATGGGAATGGGAATGCCAGGCATGCAGAGTTTGCCTCAATTCCAACAGAACGGTGTTCCGATGCAGCCACAACATCCCGGTATGCCACATCGCCCGCAGTCCGTGCCGCTACAGAACATTCATGGAGGTCAGCAACGGACTATGAGTACGCTCAGCCCAAGCATGGCCCCATGGACCAACTCAATGCCGGCGATTCCGCAAATGGTGCCTGGTGGCTCAGTATATGCACCTTCTATAGCACCATCGGAACGAAGTAACGTGGGGTTAGCGCCTCGATACAGACCTGTTTCTACCATGACCCAACAAGCTGAACAACAGAGGCCGAACTGGGATAAAAGATCATCCACGTTCTCCTCGGCGACTTTCCGTCCATATTTGAATGAGAATGCACAAACTAAGCCGACGTCGACCATCCGAACTATCACACGCGTTAATGATGATGAAGATGACGAGCAAGGCTGGGCAGAAATGAAGGCGAAAAAAGAGAAGAAACAGAGAACATGGAAGCTGAGGAAAGGTAATACAAATACTTTGCAGGAGTTGTATAATGCGCCAGCCTGAAAGAGTCGGCAGAGGACGAAAATTCTACAAGTTCTTTAATAATGAGGTCCGGTTGTGCACAGCACTTCGGACACAGTGGGTATGAGCTCGGATTACATCGGTTGGCACGACAAAGACTCAACTAAGAGCTTGTTCGTTGCGTACAAAATTCTTACACTAATGACTTATATAGCATGGCGACGAGATATGGTTCGGTCCAGAAAGAAGTGTACAGAGACTTGTTGGATAAAGAACACGATCCCGATATTCGTACATATCTGCCTCACTACAATTTTCCCGATTCTGCTCTCACTCCAGTCTGATAAATATATATGCTCGATGCTAATGTGACAGATATTATCTACTGGTTCTTGGCAGAACGCGGGACTCCGCAACGACTGATAAGAAATGCTACTTATTCATTACCGACCTTGTCTCTCGTACATGGGGACGCATCGCCAAGATAACAAGTTATGCCGGAAGATAACTACATCTCGCAAAGAGGGTCAGATCCGTTATCTGCACCAGTCTTCTCACGATACCGGTGGAAGCCCGCATGCCTTCCTCGACCGTTATGCTGGAGTAGGATCCCTGCGGACGATAAAGAGTTGACAAGGCCATGGACATCAGCGATCGAGCCAGTATCTGGAAACAGCTGAGCAGAGCATTACTGTATCTTGGTAGTAACGATGTGTTCCGTTAAGGCCAAGGTGAGTGCCGCTAAGCTTGACATCGCGATATTCAGGCACAATGCATCTGGCTAGGGTACCGGGTCCAATGAGTATAAAACCAGCTTCCTTTGTTGTGCAGTTGTCGTTCTGTCGTCTTCACTGACTGTGCAAGACGTATTTCACGTGCCACTCGCCTTCGATAGACCTTGCCGTCTTCTTGCTCCCGTCTACCACCACATACTTACGCAAAGATGTTATTGCCGCGAGCTCTCTTTACATCCCTTTTCAGCCTTGGCCTCGCAGCTGCTCTGCCCACAGCAATCCCAGACCACCCCACCACACTCTTCACCCGCCAAGACGTCCAGTCCGCCATCAACGCCTCCCTCCCCAACGTCACCATCTTCGCAACAGGCGGCACCATCGCCTCCCAAGGCACCTCCAACACCCAAACCGTCGGCTACTCCGTCGGCCTGGGAGTCCAACAACTCATCGACGCGGTCCCCGAAATCCTCAACATCAGCAACATAGCAGGCTACCAAGTCTCCAATGTCGGGTCAGGAAGTATCAATGAGACGATCCTGCTGCGACTCAATGAACTGATCAACATCGAATTGGCCAAGGAGGATGTCGCGGGTGTGGTTGTCACGCATGGCACAGACACGCTTGAGGAGACGGCGTTCTTCCTGCAACTCGTGGTTAATAGCACGAAACCTGTGGTGTGTGTGGGTGCTATGAGGCCTGCTACGGCGCTGTCGGCGGATGGGCCGCTGAATCTTCTTCAGGCTGTTACGTTGGCTTCGGCGCCGAATGCTGTTGGACGGGGCACGATGATTACGCTCAACGATCGGATTGGTAGTGCGTGGTATACGACGAAGAATAATGCGAACTCGCTGGATACGTTCTACTCGACTGAAGCGGGACAGTTGGGGTTCTTTATCAATCAGGTGCCGTACTTCTATTTTGATCCTGCTCTGCCGGTTGGTTTGACGCAGTTCGACCTTACTGGCGTTACGGACCTGCCTATGATTGATATCCTCTACGCACATCAGGATATGGATCCGGGGCTATTCAATTCTTCTGTCGTTAATGGCGCTGAGGGTATTGTGCTGGCCGGGGTCGGGGCAGGCGGAATGTCTGCTCGAGCATCGATTGCTGCTGAGGCTGTCTACAATGCGACTGGGGTGGCGATGGTGGCTAGTCATCGTAGTTCTGACGGATTTGTGCCGTCTTCAGAAGGGGGTTTTGCCATTGCGAGTGGGTTCTTAAATCCGCAGAAGAGTCGAATTTTGTTGCAGTTGAGTTTAGCGCTTGGTTATTCGAATGAGGAGGTTGCCGATGTCTTTGCGGCTACTTATCCCGCACCAGTTGCGGCAGCGATGAGGAAGAGGAGGTGAAGAAGATTATGTATATAGAGGATGGGTTTAGCTTTTCATAGCGCAGAATTAGAAGCTGTCGTCTATATTCACTATTGATTGCAACCGCCTGTACCTGTAGTCAGAGCGCCGTCATGGGTACGTTCTTAATCTCAAGGTCGTCCACTAGGGAGCAAGGTTATCTCCCCTTTGAACAAGTGTTCTTGATGCGCTGAGGAATCAACCTGTGGGTCGCAAGCGACAGCGCCCCGAAACGATTCTTAAATTGTCTTAAATCAAGTCAGTTCGATGTCTTCGGTCGTCCCTGACTTCTCGGCCTTAATTCCTGTCACTGTCTCGACGTGAGACCTGCTCAACTGAGCCTTCGCTACAAAGACACCACAAAGCAGTCCTAGGAACGCCAGAACTGTATACATGATCCACATATTCCGCATTGCCCATGAAAAAGCGCGCTCAGCTGCACGTCGTTGCATGGCGTCTGTCAGTTGACCCGCCAAAGCAACGTTGGCGGCTGCCTCCTTACCACTCAATGCCTCTACAGCCTCTGCTCGTAGACCGGCTCGGCTGAGATTACCGGATTGCGCGTCCATGCCATTTTGAAAGACAACGCCGCCAATAATCACTGAGACTGAAAGGGCGATGGAACGACAGAAACTGAATGTCGAGGTCGCGGTGGCAACGTCTTCCTGCCTCGATCGACTTTGGATGGCAATAAGTGGTGCTTCGAAAAGCATGCCGGAACCACAACCAAAGATGATGGTGAAGCCAATGAATTTGCCAAGTGAAGTATCACGATCCAACATGATAAACAAGCCGTTGGCTAGAGTGAGTAGAAATGCACCCACCCAGATGAGTTCTCTGTATCTTCCTGTTCTGTGGATGATGACGCCGGCAAGAACACCAACGCATGCAGTAGCAACCACCAGCGGGATGAGGAGCACACCAGACCGGACAGGAGAATACTGCTTGACGCCCTGAAGGTAGAGCGGCGTATAGTACTCACCTGGCATGAATGCAAGGCCATGGAAAGCCCCAACGCCTATTGCTGCCAGGTTGCTCCTGTCTCTGAAAAGTGCCAATGGGATCAAGGGATGCTTCGCCAGCTTAGCTTCTGAGTAGATAAAGACGCCGAGCATACAGGTTCCGATCACGATCAAGCAGATGACTTTGGCACTGTTCCAAGCAAAAACGTCTCCGCCGAAATCTAGACCCAGAAGAACCATAAGGGAGAAGGCTAAGAAGCTGATGATCCCGAACCAATCGACAGCTTTGAGCCCTGTCTTGAAGCTGGTCTTTTCATGTCGAACATCTAAGAAACAGAAGAGCAGTAGGAAGGCAATACCACAAATAGGTAGATTGATGTAGAAGCACCAACGCCAGGAGACCAGGTCGCTGAAGAGACCTCCCAGAGGGGGTCCTGTGCCACCAGCGACTGCCCAGACGCCTGGTTCGTGATATATTAGCAAAGATCTCCTTGTGGTTTCAAGTCAAAAATGCTCATTTTCACCACATACCTTCGGTTATTCCCATGAACAAGGATCTCTTTCGGACGCTGAACAAGTCACCTATGTAATGTAAATACAAGAACCAAAAATGCAGAACGAGACCTACTGATCACCACATGGACAAGCAGTATCAGACCACCACCTGCTACACCCTGCAATGCTCGGCCGGCTATAAGTGTCCTCATAGTCGTGGCCGTAGCACAAACAGTACTGCTGGCGAAGAAAATGCTGACAGCGCTTAGCATAATCATCTTTCGGCCCCAAATGTCGCTCAATTTGGCCCAGATTGGACTTCCTACAGCATTGCCAATGAGATATGCGCCGCCAACCCAGGAGTATCCGGTCGCTGATGATAGCTCATGCGTTATGACCGGAACTGCCGTAGCAACTATGGTTGCATCGAGGGCAGCCACAAAGAGTGATAGGAAGAGAGCAAGGAGGATACAAGAGAGGCGCAAGGTAGATCGCGAGCTAGGCGTTTGATAGCCATCATTCGAGCTCGTTTCTATTCTCAGCGTGTCTGGTTTAGCACTAAATGTCAGGTCATCTTTGGCAGAGCCAGCAAACTGAGGGCTGGCTGCACGCTGGACAACTGATGCTTTAAACACCGGCGAAGCTAGACCATGCTCTGCACTGGTATCACTTACGCCAGACGGAGTCTCTGTCCCTGCAGCATCTTCTTCGAGCTGCGACGAGGACTTGGGGTGCATGAAAGATATAGTCTTGGCTGAGCTTTGTGCTTTGGAAATTTGCTGTTCAGGAGCTCAGGCTAGCACAAGAAACTGTTCGTCCTTTTTTCTGCCACTCCGGATATGCGTGCTATAGAAGAAATCTAGCTCGACGCCCATTTCGAAGAGGAAGTGAGAACTGCATGAAGTTGCGACTGGGCAAGACAACCCTATTGGCAAGAGTGACTCATGAGGAGCCATTTAACGGGGAAGAGCGATGCTTGAGGCAAGCTCAGCTGCGGACTCGAGCCATTATCAGATCGGGAAGTTGTGACGAGCCGCAGTAAGATGGAGATTGTTCTCAGCATAGAAGCGGATCAGTCTTATTTACGCATGATCGAGCCAGAGAGTCCGAGTATCGGGAATCCTATAATTGACAGACCACACTTACATATAGAAGAGGCCGTTCAGACCGCATATAGCTCGCTCGAACGCTCAACAAAAGCACATCGTTAGTCATGAATATATACTGCCCACCAACGTCTTCTTCGTCTGTGTGCACAAGGACGTCGTCGGGGCAATTAGCATAAGAACTTGTACAACTTCTTCCACCTCGGCCAGTGCATACGCTCTTCCCTCTCCTGAGCCACGAGAACTTTCAAGTTTAGTTCTCTACGCCCTGTGAACAAATCCACATCTCTCAACTTCACGAATTTTGTTCTCCTCCAAAATTTATACACGATGAAAAACAGGGCGACTATAGGTACAGTCAGGTATGCCTGAAAGAAGTTTTTCACCAACCAGTTCGTATCATGCTGCTCGTGACCGACAGGGCTGAAACCCGTCCAGAATTGCGCAACCAGTACGAGGGCGTTCATGGTAAATCCCACATAACTGCCCCAGATGCCTGTAGGAGATTGCCAGCCCAGTTCGTCTAGACTGTAGCCTTGTACTCGCCATGCACGACGGAAGCGGATATGTGCCAAACAAATTGAACCCCAGGTGAATATCGATGACAAACCAGAGAGTGCAAGGAGCCAATTGAACAGCTCTACCTGAATTGTGCTCGCTGCAGCAAAGGCTAGGGCGCCAAGCAGGGAAGCAAGAAGGATGGCAGCAAGAGGTCGACCCTTACGATCGATATAGCGGAAGATGGAAGGTGCCTGCTCTTGCTCTGCCAGTGCAGCCAATGTACGTGAGGAACCGTAGATGGCTGAATTTCCGACAGATAACACTGAGATCATGATCACGGCGTTCATGACACTAGGCAGGACCTGAATGCCTGCGTTCTGAATGGAGATAACGAAAGGACTAGCCTTGGCATCGTAATCGCTACTGCCAGACAGGAGTCGCTCGTCGTTGTATCTTACGAGCGTGCCGATAAGCAGGACTGAAGCGATGTAGAAAGTTGCAATTCTCCAAAAGACTTGTTTAATTGCAACGGGGAGAGTCTTCCGTGGATTCTGGGTCTCCGCGGCAGCCAGACCTACTAATTCTGTCCCAGCAAAAGCGAATGCAGCCGTGACGAAGGTCGAACATAGACCTTTAAAGCCATGGTTGAAAGCGCCTGGAACTTGCCAATATGTGAAGCCGAGATAGCTGGCACCTGGGCCTCCACAGATGTTGATGATGGATCCGAGGATGATGTAGCCGATGACAGCAGTGACCTTGACAGTAGAGAAGACAAACTCGGCCTCTCCATAAGCTCTAACTCCAAAAAGGTTAATACAGCAGATCAATATCCAGAAGATAGCGACCCAGAGAGCATTTAGCCTTATGTTGGGACTCCAGTAATCAACAGTAATGCTGGCTGCCACAATTTCCAAGGGAAGAACAACAAGCCACTGCATCAAATAGTTCCAGCCCATAGCGAAACCGAGAGCAGGGTCGATAAATCTTGTTGAATAGGCAGCAAAAGAGCCAGCGACAGGAAACATGACGGCCATTTCACCAAGTGCTTGGACCGTGCAGAAGATCATACCTCCGATTAAACAGTAGGCGATGAGGATAGAGGCGGGCCCGCCGAGGGCCAGTGCGCGACCTGTACCTATGAAGAGGCCAGTTCCTATGGAACCACCGATGGCGATCATCTGTAAATGTCTTCCCTTTAATCTTCTAACCAGTGGGCTGTTTGCGGTTGCGACCGCAGCAGCCTCAGCATCGTAAGATCTCCTGCGTCCACCAATACTACCACGTGTCACTGAAGCGTGTATGTCTCGACGGAAGGAATCGATAACTCGTGCGGATAGAGGCCTCTTGACCTCGTCCATATCACCTTCGAAAGTGCTGTTGCCGCCAAAAGGTGTAAGAGAGACATTCGTCTGAGATGGGGACAGAGAAATGTTATGATCTTGCTTGTCTGGGAACACTCGATTCAAGGCGCCCATTCTCGAGAGCGCGCGACATTAGGTATGTCAGTCGTGAGCAGACACTAGTACTGCTGAGGTACAGATACCTCCGAATGGCTTATTTCGTTGAGGATATGGAGTGGTGAAGGCTTGCGACAGGGTGACAGTGGGAACACGACAAAGAGTTTCGAGAGCAGGATTCAACCTCAGGTAATTATCGATTAATCTTGAAATAAAAGACGTGCAACCACGTCGTACATTTGAGTGATTGAGAAGGAGTCGCAGCTGCGGCAACAACCTCGAGCTTCACTGATAGGAACAATGCGCTGACATGCAACGGACAAGCGATAAGCACCCGAACGAGTGACAGGTGGAGCTGCCCATGTGCTGCTAACCCGCCAGAATGGTACCAGTTATCCTTGAAAGGCAAATCCAAGGGCTGGACCACCCAAGAAAAGTATCTTTACGATCGTGCCCGAAACTCAATACTGTACTTGAGCTGGCCAGCAACTTTGGCGAAGAAGTCCAACCAGAGCCTGCAACAGCTACAAACCTATCGTCCTCAAGGACGCTGTACAAGTAGACCACGAAACGAGGCGCAGATTTAGATGTCAGAGATAGATATGGCCGACGACTGTTGGAACACATGACTCGTTCCCAGTCCAAAGACCAGTGCTTGGTTGCCGGCTAACTGAGGGCTTGACGAACACACGAACAACCTTGGCCCCGAGGATAGCATCAAAGATGACGATCTCATACAGAGACCAGACGCTGAACACAGCCTACTTTGTTCAGTCTGGGCAGGACTAGCTACTAATCAAAATCAACGATAGTTGAACATGGTAATTGCATCAATGGATGGAACTGGTTGCAGCCTGAGGCACTATGAAACGGCATTTCCCGACACGCGGCGAAACTCCGATAACTGCGAATTTCGGCATCAACACATTTTGACCGTATCTGCTAGTGATACGATAATGGTTGTTCTTGACATCCTATGAGGGCCTACTATAGTTTTGGTTTAGTTCTTCCGAATACGTATACATAAAACCAGGAGCTATTTACATGCCGGCGAAGCAAGTTATAGGTTTCTCCAGGACAGCCACTGACGACAACGTGGAGAGCATACCCTCGAGCGAATGCCGGATGAGCACTCGCTCTATCACAAGTCACATCGTCTAGCCACAGATGTGAGTAGACGTGAAAGCCTAGATTCCCTGCTGTCTTCGGGATCGGGCCCAATCACTAGCGGAAGCAGCGACGATGTAGAACATCCCAAAGGCGACCGGCCAACGATACCTGCTGCAAGACGTACTTCTTTCCTCGAGGAAGATGAAGAGCAACCGGTCTCTTCTGTATCAGCCAACAGTGCTGCAAACAAGATCAAAGACGTACCCGTGACTTGGACGTCCTTGCCCAAGAAGGGTCAGTTAGCTGTCCTAACCATAGCAAGACTCTCTGAACCATTGAGCGAGCGTTCCTTAGCCGCGTATATGTTCTTTCAGTTGAAGTGGTTTGATCCTTCAGTACCAGACTCGACCATCACATCTCAAGGTGGACTGCTCACTGCTGCATTCGCTGCGGCTCAGTTCTTTACCGCTGTCTGGTGGGGGCGAGCGGCTGATACACCTTGGATTGGCAGGAAGAAAGTCCTGCTCGTTGGCCTTACTGGAACTGCTATCGCCAGTATAGGCGTCGGTTTCTCAAAGTCTTTCTACCAGGCCATCTTCTTCAGAGCTCTGGCTGGTGCTCTGAACGGAAATATTGGTGTAATGAGGACCATGTTGTCCGAGATTGTACAGGAGAAGAGGTTTCAGTCGCGGGCTTTCCTCTTACTGCCCATGTGCTTCAATATAGGCGTCGTGATCGGACCAATTTTAGGTATTCCGTCTGTACACTAAGTCGATGATTTGGGTATACTGACAGGTCTATAGGTGGTTTTCTTGCAGATCCCATATCTGCATTCCCAAATGTCTTTGGCCCTGGTTCGTTGCTTGGTGGCAAGAATGGGGTCAGCTGGATGGTCGCCTTCCCGTATGCTCTGCCAAACCTATTCAGCGGTATCTTCATCTTTGTTTCAGCAATGTGTGTCGTCTTCGGCTTAGATGAGACGCACGAGGCCTTGCGTGACAAGCCTGACTATGGCCGCAAGGTCGGAAGACTTGTTACTGACTTGATCTGTCGCCGCAGAGACAGAACCGGATATTCGCAAGTAGCTACAGATGAAACAGAAATGCAGCCTACACCAACCACGCCAACCGTGCCTGCAAGCTCTGGCGAGACAGTCTTTCCACGTTCTGTGCCAGACATCGAGCGCCAGCCCATGGTTTCACCAACAATGAATCCTCCAAAGACTGGTCATAACACGAACACATCGCCTTTCCGACAGATTCTAACCAAGAACGTCCTCCTCACGCTCGCGCAGCATCATCTGCTCGCCTTCCACGTCAGCAGCTTCAACGCGTTGATCTTCCTTCTACTTCCAGCACCCCGAGCAAATAACGAGGGGTTCCACTTCCCATCTCTACGCTTCACTGGTGGTCTTGGGCTTTCCCAAGAGAAAGTCGGTCTAGCAATGGCCATCCTCGGCGTTATCGGTCTCCCCCTACAAATCCTACTCTACCCGACATTGAACACACGTTTAGGCACGTTACCCAGCTACAGGCTCTTTCTTCCCTTTTCAGTTCTAGCATACACTACTCTCCCATTTCTGGTGCTAGTACCCAACCAGCCAGCATGGTTGGTATGGATACTGCTCAGTCTGGTCTTAGCAGCTCAAGTGTTGAGCCGAACATTTGCATTAACAGGCACAGTCATACTGGTCAACAATAGCAGCCCCAGTCGTACTTCGCTGGGGACTATACACGGAGTTGCGCAGAGTGCTAGCAGCGCAGCAAGAATGTTGGGCCCGACGATAGGAGGATGGCTACTAGGTGTAGGCTTGAAAGGAAATTTAGTGGGTGGAATTTGGTGGGGTTTGGCGGTTGTTGCACTTGCTAATTGGGGACTGCTATTTTTGATTTACGAAGGTGATGGGAAGGGAGGCAAGGCATAGACTTGTAGAGGTAGATTTTCGATTCCATAGGCTTGGATAGAATAGATCGAAGCCATCACATGCATCCTATTCTTTTGACTCTCTACTTCGGCGCATGTATGAAAAGTCTCTTGACTGACGCTTAGCTGCTGGCAACAAAATGACACCAAAAAGACGACTCGCTCAACCTCCACATCACTATCCGGCCTAGTATGCCACCCTATCAACAGCAACTCAAGCACCCATCGACCCTCTACTCCACTCAACAAAACTTTCACACACACAAGTGGACCTCTTCCTTCCTCCACTCCTCACTGGACTCTTCCTCCCAGGAAAACGAGTCCGTTTCGTCATTCGCTTAAATCACGACAGGGAATACAATCGCGGGAGGAGCGACATTAGCATGGAAAGAACATGAATTACTCGTGGACTCGTAGGAACGGGATGAAAGCAACGAAAAGTACCCGTAGTCGGACCTGATTAGCTAGCAGGACAAGAGGCGGTGGTGAGATGGAAAAATGTACCCATGGACGGAAAGTGCTACCGTGTGAGGGAGGATTATGTCAATATGGCAGGGGCGGAAGTGGAAACCGCTGCAATCTGCGTTTGAAGCTGCGACGTCCAAATCTATCGTAGTGGTTGGTTGGAAGCCATGGAACGAGGAACAACTCGATTGCGTCGGCTTGCGAAAGATATAACATCACCACACCATCTCTCCAAAGAGGCATCCAGGACTGAACATTGGACAGACGCGATACCAGGAAGGAAGATAAGTGGAGGACAGATAATCGGAATCTATTGCCCGTCGACAATGTCAATAAAACGACCTCGACCTTCACAGCAAGCCAACGCCAAACATATTCTATCTAACTGAAGTGGGTATCATAATGCTATGGTGTTACAAAAGAGCGCATTTCGTCATTCGTTCAATGCAAGTAGTAGTGGTCGCGCCATAACCGACCTTGTCCTGTCGAGCCTTATTGGGCCCGCAGAAGAAATAGCTCAATGGTGGTGGACTAAACCCCTCATCCATGTAACCATCTTCCTTCGCTTCGAAAGAGGTGGCAAGGTATCATCATAATCTTCGGCCAACTAAGCGGCTTTGGAGTCTCTGGCCGCCTCCAAGTTCTCCAGTACAGCCAAGACATCCTCACCCTCAGCCAACTAAGCAGCCTTGGAGTCTTTGACCATGGCGAGTTTCTCGAGAGCAGCCAAGACGCCGGATGGGCCTTGAGTGATGGCAGACCGAGCAAGTGTGCTTCGTTTCCCAACCACGGTCGTGTTGACCTTGATATTCTCATTTCGATCCTGAATACCGTGGGCCCATTCAAAAACACACTCGTCCTCATACGAGTCACCGAACACAAGGATGAAGTCTGGCTCACCTGATCCGCCCTTCTTGTAGAACTCCTTCTCAATAGCCTTGCATGCCAGACGCTTATCGATGTGATTAGGTGCAATGTACAAGCCCTTTTCCGTTGGAGTAGCACTAACACCCAGGTTCTCGCACATCTCATTTATTTGATTGGCTAGCTCACCAGCCTTGTGCGATGCATCTTGGTGATCAGCAGCATCAGCGTAGGAGAATATTATTCCGCTCCTGATTTCCTTGATCGAACTGCCTGGGATAGAGGTTGTGTAGTGACCCAAGATGTCCATGACACCCTTGCGCCACGGTGAGATATCTAGTTTGACGAGCTCGGTCCATTCCGAAGTGTTTGGTTTTCGGATGAAAGCACCGTTTTCAGCAACAAGTCCTAGTCGTGAAGGAGCATCGGGTAAGGCACCCTTTACACGAACATTGCGGAACATGTGCTGCAGGGCGTCCATACTCTGCTCGCTCATAACGTAGACGATGTTCTTCTGATCCTCCAAAAGCTCATTGAGCATGGCGATGACCTTTAGAGGAACAGTAATGACTGGTTCTTTGGGTGAATCCCACGTGGTCAAAGTGCCTTCGAAATCGACAACGAGTAAACGCTTGTCGGCAACGGCGTACTTCTTCCTGAGCTCTCTCATCTGTAGTCGAGGAACTGTGGATGGATCTCTAGCATTGTGTGCTTTCCAGGCGTGCTCCAGAGACTGAGTGAAGGTCTTGAACCAATATTCTGCACAATACTTTTGCGTGACCTCGAACATCTGCTGCCACCTCTGCTTGCGTTCCTTGTGGCTCATACTGAGGGCTTTGTCGAGGGCTGCTGCAATACCTCTCGGGTGCCATGGATTGACGAGTATGGTGTTACTGTCAAAGACTTTGGCAGCACCAATAAACTCACTGCACACCAGGGGAGCATAGCCTTTCAAGCTAGAGGTACCATCTTGACAGACGACGAACTCGTGACAGGTCAAATTCATTCCCTCAGACAAGCTGGTTACCAGCATACAGTCGGCAATGCTCATAAGAGCAAGATATTGAGGGTAGTCAATTTCCTGATTGAGGTAGACAATGGGCTGATGATTGAGATCGCCCCAGTCACCATTAATCTCAGTGATGAGGTTGTTGACGGTGTCCCTCAGCTCGATATCCTGGGTAGCAGAAGTAGCAATCTGGACAAGCACAACCTTGTCCTCCCACTGAGGATATTGGTCAAGGAATTCCGCGAAGCCCCGCAACTTGTGTTTAAGGCCATGAATGCCGTCCAGCTTGTCGCGTGAGACGATGACGTGCTTGCCAGCAAAGCGCTCACTAAGCTCTTTCATGTTGTCCTTGACTTCGGACAACTGGCGACGCATGTTCATCGTGTTGATATCGATACCCATAGGAATACCAAAGACATCAATGAAGCGACCGTTCTCCAGGACAAGACCGTGGTCAGTGGCCTCGATATTGAGTAATCGACTGCAAGTCTGGAGGAACTGGTAGCGGAAATCCTCGGTTTGGAAACCAATCATATTGGCACCAAGCATGCCAGCAATCAGATCCAGTCTCGAGGGCAGGTTGCGAAAGATCTCTGAAGGAGGAAAAGCAGAGTGAATGTACAAACCAATCTGAGCACGAGGGTACTTCTCGCGCACAAGATTTGGTACCAGGAGAAGATGATAGTCATGTACCCACACAACGTCTCCTTCTTTGTAGTTCTTTATGATGGTGTCGGCAAAGGCTTCGTTGACCTTCTTATAGTGCGACCAGGAGTTATCCTGATAAGCCTTAGATTTGGGTACGTCTGGGACCTGTGAGTGCAACATGGGAAAGAGTATGTTCTTGCAGTAATTTTCGTAGTGACCGTTCATGTCGGTATCGTTGAGGAAGACCAGAAAGGTGTCCAGGTCGTTTAAGAACTTGTCGGTGATGTCCTCCTTGACGTCTTGAGGGAGGCGATCGGTCGGCATGCCGAGAGTACCGACCCAGAAGAAGTCTTCGAAGGCTCCCTTGTCTTCAATGGCAGTAATGGCTGAGAACAGCCCAGCATTACCGAGCGTGGTCGGTTGGATGGTGTAGTTGGAGGTGGTATACTCAACATCCCTCTTCTTTCGACGAGCAATCTTTGTCCTCGGGGTTGTCCTTGAAGTCTCTGGAGGGGCTCCGATCGGGTCTTTCGAGATAGCGGTATCTTCAAAAATCGACTGCGAAGGCGGTGATTCAGCAAGTGACTGAGGTTGATTGACCTCGTCAATCTTGCCCCAACTCTTGGTCTGATATTCAGATGCCACAAGCGCCTGTAGGCTGGTCGCAGACTTGTTACGAATCAAGGCCTTTTTGGGGAGGACGACCTGGAAGTTCTGAGGTTTGAAGAAGTCTTCGAGGTTCGTGGTTGCTCCCGGGGTTTTGGCGAGTGCAGCTGGAGCTCGTATAGGACCAATTTGCGACAGCGAGGGTGCAAACTGCAAACTCTGGCTGCGGGCGTGTTGTTGGTCTTTGTGAGGGTTGAAGGTGGTGTAGTCCTGGCCTGACTCCTCCTCTTTCTTAGAACTGGTGGAAACGGTAGGAGTGGTATCGACATCAGAAAGAGAGTGGAAAGCAACAGTGTTGGGCACAGTCAGTGCCGCAAGTAGAAGCACCATGACGATAGAGAGAGGTTCAGCTCGTCGATAGCGCAAACATCAATGTGTGGTATGAATATGTGTATAGGGTGGATGAAAAAAGAGTTTGAATATGAAATGTTTATCTATGCAGGTAAGTGAGGGTTCGACTCGGTCAAGTACACGCAGGTCGTTTGTCAGGTGGAAGAGTGATCAGCGCAGCGACAGGGTGGTGACAAGGGAGTCGCCGAGTCCAACACCTGAGTTCTGCGACAAAAAGGTGAGGTGGAAGTGACAACCATGACGAACGTATTCGTTTCCCGGTATCTCACGATTCAGCACATGCAAGCCACAACACGCGTACTGTAGCTGGATTACCTACCTATCAACATCCATCGACCGATTCCTAGTCGCGGAAGGTGCTGGCAAGCCAACAAGCGAAAGGACATGTGCCCCGTAAAAACATGGCACAGTCTTGGAAAACAAAGACTAGAGAAGTCGCTTCATTTGTGGATGAGGTTGTCGAAATAGACATCCCAACTTTTTTCCAACGGAATCTCCAGAATTCTGGACAGCAGAATGACGGCAGAGCCATCCGGGCTTCGTGCCAGGAACACGGCGACTCTCATTTGACCGTCTCATGCTTCCGCGACTCCAGAGGGGCTCAAATCGAAGCCAATTTGACGGGTAGCTCAACGGTTGGGGGAGCTATGATGCACGTTTTTTGCAAGCTTTTCCTGATCGTGGTTGCCTGCGCTGGCGAGAGACTGCCCAGTTGCACCTTCTGCATATCTTCCAGGCAAGTTCCATCCATTCACAGATGCTTTTCAGGGCTAAGCTACCTTGGAGGCCGCCCAAAGTACGATCAAGAATTCCGGTCCAATCATGAACAAGTAGTACGTGAAAATAACGGATGCGGCTCGGTATGCTTTCTTCACGTCGCCAAATGCTTGTCGGTTCTCTCCTGGATCAGCATCGCAATGCCATTGTATTTGACGGGTGCTCGTTCATCTCGAGTCACGAAACCTCGTCCGCAACGAACGGCGTCTCTACCCTTCAATTCCGCAAAGCCGGCAACCTCGTTGCATAGAGCACATACTGTGGCAAACATCCTGGATGGCCATGTAGGATTGGAGGAGGAAGGTGCCCTTGCACCCACTGGCAAACTCGCCAGCGTGGTTGACAACAGCACCAGTGATGTTCTCTCCGCCATCAAGTATGCTCGCACTACTATGTTCGAGCCACTGCCGGACAGGGCTGGCATGAATAGTGTTGGCATCGCTGAGGTTCTCAATTTCCAGAAAAACCTTCCAGCTGTCGTCTCCTTGGCTCATATTCATGCCTTGCGATCAATATCAAGCAAGACTGAAAGAGACATTCAATACCTGCTTGCGCACAATGAAGTTCGCAGACTTCAACTTGTTGGTCGCGGCAATGAAGTGAGTGGTCTCAAGGAGCTCCTTATTGCAACTCGGGATTATGAAGGTATTGTTCGTGCATCAGGCCTGCCTGACGATGTCGTGTCTTCGTTCATCGCTGCATTGCAAGCCAATCCGAGAGTCCATGCACTTCCGAATTCGTTTTTGACTAGGTTGCATATTGAGCTTCTGTTCCGTGCTGGCTTTCTGGTCGCTCCTTCACTTCAGAGCTCTCGTAATGTGGAGGCGGGTTTTGGTCGACCTGCTGCTGCTGCTCCTATCCTCTCAAGGTCTACTTCCTGTCCTCAAGCCGTCTCATTTGATTCCAGTGTAACTTTTGAGTCGCTAGGTGGTGTGGGCAGCGCTCGTCGATCGAAAACCACTACCGCTACCATGGCAGAGAATCGATTTGTCCTATCTGTGCCAGGACTTTCATCATACCTGCAGCTTGTCGATGCCTCACGAAATCATTTTCTTGACCTATTACGGCAATTCTCCAGACATAGACAGGCCCCCGTGTACCTGTTGAGAGAAAGATGGAATGGCAATATCGATGACAATGCCAACCAGATCTCGGTGGCAAAGCGCATTCGAGGGGAGTTCTCAAATGTCCTGCCTGCGAAGACCAAGAAATGGAAGTCCTTCCGAGGCTTATCGTTTGACTGGGTGTTGGCAGAGTGTCTTGGGGCCGGTTTGATAGAGCTTTTCGAAACTCACAGTGTTGGCTTGGGTGTTAGAGCTCTTGTGTAGGTCTACAGCGACTTTTCTTGGTCAGGAGGAACATTGACCAGATGAGGATATATCTTGGGACTCCTTCACACCAACATGACTCCATCCTCGACGGTGAGACATTTGCACGATGCAAAAATTGATCAGTCTTTGAGCAGGTAGATGGCAAGCGTAGCTTCGGCCTGCTGCATACTGATTTGTATCGTTAGGGATCGTAACTTTGGCAAGCACGACATCATCACAGTTAGAGGACAAGCAAGTACAAAGCATGTTTGCCGGCAGCAAATGCTTGGCAAGTAAAGTACAACAATTGCCAGCATTCGATTCTTGTCGTCAAGCACAGGATTGCCGTGAGCGAAAGGGTGTGACAATTTCTCAAAGAAAAGTCGTGGAGAAATTATGTGGTAATTCTCAAGAAAGGATGCTCTCGATCAGATCTCCATGGGCATGCACACAAACATCCTACATCTCACATACCCAATGGAGCTATCACTTGCACTCCTGCCGATCTTAAAACAGTACGCGAATCGCACATCTTCATGTGGCATCTTCTGCCAGCTGTGCAAGAACTCTCAAAACCTTTGAAGGATATCATCATGAAAGAAGGAGGCGTGCACAAGCGCATTGAAGACTGCAGAACCCGAAGCAGCGACATGGTACAGAGACGGAAAGGGAAGCATCTTCAATTTTCCGGACGACCACTAGGGTGAAGATGAACCAAGCCCATTATTTGTCTGTAGATCTGAGCTATCAGTTCAGGCTGCCACAAAAAAAGAATCTAGGTTTGTGCGTAGTAGGCGGAAATATATGATAGGTCAATGGTTTTTGAAGTACTGCGTATAGAAGGCCGGACATCTTTGGAAAGTAGCGTATTAGGACGTATGTACCTGCGTCTTGCGCTCTTCTCTGGAGAGGGCGTTTTCTGTGAGGTGTCCGATCACAGAGAGTTCATCTCGAAATAGCACACTCTCCCTTCGATTTCAACCCCCAGGAACACTGCACCGCCGGCCTTGGTCCCTGGGCACATTGGCAGCTCTAGCACGTGCAGGGTAAGGACTCGAAAATCATGCAGAGGACATTCTACTTTGAACGTTTATGCTGCTTCTCTCTCCCTGGATGCCGATGGTAACATATCAGACCGCAAGCACTTCAAGCTTTGCGTGTCCCACAAGTACTCCCAATTTGGGAAGGTGATCCGAGGCAATATGTTCTGCTCGGGGTAGCATTTACGGGAACCTAACGAGAACACCAATGTCTTGGTAGTGATAGCAAAGCATTTCAGATCCAATCACGTATCAACAAAATGTCTCAAGTTTCCTGCTTGGTTTGGACAAGCTCTTCCTGCCACGCTTATTTATCTCGAATGGCGAACATGGTCGGAGATCGCAGGAACCCGACATGCGATTGCCTGTAACATTGACACCCTTGTCGTGTAGATGTTGGCAAGTCTATTAGACGGTGTACATAACGAATGTTGATGAATGTGTCTTCCTTGCACTGGTGTTACACTACAATCTTGCGAGCAGGAGATGAGAAGCATGTTCTCGAGGACTGTCGCGCAGTAGTCAATTGTGGTGCGGTTCCTGATCGACGTGAAACCCTATGTCAAAATCTCGGGGTTTTTTAGTTGGTGGGATGACTTCATTTCCTGGGGCAAGCTGCATAAAAATGCAACTTCGCAATCCCGTACCTTCTTCTTTGAGCATAACGGCGAGAGCAAACCTCCACTTGCCAATCACCATGCCACTCACCAATTTGTTGCAGACTCGAAGTGCTACGCTGCAATGCTTGATGATCGACATGATTCAGGTCATATGCGGTCGAAGCAGTGTTTGCTGGGATTGTCGTGTGCACAATGTTATAAAACGTCCAATGCCCAGCTTATTCATGTATCAAGTCCTTTATTCCGCCTTAGATTAATTGTCTCCGATCTCGAGACTCTGGCTTGAGCACCCTACTCGGCAAAATGAGGTCGCTGAAGCAATGTCTAGCAGTGGTGGTACTGTCTACTCTGCCCTGCGTCAGAGCTATCACGCCAGAGGCTATGCTCGCTGCTCCTCGTAGAGGTCCTGCGCTGGCTAACCCGTCTGGAGTAAGTTTCTCGGTTTCTAAGAAATCCCGACACTAACGCAAGCACAGGAATTTGCTGTTTACACGAGCACTAACTACTCCTTCGAGACGCAAGAAGCAACGACAATATGGGAGAAGCTCAATCTAACAACAGGAGAGATCTCGGTTTGGTCGACTGACTCCAACATTTCTGAAGTTGTCTTTGTAGGCGCCGAACCGACCAGCATTCTTTACGTCAATGCCACAAACGAGGAAGGCGACGGCGGCATTTCTCTGTACGCTGCGGACGCTAACAACCTCTCAAATGCCAATCTCGTGGGGTCTGTCCCAGCTCCGCTTTCTGGTCTGAAAGCCGTTACTGCAGCGTCTGGGGACATTCACTTCGTGCTCTATGGTCTAGCATATCCTAACGGCACTGCATACAACGCCGACACCGCCGTAGCACCGGCAAGCACCGCCAGGATCTACTCGAGCATATACGTGCGACACTGGGATACCTACCTATCCCAACAGCGCAATGCCGTCTTTGGCGGAGTACTCACCGCGGCAAATGGTAGCTTTGCATTCAATGGCGCCCTCCGAAACTACGTGACTGGAAAGTGCAATGCCACTTGCGCCGAATCACCTGTTCAACCCTTTGGTGGATCGGGCGACTACGACATCTCTCCCGATGGCACTTCCATTGTCTTCCTTACCAAAAATGTTGACTTGCCTCTAGCCAACTTCACCAGCAGCCAGATCTACTTCGTGCCCTTCAACGGCAGCGTTAACCAGTCTGTTCCCATCAACCCAATTGGCGCCACCCCCGGCGCCGAAGGCGCCTCTGGGGTCCCTACGTTCTCGAAAGATGGCTCAAAGATTGCCTACGTGCAAATGAACGGTATATCTTATGAATCTGACCGCAATGTTGTGTATGTCGCAGATGCGAATCCATCAAATTTCAACGTTACTGCCCTTGCTGGTGATTGGGACAGGTCACCTGATAATCTCGTATGGTCTAACGACGGAGCTGCTGTCTTTGTGGCTGCACCTGACCTAGGTCGAGAACGTGTCTTTACAGTACCACTCTCTGCTGGAGCCAACTACAATCCAAACAATATCACGGATGAAGGAACCGTGGCTGCGATGCAACAGCTTCCAAATGGCAACCTCTTGATATCAGATTCGAAGATCTGGTCTAGCAGGGACATATACTCTGTTAGCTCAAACGGCACTGTTACCAATGTCTATTTCCAAGCCAATTTGGTCGACGAAGCTCTTGCTGGTCTTGGCCCCAATGACGTATCAGAATTCTACTATTCAACCAACAGCAGTGAGATCGATCAACAATCCTGGATCATCTACCCGGCCAATTTCTCTGCAAACGGGAGTTATCCCTTATGCTTTATTACGCACGGAGGACCACAGGGTGCCCACTTCAATTCATGGTCAACGAGGTGGAATTTCAAAGTCTGGGCTGACCAGGGTTACGTAGTTATCGCACCAAATCCTACTGCGTCAACCGGATGGGGCCAGAACCTCACCGACGCAGTTGCCGGCCATTGGGGCGACTATCCATACAATGATCTCGTCCACGTCTGGGACTACGTTAACAGCTCCCTGCCTTACGTCGATACCTCTCGTGGCGTTGAAGCAGGAGCTTCATTTGGTGGCTACATGACCAACTGGATGCAAGGTCACGAACTTGGTCGCCGCTTTAAGGCTCTGGTCACTCACGATGGCTCAACCAGTACGTTGAACCAATACGCTAGCGAAGAGCTCTGGTTCATGAACCATGACTTCAATGGCATCTTCACCTCACCAAACACAACTTCGCCATATTACGAGTGGAATCCTATCAACTATATAGAGAACTGGGCAACGCCACATTTCGTAATACACAATGATCTGGATTACAGGTTGCCAGTGTCGGAAGGTATCATGTTGTTCAATTTACTGCAGGTGAAGGGTGTGCCAAGCAAGTTCCTCAATTTTCCAGACGAGAACCACTGGGTACTCAACAGGCAGAACAGCTTGGTGTGGCATACGGAGATCTTCAGGTGGATAAACTATTACTCTGGAATCAGTCAGGAAGGGCCGTATTAGGTCGAGTTATCCAGAAGTGTTAAAGATTCAGAATGTACCAAGCATAGCAGTAATGCGACACGAAGTATATTTCAGAAGCCTAATTTGTCAACCCAAAATCACTTTTTATCTCTCAAACAATAGTCGTAATTTTTCGAAGCGTGAAAGCAGATCACGAACGCCATCGCTATGCCCAACTTTGCATGGTCTCATCTCTTCTACGAACTCATGCAAACACAGTAGTCTATCGTCCCGAAAACGAGTACTCTAAACGCCTCTCAACCAACACATACCAGAACCTCATTACTCTTCGTCATCCGTATCCGGAAACTTCGGCGTCCCCTTCGGACTATTCAACCACTCAATATGCCTCAACCGTCTCCTCACCTCCCTCTCCTTCAACTGCGCCCTCGTCATCTTCTTCTTCTTCTTCGCTCGAAACTTCATCTCACTGTTATCCTCCACGCCCGAGTTGACCGCCGAAGCAGACGCACTACTGACCACAGAGCTCACGTTACTCGATCCGGGTCTACTGTCCTCGAACCTGCCCATGTCAACAGCCAGATGACCCTTGTGAGTCAACTTGCCGTCCGCAATGTGCCATTGTTCGGGGCAAAGCGCGCCGACGAATTCTTCGTTGTGCGAGATCATGACGACGCCGCCCTTGTAGTCGCGGATGGCGACGGCGAGGCCACCGAGAGAATCACGGTCGAGGAAGTTGGTTGGTTCGTCGAGGACGAGGAGATGCGGGTTATTCCACATGGCGCCTGCGAGGACGACTTTGACTTTCTGGCCGCCCGAGAGGCCGGAGATTTCGTTGTGGTTTGCGATTTCGGGGTCGAGTCCGACGTCTTCAAAGTGTTTGGAGATGACTTTTGGTTCGAGGATGCGGTAGCCTAGGCCTTCGCGAGAGGCTTCGTGGTCGTCGAATTCTTGGATGAGTTTGACGAAGCCCCATTCTGTAAGGGTTTCTCGGGAGACCATGGTGTTCATCTTGGGTAGCATGTTGCGCCATTTGACTTCGTATTTGAAGTCCTTTTTGTGCTTTTGTCGGCCGATGAGGGCTTCGAGCTGACGGGCACCTTTTCCGTCGCCTAGGTCGATCCATTTCTCCATTTGTGCACGCTCTTCGTCGGTGTAGATACGAGTCTGCTTCATGAGAACTTCTCTGTCGTCACCGTTTGCATAACGCCACTGTAGGTATTGGTTGGGTGTCTTCTCCATGTGCATCTCGACGTGTTCGAGAGCGTGCTGCTTGATATAGCCAATTCGCAGGTTAGGATGCTTTTCGACTTTACCAATCTGAGGGATAGTCTCGCCAGTAAGGAGCTTGATGAGGGTAGATTTGCCTGCACCGTTAGCTCCGATGATGGCAACACGCGAGTTGAGTGAAAGCTGGCACGAGACATCTGCGAGAGAGGGCTTGCTGCTCCCAGGGTATGTGAAAGAACAATTTGTCATCCTAAGAATCGATCGTGTAGCCGACTTAACTCCAGACAATATCCCTGGTGGAGGAAACTTAAATTGAACCTGTGAGGCTGAGAGCGTGTAATATGCTCTTGCTTCTGGCTTGACTTTGACAAAGTCAGCTAGGTTGCCACGATAATGGGCCAGCTTTTTCTGCTCGTAGTGATAGATGTCTGTGCATACATCGTCAAGGAAGGCAGAGTCGTGAGATACGATGAGAGAGGTAATTTCGAGGTGGGTTTTGAGGTAATTTTCCAGCCAGGCAATATTCGCAACGTCTAGATGGTTAGTTGGCTCGTCGAGCAGAAAGACATCGGCCCTCATCAACATGGCACGGGCAAGAGCGAGCTTCATCTTCCAGCCGCCAGACAGGGAGCCGACTTTGTGTGATTGCCGTCCCTCTGGACCAGCTGTGAAACCAACCTCAGCCAAAACTTGAGATATGCGCTCCTGTCCCTCGTTCATGATCTCAGGGTCCTTCATACAGTAGTCGAGGATTGTAATATCTGCATCTTCACCTTGATTGTGCTCAACAAAACATGTCTTGAGCACATCTTTGGAGGGGAAGCCTTCGAGCTTGCCCTCGGCAATCGATCTCATCAAAGTAGATTTACCAGCACCGTTACGACCACAAAGACCGTACCTGTGTCCTTTGATGAGTCTGAGATTGGTATGGGATAGTAGAAGCATGCCACCATAACCAAGAGAGAAATCGGCATCAACCACTACGACCTCGTCGCCGTTGCTCTGGACTGGAGCGCCGTATCTCTTGTGGTCTTCGTCCAAGAAGTACTTCTGCACACCATCGGCAACAGCTTTGCATGAGTCCTCTGGAAGAATGTAGCGAAGATAAGGGCCCACATGAGCAGGTATTCTGCTGAATACACGCACGTTGACGTCTTCACGCACCAGGTTGGAGATGTAAGTCTGACCGTCTTTCCATAACGCAGCATCTTCCTTCGAGAAGCCTCCTTTGGCTCGAACCTCCTTCTCGAGGATTTTCAAGACATCTTCGGTTGTAGTCTTCTGGATTTGTCTCTTTGTAGCTGGATCGGCATCTTCACCCATAGCCTTCAGCATGGTGTCCACTGCTCTTGTTGCCAGTTCTCTGACCTCCGGTAGAGAGGCCCGGTCTTTGACCTTCTTGACACCAGGTTGAAGTTTCGGCAGAAAGACTCTTGCCTCGGCCGGATCGTGAACGAGTTTGGTAAGATTCTCGCAGACAACTACTGTCTGTCGCAGAACTTCCTGCGATGTCGTTGGGGTGTTGAGGGATCGCTCAAGGATGGGTGTGAGTAGTGCCAATACAGGAGAGGTGACCTCAGCTACGAAAGTAGTCTGAGACAAACCATGAATGGCCTTTTGCAACGATGTGTCTGAGGGGTTCTTCATAAAATCCATGATCATTGGTATCCTGGGTGCAACGTCGTCATTCTGCAGTAGAGTTGTGAGTGAAAGCATGGTCTTCTGCGCAGCCTTTCCCACTTCGGCCTTCAGATCGTGCATACCACCTTCCACTATGGGTATCAGCTCCTTCAAGGTTCTGCCCATGGATTCTCGCAGTACGTCCTTGGCCTGTTCCTCCTCTTTCGAGCCAGTACCTAATTGAGCGCTGTCTGCCATTTTGCCTAGCAGATTATGCGCGCCAACAGTGCCCTGCCATTTTCCTGTTGGTTTCGAGAGGTAGGATGTGAGGCATGGGAGCAATCCTATTACTTTCGCTTCAGGAGAGAGGTTCTTGAATAATTCGTCCACTGCGTATTGTGCAGATTCGCGCACGGAGGGACCCTTGTCTGCAAGACAGTCCAGTACTAGGTTCAGTAATCCGCCGTTCTGCACCAGAAAGACGACTTCAGATAGAGGTTGTTCTCGTGGGAAACGTTCGAACATGGCACCAAGGATGAACATTGCGCTCTCCCGTTTTGAGCCATTCTTCTTGTCGGTAGCGGCTTTCTTGATTTGTGGGATCAGATCGTTGGCTAGAAGACCCCTGATACCAACTGTCTGAAGAAGCAGATTGGTAAGAGTGTACGAGTTATCTAGGGATGCCTGCGCGTTGTCTGTGTCAACAATAGATCGGAAAACGCCATTGATCTCGTCAGAAGATGGGGCGACACCAGTGAACGACGTCTTCACTGGGACTGTGGCCTCACTCATAGTGGGCGACTCTGCGTGCGGCATTCGAGGGTGAGAATTTTCTATGAGTCGCGTCTCTGAGGAAAATGAAGGAATTGGAGTAGCTCAAGGTCGCAGAACGAAGGGAGAGGAGATTGCTGAGCGACCAGCGCGCTGTCAAAGGTCTATGCAAAGGAAGGGCTGAGGATACAAAAAGCAAGTCAAGGGGAAAAGTTACGAGGACGACCGTTCTGTTGGTCAGCGGAACTGAAATTCTCACTGGTCCAGGAAATTTCTGCCCGCCGGCCTCTTCCCGTTCCTTATCGATACCAACCACAACCACAAGTTCAACTTTGCGCGCTTAGCGCAGATTGTTTGCAGGGCCTTGCGCACCTAAGTTTAGGCGGATGACGTAAAGTATAGGCCCAATTTGAGCATGTGAAGACAGGGGCCACACGTGGTGGTTGGAAAAGTACAGGCGTTCACCAGACTGACCATGTAATTCCGGGTCATTTTTTGATTTCGAAGGAAATCATCTCATCGAGTAAGGCTACAGTCTCTGTAGGACTAGCTATCCATGCACAACAACACGCACTTCTGGCTTTGAAGTCGTTGCCGCCACCACTCAGAAACTGGTCACCCACGTGCAAGGTGCTTGATGGTCCAATTCCCCCGAACCACTTCTGACACGCCTGAACTCCGAGTGATTTATCACCAACATCCAGAAAGACATCCGCACCACCATTGAAAACAGTAAATGGGATGTGAGAATGAGCAGGCTTCGGCGTTGAGGTCAATGAGGCCTCGACGACTGATTGGACCACGAGGACTGTCTCTTCCAATTGCTCACGATTGAGTTTGATACCCTGATCTGCTGCGTATATGCCGACCGCTCGCTCTTTGCGAAGGACTTTGGCTTTTAGATGCAGCGTCCGTATACAAGATTCAAATGCCGCTTCTGCAATATCAAGCAGAGATTGTATGGCTTCTTCCGTCCAGGTATACATGACATCGAGTATCCAGTTTCGACGATGAATATATCTCAAGCAGTACTCTTCAGCGTCGTCGAAAACCAGTAAGTAGTTGGACTCTCCTCCCATGACCACAAGATTCTGCTTCTGTTCAGGCGTTAGAGTGGTCGAATCTTTCACTGCCACTAAAAGTCCTGATAAACGGTCAAAGTAATTCTTGGGTTGTGTGTACCCTGCCGCTGTAACTATAGCTATTCGCACGCCTTTTGAGAGGAAATAGAGTAATCGATTTATCACTGGATTGGCTTCTGGTGAATGTAATGATGCTCCGTCCTCGTATAGCGTAACATCTCCATCGAATGTCAATAGTTGCAACTGTGATTCAGAAGTCCCGTTGACGACGTCTATCGAACTGCTCTTGGGAGCCATAATCGCCAACAACTGTGCCGTGTTCAGCACGAGCCGTATGTCGTTGAAGGACGGAGCCACAAATCTGCGCGAAGAGATAGCACGTGCAGTATCCTGCCTCAGAAAAGCTTCCTCGAGGTACAGTGGCGTAAAGAAGGCAGAGATAGTTGGAACAAGCATGCTGAGTTTCGACCGGGATCGAGTGATCTGGTGCGCGATGTGGTCGTCTACCAATGCCTCCACGTCTCGAAAGACATCCGCGTACCTTTGGCGGGCAGATGCAGCCATCTTGTCAAGTTTGTCCTGATGGTCTCCGTCGTATGGTGTCGCTGGCTGGGCATTGAGGACGAAGGGTACCGCTAAGAGGCCTTTGATCCATTCGATGAGCTGATCTCGTCTATGTGTTTTCAGAGCATCTACCACCTCTATCAGCTTATCTGAACTAAATACTTTCCTGTCAATGATTCATACACTCTACTCGATATCTCGTGGTCATCTTGCGGGGTTGCTCGTCCAACTATTTCATTCAGCTTGTGGTATGCTTGCACGCCTGTAAAACTCAAAGTGCAGTGTATCCAGACAATGGGAGAGATCACGAATCCTCACTGTATAGCGCTAGGAATAACGTGCTTGCCAGCATTCGCATTTGGTCGGTCCGATGGTCAAGATTCACGTACAAACTAGCAGTTGTGCAAGGATAGATGAGGACGCACGGCTACCGCCGGCTCAAGTTTGTGTAGCCAATCAACACGTCGAAGTAAACCATACTTAGTGCAATTTGTTGCTCCTATAAAGTTTATTGCGATGGCTCTGCAAAAAAGATAGCGAATACATAGATGCTTGCAGTTAACACTGCTACTGCCTCGTTGCCAACATAAGAGAAAACGGTATCGCGAAGCAGTTCTTGCGGGCACTGATCACGATCTTGAAGCCCAAGAAGCGGCTATATCTATCAAGGTTGGCTCCACATCTTCTCCTTTTCGGTCTTCACCTATGAAATGAGCACCGTGCTGATCCCATTGTACCCTTTCTTTGGACGTGCTGCCTCTTTGCAGCCGTGACAGAGCTAATCTGCCTTGGCCACAAGTCACAAAGATTGTGGTCGTAGTCTGCTGCCGCCCTGCAATGCTCAGCACGAGAGGACAATCGCGGTATACCTGCCAGGATCCAGCTCGCTGCTCATCCAAAAGCATAGAAACAACATCCTTTGCGAGGACATCTTCCAGAAAACCTGTCATGTCACCCATAGACGATGTCTGAGCACACGATCTGGGTCCGCAAATGCTTTCGTATGTCGTTGAAGAATACTGTGTGCCGAACAGCGGCGGGGCAAGATGTGTCTCTATCTTGATGGTCAAGAACTTGCCGGACGGTAGCGAGACCTTGAGCTCAGTGGCCACCATCCTGCGAAGAGCGTGCAGATTCAATTGATAGCCTTCGATAGCATTTTGTGTCTCTATGTCAAAAGATAGATTAAGTCCTGCAACCTTGAGCGATACTTGATAGGCACGAACGGTGGCCAATAGGCCCGATAGCCTGTCGTGGTGACGAAGTTGTGCGAAGATTGGTCGTAGTAGGGCGTACTCGGGAGCAGGACGCGAGCCTGGAGCCAACGGCGGAGGCTTTTGTTGTGAACGTTGTATGTGCCTGTGTTCGTGCTCCGTAACGAGCATTAACCGCAGACCATACGCGACTAGACATGCCAAGTCACGGTCTGCCTGCGAATCGTGCTGAAGATCTTCTGGTCTGGTCGTGTAGGATATGTTGACGGAGCAGTCTGCCGAGAGCTGTAGATCGATTGAAGAGGAGCGACTCTTTACGTCCATGTTCGCAATAAGCCGAGCTTCCTTGGCTGCTTCAGTGAACAGCTCATCCTGGAACAATGACTCTCGAGTATGTAGCAAGTCTTTCTCTATTTTGGTTTGCGCATCGGCATGAGCTTGTTCACATACATACCTACCTGTAACGATATTCTTCCGATAGATAGTGACTGACAACACCTTTTGGGTGCGAGCCTCAAGCTGACCAGGAAGGACTAGATTACCTTCTGCGTCTTGATGAAGCATGACGATGCCTCTGTTGAGATATGTAGGCCCTGATTCAGCAGTACCGAAATGCACAACCAGGACACGGTTGTTGTTGGGAAGTCGACTGATAGGCCAGCCTCTAGCTCTGAGGCTGGCCAACTGCTGCCAATACTTGGCCTGGCGTTGTGCTTCTGTCTCCAGACGGTCTGCCGCCTTCGAGAGACTTTGAGATGCAGATTCGAGTGCCTGGGCGCGGTAAATGGTAGATACGTCCATCAACTTGGAAACCACCTCCTTCGGCACCCTCTTCCGCTCAATCTTCCTTGTGGCTCCAGAACCAACAGGCACTGCGTCTCTCAATGCTGGAGACATGGCAGAGCGGCCCAATCTTGAATTAGCAGCTACGACAAGAGACATTCCATCAATTAATGTCAACAACTCCTGTTGAACCTGGCTGAAGACGGAATTAGCATGCACATAGTCTACCTTTATGATCGGCTCACCCAATCTGCTGCAACATTTCCATTTTGACCTTGAACAGCCTCTCCAGCGTTGCCTGGTGCCCTTCCACAGAGGTTTCATCCTCCTGCTCAGAATCAACATCTTCATCTTGAGGCGCGTTGAATTCCTCCAGTAGTCTGTCTTCCGTAATGGTATGGAACGGACCTTTCTGCCTCACCATCTGCTGGACATCGCTTCCCAAGCTTGTTCTCTTTGGACCGCTTGCAGGCTCATACGGGATTGTCAAGGACATGCCTGGAGACATGGCTGCGGCTCACGATCGCGAACCTTCTGCTCACCGGACTACGAAGACCTCAGCTTGCTCCACTGGTGGTTGACAATGAGGTACACGTGGCAAACGCGTCGCTTGGGTGTCACCGAGGCATTTTAGTTTCGAGACACTTTGTGAATCGTGTTCTTAGCGATACATTTGTTCAGTATACTCAGTTGTTAGACCAGTAGTCATACCACAATGCAAAGAAGGGAGAAATGTTAGGGCAAGTTTTGGCGAAAGTGTTTGGTACCTCTGCGCGCTGCTATTCGGAACCAATAGGGCTCAATCTTGGCGTGCCCAGGTCCCAACGATCGTCAGATGACGCAGGAGCATGCCAATAAAGTTTGGTTATCTCGCCCGTGCAAGCTGTAAATTGAAGCTGTAGGCACTAAACAGTGGTTTGAGCCGAGCAAGCAGCTGCAATTGAACAACTGGACCTGCAGCACAACTTCCTAAGATGAGATCCATGCAACACTTTTACTTATCTCTGACGTTCGCCTATAATTAAATGAATATCGATAAGTGAGACCTCGTTGATGCCGCCTGCGCTTCACTATTACTCCGTCTTGACCTTGATTGTCTTCCTGCCTGCTACTTGACATCTGCCCCTCTATCCTACACCTCCTACAGAAGATCCGTTCCTTCCCGCAGCGTATCGCTACAATTTTACGTGCTAGCATTAGCCAGCATGGCCCCAACCCACGAAATGAGCAATGGGGTACCTCCACCACGAAAAAAGCGGATTGGTGTAATGACCAGTGGAGGTGACTCCCAAGGCATGAATGGGGTGGTGAGATCCGTCGTACGCATGTCTATACACATGGGTTGTGAGCCCTACGCTATCTACGAAGGTTACGATGGCTTAGTTCAAGGAGGAGATCTGATCAAGCAGATGAAATGGGACGACGTTCGAGGCTTTCTGTCCAGAGGAGGCACCCTGATTGGCACAAAACGCTGTATGGAATTCTACGAACGCCCCGGTCGATTGGTCGCTGCAAAGAACATGATTCTGAAAGGCATAGACGCCCTCATCATCTGTGGTGGTGATGGCAGTTTGACCGGTGCAGACAAGTTTCGCTCCGAATGGCCAAGTCTGCTGCAAGAGCTGGTCGAAAAAGGAGACCTCACACAAGAAGCAATCGAGCCATACAAGCACCTCAATATCTGTGGCCTTGTCGGATCGATTGACAACGACATGTCTGGTACAGACGCTACCATTGGCTGCTTCTCTTCTCTCGAACGTATCTGCGAAATGGTTGATGCAGTCTTCGATACAGCTGCTTCACACAAGAGAGGCTTTGTCATTGAGGTCATGGGACGACACTGCGGTTGGCTGGCTTTGATGGCGTCTATTGCGACGGGCGCTGACTACGTCTTTATTCCCGAGAAGCCACCTGCGCCAGGCTGGGAGGACGAAATGTGCCAGATAGTCACGAGCCACAGAGAATGGGGCAAGCGAAGGACCATCATCATCATCTCCGAAGGAGCCCAGGATACTGAACTGGAGAAAATCACAGCAGACCAGGTGGTGAAAGTGCTCACAGATAGACTCAAGCTTGACACCCGAAAGACTGTGCTCGGTCATATCCAGCGAGGTGGTCTCCCTTCATACTACGACAGGTGGCTTTCAACGCTACAAGGTGTCGAAGCTGTCAATGCAATCCTCGACTCTACTCCCGACAAACCAACGCCGGTTATCACGATTCGCGAGAACAAAATTGAGCGTTCGAACTTGGAAGAATGTGTCAAGTTGACCAAATCCGTTGCTACTGCGATTAAGGAGAAAGATTTCGAGAAGGCGATGCACCTACGCGACGTGGAATTTAAAGAGTACTTCAATAGTTACAAACTGACAACATCTACGGAAGATCCTAGAATGAAATTACCAAAAGACAAGCAGATGCGTATCGCGATTATTCACGTTGGAGCTCCAGCAGGTGGCATGAATCCAGCAACAAGAGCTGCTGTTGCTTACTGCTTATCGCGTGGCCACACACCAATCGCGATTCATAACGGGTTTCCAGGTCTGCAACGCCATCACGCCGATAAGCCTCTTGGTTCAGTACGGAATGTCTCATGGCTGGATGTCGATCCTTGGGTCAACGAAGGTGGCTCAGAGTTGGGTACCAACAGAGGTCTTCCTGCTGACGATATTGCTACTACTGCTCATTGCTTCGAGTTGTACAAGTTTGACGCACTCTTCCTAATCGGTGGATTCGAAGCTTTCACCGCCGCCAGCCAAATCAGAAAGCACAGAGACAGCTATCCAGCCCTTCGGATACCACTAATGGTACTTCCCGCTACAGTTTCCAACAATGTTCCTGGAACTGAATATTCTTTGGGCAGTGATACCTGTTTGAACACCTTAATAGGATTCTGCGATGCAATCAGACAATCTGCTTCGGCCTCCAGACGACGTGTGTTTGTCATAGAAACCCAAGGTGGAAAGTCTGGTTATCTGGCTACAATGGCTGGTCTGGCTATTGGTGCGCTTGCTGTGTACATCCCAGAGGAGGGTATCAACGTTCACATGCTAGCACGAGACATCGAGTTTCTTCGTGAAAATTTCAAGAACGATAGGGGAGCCTCGAGGGCTGGAAAGATCATTCTCCGCAACGAACAGGCGAGTGAGACCTACACCACACAAGTGGTGGCGGACATGATCAAAGAAGAGGCTAGGGGTCGATTTGAGTCAAAGGCAGCCGTGCCTGGTCACTATCAGCAAGGTGGTAAGCCGTCACCGATGGACCGTATTCGTGCTCTACGAATGTCCATCAAGTGTATGCAGTTCCTTGAGGACAACTTCGCTGGCAAAAGCAAGGACGAAATCATGGCTACCGAAGACTCTGCCGTGGTGATCGGTATCCAGGGATCTCAGGTGCTCTTCACACCTATAGGAGGAGAGAGTGGACTCGAAGCTAAGGAGACAGATTGGAAAGCTCGACGTCCTCTCAACGAGTTCTGGCGACCGCTCAAGAGCACTGTCGACATTCTCAGTGGACGACCCAAGGATACAGATTGCTGCACCGAATGTGGCAAAGTGTTGTCTGGGGACATCCCTCAGCCTCTTCCAGATGTACTTGCAGCGACGAAGTCTTCGTTCGGACACCCGTTGACGGCGGTGTACTCGAAGGACTAGCAGGGAACAGAGCAGAACAAAAGTCTAAGCTAGGCTTTGCATCAATGTTTTGAATTATGATCTACTTTGACTCTAAGCTCGTGCAAAGTTGCATTGGATGGCGTGGATGCTGACAACTTTTGGAGCTTGCCGCGAGTCGACAACTTGGAGTGTGAGGCTGGACGGAAACGATGAGTGACGAAGATGCGGCTGGAAAGAAAACCTGGAGCTTTCAGCAGACTTAGATGAGCACGTATCCTTACATAGTTAACCATTGAGTCAATAACCTGCACTTTGTAGTCGTGAAGCTCATCGTCTGTCTCCCTGCGTGCAGGACAACCCGATCAGTATGGCAATAAACAGATGCACTTTCGGTGGAAGCTCAAATTCCACTAAACGCGTCACGGTTGACGCGTGGTCGCGTCCAGCAATTTATCAAAAGCGCTGTAATTAGTGCAGTTCGTTCTAGTGTCCCACCTTGTCAATCACAGTTGATGCATCATGGCAGTCTCCAATAGTCTGCTGCACGACTGGCACAGAGACGACAAACATGGCGAACGACAAAGACCTGCATCTGCATTCAACCCGCTGCACAACTTTCACGTTTCACTGGGTCCTGAGGCAGAGTTCGCTCAGCAGTTTGCCGATCTGTATTACTTACGGTTGACTAAACTACAAGGGGTTGTCAAAGAGATGGCAGAACAGGAATGGAGCCATGTTGAAGTGGCTGGAGAAAAAGCTATCCATGCAGAGAGAGTGCTGGACGTTCGGCAAGGTGAACTTTCGTGGACGGCAGGGACAATCTACGTCGACCTGCCACTCAAACCGAATGTGATTGACGAAGTGGTTCGTGGTGAAGAGATTGCAGCACCTCCTCCTCGGATATCCTACTTCTCCACCGATGTACAGCCTCGTGTCATGCTCGAAGACCCGTCTGGCAGATTACGACTTGCAGGAGCTATGCTAAAGCAACACATCTTGGTCACGGGAGTGATAGTGGCTGTTTTGGGGACCGAAAATGCTAATGGCGAATTTGAAGTGCTCGACATGCTCTTTCCTGATCTACCCCCTCAACCTTTGCGCTGGGCACGTGACGACGAAGAGAGGGAAGCAGAAGATGGCATGAAGGTGGAGAGACAGACGGCCCAGAAAAAGAAGGTCGCATTCGTGAGTGGTCTAGAAATTTCGGGAACAGAAGCAGATCCAGCCATCCTGAATCTGCTAACTGAATACTTGCTCGGTGAAGCACTTGACGACAGTGATCAAGATTCTGCGGCTGGGATATGCAGGCTCGTCATAGCCGGCAATTCAATCTCCCCAGATGTTGTAATCACTCGACCCGACGATGACGATGATTTCGTTGTCGAAGACAACGACGACGATGACGACGAGGACGAAGACATGGACGCGAACATGGATGCCTATGGTTTTAATCCTCTGCCCTCAACGCAGCTCGATAACTTCATTTCGGAGCTTCTGCCCTCTATACCTGTAACGATCATGGCAGGAGAGACGGACTTGACAAATTATGGTCTGCCCCAACGGCCAATCCATACAGCTATATTTCCAAGAGCTCGAGCATACGCGTCTTTCAATCCGATGCGGCCTGACGACGAAGAACCGGGCTGGTTTGAGACAGTCACTAACCCCTGGGATGGCGATATCGAAGGCTGGCGTATGCAAGGGAACAGTGGTCTACCACTAAATGATTTGCTCAAATACTTCGACGTCCGCTGGCCGAAAGGAGTGAGCGAAGTAGATGGTCGGCTGAAACTCATGGAGAGTATGTTGAAGTGGAGGTCAGCCGCACCTACTGCGCCGGACACTATATGGACGTACCCGTTCCAGGACCATGATCCATTTGTCTTGACAGAATGCCCTCATGTTTTTTTTGCGGGCAATCAGCCGCGGTTCGACACATGTACAATCGAGGGTCCTTCTGCGCAACAAGTTCGATTATTCACAATCCCACGTTTCCGTCAGACCGGAGAAATTGTCCTATTGGACATGGAGACACTCGACGTTGAGATCGTGAAATTCGAGATTCAGGATCAAATTCAAATGACGACAACGAAGACAGGGTGATTGAATTCCAGACACCCGTGTTTCCACTGGCGGAAACAGTTTCCGCTCCCGAACTCTCAATCTGCCGATCGCTCGTGCACTTATCTACATCGAGAAAAGCGGCAGATGGCACGTCCCTAAAATTATGTCGCATCACAACTCTACACCACGAGCAAAGAGAGACGACTATTCAAGAAGAGACCACTACGCGTTTCGCGAATTATGCGTGTCCCTTTCCGAACACCGTCTCAGTTAGTGAGAAAGTCTTTCAAAAGTTATGTTGATCAACAAGAATGTTGGTAAGTGATCTTAGTACTGTAATCTGTTATACATAGATACTGATTCGTCTCAGCTGTACATACCAATAAAGTGTCTCTGGTTCCTTACTGCAAGCACCATGTTGCCAAGTATCATGGATGGATGAAAGACCCTGACCTGCAAGTCGCAACTGCATCAGAACCTCTGACTTTGGAGGCAGAATATGCGATGCAACGAAGCTGGCGCACTGATAGCGACAAATTGACGTTCATCAGCTGCCTCGCACAACCCGACGGTCAAACATCACAACGTGAAGACATCGCCAGCGCGATAGGTGATGTTAACCTCTTCGTTGTCACAGACGAGGAAGAATCCGGCGAGCTAGTGATTGCTGGAGAGGTTGAGATCATGGTAGCGGAAAGACAAAATCGGTACCAAGGCACTGGCAGGGCAGCTCTCCTTGTCTTTCTCAAGTACGTTCTGGCTCATGAGACTGAGATACTCAAGGAGTACTTCAGCACAGCGCGTGACAACCAGTCCCAGGATAAGTTTGCCTACCTCAGAGCCAAAATCAACGAAACCAATGGACAAAGCCTGAGACTGTTCGAGTCGGTGGGTTTTGAGAGAAGCGATGTGACACCAAATTTCTTTGGTGAGTGGGAGCTGCGCAAAAGATTCAGTATACAAGACATAGAGAAGCAGATGGAAGAGAAGATGGTCAGCGGCTACCGTGAGGTTAGTTATCCATATGAGGAGGAGGGTTCCCAGGAGATGAAGGTACGAGCCAACTCATCCAGCACAGATAAGCCGTAGCAGAAGATAATGGAAAAGGTGCAAAGCCAGTACCAGAAGATTTATTGGTTAGGAATCCAGACCCATCAGATAATGCACGAGGCATGGCGAGGTAGAAACCATTGTGGTGTCTCGCACGTCAGATCTGCCTTGACGTGGATGACCACTGTCAGAGCTGAATCTTGTGTTCTTGACCATGACAGACAGACAGACATGACTCTTGCTGCCTGGCTGTATTGTCCAGCGTCTCGTGCTTAAGTCCTACTCAGCTAAGATGGCTTGACCATACACGTATTTCGCCATCTTGACATCTTCCTGGCCAGTTTCCTAAGCTTCCCTCGAGGTGCCATGATTTGAGCTTATATCAGATCCATCCACTTAGTTCTTCTTCGTCTTCTTGTTCTTCTTTCCAACCTCCTCGACTTTCAGCGCTATAGAACAAGTAAGTTAGCAATGATTTTCTTAGCACAATAGACTATCTCCTCCAGCCCTTTATGTCCTTCGTTTTCCAGCTGAGAAGATAGGTTCCGCAACACGTACAAGGTGGTAAACTTTGCTTCAGCTTATCTGCTCGGTCTGACTTGGCATCGTCCAAGATCAAAGTATAGAGGTTCTTGTGGGCTCGGATCTTGAATTTGATAGCATTCTGGCCTGGCTTGGAGGACTTCTTAATCCGGGCAGCTAGATTGTCGCATATCCATTAGCTACTTGATCGTGCTGGGCCTATACATAGGCTTGTATATCGGTTTTGAGGAAACTGCGCAGTATTCTAGCTTCTCCGTCGACTTACAGGTGGCATCCTTCCTCCGTGCAATCTCGAGGAATTGCTTGATATCGGTAACTTCTCGAGGCATTTTGACGGATTTGCGATTCGTGGTTATATGTGTTGGACAGTTCGATATTGTGGTTCGGAGCTGCGAATTGGCACTTTAGCATGTAATTTTGAGGTTTGTGGGGTGGAATTTCGCGACAGCGGAGATAACTGAGATGAGCTCGGAGATAAAGTAGAGCGTCCGTGGTGGCTAGAGAGGAAACTGTGGCGTAGGCATCACTTAAACGGCTTGCCCTTAGTATGTAGCTCTTGCTTCTTCCAGCGTACTGTAGTACGAGTCGTTTGACCACGTAACCATATTTACAATCGGCTCTCAGTGACGCGAAGCTGCCAGGTGTCTTCTGTGCACAGCAGATCTTGTATCGTATACTGTAAACAAAGTATTCATTTATACTACTTGGAAAGCGACCTCTGAAAGTCAATTGCATATCTTATCAAGACCATCAACGATATGCCTACACCAATTGATCGCGCGATGCAGTCGCGCAACCTTTTTCTTGGATTTGCCGGGCTAGTGGCCGCAGCTTCGATATGGAATATGTTCGGAGGAGATATGTTTCCAGCAGAGAAGGATCCTACTGGTGATCCGGAGACGTGGACGGGCCATGAGTTGAGACGATGGTTGAAGAACGTGAGGATGATGATTCGGTGTCTTGGTGTTTTTAGGCTAATGGTCACATAGAGAGATAACTACGAACCAAGCTCGAAGCTGAGCCGTGATGAGCTTGTTACAAAGGTCAAGGCCAAGATGAGCGTGGGAAGTCAGCTGAAATGATCCCTTCAAATGCTACTATTACTTGGTTTGAGCGTTGTTCCTGTGCGTATATTCGAGCTTGGTTGAAATGCACTGTGTGCGTAAACTGCATGAATCTGCTAGATTTGACGATCTTATTTGAGCGTTTTGAGGATGGGATAACAGCACACTGAGGTTAGTAGACGGACCTGTTCTAGCAATGGTCATTGAACCGTGGCAGCGCTTCTAATGAAGATCATGAACGGAGTGTGTATACAACTTGGCTCGGCACTCAGCATCGGATCCAGCAGTCACGTCCAGCCATAAGCTCTGAGCTAAAAGTCTTCTTGGTATGTAGAAGCGACGTGTAATGCATAATTCGGGATTCAGATATGCGCAGCCGATCTGTTTCGCTATCAATCTGTCTCGATCTCGGACCGTCAGGTAAATCTGCAGTGTAGGCACCAGCTATTTGAGCTCGCTGGATTGAGCTTCTTGAGAAGAACATTACTGTGTCCCAGAGCTGCCTCTTTGAAAGCTCTTCCATACTGCCGTCTTGGCAAAGGTCACTCCTTTTGTAGGCGCGCTAACCAATGACGATTCACGTCAACTGAGAACGATTGGGCCACATCGTTCTTGAGAACAGCCAACGAAAGCAAGGCTGCAATGACCGCGAATTTAAGCTGCGAAAATGGCTATGATGCTGGGAAGTCAAAAAGTTAGGCAATTCAAGGTCGGCGGAATGCGGCTTCTCGAACCACTACTAGTGAGACAGGAAAGAGTCATCAGGCAAGAACCCGAACCAAAGCTTGAGTTCCTACTTGGAAACCTCGTGGTACTTCGGTCGGCGCCATTAATGTTAGTCACACCTCACTGGAAACTCAAGAACCTCTTCACATAGCTTGGTACAAGAATACCAACGCTGGTCGTCAACCTCAAATTCGATATTTTACTTACTTTTTCCACCAGTACTTCAGAAACACAAGTCATTACCTGAGAAGGCTCACTTCATTTTTACAGTCAATACCTGTTCAATCGTCTATGCCGTTTGATCACAGTCATGACTATTTTCTTCCCACTGATCTCCACCCGCAGATTCTAGCCTCTCTCATTCTCCCAACTTGAACGTTCTCAAACTCGCAGAATCACTACCATCGTCGACATATCGCTCGTACAAAGGAGCAATACATACGCCTTAAAAGATGAGTGCTCGGTCGACTCGGCCTCGGTGTGGCGGTGTGACAACATGGTCCTCCTTCAGGCGTATTGCAGAAGACAGTGATGACGATCCAGCAGATATTCCCTGCCTAGAGAGATCAAGCCAATTGCCGAAGTACTTAATCACAGAACGACCTCAACCGCAGATCCAAGACAATGCAAAGACGCGTCCACGACAACCGTTCAGGCCACGTAAAGAATTGGCCAACCGAAAACTTACCTCGAACAAGTCTGTTGTGGAAAGCGAGCTCGCCAAGCAGTCTTCTAGTACTTTTGCTGTGCCGGCATCTCAGAGATTTTTCGCGCGGGCAAGTCGACCCGGTCGGGATACTCGCACAAATTTGAGCAAAGAGCAAAGCGCGCAGCCAATTGAAACTAGCAATCAAGAGAGCATTTCGAAGGCTCGACCAGATGCTGAGATCGAACAACAGGCTTCTATAGTGCATCCTAAGCCAGGAGAACCGACTATGCATAATGGACAGCCTGGGAAGTGGTATTGCTTCAGTAATGCTCCTTATGTGAGTGGACAACAATGGGTGTTCGTAGCTGACAAAGTCCAGAAAGAGAAGGTCAAGCGGTCCAGGAAGCGAAGGCCAAAGAGGCAAACCAGCTTTCTGTCACTACCAGGCGAGTTACGAAATGAGATATACAAATATGTCATTCCTGAATGTCGGATGCTCATCACTCGCAATCGCCCCAACAAGGAACATGATCAACGGAAAAAGGTCTGGGCTGAACAAGATGTCAAACACAAACGTCCTCGGCGTCGGCTCAGTCACCTCCTCGATTCTGATCAGATCGGACAAGGCCTGGGAATCACCAGAAACCTTCTATTAGCCTGCAGAAAAGTCAGAAACGACGTCGAACTCTACCTTTATTCTCGCACGACATTTTGCTTTTCATCGGTCAATGTATTAGCAAGTTTTCTTGACACAGCGTCCAAACCTGGCCTCAGAGCTATCAGGAAGGTTGAGATTCTTCACATGGGTTATGCAAATCCCGAATACTCAGCGCATCAGAAATATCGTGATAGATATTATGCTCGATGGTGCAAAACATGCACCGCGTTCGGAGATCATGTCACAGGCCTCGAGCATCTGAAGTTGGAGGTCCACGTACACGATTGGCCATACGAAATATCAGAGCGTCAGCCGAACCACATCTGGCGTACGTCCTGTTTACGGATGGTATCTGACAAAATTTCTAAAGTCGAGGTCAAACTTCACCATAGCATGATCCAAGGCAATACAAGAGTTCTCAGGGACCTGGCTCACGACCTTGAGGATGATATGATGACGCTAGAAGGTCGAGAAGAGAGAGACCGTCTTGAGACTTTGCAGGTCCTGAGAGAGTTGCAAGCAAAAAGAGATGCTCTCAAGGCTGCCAGGGAAAGAGCTCGACTCGGCCGGGAACAAGCTGCGAAGTCGCCTCCAGAATTGTCCATTAGCGCTGAGGAACTCAAGGAGCAGAAGCCCACGGCGGTCAAAGTCTGCAAAAAGGGTCTGGAGAAATACTCCCGGTTGGATACCAGCGGTATGAGTCCTGCTGCACTGAACTATTTCAGAGATCAATACTGCTCGCAAAAACACAAGATCCAAGCCACACCTTGATAACAAAAAAACATCAATGAAATTACGACAGCATCACCCGAGGATACAGTACGAAATGAAGCCTGCGATAGCAGAACATCGAACCTGATTGACCACGAAAGAACGAAAGATACCCACCAATAGCTGTACAATATCGATATGGAGGAGTTGAAGGATGAATACCTAAATTCTACTGGCTGCTATTCATAACTGTTGGCCGCTAAAGCACTAGCTGCAGCAAGCCACCTGCACAGACAAGCTGCAGTCGACGTTGGCCAAAAATAGGCCAGCCTGGGCCTGAAGAGCAGATACGCCGATCATTCCAACTGTCAGCGGTTGCTGCAACTCTAACACGACGCAAAATCTCCTACCGTACAGAAAAGCGTTACCAGACACTACTTAGTTTCCGTCAATGAGCAATGCAGCATTGAACATCCAATAAGTTCTTTCGAGGATGAACAGTACCTGTCCAATTTCGGTATGATACTGTAGCTTAGAACGTGATCGTCGTGCCTGCATGGATACTCGTGACTCTTTGTTCGGCCGCCCAGGCGTGCTATAATGTACTGGTGTACGGTCATGGGTATGGTTCAGATATGTACAAGACTGCCTTCGTGCTGACGATTTATCTACCAACCAGTGTGATCATCATATATGGAGTCGGACCCTGTACTATATGGTCCTGCTGGTAAAACGAGTAAGAATGTGGTGGTCAGACGCGAGGATGAGCATCTCGTGAGCGTGCCATGGCTCACAAATCGCCAACTCATGCGGGAATCACTAGCGCGACTGAACTGACAAATGAAATGCTGCAGATGGCATAAAGTGCCTGCCATGGTCTGTCCTTCCGCAGCTGCTCGGCGCCTAAGTGCTTTGTGTTCAACCAATTATCGACTTCATCACGTCTGTCATGCTTCTGTATCCAGTCAAATCATGCCAGCCTTTACTCGAAAGCTATCGAGGACGACCACTCGGCAGTGTGAGCGTTCAACTATTGACTCCATCGTCACTGTCTCTTGCTCAAGCGCCTACTTCGAGCTTGCGGAAGTCAGAGTGCCATGTCTGTCTCAAGGACGCCTCTTCAAGCACGGGACTGTCTTCAATTTGGTCAGGTACCTTATCTTCTCAATATTTCCTGCATCTGCGGCTCAAGCACTTTGACCGGTTGCTCCCACTGATCTGTTCTGTTCTCTTCTCTCGCGCAGGCTTCGCTGAGAGCTCTTGCTTCTTGACTACTGCTTACTGAGAGATTCGAGCACTGCCACCGCGACCGCTAATTTGACCAAAGAAGGTCTCAGCAGAGCGACCGCCTCTCTTACCCTCTGAAGTACCCTGTACTTAGAGCTTGCTCCCGAGTTGACCTTCAAGAATCTTTCTGCGATTATCTCAAAACTTCTCACCATTTGCAGACAGCACCTTCGTAAACAGAAGCAGACAACTTCGTCCTCGAGCAGTCCCGATCCAGCTCGTACGCAGAGTCCTAAAGAAAGAATTCTAGCCTGTGATTTTTGGACACAGAATCTGGTGCAGGGAACCACCGAAAGAGCAGGCCTCGACATCTGTATCACGCGCTCAATAAGCTCTACCCTGTATTTACGGAGGACGCTCTAAGTTCTATACTTGGTCTTTCGGACGAAGATCAGGCCAACCACAAAACCATTTCTTGCGAGACATGTCGCCTTGGTCTTCGGACACTGCCCAGTACCCTCCAGTGTCTCCTCTTGACGTCTTAAGCGGACCTCAACGTAAATCAACCAGCTTTCAGACAGTCAACATCGACGAGAAGCGACAGGGCACAGCTGCCCGTTCGATCCGAACAAACTCTGAATCAAGCACATCCTCAAGCCTATCCACGCCCCGAAAGACACGATTTGCAGAAGCTACATCTGTCGACTCTCCAGCCAAAGGACCAGGTGAATTCCAATCACCCTTTGCAGATCCAGCGGCTACCATGGCTGCCACCGAGCACAAACCATCGGATGTAGGATTCGGTTATATAGCTGACAATGGCCCTGTCGAGCAACATGCAACAGTGCCTGTATCCTACGGAGCGGGTGGTCAGCCTCTAAAATCCGCCATGAAAACTCCGGGCACAGCAGCAAGACTGATCAACCCTATGAGCCCAACTTTCAGGGAGGAGGAGATGTTAGAAAGAGAGGAGGAAAAGACCGAGAAGCAGCAAGCTAAGGACTTGGTGAGTTCATCTTTTGAGCCTCAATTTGCGAGTTAGACTAACTGTGTACAGAAAGTGAAAACCAGAGTCAGAATGGCAAAGATGGCTCTTCGTGGAGTCAGCTTCTCTTGCTCCTTGATCGTCTTGTCCATGGTCTCAACCACTTTCATGATCTTCAATGCCACCAAAGCTCTGCCACCGCGAAATGGTCTCCCAGCTTGGGCACCAAAGACGAATCCCTGGCCACAAATTGTCGTGCTCAGTATCGCAGCTGTGTCGCTTCTTTTCTCCGTTGTCGTCATGGCAGCTTATTGCCGTGGTGGTCATCGAAGAGCAGAGAAGGTTGCAGTCTACTATACAATGTTCGCCATGGGCTACTTCGTCTTCTCTATCATCATGTGGCTGGTAGGTGCAGCTGTCTTGCAAGGCACCAAGCAAAATTCCAATGGCCAAGACATCTGGGGTTGGTCGTGTAAAGATAACAAAAGACGTCAACTCTTTCAGGACGATGTGCACTACGCTCTAGTCTGTCGTCTGCAGGACTGGGCATTGGTCTGCTGCATCATCGAAATCGTTGTGGAGATCATTGTTATCGCCATCTATGGCGTCGTGTTTTACCGCTTCTACTCCAAGAACCGCCTGAGGAAGTCCATGGATGCTCGAGACAAGGCACGATCCGATCTCTACTTGGCACAACTTCGATCTCAATCAGCACCCAATACCCCGGGCTTCGCGCAAACCCCACGAACGCCACGTTTCCCAACAGCCATGTCAGAAGTAAAGCACAATCCACAATCAACAGCCGAGAATGGTTACGCCTCATCATACGTCTCTCCTCAATCAGCGACGACAACGAGTCCTTTCAGCTTGCAGGCGCCACCCAAAAAACACACCCCCAAAACACCACAGACTACATTTACACCTGCACCAGTATCTACTCCGCCACCTCAATTTCAGAGGTCACCATCGCCAGAATTTTCAGAGCGGGTGAACGACCACATTGCCGCAGCGCCTGGAGAACAAGTGTACGACTCAGTACCAATACCGGGAGCTTATGCAGGGCCTAGACAGTAGTGTCGACACTACTGGTACGTGTAGATAAATGTCGTCTATGACTTTCTTTTGTTTAGGATGTTTTGGGTGTGATGCATTTAGCGCTGTGTATCCTTGGATAGGACATTTGCGACGTAATGAGAAGCAATATGATTCTTCGGTGATACCATGTCAAGAGCGTCTCTTGAAACAGTTGAGCTCCTGCTCTGTACGTCAAGGCATTGTGCTGTACCAATCGCAACTGGGCATTGCGTACGCGCTCTTTCCACTAATTGGAATGTGCTCTGGTGTCGGCGCCAAAGTCAGCCAGGCTTTTCGACCACACATTACATTGTCCTTGAACGAGAATTTACCGTGGACCTAGTATGAGAGACAGGAGCAGTGCATTACAATGTGCTAGACAGATATCTACCGCACGCAGAGCATCCTCTGTTGTCGAATCTCAAAAGTTGCAACGACGATGGAGCATCGATAAGGCTCTCTTTTTCCAACGAGTCAGCCAAGATATGCCTCACGCGCTCTGACCGCAGCTAACATACAATTTGGCAGTATACTCGGCAACAAGCTCAAACAGAGAGTCCGAGTTATCGCCGTTGCTAGCCAAGCAATTCGAAGTTCTCTCCGAGCCTTTGCAAACTTCCACCCTCTTTGCACTTCGCAAGTCCAGCGCGCGGTTCATGCCCGCGTATCGTGATCGAGCAGTCGCGATCGCAGTGTCAACAGAACAGACATGTTATTTCCTAGTGAACAACCAACCGTTCCGCATGATAACACAAATGAAAGAACGTTGAGCCAAGAGAAGGATGCATCATTCCAGAGATCCAGTCGCCATGACGAAACTTTAATCCGAGATCTTCAGCCTTGAAGAAGGACATCTTGTGTAGGTGGACCTCAAAACTCTCCGGTTTGCTTCAGTGTCAGGAGCATGGAGTGGACACCGCCTTCAAAAGCGTTGATGTCGATCAAGTTGAGGTAATAATGGAATCATTTCCCAATGTGGGTCTTCCCATCAAAGATATGTAGAGGTTCGTTTCCGCCGCTGTTTCGTTGTTGATGATACCGTGCTCGACCTTTTGCGATGTCTATCGTTTCTTTGCCACTTGCCCATAAAAGAACACCCTCCGTTTGATACGAGTATCACATCTCCAAGCATGTCGATATTCTCAAGGAACCAGCATCGCAGGAAGGCAGACTTCCACAGTGCCAAAGGTGCAAAGGAGTGCCCCAGGCTCTATATACTAGCATCCAAGCCCACCCGGATTGGACAACCAGATAGCTGTGAATGGAGTTTTGAGCTCAGCATACCCTGCACGAATTCGACAAACGTAGCTACTGTGACAGCACAACGACCAAGTCCACTCTCTGGTCTTCTCCATTACAAGCAAAAAGGGCATGCGGATGGAAGCTGTACTACTGTGGCGTCAAAAAATTATTGCTGTTTCGATCGTCTTCACACCGGCACGCACATAGACGGAGAATCACCTGCAATACTACGGATATGTCTAACCTCTTTCCCTCCCTCAAAGAACTCCAAAAAGGGCCAGTACGAGCTCGTCCAAAGGTTCGAGAGATGCCTTGAACGTATATACACAACACTCGAGCCAGCAGTGTGGCTGGATCAAGCTCTCTTAGCTCTCCAGGGCGCTGAGATCATACCACCAGCTTCTCGTGGCCTCGATATCGGCAAGTTCGTGGCTTTTGCCACTTCATACTTGGAGCAGTACGTGCGCAGTGGCGAGGCGGAAAATAGTACAGAAACCAAACAGATCAACTATGTACAGATCGTCCGAGAGAACCAAAGGCTCAAATGTATGTTGAGTAGCAGCAACACAGACTACACGGTGATGAATGCGCCAGATGAAACAAATTCAGAGACGCTGGACGAAGATGATGCCTGGAGTATGCCTGTACAAGATATGACGACGACCAAGAACCACAAGTCGTGGGGAGGATTCTGGATAACCCACGGCTCGGAAGCGGACAGGTCGAGAAGCAGTAGCCGGCAGAGAGGACAGCGAGAGCCGTGGCAGCGTGGGAATGTTTATGGCGGTTTGATGTGAGAATCTTGGTCGCGGAACGTGGTTGTGATCTTGTGATGCAATGATTAAGCGACCAGGGTTTCAACAAACTACGTATTGGCGCAATGGTACATAGATGTGAAAGGGCTTCTGGTTTACTAAATGGATTTTGCCAGTGAACATGGCTGGTATGATAAGTTTTTGAACGCGTGATATTCAAGTTCCTAGAAATAGGTGTGGGTCATACTACCAGTATCAGAGGCTATGGTAAGAATCGCGTAATGTTGCGACAATGGAATCGTTGATGATGTCATTCTATAGTTCCTCAATTAAAGTTGCAAACATCTGACCATGAAAACGATCAATATCCCAAGAACTATACAAGGCCGATAATGTCTCACTAACGTGCAAAGAAGCAAACACAACCACGCAAACATGTCCTCAGATAACGGCGACGATTCAGAGCACGCCAACAACGATACCTCCAGCGATATGCCTCCCACTTCCCTCAAGGTAGACCCAGCACGTGCCAGCACCTTGATCCAGAACATTGCACAAATCCACAGTCGCATCAGCCAGACATGCAAGACCCAGTCAAGAACCCAACCACCACGTCTCGTGGCCGTCAGCAAGCTCAAGCCCGCAACCGACATCCTCGCTCTACATCAGCCTCCTAGCTCAGCAACAGAGAACACATCAATCCCTGCCCAGACACATTTCGGAGAGAACTATGTGCAAGAACTCCTGCAGAAGAGCCAGTTACTTCCCAAGAGCATAAAGTGGCATTTCATAGGTGGACTACAAAGCAATAAATGCCAGCAGCTGGCGCGGGACGTGTCAAACCTGTGGGCAGTCGAGAGCGTGGACTCAGACAAGAAAGCTAAATTACTCGACAAAGGCCGAGGACAGCGCAACGAAAATTCAGAGGGTACCACAGACAAAATAGAAGGTCTCCGTGTCTTTGTACAAGTCAACACATCCGGCGAAGAAAGCAAAAGCGGCGTCGAACCAAAATCCGCTGAATTGAAGAGCCTATGCAAGTTGATACGAGACGACTGCCAGAACCTAAAGTTACAGGGGTTGATGACTATCGGTGCGATCGCTCGTTCGAAAGCCACGACTGCGGAGACTGAGAATGAAGATTTTGTGTCGTTGAGGGATAATAGAGACTGGTTGGCGCAGGAGCTTGGGATTGATGGGGCGGAACTGGAGCTTAGTATGGGTATGAGTGAGGACTTTGAGGGTGCGATTGCGCAGGGGAGTGATGAGGTAAGGGTGGGTAGTACCATATTTGGCGAGAGGCCGCCGAAGAGTGAGGCGAAGGTGCTGGAGAATGCTGAGGAGGGCAAGACGTGACCTTACCTGATCTTTTCAAGTACCGAGCTCGACGCCTAGAAAGCTGATGGCTCCTGCGACATACCTCCCGCCACACAGCTTCACGACCTTCGAGTTACAAGCTATTATCGACACAATATGCAGTTGTCTAGTTCGCATTACAACATGTGCCCTTGCAAAAAGAAAGCCGCATCTGGTTTGCTCAGTCATGGGTATCGGACGAACTGCGTCACCGTCTAACAACTTTCCCAACCATGGCCAGCAAGAAAAGGCGCTGTCTGCTATTACAGTAGTCTCGCACAGCGTGCTACAATATTAATCAGCTAGCTGTACGACCAAGGAATGCGACCGTGCAAAGAGCTCGGTAGCAGAATTTACAAGCATATGGCAGAACAAGGAGCATCAGAACCGGGTATCCTAACTTGTACTTGCTGAAACACGCCGTACCACACTGCCGATGACTGGATGTACCACAGGCTATGCTCATCCAAAAATCCGAGGGCTTGTAGAGGTTTGGTGAAATCTCGACTTGCGTTCGACGAGCACAGGCTGTGTGTTGTTGCGATTCATAAATGCTTTCACTATCTGTCCCAAAGAGCCACTTGAGAGATATGCCATTGATGTGCGCAGCGGAGCGTTGTTAGCGGGCCAATACACGGATATCATTGATGACTCCAGGATATGAACATTCCAAAATTCAAAATTGTGTCTACATAGCAGGAATTGGTTGGATATATGCAGTAATGAAGCTGTGCTAATAATCAACCATGGTGGAAACGCCACACCATTGTCATCTGTCTATGCCTCTACATATTCAATCGTCCTCGTCATCTTCATCATTGCCGCTCTCATCACCGTCATCATCCTCGTCTTCGTCTTCGTCGTCATCATCGTCATCTTCTTCTGCCTCATCATCCTCCCCAGTCTTCAATCCGTAATCATCCTGGAACCAATTGAGATCATGTACTTCAGGCTGGTAACCCAGAGACCCGAGACCGGTCTTGATTTGCTAGAATTAGGTGTTAGCATATACGCCGAAACACTGGAGTATACAGATAAACTTACCTCGGTCAACCCTGTCGCACACGTAACAAGCACGTCTGACTTTCCAGGCGTGAATACATCAAAGACAACATCCTTCAAACTCTGCTTAATAGCCTCCACATCAATATCCCTAACCTTCTTCAACATGATCTGCATATAATCCTCCGGCAACCCTCTCATGACTTGTCTCACAAAACTTGCAACCGCAGCGCTAGCGAGGGTACCTTGCTCGTTCGCAAATCCGACCACGATACTGCTGATCGCGCCCTCTAGCATGAGTGAATCGAAAGGAGTGGTGCCATCGATATGCGCGCCAATCACGTCTCTCGCTGCAAGGAAGGCTTTGTATGCATCGGGGGATCGATAGACGTCGATGTTGATGAAGCCTGAGTGTATGTCGTAGGACATACTTGTGCCGTATGCGAGGCCGGTGCCTCGAACTGCGGTCCACAATGGGCCTTCGACGGCGTTTAGATAGGCCATGGCGACCATCAAAGCCGGCAGTTTAGGGTCGTCGTATGAGGTTGGACCACGAGCCACGGCATAAGCATAAGATGAATCAATGGTTGCCATTGGGATAACATGCGAAGACTTGCCGGGTGATAGGCCTGCTGGGCTCAGACGAGCAAGACGGCTACCCAGAGGAGCTAGAGGTGGTGGTTTTGCAGGATCAATTGCTAAATCGGACAACAAGCTACGCCATGACGAGACTGGGTTCTCGAGTTTCTCGAGATCAGCCACGACCAGGACGCGGAAGTTGGGGAACTGGCAGAGGGTCTTGCGGAATGCCTCCATTTGGGAAACTAACCTCTCCGGATCAGACTTGAGGAGCGCTCTGGTTCGTTTGAGGTAGAGGGCCTTGGTCAGTGTGGACTTGGCACGAGCGATGGATTCTGGTGCCAGGTGTAACATGAGATGGCACGCGGTAAGCATGCCATTACCGCTGCGCTTGTAGTCAGGAACGTCTGCCAGTAGCCGCGAGTTGATCGCTTTGAGACGCTCAATGTCGAAGATCGAGTGCCACATTAGTTCTTTCATCCACCGAATGGCATCGCTATATTTTTCGACTTCAACTTCAAACTCGATTCGCAGACACTCGCTGTTGCCAAGACCAGAAGCCGTTTCTATATTGTAGCCAACAGTTTCGCGCTCAAGTTCGATAACGACCTGTTCAAAGTCGACCACTTTATCGCCTCTTTGAATCGGTAAATTGAAAAATGCCTCAAGGTATACCGGGATTAGTGGTCTGAGCTCGATGGGCACATGTTCAGTCGAGATGATCAGATTCACTCGTGCGAAATTGGAAGGAATATGCTCGAAGTCGATGAAAAGAGGCATATCTTTGTCGTCTGCCTCGATGATGGACTGGAACTGGGTTGAGGGACGGCCTACTGCAAGCGCAGGCCCGATCCGTGCAGATGATGTGGTGACGAAATGGATGCTCTCTATTGGTGGCACTCTGAACTTCGCGAGTAACGAATGTGGAATTTCTCGATCATTTTCTGCTTTAGCAGCCTCGAGCTTTCTTTCACACTCCTTGAGGCCTTCAGGTCCAAGTTTCTTCTGCTGTTCTTCTATCCTCTTTGCTTCGTCCGCCTTAAACTTCTCCGACAGCGCTGCGGAAGGCTTTCCTAACATTGAAACATGATTAGCATCAGATATATATCGCTTGATGAAGGTCTTCCATTCAGTCTCAGTCCAAGCTTTTAATGTCACGTCATAATCGTCGAGGTTCTTGAGGCTTGCCAGAGTAGAACCGTCTCTGTTGCCAAACAGGTAGTCTGATATGATATCGTTCACGAACGCTGTAGCAGAAGTCTCGGCATCAAATTTGAATGTCCTAGTTTGCTGTTCAAGGCAATCCTGCATAAAAGACATGTCCAGAGGCTTGTCCAGAGCACCTTTCAAGACCTCGAAGAATCTTGCCTCGACTTGCTCTAATTTGGCCGCGGCGACTCCTGACAGGGAGAAAGTGATTTCGGTTTTCGGACGACTATCGATTGAATAGTAGACTCCACTCGCGATTTGCTCCTTTTCGACAAGGGTGTTGTCGAGCACGGCTGCAGATGAACCAGCGAGGTAGAGCAATACCACCTGCAACGCAGATATTTGCAACGAGTCGGCACAATTCGGTCCCAGAAAACGAATGTCAATCTGACCCATGGACTCGTCCTCTTCAGGGAACTCGATCACTTCTACAGTTGACTCAGTAAGAGGTTGAAGCTTCTCGGAGTCGATCCAAGGTCGTTGAAAAGGTAGTCCAGGATCAGGAATGTCATCCGTTATTGAAGTCTCAAACTCACTGAGTGTTTCCAAGAGTTCGTCGTGGTTTATCTCGCCGAAAAGACACAGACATAGATTTCTTGGCTGATACATATCGCGGTGGAATTGTCGGATGCGGTCAGCCGTCAGGACTCGCAATTGCTCCATCATGCCGCCAGTCTCATATCGAAACCCACTACCTTGGGGATATAGCAACCGCTTGCTCCGAAGATCGATCAATTCTTGCGCCGTATTCTGGACACCTTGCATCTCAGAGTAGACGACTCCAGCATCTAGACCTTTGCCATCGATATGGTGTACTTCTGTCAGACAGCCGGAATCTGTGAGAGTTGGTAGAATTACATGTTCGAGATATACAGGCAGGATCTGACGAAAGCCGGCCCATCCTGCAGTCTCGAGAGTGTAGGCTGTATGATCTGTGGCAGTCCAAGCATTCGTTCCTGCGTACGCTCTGGTGGCTAGCTTGTCAAGAAATCCTTTGTACTTGTAGGACTTCGAGCCCATGAAGCAGAGATGCTCGAGAGTGTGAGGAGCACCGGAATCATCATGAATCTCGGTCGCAAGTACAAAAAAGCCATGCAACTTGGGCCCCTCCTGGTCCACAACAACCACTCGCATACCTGTTCGCTTTGATTCATATTGAGTTATCCGATTAGGACAGTAGTCTGGGGTAAATGACTGTATAGTCCTGAACTGGGGAGATCCGCCCATAGAACCCATCCTTGGAAAGTTGAAAGGAGATGAAATGGTGCTTTGATATCGTGAGGAGGAAATTTTGGGGCTTAAAAAGATCAAGCTAGAGACACGTGTCAGAAGGAGGCCCTTTGTGAACAAAGACGGCAGGCCAATAATCAAACAAACGCTAAGAAGACAGACACAAATGCTCACAGGTAGTGTGGAGTGGATGTTATTGCTCTCTGGTGGCATGCTGCGGAACCATATCCTGGTAGAATGAAGTCCACAAGTGATACTGGGCCAGATCTGTCAGGGTTTGAAAAGTGGCAAGTCCTACCTTTTCAATCTCGAAGATTGTCGAAGCAGAGATGTTGACCAGGCAGTGGCGGGTAGCAACCTTCAGCTTATGCAACGCAGCATAATGACGAATATTACACCGCCTGCGACGATGTTCTCTAAGGGCGTTCGATACGAGATTATGCGACCTTGTTCCTTGGGTCTGTGTTCACTCACTAAACACTGAACCAACTTTCGGTGATAGAAGCAATATCGCAGCAGTGACCAAAATTGACGACGCAGATGGCAATAAGACGGCCTGCAAGACACGCCAAGAAAAGTCAGAAGGAGGAGCCGTGGTTCGCTCCTGCCTGACAATAAGGCATCAATCGTGCCTTCTCGTACATTTTTCATTGACCAAGATCACTTTCCTTGTGTCTGAAGATTGAGCAGTTGGCTCGAATTTTGTCGTGGAAGGGGCTCTTTCTTGGGCTTAGTAGAACGTCAGGCCTGCACTGGGTCATCTGAAACAATTGATTGCGTATCGATTCGCTCGCTGGCCTGAATCAATTCAACCATTTCCAAGGATAAAACAGTGGCAAGGTATAGTTTTAAAGTCACCTGCTTAGGGTGTGTCCCCAGTGCTGTACCGCGAACTGAACATTGCAATCCTTACGAAACATATCTGAGATAACAATGCTCGAAGCTTTGACGTCAGCTCCAATATTGTCTACGCCTGACAACCATATCTTGGCTGGAGTTGAGCCTGATATAGCTGGACGTTGGACGGAGGACCTGTCTGAGGATCAATTCAAAATACAGTATGAAATTGATCGAACAATCAAAGAGATCAAAGAGCGGAAATGGAGACGGGTTGCGTTACAATTCCCTGACCACATGCTGACACATTCTGCTCGGGTTTACCAGCTACTGGCACGAGGGCTTGAGCCAAGTGCAACAGACGGTCCGACGATATCAAAACCTGTAGATTATGTGCGGGAGCGTACCGAGTTACTGAATCTGCGCGAACCGGAACCAACAACCAAGCTAACTATTTTGGGTGATACATCCTATGGTTCGTGCTGCGTCGATGAGATTGCTGCCGAGCATATAGATGCGGACGCGGTGGTACATTATGGAAGGGCGTGTCTGTCACCAACTACTCGACTGCCGGTTCTACACGTTTACACACAGGCCGCAGCGAATGATGATTCTGCTGTCGAAGGCTTTCTCGGTTGCTTTCCCGACCAAGAAATGAAAGTCATTGTGACGGCAGATATGCCATATGCCTCACACGTTCGTCCTCTAGTCAACAGACTAATCAGGGCAGGATACAGCAACATATATGCAGCGGAGATTGTGCACAACCCGTCCTCACTGCTTCCTAATCGTACAGTACCAGGGGAGGTGTCCGCTGATCCATCCGAGCTATCACAATGGTACATTTATCACATCGCAGAGCCTCCTACAGCCCTTCTGTTGACAATGAGTTCTAAAGTTCGAGGCATATACATTCACGACCCTAGCACGGATAGCAATAGTAGAGGACAAGCTGAGGAAGCGAGGACGGCCATGTTGCTGAGAAGACGATACGGACTGGTAACGTCGATGAATACAGTATCCACCTGGGGTATATTGATCAACACTTTGAGCGTCAAGAACTACCTGGATGTGGTTGAGCACGTCAAGAGACAGATTGAATCAGCAGGCAAGAAATCATATCTTTTTGTCGTTGGCAAATTGAACGCGGCCAAGGTTGCCAACTTCTCAGATATAGGTGGTTGGGTAGTGATAGGCTGTTGGGAAAGCTCACTGATCGACAGCAAGGACTTTTTCCGACCGATCTTGACGCCTTTTGAACTAGGGCTGGCTCTTGCGAGCGATCAAACGAGAGTATGGACAGGCGCATGGCGAAGCGACTTCCAAGGGGTCTTGGAAGGCAGTCAACGCTCGAGAAGCGATCACAACACACTAAGCCCAAATGGCACAGCAGATGGCGAGGACGGCAGTGATGTCGACTCGGAGGAGGAATCTGCACCGCCAGAATTTGATTTGCGGACAGGTAGATACGTGTCTCAAACCCGACCACTGGATCAACAGCGGCTGAATGGTTTGAATGGAATCACTAGGTCACAAGCATTAACTAAACGAGCCAAAGGTGAAATTCTCGTAGTCAATGGTGTCGCATCACCAGCAGCTGAATTTTTAGCACACAAAAGGACATGGAAAGGACTAGGTAGCAATTTCGAGGTTCAATACGAGGATGAGGAGGTTGAAGGTGCGCTTATAGGCGAAGGGAGATCCGGTCTTGCTCGGAGTTATGCAGTCGGGCAATCTGTAAGGACTTAAGGCGGTTCGAAATGATTCAAGCTTCGTAGTTAATGATATACCCGGCATAACATATCGACATTATGATCCCAAGCCGTCAGGCGTTCCTTTTCACACCAAGCACAGTTGACTAGACACCTATGGAGATCGTGGTAATCTGAGAGAAAGCAGGATCATGTCTAAGAAGAGTTCGGAGAAGGTGAGGGATGCTTAGCGCAGTCAATAAAGCCTGAGCCGGCGCCAGATGCCTGCAGAGGCAAGCGCAATCCGGACGCCTCAGACTGGTTGATTAATCGCCCTTTCCATAGCAAACGTAGGACTACTACTACGACCCTTTCCGCAGTTGCAGGCGCCACCATGAGCCTTGTATTAGTAAGAATATTGATCGATATGCGCTGAATGACTGAAAAGATGTGCTGGACATGATTGTAACAACAAGAGCAGGTTCATTATGGCAGAGGTGAACATGACCCAAGCGGCGGGAGAGCGTCAATCGCAGTCACAATCGCAAAACACTTCACTCACGTCCCTCCCACCACAGCCTGGCACCAGAATCTCACGCTTCGAACAAGTCGTTGCCAACAATGAGCCAGTCCTCGAGTCTCTGGTCGCACAATTACCTACCGAATCGATATTGAACCTCTACCATTCCTCGCGCTTCCTCAAATCTCTATTCCAACAGTCACCAATATCGTGGAAATACATGTCATGGCGCCTACATCAGCCCTCTCCCACCCCAGCCCATACACCGCCTGCGACCGCAGGTTCGCAGTCACGGCAATCAAGCAACTATGCCCTCGACCAACTGCTGATGTATGTGATCATTCCATTCAGTACCCGTTTGACCAGCCTCGTCCTTGATAATACTGCTGTCAGTGGTGCAACTCTTTTTCAAACCGTCATGATACTACGCAAAGACACTTTGGAGCACGTTTCTGTGCGAGGGTGCAAAAATGTCTCATTGAAGTACCACATCAACCCGTGGTTGACCATGCACGCTATGGCCATGCAGCAGCCCCGGAGTGCAAAACCTCCCGAGCTGCAGAAACTGGCCCTCAAGAGCTTGTACACTTACCGTTGTCGACACCATCGGAGGAGGCCTTACCTGCCGAGCAGTCTTAATCGAAAAGAGAGTGACAGCGAACCTACACATGAACTGGTTCTGACTTGTCACAAGCTTGGTATATGGACCGATACTGCCTGGTGCACCACCCCAGGCGCAAGGTGCTTCAGAAGGCGTGGTTACGTAACCATGAGGGTTCAGCAGGATCCTCGCGAGGTCTGGGTCGTTTATGACAGGCTATGGCGGAGTCGAAATTGGTTAGGCTCTGCTCCTGGCACCATGCCAACTACAAGACCCAGAAAGCGCAAGCGCGATGGTCGAGCCTGGGAAGAAGAAATTGCTGTCAACGGTGAGCCTGTCGGTTTGGCTCCAGAAGGAAAGGATGTACCTGTTCACCTGCGTCGCTCACATTACCAATTTGTCGAAAATATTCACTGTTCGAATTGTGCAACCGAAATCCTGGAGCGTTGCGAGCAATGTTCGGTCATGATGCATTGTTCAGGCTGCCGCAAGACTCTGTGTGCGAGTTGCGCCTTCGACCGACCTTATCTCAGAAATCAAAACGCTACCGAGGAAGAAAAGAGAAAGTTCTGGTGGGCCCCGGGTTGCGCTGTTTCTCCTTGCTCGATGCAGGACACTGATCCAGCCGCTCCTGGTGCTCCTAATCAGCAGAACACTTTGCCCAACACCAAATTTAAATGGTGCTGTACCGAGCCCGTGTTTTCAGGTGGGGGAGGAATCACGTTCGGAACTGCACCACAGAATCAGGATGTAGACAGATTACGTGCTGCACCTTTACCTCCAAACAACGGTTACGAGGACACAGAATTTTCATTTAACGAATTTGGCGACAGTACAGAACTCATAGGTTCTCCTTTAGTCAGGTCCAACGTCACTGGTCCAGGTGGCAGATGGGCCTCGCTAGCAGACATGTTCTTGCATGGAGCACAGGTCGGAATGCATGAGGACAACGATAGCATACCTCGCATGCTGTGTGACTCTTGCTACAACTCGGATCAATGGAAGATCAAGTGCAAGGCGTGTGCTGTGCCTTTATGTCTGAAGCACGACGTGAAGGAGAAGCAGCGCGTGCGCATATGTGGCTACAAAGAGTTGGGCGTGGAAAAACAAGAGCTGATTGCACGATTAAAGGCCACCAAGCTGTTCAAAACCCTTTGGCTGAAGAGGAAAGAGCAGCAAAAACAGGAGGCTAACAAGCAGCGCAAATCTGAAGCACAGCGAATCATGGAGGAAGCGCAGCTCGCTTTGGCGGCCAACGTGCTACTCGAAGAGACGCGACCAAAGGTCAATGGAATACCACAACTTTCGCCAAGCCTGTTTCCACTGGATCGACCTGTCACCTCGACCCTTCCTATTCGAGTTGCCGAGCAAGCCTTGAACCCAGAGGTCGAGCCTATTGGGAGACCGCTTTCGCCAGGCTCCAACAGTACAGGACCGTTGAGTAGGGCCTCGTCTCCTGCTCCATCAGCTAGATCTGCTACTGGAACTCCAGAGCCTAGCAAGGCCGCTGAAAGTACGGAGCAGCAACAGATCTTGCCTAGCGATTGGAAGGGCTGTCAAGCATTCTTTTGCGCTTCGACCCGTTCACAAGGCGACCACCGTCGACGGTGTAGCGCAGTCATGCGGCAGTGTCAAGATTGCAAAGTGTTTGTTTGTGATGACTGTGTGACTGGATTTGACAAGTCCTGTCCCTGTAGTGGTTGCCGCTTGCCCGAGGGTGAGACCGATTCCATCAGTGGAGGAACAGCTGCTTTCTATTGTCCGAATTGTCGCCATGACCGAATCGTATCGCGGAAATGTAAACGACATCTAACGTGTCTGAGCAGGAGCAAGATGGCACGTGTGCAGAAGGAAAGAAAGCATAGACAAAGGCAAAAGATGACTCCGGAGCAAAGAATCGGCCATATTGCAGACGTTCTGCTTGACCAGCCACATCTTGGCGGCTTCGGCGATGCTGACTTTACATTAGACACGTTCTACAACAGCATTGACCAAGAGCTGCAAGAATTACAAGAAATCAGCCTCTCAGCTGTGAACGTTGTGAGGAGGGTGCAAAATCTGAGATCGCAAGCTCCTCCTGGGTCACCAGCCGCGCTAGCACTGCCAAATATTATCATCGAGGGTATGGAGTCAGATTCTTCGAATGCTCAGGAGTAATTTAATGCAACCTGAGGTCTGATTATTCTCATGACGACCACCGATTAAGGCGAATGGAAGTTGAGCATGGCGTGGAGAGTACATTGAAATTGCTTGAGGTACTAGTGGTCGATAACTGAGTCATGGCTGTAAATGGATGAATATGAGTAATGAGGAGGCCTCGTGCATAATATATGTGATGGATGTTCAACGAAATTTGTTCACACATACAAGACCAACTCAGTTTCTGACGCTTCCAATGTTACTTGTTAAGGCATAGAAATATAGTAGCCCACACACGTATATGACACTGCAGGAGAATGCAGAATTGCAAGAGAGTCCTACGGAAAACGATGGACACAACCACCGACGAACACCCCGCAGACAATAAATCATGGTCGTACCTTTAGAACTTGTAAACACGACATTTCAGGAATTGGTTCTGTCTCAGTATCACATGCATCTTTCGTCGAGATGATAGCACAAACCTCTCAGGCGAGCTTGTTGCCATCGTCGTAGTCACTCAGACAACACGAGATCTCTACAGATGGACTTCCCAAGCCACCATCTCCAAGTCCTCGTGGCTGGAGCAGTACTCTTCTTCGCCGGATTCACTGTACGCTCATTCCTCGGCCAACCAGATCGTCGTGGCATCCTCTTGTCGCCACGCGTGAGACTTCTACCAAAGCTCACACAGACTGAGGTTTCAGAACTTCCTTATCCGCCCGACGCGTACCCAGGTGGACGGGCTGTACGTAGTCCTTTCGGGACACTACAGGTTTATGAATTTGGTCCTGAGGACGGCCGGAAAGTCCTTTGCGTTCACGGCATATCTACGCCATGTGTTGCTATAGGCGGGTTGGCTCATGCTTTGGTCGATAAGGGATGCAGGGTAATGATGTTCGATCTACCTGGGCGAGGTTACAGCGATGCGCCTGTTGATTTAGACCACGATATCAGATTATATATGTCTGCTATTCTGGTTGTGCTGTCATCATCAAAACTGGCTTGGACGGGTCAAAATGGATTCTCCCTAGTTGGTTACAGCCTTGGTGGAGGGATCAGTGCAAGTTTCACCAGTTATTTCCCAGAAATGATCAGGGATTTGGTTCTGATTGCGCCTGCTGGGCTAATTCGCGACTCTCATATTGGGACGGTAAGCAAATTACTCTACTCGCGGACCATTCTATTCGAACCGATTGTGCTACGGGTTTTGGGCAAAAGACTTCGCAAGCCTGTGACTCTAGGAGCTACTGAGCTCAATCAGCCGGATGATGAGGAAAGCACTGATCCAAAGAAGGCCCTGCAAGCAGAAGTTGCTGTCGATGCACCGACACGTCCAATCCTATCACGCTCGTATCCGCATCTCAGGCTTGAAGGGGCGGTCAACCACCAGATCGACTTCCACCAAGGCTATGTGAGGTCAGTCCTATCGTCGCTCCGCTACGCGCCTATATGGCGGCACCACGAGGACTGGAAAAAACTTGGTGAATATCTGAAAGCTCAAGACCAGGAAGTGTTGATGATCTTAGGGGAACACGATCCGGTCATCAAGTTCGACGAAACGAGAGAAGATGCAATGGATGTTCTCGAGGGTCGAGTGAGGATCGAAGTCCTAGAAACTGGTCATGAAACTTGTGTGTCCAAGGCCGATGAATGTGCAGAGCATATATGGAGGCACTGGAACAAAGAGTAGGCCGCCCGTACGTTCACGGATGGAGTTGAGGAAGCTCGAATAGCAGTCATGTAATCAGTAATTGCGTTTGTCAATATCAAATGACTGAGCAATCTTCCTCACAGGGTCGTATGTCGCAGCACTGTTCAAAACATTATTGATATCAATGCTGCGCATTCGTACGGTACATGAACACCGTTGTACATTTTTGGTACCTGCCAGAAACTGACGAAGGTGGCTGCCCAGAAGTCCCTTCCCAAAACGATCTGGAATCGGCCCTTTTCGACACGCTACTCGAATGCGTGTTTCTCAGGAAGCTGCGCTTCACGTATACGAGATATCTTGCAGGAGTTGAGACAGCTAGTCAAGTACAAGCCTGTGACCACGAACTCATCGCTCATTTACATACTTTCTGTATGTGCTCATGATAGGACTGATCTTTATTCAAAATAGTCTAGCAAAATGATGGATATCACGTCGATCAAGCCGAGAGTTTGGAGATCAGTGGTTTGGGAGCCTCCACATTTCCCCAGGAATCGGCGAAGGATGCGTCATCTTCTGGTTCGGCAAAACCTCATCTGTGAGCGACCAACCCCTGCTCGTCCTTGACCAATTCTATCGCTTCCACAAGCTGATTTTAAAGTCTACAGCAGCTCAAACATCTTCGAAGTGGAGATGCGGAAGTTTAGACACGATTCATGATGGGCTCGAAATGGTCACGCCTGCAGTTTAGGTTGGCTTATGGCGTCCATTTACAATTGAGCTGGGAGCTGGGCTGTACTTGTCTTGCGACTGAGCTTGTGATCTTGTGCGAATACATAAGCAGCAACCGCGGCTTCTTCTCTCATGCTTTCCATCGCACTGTCTACAAACGCGAGCTTGAAACATTGACATACCAGTTTACAGGCGACGAGATTGTTGGACTAATTCCTAGTATTTTCCAAAATGAGCAAAGCAGCTGACCCTTACTACAATCGCAAGTCGATTCCAGGTATGTAGCTATTCACCAAATGGTCGGTCTCGACTGATGGCGACGCAGATGAGTTCATCGAACATGTTGGGCAGACTGGCCTCAATCCACAGGAGGAGGCAGCAAACCGCGAACGAAAGTATAGTGTGACGGGAGTGGATGTACGGAAGCACGACAGCAGTAGCAAGGGTCTTCTTGCCTTCCATCCACAATCGGACCCCTACTACTCTCGCAAGAAGGTTCCCGATTCCATGATTCATGGTGTCGGCGAGACTGGTTTGACCAAGGAAGAAGAATACCTGAATCGCGAGAGAAAGTATAGTGTGAACGGAGCAGATCTGAGGAAGTTCAGCAATGCCGGCAAGGGTAGCTACGCTCCTGGAGATGATCCGTACTATACACGCAAGCCGGTCGACAGTAAGTTGAGCCCTAGACTGAGTCGAGTTCTTTCACTCACAGGATGATGCAGAATCCCAGATTGATGGTGTAGGAGAGACAGGTATGTCACGAGCTGAGGAGTTCGACACGCGTGAGAACAAGGCATCTCTTTTCGACATATCAAACGATCCCTTCCAACAGTTGACTGGTTCTGGACATCGAGCTTCAGTCTCTGGTGCTGCCGCTCCCGTCGCGGCGGCTGCGAGACGAAGGAGCTCGGCAGTCGCACCTGACGCAGCAGCTGCCACAGCTGCCCACAATCACCACACCAGTGGATATTCAGGAACTCAGGGTTTGGAGACCATTCCTAGCCGTGTGGAGGACAATGACATTCGACCATCTATAGATGTGCCTCCGACCATTCCGTCGAGCACTCTGAACAGCGGCACAACACATCACACGGGCGACACGGGTCATACTATATTCTATGACAGAGCGACGATAGACCCCGACAATGTTGGACCAGATCAGAGGTTGTAGTTTGAAGCACAGTACCGGAATTGAACAATATGGAAGAGGAGGCATAACGATATCCAGGCAGGTGATGTATAGTGCCGATGCATGGTATCAGGACTGCGGCGTGATCGACGAGACTGCCAAAGTTGCGTTGATAAACGGTGACACTCTTTAGTAGATGTTTATTGGAGAGATATGACTCAACTATAATAATTCATCCATATACCCAAATTTATATGGAGGTCCTCCTTACTGATACCACGTATGGCTGAACAGTGTTGCTCTTGAGTTCTTGCAATGACTTTCCTTCCTCAACATCCTGTCTTGATACAATGGTCGGCTGCTACAAGATCCAAGACCGAGAGAAAGGGAGAAGACCTCCAGATAGCTGTGCCGCCTGCTCGGCATTATCTACTGCCAAGAAGGCACGAGGGAAACATCCCGGGCGTGCTCAATAAGCTTCGTGCGATGCTGCAATATGCCGGAAGCTAATTCAGCAGGTGAATATGGCCCACAGAGGAAACCTTGGGCCTAGACACTAGCTACTATCAACGAGTACAGCAGCTTTTGTCCTATACCACACGTTTCATGAAAGCATGTGTACTTTTGGGATACTAAAACTAGAGAGGAGCAGTCAGCGAATATAATTTCTCTGTATAGTTTTAGAAGCCACGGTCATTCCAGGTCTGGCTCCTCATGGTCCCAGGCTACGTGATAAAAAAAGCCACCATCGACCTCACCGGCTCCGCCAGCCACATCTAGGCAAATGGTGGGCACTGCAAACCTTTGAACGATTGTGCATACACCTGCCGTTGTTCATGCGGTACCAAACACATCTGTCTTCTCTCATCTTACGAGCTTTATGTCTCTTGATGTTCATGCCAATAGCAATGGTCATCCAACTGGAGCCTTAGTAAATCCAGGTGGTATGTCTATCGGCGAGCCGCAGTGTGGACGAGCATGGCCTATAGATGAGCATGGTCGCATGACCTTTCTAGCAATACCGTCAAGTGTTAGTCTGTGCGAGTTAATGCGATTGACGTCCTTGCTAAAGCTGAACAGGTCGATTTGTCAAAGCAGCAGAAGCAAAAAGGCCTTCATGGCAGCGATTCCTCAATAGCCAACCTCCCACCAGAGCTGCAATATATCATTCTCTCCTACCTCCCCGTCATCGATCGAGTTTGCGTCGCACTTTCGTGCAAAACACTTGCCGCCTCGACACTAGCATCACCACTTCTTAGAGCACCTTCCTGGACACCATGGCTCTTTTCCTCCAACGATACTTTCCCTTCAAAGCACTTGCTGATACAGAGGCTGGCGCACGGTTGGACCGACAAATCAAGGTTACGATACTGCCAGAAATGCCAACGTATATTACCAAGAGACGCAGCATACTTCCAGCAACGAGTACAGCGCGGGAGTGGATGGAAACAAAAGAGTTTACCATGGAACCACAAAGTATGCTTGGACAAGGCGCAATGGAAGATGCTGAGCAACAAGAAACGCTACGATCATATCATCAAGATGTGGACTGAGTCGGACAGAGAAGACAGCTCGGTGTTCTCGTGCAATATATGTTGGACAAAAGAATTCAACGCTGTCACGCCTATCAGCCACAGCTACGACGGGAACCATGACTTGGAAAAAGGCACGTCTCATACCAAAGGAGGAGGATTCGCGCATGCATCGCAAGTGCCGGTGGAATGCCCTTGCTGCGTGGTTCACAGCCTACTCAACACGTACAAAGAGCCCCGGAAACCGAAATTCAGACCCTTGTTGTGGAAGTGGACGAAGAAGATCTTGAGCTTCGTTGGAAACACTATTCTTGTACTGATCTACTTGCTGTACTTGCTGTTCAAGGCACCATTCGATTTAACACGCTGGTCGTGGAGAAAGTATCGAAGGAGTGGGTTCAAATGCAAGACAATGCTTTGTATCAAATGAGGGCATGGAGGACACAGGCGTTGTAGCAGGCGGTTGGATTGGGCACTTGGTCGCATGGCATGTGTGTTTACGGTTTTATGAACGATACGGACGAATTACGGGTCACGGTTTAATGAGCAGATGTAGAGCAGTTTGTTCGTCCATCATTGCCATGTATAAGACAAACCCCAGCAAGCCTGTTTGCTACGGATATGAAATAACGGTGAAAGGAGACCAAGTAATCTTTTCACTTCAAGAGCCTTGTTGGTGACCTTTGGCGGGCATTGTTGGATAGGTATCGATAAGCCGAATGACTGCTCCATAAACGTGGCCAGGAACTCTCTTGGGGAGCGGATCTTCCGAGCTTGGCGTGCGTCAACAGGTGTTGCAAGAACTGGCATACGATCTTTCCATGCTGTGCCAGGACAAAACCTGCGTGGTTTCAAGCTTGAGCAAGCTCCCTTACTTGGTTATCTTTCTGTTTGCATGCTTGAAACACAGCCGACGGAAGCCCTTGGATCATGATTCGTGGCTTCCACAAGTGACATAACGTGTGACACAATCTGTCCTGCCCCTGCCCTGACTACCGTTGCTGCAATTGCTTGGACTTGAAATCGCACCTGCCCCTCTACACCTCTTTATATACCACTCAATCACACGAGCACTCACCACTTCATCTTTCAAACTCAATCTACCACAACCTTTGTTCCACAGTATTCTTCTGCACCAGAACGACTAGTAGTAACTAAAACAGAACCTAATCTCATCCAGTCAGAGCACCTATCTCTCTAACCATGGAGAACATCTCGAACTTTGCAAAGTCCTTCTCCGGCGGCAACAATAACAACAACAACCAGATGCAAGGCCAACAGGGCTACCAACAAGGCTATCCTCAAGACGAACGCCAACAGCAGGGCAACACCGGCAGCACCAGTGGTGGTGGTTTCTTTGGCGGCCTCGGTGACAAGTTCAACTCAGCCGCTGGAGGTGGGCGAGAGAGCGAGAAGAACGAGGATATGCTAGACAAGGGTATGTATACACGAGTCCTTTTATTCTACTGTCTTTAGATGTTCCATACTAACAACACCAATAGGCATCGACTTTGTGCAAGAGAAATTCATGGGTCAAGGCAAACAGGACAACGAGAGTGCATTTGAGCAGGCCAAGGATGAGCAAATTAGCGATTTCATCCGAGGCCAGTACAAATCTACTACTGGATCCGATATGCCGATCAAGGACAAGGAGACTCGATTCGGCTAGGATTGTGCAGACGCTTAGCACTTGAAGTGGACAATGATGTGGCATTTCATACCTTCCGAAAGCTTCAAAGAATATCAACGACTTGAACGAATTAGAAGTCAAGCACGAGCAGCAGCCTGCGCGGCCACGCAAATAAGAGCTATATGTTATACTCTACCTAAGAATTTTCGTCGTGCTGGATGTTTACATATGCATCAATGTCGCTTTTGCGAAGCGATAGTGCCTGCAAGCTGGTCCAGAAGATAATAGGGTTATACCTAGCCGTCGTTGCTTTCCATGCTATAGCACTTCCAACAAGGAGCGAGATCAGCTGTTGATTCTTGTTCAAGTACATCCTATTCTTCGTTATACATTCTATCTGTGGTATATCTCTATAATCTATAACTAACCTCCCAGTCGTTAGGATCAACCCTTCCAACAAGCCATAACGTCAGCTATGACAAACCCACAAAATTCTAAACGAACCGACAATTCCGACCACTAAAGACCTCAAACCATGACTTGTCAGAGAAACGCCCCTAGCTTCCTCTTTCTCTCCTTCACACACCCAACCCCTCCTCACTCCCCATCCCCAACTTCCGCTCCTCATACCCCACAGCCGCACTCACCCTCTCAAACTCCTTCATGCTCCACATGCCCCTAAACACCAGTCCAGGATGACAAAGCGTCAAAAGCAGACAGGCAAGGATGATCATCGGACCCTCCAGGATCATAAACGTGACTTCTTCGTTGGCGAGCTTGCCATCGAAACCCTCCTGGAGCTCGGCGAGGCGGTAGGCAGAGCGGATGAGGATGAAGAGAACGGCAAAGGTAAGGGCGGCGATGAAGGCGCGGAATTTGCGGCTGTGTTTGATGAGGGTGTAGGAGTAAGTTGTGGTTGGCAGAGGGGAGGAGTTGGGGGAGAGGGTTGAGTAGGATGTGCTGCGGAAGTCGTCTGTGGGTACTACAGTGGCGGTTTGGGTGTTGTGGGAGGTGGCTGAAAGTCTGAAGAGGTCTCGCTTGGAGGGAGAGCCGTGGCCGCGGTAGAGGCGGTAGGCGAAGTCGCTGCAGAGAGCTATGAAGATGACGATGGATGCGACTTGGGATGCTAGACCTGCGATCATGATGTTGACGCCCATGTCGCTACCTGCTTCATCTTCTGCGGTTGCAGCGACACCACCGCCTGCTCCCTGCAGGATGAGAGAGATGATGTCGAATGTGACGAAGATCCACGTGTATGTCATTGGCTTGAGTCTGGAGTATTGCAGTTTTGGGTCGAGGACGTGGATCAGTCGTGCTAGGCATAGGTACATGCTCGCTGTGATGAATGCTGGCGCGATTGTGAGCGGGACGAGATAGGTGAGGAAAGCGGTGAACGAGAAGATGTTGTTGTTGAGCATGATTCGTCCAATATAGCCGACGATCTCTCCAATGAGTCCGAAGGCCATCCATACACAGAATGACCAGATCTTGTATCTTATGCCTAGTATGAGTTGAGCGACCAATGTCAGACCGAATATAGCTGCGAAGAGAGAGTTGCCTGCCAGGGATGGGATGTATTGTACCTCACCCTGCGCAAGACAGCATGTTTGAGGTGTGCAAAGTTCGGATTCGGCGATCGTTGCATTACAGACAGCAGTGAAATCGCTGGCAGACACCATTGCTGCGGAGGATGCGTTGTATGTTGTGGAAGCTGAGATATGTGGATGATCGAAACGGTATTGCTTGTAGGATCCAGGTGGTATTGACGTAGATCTCAGAGACTGGAGAGAGTGTTTGAACGCTGTGCCCGAGAGATTGAGTTGTAGATGTGCTTGTGCTGGCATGCACCCTCCATAGTGGCAAGCGCACCACCTTTATATCCTTTTACCATCTCCATCGTTGTCATAGTGCGAGGTCGCAACAGCATCGACACTTACACATTTGGTCTATACTGCGACAAGAGAATCGTCAATATGAGGCTTAGACCTATGACAGTCTGAGGTGCTGCAGCAGGAACCAATGTGTTGACAAGGTTGCAGGTTTCGCACCATACCTTATCGGGTAACAAAGGCGACATGGGATCGCCTGATCCCAAATTTAGAGGGGTGATGCACCGAAACCACGAGCTAGCGCGCTTCTTGAGCTAAGCTTCTGTGACGAACATAGGTTGGTGCGTGTCCATTTGCGAAAGTCGCACATCCATATCCGCATCTTTTGGGTGAGAAGGATGTTGGGCCGTGCAGACAGCACTATTGTCATCGGATCTTGGCATCCTTCACATGTGCTTTGAGAAAGCTAGCTGCAAATGATAATGCGCTTCGCACGTAGGAGACTGTTCTATCGACATCATCGTCCTTGAGAAACGTGGCAGGAAGGAGAGCTGGCTCGCAAGTAGAAGATGTGCCAAGAGTCATCGAGATTGTGATGTTCAGCGCCGAAGACTGCCCTGATTAATGTTGCAGGCCTTCGTCCACCATGCTGTACTGCAATGGAATGCATTCCTCCCAGATTAACCATGGTCTCTCACTTCCAACCAATTTGGAGTAGAATTTTACATAAGTGCCCACCTCATCCGTGTATTTGATTTTCGCTTCACATATTCTTGCACTTTGGAAGATGTTTCCTTCGCTTACAATATGTGAGTTGCTGGTTTCAAGGTCGATGACGCGACGAGCCACTCGCACGGCCTCGTCTCTCCTCCATAGGCCTTCTCGCGATGGTGCCTTCTGCAGTAGTGATAGTGCTTGCTGCCTGATGACAAGATCACGACATTTGAGGGCGGTGAAATACAAGGGAGGGATGACACCTTGCTCGAACTGAATTTGTGGCACACCGTGTCCCAGGACTTTCGCGGCCTGGTCAAGAGCGTGCTGAAAGTGGCCAATATAGCTGTCGCAAGACCCTTCGTCTCTGCTTAGACACGTCGACAACCAGACTACTGAGACAACATGCGTCAACCTTAGCTGGGCAACCTGACGTTCATTCAATCCTGTCTCCGATCGAGCACAGAGAGCGTTTAATCCCATCAGCCACGCTGAATATGCAGTAAATAACCTCGTTTGCTTTTCTAAGCACTCCTGCAAATGATCTTCATCATACTGGTCAATATATTCCAGTCGTCGATGAGGCTTTCCTTCTACCAGAAGATGGTGAGTGTCGAAGGTCAACCAGTATAACGTGCCTCGAGCATCTCTGAAGCCTTTCAGATAGGAGAGCCGATCCTCGAGGTTACCCGAGAACAACCACTCGGGCTCTCGAAAGTGTGGCGAGTGGTCGCCAAACATGCGCAATAGAGTTGAAAGGCGTTCATAGATAGGTAAGAACGTCTCTGCAACCTCATCCCTTCCGGGGGCTCGCTGTTTAAGGTCCTCCAACCTTCTCCTCAGCACTGCGGATCCCGAGCGTAACAGAATCACAGCTTGGTTTCTATCTCCTGTAAGACAATGAAGACACAGAAAGATGACACAGGTTGAAAGAGCTACAGTCTCTGCACCTGGTTCTGCGACTCTCCGTGCGGTAGCTGCTAATGCGTTGCTGTACAGCTCTGTGCTCTTGTGACGAGAGGAACGGTCAGACTGCGATGCCGCCTCGAGAGTACTGCTCACGGCTATCAATGCTTGTCTAACAGTAACCTCTGCATCACTTAGCTGAAGTATCCACCGTGACCAGAAGTCCGAATCAACGGCGCCACCAAGCACAGGTGCAAGATTCAGACGGTAGTAATGTAGTGCACGTGATTCTGTGGTGGACGTTGGTGGTGAAGGTGATCTGGATGGAGTGCATGACCCGACATCAAGGCGATCACGCTTTGCATCGACTGTTTGGGTAGAAACAAATATATCCGAGTATCCTTGACATTGACGGCCTGCTTTAATACATCTGGTGAGAGTCAGAACTTTGAGCTTGAGTAGGAGGTGGCGTCGTCCCTCAGACAATGAGGCTTTTCTTCTGTACAGCGAACTTTTCGAGCTCTACGTTTGCGTTAACCCAGTTCTGAGTTTGCAGTCCAGGTGGATCCTACTTGCAACTTAAGCAACCGGTCTTGCTTTTCTTGGCTCCTAGTCTGTTGTTCTGCTTGGTCGGCACAGTTGCAGAGGGCTCCTGTGCGAGAGACATTGTTCATTGGCGCACTGATACAGCAAGATGGGATCATGTAGGTCCACCGGTTACTTCGTGGGACAATCTTGCAGGCTGGGCAATATGTTGTAGATCATGGCAGCATCTGTATGTGGACGCGGTTGACAATGATGTTAGCTATTAGCTCTGGCCCCATATTAGCGAAGTGGGCCCCGGTATACGTCGGAATTTCTGAATTTGGTAGTGGCCGCCTTGTTCTTCCTCCAGAGTCGAAAACCAGGGCAAATGACGAAGTACTTTGTGATCACCACTGAAGTGGCTGTGTCCGGTAGACGAACTTATAGCCTGTCCGCCTAATCACGAACAAAGCTCACGATGCGAGCCAACGGGTCGAGTCTGGAGTTTCTCAGCCATGAGCACGACGCACGATATGCCTGGTCCTGGTGCCTGGTTGCGACACGGGATGAACAGCCATCGCTTATTGACTCATCAGCGTGCAGTAAGACAACTGCTAAATACTGTTTGTACTCAACAAGAACCAGCTTGATTTCTCCTGCAGGTGAAAACGAATACGCCTAAGGTTTTACTGACGCATCTCAAGGAGCAGCGTGGGCTGCAGGAGAAAACTCAATAGTCCTTGTCCCAGCTGCGAATTGGGCCTTCTTTGTCGCTTCTAACTCCAGTTGCTTGCTTTGCTGGGCCTTGAGTAACTCCTCCTTGTAAGCCCAGGCAGGTAGCATGTGTGGACTGTAATTGTCGACTGAAAGTGTCAGATTGTACTGACCTTCGCTTGAGATACCAGCTCGGTCCAAGAGTAGAGCAAACAGGTTTGGATTTTTGAAAGAGCTGTTACCAGCAAGGTCATTATTGAAATGGAAACCTTTCGACTTCAGATCCAAAAAGTGCTTGAATTTGGCAGTACGAGCATGATTTGGAGAAGCGTCAGGCTCTGGCGGCAAGCTGTCGACCGGATGCGTAGGCTGGGTAAGGTATCGAAGTAGATCGTGCTCCGGCATCTGTGGTAAATCCGGGCTTAGGTCCTCCTCGTGGGTTTGTAGCATATCCGTGGGTCGTGAAGGACCGAGGATTGGTCCTGAAGGTCTAGAATCCTCGTCTGCTCTACTTTTCCGTTCGGCAGGATCAGAATGACCATTAATTGTTACCAACCCTGGACCTTCCTGCCTTGCTGGCGTAACAGGAGCCGAGACGGACTCATTCGGCGGAGCATCGTCGTCCTCATCACTACTACCATAGCCTACAAGACCATTCATAGTGACAGCAGTTCACTGACAATTCGAAACATTGCTGTAGTTGCAAGATCTATGCACTGCTGTCTTAGGATACATTGGAAGCGGCGATGAGCTAATGTGCGCCTAACCTGCCCTATCCAAAAAAGCGCGAGGCAGTAAGGCGGCACTGCAGCTACATCACGCGTAGCCTCATGTGCCTGCCGCGACTGGTGAGGCCATACAGTAACCACTCTTGCGCTCCAGCAGACAGATACCTTGTATTCACACCGTTGATCTACGAGACCTTCGCAAAGCCTCAAAGATGGCTTCATTGATGCATTACGCTTCATTACACTCAGAAAATCCAGCATACTCCTTCTCCGAAGCATCAACGATACCACATAGTGAAGCCTCAGCGGGCCCAAGACAGCATGCCTTTTACCCGTAAGTAAACAGGGAAAAGCACGAATGAAGTAAGGCTAACCAGATCGACTAGATACACTGACAACGGCGGATCAACACTAGGTATCACAGGAGAAACCTTCGCCATACTGGCAGGCGATACCAGGTCCACGTCCGGCTACAACATCAACACACGATACGAGCCTAAGGTCTTCCGCATAGGAGACGATGATTCTTCACCAATAGTATTATCAGTGGTCGGATTTGCAGCAGATGGAAAGGCCTTGAAGGAGCGGCTCGATACAATCGTCAAGATGTACAAATACCAGCATGGCAAGCCGATGTCTGTCAAAGCGTGTGCCCAAAGACTGTCGACGATTTTGTACCAGAAGAGGTTCTTTCCATATTATGTGCATGCCATCTTGGGCGGATTGGACGAAGAAGGCAAGGGTGCGCTTTACAGTTACGACCCGGTAGGAAGCTACGAACGAGAACAGTGTAGGGCTGCGGGTGCGGCAGCGAGCTTGATCATGCCGTTTCTGGACAACCAGGTCAACTTCAAGAACCAGTACGTTCCAGGAAGTGGCGAGGGTCTGTCTCTGAAGGAGAAGCCAAGAGAGCCACTGCCTCTGGACGCCGTGGTGGGCATTGTGAAGGACGCTTTTACTAGTGCGACGGAAAGACACATTGAGGTCGGTGACGGTCTACAAATGATTCTGATAACCAAAGACGGGATCAAAGAAATGTTCACACCACTCAAGAGAGACTAAAGCACAAGGAGTCCTAGACATTTATCAGCTAGGTGTAGTGGTACCGCCCTTCGAGTCTGCCACAGTCGTATGCAGATGCGAGTCTCTAGCATATCATAGATTCATGGTCATCAACCTGGATAACGGGATTCGATAACAAGCCAGTCGTGAAATTGCGTTAAATTTGGTTCGTAGTAGAGCCTTTCTCGATCGACCCAAACAGCTGCTCTTCCATGCGAACTGGGTAGAAGCGCTCAAACAACAACGTGAAATAGACATGCACAACCGCTTCAGAATCTCTCCTTCATGCGCCCTGCTACAGTCCTTAAGTTTCCATATACCTTGCCTGGTGGCGCACCAAGAATCAGACTCACAACCGCTTCTCTTGCTATCCTGATGTTCTGAAATCCACCAAGAATATGTATTTTGCTATCAGCCAACACCACTCTCGTCTTGCTCGTGTTCTCAATTGCAAATTTAGTCTTTCCATCCTTTCCTGCAATTCGACCTATGGCTCTCGATAGATGCTCTCCGTTCAAGGTCTTCACGTCCTTAATCTCGAACGTCTCAATGTACAAATCATCCAGTCTGAGTAGTGCGATGGCATCGTCAACATCGAATCCTAGTGTAAACGCCCGGATGAAATCTTCGCCTTTCTGCAGTGAATCTGTTGTGGTTGTGAATCTTGAGGTGCGCAGTTCCACAGCTTTTGACTTGACATTCATTCGAACTTGTAACTTCAAATGTTCCACTAGTGGTGGGTAGATTTTAGGCCAGGCTGACTTGAGTGGTGTGAGGCGGTGAGGCGGTATGGGTACCTTTCGAGACTGTATCTTGGTGGCAAGAGTTGGAGCGAGAGAGCTTGGTGATGAGAGAATAGTATCGGTTGAGGGGGGGAAATGTGGTCTGCCTTCCGAGTCTATTTGCATTGAGGTGTCTTCTTGTTGAGCTTGATCATCCTGCTGCAGTGTATGTGTCGATATCTGTGTCTGGTCTTCTGTCGAGATGTCAATCTCGGTTGGTAGTGGTTCTTGCGGTATGTTCAGCTCTGGTACTGGGGCGCTATCGATTGCGACGTCTTGCGCCAGGTCTTCTGGCTTACGCTGCAACGCAGTCGGAGCAGGCATGGTGTAACAGGGTAGAGGAGCGTGAAGAATCAAAAATTGTAATGGGACGTCTGTCAAGTCGAAACCACGCAAACTTGCTCGAGAATGGATGGTTTGAGGAGATATTCGGGATCCGTATCAATATTCCAGTCGCTTTGAGACCAGATGTATGCGTCTAAAGATCTGTGATTGTCGAGTATATTGGTCTTGTTCTCAGGCATTCAGTAGAGAATTGGAAAAGTTCCTGCCAGTGGGGCACAGGCCTCGTACTAGGCATCATCTAGAAATTCAGGCATCAGCAAGCCTGTTGAGGCCTCGACAAGCTACCCTGCTTTGTAATCTTACTTAAGGTTTGAGGCTGCAGTTGCCCTCCGCCACGTTTCTAAGGTGTCGACTGGTGTTGGATTCACCTCTTTACCCATCACTCTTTAGGTCCGCTTGAAAGACATAGGACACTTCTCGTTTTTGTCTTGAACAGTCAGCAACTCTTCCGATCAGACTGGTACCAGGAATCTGGGACTTTCGATAGATACAATGCTCGGGCTCTCCAAGTTCACTGCTTTACCAGCCATGTGGCTTTCAGCTTTTCAGCTGCTCCCATCAAGCTTTCGCTAGCCCGTCTGCATACCCCCCTGGCACGATCTAAATGGGACTGGACGGCCACGTCTGTCTATGTTTCACCTACCAACATAGTTAGGCAGTATGAGCAGGAGGTGACCACGAACCTGCCGTAGATACATTCAGCAAGCCATCGATGAAGAAATTCCGATGCCAATAATGACCTTTGCTGCACTGCCAAAACGTTCGGGTTTTCCGATGTTCTTTTGTAATCGCCGTCCATTACATCCTTACTTTGCTTTACACACTGCCAGCACACCTTGACTAAGAAGCAAACATACTAAAGAGCATTCGGCAAAGGCTTTGGATGGCTGGCTCAAATACGGATGCAAGTCTAAGTCATTCGAAGACAAATCCAAACCGAGCATCAGGACGAAGCAGCTTTTATTCCCTCAACAACGATACCGAGGAGGACACGTCGTATAACAATCGCTCAGACTACGACGACGAGAAGCACCTACATCATGTACGCAAAGCATACACAGATTCATCAGACAGCTGCTACAAATCAATATCTCACGAAGACCATGTTCACCACAAGTTCTACAAACCTACAGCTAACAGGTCTTGGGTATTGTGCACCTTTCTGCTTGTGATCGGAGCTTGTATCTTACTCCTTGAGCTTGCCCTCCGAACACATCCTAACGTACATGATGTGCCAAAGCTGCAACAGAGACACCTGTTGCTGGAGAAGAGAGAGACCGTCTGGTCGTCGCACAAAGGATTGGCTGACATAGATCATTTGGTACAACGACAAGATGAGGTCTCGGCGCAATCGACTGCTCAAACAACACCGCAATCGATACCATCGACCTCTCGAGATACACCGGCGGAAACAATACCCACAACTGGGGTAACTACAACAGCAATTACCACAACAGTATCTGTTGGGCCCGACTCGCCTGATTTCGGAAACGTGTTGACTATCACCTCTGATCCCCCTACCATAGCGCCAAATCCCACCAACCAGATTTCTATCACGACCTCGAACGAAAGATACAAGGAGGTAACCACTACCACGACGCAGATCCTTTACACACCCGCACCAAGTGGCTACCTCACAATCAGCTCGAGCCAGTCAATCCGTACCACCACAACACCCTTATCAGGGTCACCAGCTCCAGAATCTCAGATCACGATAACCACCTCGAACCAGTTAAGCCGTACTTCCTCAACGGTCCTGTTAGGATCGCCAGCGCCCAATTCTCAAGTAACACTGACGAAGCCGACATCTCCTGTGACTGCTGCGCCTGAATCACAAGTCAAGACAACCTCCACGAGCCAGGACAACGAGGCTGTCGCAACCACCTCAAACAAGGATATCAGTGTCCAAGCTTCCATCATTTCTGGGTCAATTATCGCCTCCGGCACATCCGTAATCGGAACGCTCTCTCAGGCACAAAGCGCACAGCCTGTTGTGGTGAGCACTTTGAGGGACAGTAACGGACACGCCACTGCCACCGTTACGACTACAGGCGCCGTTCCCACTGGTAGCGCCTTGGGTATCAACAGCCTGGCTCGTGGCCCAACGGTTTTGACAGACGCTAATGGCCAAGCCACTGCGACTATCTTCACTGTCGACTCTACAGCTGGCATAATTACCTTGACAGGCAGTGATGGCAAACCAAGCGCCACCGTAACGTTCACCGGAGAAGTGACACTCACCGATAGCAGTGGCAAACCAACCGCGACAGTATCGTATGGCGACAATAGTGCCTCGCTGGCTAAACAAGAAGCAACGAGTAACGAACCTTTTACCCAATTTCATTACTTTCTGGCTATGTACCTGCCGAACATTATTTCTGTTGTCTTGCAGTCGTCATGGCTCGTTGTTTTTGCAACTTTCAAGATGATGGAGCCTTTCTATCAACTAGCACAACATGGAGGAGCTTCTGCGAAAACAACTCTCACGGCGGATTACCTCTCTTCGGGGCTGTCCCTCTCATTCTTCAAGGTCGTATCCGAAAACACTTGGGTTATGACCCTAGCAGGCCTTATACAACTCGCTCTTGCTGTCGTTGTGATGCTGGACTCTGGAATGTTCAATGTTGTCCCGACAGCCTTTTGTAAGACTGAAGTCTCGGACCGCCAACCTTGCAGCCCGGTCTGGGTGATCCACCTTCCGATGGTACGCACTGTGGAGGTCCTCCTTATTGGCTGTTTCAGCATAATAGTTTCAGTCGTTGTTCTCAATCGACGCAGACATACTGGCGTCTACACCGATCCTTCCAAGATAGCCACCATGGCTGATTTGCTCGTGCACAGGCCATTGATCCAGGAAATACGTGATCTTCCAGCTTCTGCCAAACAGAACGAGATAGCCCTCGACCTGCAAGAGAGTCGGTACGCACTCGGGACCTTTGTCCAGGATGGTCGAGAGCAATATGGCATCGTTAAAGTCGACTCATCAACGGGCTCATATTTCATCTCACCAGACCCCTGGTACGTAGCAGGGCCACGCAGATTCGGTCTCTGGTGGGACAACCTGACGACGCACATCGGCACATTGCTTCCTTTCTTCGAAGACTTTGTCTGCATGTCTATTGTCATCGTCCTCTTCGCCATGATCTTGGCCTACAGACTGCTCGGTGGAAAAAACTTTTTCAATTCATGGATGAACAGTGGCAGAGTTGGTCCTAGAATTGTGTTGAGTGCCCTGGCTTGTTGTGTCAGTTTTCTCATCAAGCACAAAGAACGCAATCTCAGACTCTCCCATCCATACATCATGATGGCCAAGCGCTCTCAACCAGCAGCTGAATGCATCACAGCGGGCACACAAGCTACGGCGTTTACATCTCTTTTCAAGTCAATGCGAAATTTGGATGTTTCATTAGCATTGATGGCAATATCGGTCATCTTTTCAGACATCGTCTTGATCTTAATACCTGGTATACCGCAAACTCCGGCACAAACGGAACCAGTATACCTTTCTAGCACCTATGCCTGTTTAGGAATGCTAGCTATCGTGTTCATGGTGCACGTCCGAGTCACCTTCAAGGAGTGGAGCAGAGGTCACAACATCGAGTGTCCAGATACTCTAGCGGCAGTCCTTATGCGACTGTGTGCCAGTCAGTTTGTTGAGGAGAAAAACTCACTGGAAGTAAGGGGCCTGTTACCCGACTTTGGTCAGGATGATGATGCCAAGCAGCACTCTCGTTACGACGGGGCGAACGGAAAGCGAAGATACAGGTTTGGAGCTATGGAAGGCGTGGACGGTGTACAAAGGTACATGGTAGATGAAGACGTGTGGGAGAGAAGGATAGTGAAGGACGGTACATATTCCTAATACCTTTTCCATTTGTCGTGAATAGATTAGCATAATGCAAAGAGCGATGGATGGCTCTCTTTCGTCCTCGCCCCTATTCGCTTTCTGACGAGTTTCTCTTCACACTGCAAACACCCGAACTCTGACTCACTCTGTACGTTGGTATGTATGTAAGACAACTTTAAGGATCTGAAATCTCAGTAATCAATGAATTGCTCATCAACGAAATACTCCAACGCAAGGACTAGAATCAGATCGCGAATCTCGCTCAGATCACGGCGATCGTTGACGTGGTCGATTGTCTTCGACACCCCATTTGGAAAAGAAATTGATTGTCAGGGGTCAGGCACTCTCACAAACTGGCGGTGTGCTTGTATTCTTGCAACTCTTAGCGTGCATGGGAGTAGCTCGAACGTTGATTAGCTCTGCCACGTACTACAGTACTTCGATTTGTACACCACGATCGAAATTGACGGGAAGGAAAGCAAGCTTTGCTGTATTCCGTCGATCACGAGTCGTGAACTTTGCAAGCCGCAGATTGAGCGATAAAGAAAAAGTGAGAAAGCTGGAAACCCGGACGATGTTTCCGGTCGTGGCTGTTGTGGCAGTGTACTCTCCGTACATACTACTGACAAGCCCTTGTCTTCCACTAACCAAGGTTACTACGTGTCTACAACAGGCACGACCGAAGCCGAAAGAAGTACAACTCCCTTATCCGGCCGTTGAGCTCCCGAATGCTATGCGTATGCAGGAAATCGAGCTCGTGGGCGGGACTTCTTGGGCTCGGCATCGGGCGTCAAGGACTTGTTACTGTAACATCCACCACGGCACGTCATGTGCACCGATACTGTACTTGTACTTGTGTTTGTTCTCCTGAACAGACACAGCCGAAAGCAATATCCAAAGCGCGCTACTGCAGTAGATCCGTAGTATTGAGAATGTGGAGTAGCTTGAGAGAGAACGGACAAGGGTGAGCCGAGCCTGGTCGAAAAACCATGTCTGCGCGAACGCGTTCAACGCGTCATGAATCGGAAAGGAATTGTCCACGATGTACTCATGCGGAATGTTATACGTGGGTTATTATTCTGGCTAATGATTAGTGTTTCGGGTACCTCGCATGATCAACTCTGTCCATGAAAGCGTGGGCAGGATAATGTTCCTGGAGGCTGGGGCTGTGTCTGTACGTGTGCGTTATTGGAACGAGAGAGGTACTTCTGATACTGATACTGGTGTTCCAGTACTCAAGTAGCACCTTCGACATCGCGTTGCTGGGGAGAGAACGGGAGGCGTACATAGATAAGTCACAAGATAAGAGACAAACCATAGCCAGTGTACAGGAACACAAGCTGCTTGCAAGTGAATTGAGAGTGAACGTGAGTGAATTAGGATAGATTATGGGATCGATTCACTATACGAGCAAATATTCAATGGCCATAAATTTCAGCCCACAGTTATCGTGAAACTGGATAGGACCTTCCTAGCAACTCTCTTCGTAGCAACACATCCCTCTCTCTCCTCCTCGTCATTCGTGTTCTAAAAATACATTTCCTAGTGTTGGGTATATTAAACTGGGATGAAAGCAAACCACTATTGATGTGGAATGTACTTGGTGTCTCGCTAATTCTCAGATAAAGGTGCAAACTTGGCCCGCCGACATGTGCATGGATAAATAAAGCGTATGGAGATGGTTGTCCATGAGAATTGAAGATTGGTAAATAGTTGTTACAGTTGATGTTGATACATGACTCGTGCCGGATGACACGTCAGTATGAAGGAGTATTAAGGTTGAGGTTGTGATAGATGTGACGATGCTTGGGAGCATCAGCAGTGACAGTATTGCGCATTGAAGATGAGGTGGCTCTCATTCGCGACCGAGTTGCATGCGTCTGGGCTCGTAAGTATCGTTTGCCGGTTGATGTGTGCTGCTTGCCACGTGGGAATAGACTCAATGATGATTGTTGCAGCAAGCCTGACAAATTGTACTCGTGGAATTAAGTGGCAGCCGTGATTTGTTCTTATGCAGGAGTATGCATGCAACTTCTGCATCATGCATGCTGAGCGTGATACCGATTATTCTCTAGAATGTGTGACCATTCTATTGGTTGTCCAGCGCTGGCTGCAATAATCTAGTGTAATAAAGTCCGTGTGGGCCGTTAAGGCTGAGATGTTCTACCTTCTCTTTGGAAGAGCAGGAAGTGGTCTGTTTGGAGGAGGCCCTGGACAAGGAGGATATTTCGACCCGGCAGGCATTGTTGCGAAGTTTGTTTTGAAGAATATCTATGTCGTCGGAAGCAGTGACAGTCCTCTTGAATTAAGTTTGAGAAAGTTGTTTCGAGGATAGAGTCGTTGCAGGTTGGACTTGCTATTAGAGGACTAAGTGTCGTGTTGTACAGTACAAGAAGAAAGGATGGCACGCTCCGTGACGGAGGAAAGGCACTTCATATACTGTATTGTCGAAAACTGGGTTCGGAAAATAGCATCCCAAGGTTCGAGCCTGCCGTAAATGGTGACGAGAAGCGGCTCAGTTGGAAATGAATGGTGTGGACTCGCTAGTCAAGACGGTTTGGCAGTTGCAATAGGGATAGTGCTGACTCCTCAGCTTGTGAAACCAGGCTGTCTGCGATCAACGTGGACCGAAGTTGTTTGAGGAAAACCCGGCTGGTCATCCATGCAGGTCAACAGGGGTGTGGCTCAAAGTATCTTAGCTCACCTTTAGCTTCCCACGACGCTGGGCCCAAGTTCTCCTTGGTCCTGCGCAATAGTCACATCATTTACATAGTTGCAATTTGCGAATCAAGTTATGCTCTCCCAACGCGACCATATCGTCGCCACGACAAATGAGCAGCCTTTTCTGCGAGATTATGGCAACCAGATCTACAGTCGCGTAGACTTCGTTGTGAGTCCGTTACAACTGTCACGCCGTCAGAGTACGGCAAGCAACCTGGTGCGATCGAGTCATCCTTCGCAGGAACATGCCGCTCAAGCGACAGGCACCAGCGTGGTCTGTCAAGGTCATACGGTACGGTTTTACGGAACACCCGGGTAATTGCAGAAGCCAGGGCGTGAAAAAGACAGTCGTTCTTGCTTCCAGAAGATCATGCAGGTTTAGCGCGTCTATGGTCAAAAGTATCGTCGTATTCGAATCCCTGCTTGTCTTGATCGATGGACAGCTGACGTTCGACGTGTCCGACTTGGCTTATCCTCGTCATGAATTTATTTACAGCAAGCCTCAGTGTCCAGATGGTGCTGTCCAGCTCGCGAAGATGCGGCTGACGCGCAGAGTTGCACGTTGAGGCAGTAGTCGAGTTGCATTGCTGGTCGTAATCTGAATTGATGCACCAGCTGTCAAGCACACTAACTTTTCTGTTCCACGCTTCCAGAAGGCCGCGCAATCAGAATTATAGAAGAGCTTCTGCCGTGCCGTGCAGAGCAAGTAGTGTCAGACAGATCGGTGATCGTGCCAACAATGGTTGTGCAGACAAGACAGCTGGCTGCAGCTAGTGTATGCTATTGGTCGGAAATAGGCGTGCCTGAGCAGGTCAACTGACGTGCCTGACTTCAGCGCACCTTTTCCGTGCTTTGACTTTGGTCGTTGCGAAAGTCTAATCATACAAGCTTGGCCTTGGTGTGAAAACTTTTGCCGTCAGCACCTCCTGATTACCGCAAAAATCGTAGACTTGTGTTTCAGGTCTTGACTTTGCCACCACCACCACACGATCATCAGGTACTAGTGGCGAACTATAGCTTGAATGGTCTGTACTGTGTATGCTGCCCCTCCTTCTTGCCGCTTACTTGGTTTCCTGCATAAAAACGTTTGTGGTTTTTTGTTTCACGATATCGTTAGAAAGCTTGAATTCAGCTGTTGTGCAAGAGTCGTCCAATACTCAGCTCGTGATCGTGGTAGCCGAAGAATACTGCACGCATATGACCCAAATTCGAGATAGTTTGGTCTGTCAAACACAACGTATCAACGCGGGTACGCACGTTCATGTACGTCGTTGTACCAAGCTCGTCAATGGTGTTCCTGCGTCCAAAGAACATCTCTGAAGCAAGAAGCTCTCGAGTACCTCAATTTGGGTTGTGGCTATTCCAGTAGTACATAGTGATCTCAGCTAGAAGAGTAGATATTGCTTCTGTTCATTCTAGCTCATGGCTCAGCACGGCAACGCCGTGAATACTTGTGGCTTCAGCTCCTCATTCAGGCGCTAACAATTCAATAATGCTTCATGGTGATATGTAAGCTGGATGCAGTGTTCTATGCGAACTTTAGCTTCACTAGGCTCCCTGATTTGTTGTGCTATGAATTTGACCAGACCTTACTCGGCAAGGAAAAGTTGTCTGCGGAAGACGATGAAGTCCTGGTTCTAAGGCTTGTGTAGCGAAAACATCTTGGCTTTCTCGTCACAATCTGATCGCTACCTTGTCCTGGAGAGACCCATCGACATCCTTTCGATGAACTGGTTATTCACTCACAGTTTGGAGCACCCCTGCATGTTGAAGCGAGGGGGAGATTGCCATATGTGAGCGATGCTCACCGCCTCAAGTGCAATGATGCTGAAAGTGGAAAAGGGGGCTTCTCGGCTTTCCCCATAAGTGTTCATGGCCAACTCTGGATTCAGCCTTTCTCCAGATCGGATGATCGAGCTAACGATATCCACCACCCACGTGGAAGTGACGCATATCGGTTGCGTACCTGACAAACCTCCACTAACGACTATTGGCGACGGTTGGGACGTGTTCGGTGAAGAAGTACCACGATTGACACGATCTTTTTCCTGCTTTGGTCACAATGTAAATTCGTATATTGCTCCAACAATCTGCCGCAAGATCATGCATCGACGACTTGGCTTGCAGCACGAGGCACGCTGCACAATACTAAAACTCGTCCCACGAACTTGGATGCCGGTCAGCAAATTTCACGAGTACGTGCTCTTAAACGAGATACGAAGCGCTTGGGAAGTTCTTTCTCCCACACACTGGCAGTGAATCGACTATGACATAAGCAGGCAGTCACTCCACTTTGTGCCTGTAGATTTTATTGTAAGCTGAGCCGGGTTTAGCCCTTGAACGATGGAGCATGCGGCTCAGATGTCTTGACAGTAGTATTCCTCCACGTCACACGTAGCCAAGTTGTAATACTCGTCAGGCTGTCCCCACCAGTGACTGACTTTAAGCATACTGTCCACTGAGTTCTGGTCTGCGTGGTAATCTTCACTTTCGATGAAACACAGTTATTTGCTGGTCGCATAAGACCCGACGCAGAAACACTACTCCAGTCTGCTTGTCTCAGCGAAGCGACATGTCCTATGAATGTCGATTCATCCTTAGCATTGTCTCAGTCAACCACTCCTTTACAACAAGAATGGTGACATGAGAGCTGACAGTGTCAGTCGACAGACGTCCTGCCCCCTGTTTGACACGGCTACCGCCGGTGCAACCTTTGACGTACTTTCTTCTGTCAAGCATGTATCTCTTTTACTGCACTATCTGGCCGGATGGATACAGACACACTGCGCAAACAATACCGGTAAGCCCAGATGAGCGCATGATGAAAAGCATCGTCAAGACAGATAGCTCAAATTTGTCGCTTTGTGTCTCATTCGTCATCGTCGTACTGTTGCATCTGAGTGGCAGTGATCCATTCATCCATCAGAACCTGGCCATTACCGTTGGTACCTGATAACTTGTGACCTGGCCCACTCTTACGCGAAACCAACAAACACAGAACTTTGCCCCAGATAGCGAACCCTGTGTAGCTAGTATTGAACGCCAGCTTTTTCTTGTCGTCCTGCATATCATCGTCCAGATTGTGGTCACGAGGATCGTTGTCGTTATCGCCGGCTTCAGGGATCTGCGCAAGGTCATTGTCCCCATCACTATCTTCGTGTAACAGTACGGGATCAGCACGAGTATTGCTCTCCGAGATATTTCTTTGGTCTTGAAATGTCTTTTGCTTGACTACAAGGTTATGTCTGGTACCGACATCGGTCAAGAAGACGCTGACTTCAAAGTCGTCTCTGACAATCACATCTTTGACGCTTTTCTTTTTCTTGCCCTTTCCCTTTGCTCGCTCGTTCTCCTCTTTCAACTTTGGAAGCACATAAGGCTTGACGGCTTCGAAGATGCGATTCAGAGCAGGGTCGCTGGCTTTCAGAAGCCATCGTGGACCATCAGCTGGGTTCTCGAGAAAGATACGACATTCAAGGGCTGAATGCTTTGAGATACGCAGATACCGTCGTATTGGTGGCATGATGCAGTACTTCACTCGCGTATTAGCACGACATCAACCATAGTACTCAACTAGCTCCCAGCAGTCATAAGATGGACATTTTGCGTCAAACCAGGGCTGACTAGACGAGTCCTTACCGATCTCTCAGGCAAGTGTCTGTGAGGTGGGCTTCGTTACGGTAGACCAGACGCCCTTGCATTACACACCTGGCGCTTGCAGTTCTACCGAATACCTGCCGTAGACTCATTCGTTCGAACACCACACGCACCGCAGATCTACATCGCTGAGCGCTCTGTGCTCTTTCGTTTTGTGTAGCGACGAGCTGTTGATTCTAGAGGATAGGAAGCCGCCTAAAGCAGTGGACGGTTGGACAAGATGGTTGGTATTTCGTGGTAGCAATCATAGGCACAGGGGAGGAAGGGGGTAAACGGACTTTCGAAACACCTTGGCTCGGTCGCGCTATTGAACCTCGATTTCCATAATTGGCTAACCGACCTTATCGTGAAGCATGTCATTGGTCAAGTACCTGAAGATCACTTACCCCATCACAGTGTTGCGTGCATGGTTCGCGTTTCAGATAGGAAAGCTCCTCACTCACACAATTACCTCTACTCTTGTCTGTTTCGTCGTTGCGGTTCGTCCTTCTACTTCACGCTCCCTCTATTTCGCTGTCGCGATAGTCACTCCTTCCCAATCATCCTACTAAATCTGTTCTGCACTGGTTTGCAGACAGTCTGTCACTCCTTCCTGCTACGTATATCGCATTCCTGTCGTCACTTGTGAGCACGGTCCTCACCACGTCCGCCACACGTAAGACATCACACGTTCCTTCATTTCACAACCAGATTCGATCGAGACAACTCTCCAACAGATTCAATCACCCTCGTCGTCTTCACAATGAAGCCCTCGACCACACTTCCAGCCCTCGCGCTGTTTTTCACTACATCACTTGCTCAAACATGGTCGGACTGCAACCCATTAAACACGACATGCGCTCCCAACACTGCCCTTGGTGTTTCAAATTACTCCATGGATTTCACTCGGTATATGATGGCGGATAACGTATGGAATTGGACAGCAGGGAAGTCGTCCTATGGCACAACTGGACTCGATTTCGTCATCAATCAGAGAGGAGATGCACCAACAGTAAGGTCGAAGTTTTACATTTTCTACGGCACTGTCGAGTGCATATTCAAAGCCGCAACGGGTCAGGGTGTCGTCAGCTCAATCGTTATTCAGTCCGATACTCTAGATGAGATCGATTGGGAGTGGATCGGAGGCAACACTACTCATGTTCAATCCAACTATTTCGGCAAGGGCAATACCACTTCATACGACCGAGCTATCTGGCATCCTGTTGACAGCCCTCAAACCTCTTTTCATAACTACACTACTGATTGGTCGCAAGACAAGATCGACTTCTACATTGACGGCAATATTGTCCGGACATTGAAATACGAAGACGCAAATGGCGGCCAAAATTTCCCTCAAACACCCTCTGATGTTCGCCTTGGTATCTGGGCTGGAGGTGACAAGAACAATAATAACTATACCATTGAATGGGCTGGCGGCGAGGTCGACTATGATGCTGGCCCTTACACTATGACAGTACGTTCTTTACGCATTTCAGATCGAACTACAGGTTACACACAGTATCAGTATGGCGACCACTCTGGCAGTTTCCAGAGCATCAAGCTACTCAATGAGACTAAGCCTGTCAACCTCGATGGCGATAATGGACAAACGATAGGACAAAAGTGGTCAGGTCTCAGCCAGAACGCCAAGATAGCTATCGCAGCAGCTGTTGGTGGCTCATTCCTCATTGCCTTGTGCGTCCTTGCCTTCTGCTGCATCAGACAGCGAAGAGTGGGAAAGCACGAAAAGCTTCTCGAAGATGCCAAGTATGAGAAAGACAGATCTGAACTATTGGCTTTCCGTGCCGAGATGGGCAGACAGCGGAGCGAGAAATATGCTCAGATGCAGAGTACACCAGTTCCTGGCAGGATAATGCCGTCAAACACATTCAGCATGAATAACATGAACTCTGAATATCGAGGATATACCAGACACTAGAATACAGACGATACTGAAGTGGCAAGGTAGCATATCTCTTTATCAACGTTGATCATTGACAGACTTGTGCTTACATACTGGAGCCATTAGATGTGGAACTACGTATTGACTGGGTGCTTATTTGCAAGGGTCAAAGGAAAGGAGGTTGGTGCAAGGGTCGGTACGAGCACAAAAACCGTGAATGCTCTGATCGATCTCTTTCTGTAGCAAAATTGTGCATACGCAAGGTGATTCAAATCTGATGTCCCTTCACATCGTGTAGCGCACGATTTTGAATTTCTGCAATACGTGGGACACACACACTTTTCGAGCTTGTGTATCCATACGAGTGACTTGCAACGACTTGAATTGGAATTTGAAAAGACGGTCCCTCTGGAAATAGCTGTAAATCTGGTGACACTGCATGAAAAATTGCGAATACCCGAAAACAGCTATACCGTTTACAGCATAGTACAGCAGGCTAGTACGAGCTGGTAATTCTTGCTCCTGGAGTATATAGCTCGCCGTACTCGTACTGCTCAATGTCACTCAGTTTACATTACCGGTGGACTGACTACTTGATTCAACGCCTAGCGCAGCGACACAGCGGTACGTAGTGCGTGTACAACCCTTTCTTCCTACGAATACCCCGTGAGGTTTTACTGTAAATGTAGCCTAACCACTAAGCATTCCGCATATTCTATATGCTGACTACGTGCTGGTCCGAACGCGGCTCACTTCCAACACAGCGTTGACACAATGTCAACATGCAGTCGACATGTTTTCAATGTCTGCTCAACGTGCTTTTGAATCGCTGCTGACACCACACGAGCTTCGCAGACAGCTTAAGCGCTTTGTGTGCTTGCGTTGCTGAATGGCGAGGGACAGCAGGGTCTTTGCACGTCTAGTACGTATTCCTTGTGTTGTCAAGGCGTGAGGCTCGCTGTCGGGTCGTTACGAGTCTACGTAGTGCACGTGTACGTATCTCACATCAGCGAGGTATACATATACGTATACGTAATGGTTGCTGTTATATATTGAAGTGTAGAACAAGTGCTACGTTACGCGGCATACGTATAGATGTCTAGATCAAGTACGTATGTAAATGATAATTAAGCACAAGCCAGGTACAGCAAGGGTCCCTACGTACACTGTCAATTCAATGCGCGCTGATTGTCTTCATCTCCGTATTCAGCAAAACATGCGTTGACTGACTGTTGTACCAGACTCGTGGCGACAGTCTCGCCAGTGGAACTTGTATCTCCTAGGCGACGATGTACTGTAAAGTGGTCTTGGCTGCTAAGGTTGTGGAAATCTGCCAACGCGACGACGGTGATTTTGCACACTCAGCAGTTATACCTTTGAATAGTTCCCGGATACCATAAAAAAGGATCTCCAGTACGAACTCTCCGCTCTTTCAATGAGGCAAATAGCTGTCCATAGTTACAGTAACATCAGGCTGTCCATTGGATGGCGTTACATTGGCACATGACGATATCGAGTGCATCTAGGGGTATGAAGTATGTTCGACAGGCAGTGCTTGCTCGTCGCATGGTTTTGAAGGGGACTCGGTCGAGTGAAGATAATGTTCGATCGCCCTTCCAGCCCTTGTGTACTTGCGGGCACATCAGAGAGGTAGATTGCTAGCGTTAGTACAGCATAGCAAACGTCACTGGCCGAACGGGCAAGACCGTTGATCGTTGCTGTCCCATAACGCTGACGAAGTCGACCCTTCCCTGTAGTGCGGCCGGGGTGAGGACATGCTCGTGCTGTTGCAGCGCAGTAGCAGTGAGTAGTGTCCCATTACTAGTCCTCGAGAGGATGACATATGAGGTCGTCAATAGCGTCAGGTAGCTAGACGTAACAACGTCAGCTGATCGTCCGGGAAGGAGAATGCTATCATACTCAGGAGTTATGTTTGCCTCAGGGAAGCAGTGCACTCCATCTTCGAAAGCACGATACGGATCGGCGTAGTCAATACAGCTGATCAGCCTAGCATGATCACCCCAATCCGCACTGATCGATAGTACACTGAATCGATTTCGTCAGTCGTCAAGATGCAAGGACAAGGACAAAGACGAGGCTGAGATTGTGCGGTCCGACTTTGATCCAAGGCCGTATAGGGAGCCGGAGCATTGTATGTCTGTATGTCTTCAAATGGTAGGTGGGTATAGCGATCAGATGCTGCTTGGTCTTCATCGACAGACCAATGCTGTATTTTAGTGGGAATCTGAACAGCGAGGAAGGATTGTGCATGGTTCGACGTTCTTGCATATTGGATTTTGGTAGATACTCTGCGTATGGTGAGAAACGATAGTCGTGCCTTCTGGTTCGTGTGATGCTTCATTGGCTCGGAGCAATTTCCGTAACAGTGACTGGCATTGTGTTTTTTAGGAAGGCACGTTGTTCAGTGCAGAGATTGTGCCGGGTTGCAAGACTTCCCGGGGAGTCGATATCATTCAGCTGTTGACTCTGACTCAAGCTTGCTCAAGGCCTTTGCGGTGCCCTGCACAATCAATCTCCATTCAACCTTGTGTATTTTCTCTTCCAGTTCGCTTTCGGTCTCGCAGCCTCTGCATTCGACCTCCTCTACCACAATGGGTTCGCCCCGATCCACCTCGCTTATCACATAATGTATCATGACGCCAGTGACTGCAATGTCTCCTTTTTGATATGCTTCCCAAGCTCTCTCAATAGCATGAGCTCCATCGAATTGCTTCGGCAGGGCAGGGTGAAGATTGATGATGGGAATGTGGGCAGACTTCAGATCGTCAATAAACTTGGGTGAAAGGATGTGCATCCATCCAGCACAGACCACAAGATCAGGTTTGGGATCGTGGCTCGAGATGATTTTTGCCAGATCAATATCATACTCCTCTCGTGCTTTCTGGATGTTTTCTGGGTATTTCTTTTTGTAACCGCCTGCAACGAGGTTGTGGTATGTGGTAGGTATATTTGCGTTTTGTGCTCGTGTCAAGCCAAATGCATCTTTCTTGTTTGATATAACATGTGTAATTTGGGCGTTCTCGAGGGATGAGTCATTGCATGCATCGATCAGAGCTTGTAGATTTGTGCCATTCCCTGATATCAGCACTGTAATGCGGTGCTTTCTTAAAGAGGAGGTTGAAGCCATCGTAGGAAAACCAAATTGTTCGTATGTTCAACGGTCCTGCATGTGAAAAGGTAAATTACTGCAATTGCGGGTGAAGAAGCACGGAGGTGGGGTCAAATGACACGATGTCTTGTGACGACGATCCACCATCAGCCTCGGGCGTAGCTTTCCGGGTTTCGTTTCAGTTGACCTTCAAGGACAAGTCAAGTCAGCATAGCCGATATGGCAGCCATTTACATAACGATAAAACCGAGCTAGTTCGCCGAGGCCTCTCTTCACTTCAGACTGTGCGAAATTAAGAGCTAGTCACACCCGGATACCAAGGGTAGGCAAGCCTCCAAGGCGGTTGATTGATCGAGAGCCAAGCATGGAAGCATTTGTCGAGGAGAATCTCGTTGCCAAGCTTCAAGACGAGACGCCTGATCCTGGTACTGTATGCAGAATCAAGCTGTAACAGGCCGGACATTGTTATGTGCACAATACCAGGCCGACCAACCATTCAATTGTCTAGAAGTGCTGCTACGTACTAGGATGTCGCCCACCAAAAGTGTAATCAATAGCTTCCAACTCGATACTACGTGTTCGGACATGCTTTGAACGATATATGTACCATCCGAAGCATACCCTTCTAGTTCAGGCTCTCAAAGCAACAAGTTACCGAAACACATGTTCGGCCTCATCCTCTTCTGCCCAGCTTCACCCCACCACTAGCTCCCATGCCACAACATCCTGGTCAGGCAGGTCACAAGACACCTCTACATGTATAGGCTCGTAGGCCGCCGACATGTTCCAATTTCAGCAAAAGGCGCAGCAAGGCTGAGCTAATGCGGCCACTACAGGAGTGAGCAGTGTGCATGTTGGATGGGGCATCGTTCTGTCTCAAGAACTTCCAGTGTGTAGGTATGCACATGTGTCAGACTGACCAGGGTACAGTATATGAGGATACCTATGCATCTCAGGATATCTGAATTTGCGAACATAGCGCTGGCTGAGAAGAAACCTCACCACCATCTCATTCTATACTTCAGGCATAGTGCTTCAAGTTTTTCAACCCCGAAAGGTCCCCCCCTCTTCTCGTCAACCTCGACTTCCGTTCAGCCTGATCATGCGCCCGGAGCTGAATTTAGCTTGAGAATGACTCTGTACCCAATCGAGCAACAGCTAGCATGCGACCGCCAACATGGATCGTAGCGACGTGCATGCGCAGCCACAATCGGTCCATCACACTATTCAGCCCAGTCACATTCAGAAAGTTGATATTCAATGCAACAGGACGGCCTTGTGTTTGGATGTTCACCTTCCTCGCGTGCGCTCCAACCTTGTCGTATGCTGCTTCTCTTCATCCGGGCACTCTTGATACACCATGGCGACAAGAATGGGAACCAACGATGGCCCGCTCATATTTGTACTCGCTGCTATCTTCTGCTTGATAATGCTGCAAATGCTCTTGGGCAGTTCGCGTGACGATTTTGGTCTGCAACCCCGAAAAGCAAATCAAGACTGTACCACCGAACTGGCACGCGATCTCTATGGACTCGGTGTTCGGCTTGGTATCTACCTCCAGTGGTTCTCGGGATGGGTGTCCAACACCTTCATCGTTGATGAGATAAATGGAGGGTTGGATGCCAACGCGATCTTCCTGACTGCAATCCTGACAGCCATGATTCGTAGCACAAGAACTGATGACATAACATTCATGGACGGTTTGATCATGTTGCTGCTGTGCGCAGGCACCACGTGGGGTGTGTTGAGCCTGTGGGGATACCGAACATGTGTATATCGCAAGGAGGGTCTAAATGGGATTCGGAAATTTGGCGGCTTTGGCACACACTTGAGACTTCTCCTCGGCGCTGGAGTGAGCTGGTATGCTATCTGGTACTGGTCAGTGGGTACCGAAGGATTACCGAAAGGTCTGGATCAATTTGGCACAGTGGACGACAGTTGCCGGAAGGATATGGTAACGATGTTCGAGCTGCCTCTCAAAGGTATAGCAAGCAATGCTGCACTCGGTGTGAGCAGTGTCTCTGGAGCGTATAGCATCGCTATCGTACTTGCTACCCCGATTGCAGCCGTCACTCGGGTTGGTAAGATAGTACATTTCCTGCGAGGCGGGCAATATGCATCAACCACTCGGCTTCGGTATGCAACAGGTGCAACTAAGGAACAGTGGGTTCATCACCTCTGAGCGATAGACACATTGCAAGCTAATGATTGTTGCAGGATGATAGTCATGAGCAAGATGCTGTGCGTCTTCAATTTGTGGTGGATCATATTCGCCATGGTTGTCATCGAGTTCACCCTGGATGAGAATCGGGCAACAGGTGTCCTCATTACCAATGCTCGAACAGCAGATACTCGCATCCTTGAACCATCGCAACTGCTTCCAATGCTGATTGGAACCTTCTCTTTCATTCGCATTCTGTTCATCGCCTTCGAACACTGGAGAAGTCCCGATGGAGACATCACCCCGTCTTTGGGCCGAAATGCTTCAAACAGAAACGCGAAAGCTAAGCGCGACTCGATGCAGGGTCTCAACATCTTGAAACTTTTTTCGTCGAGCAACGCAAAATCACAAGAGTGCGCTCATGCTGACGAAAGCCATGATTCGCAACAGACGTGGGACGGTGAACATAACGATGCATACTATAACCTTCATTCGAGACTGAACACCTCTCGTCGGATACTCATCACTGTTCTGCCATGGTTCTCCTTACTCTGGTTCTGGCCTTGGAGTGAAGACATTGTTGGACCTGTGCCGCAAGGTGAGGACACTATTGCACTGAGACCTAAACCACGAAACGAATCCATCTCGCTTCAGACGCCTCACAGAACACGATTTGCCGACTCTGAGGACGAGATAGATGAGGACGATACTGAGGCTGGTTACCATCAGGATTCCCATGTACCTTTGTCAGACTCGTGCGCTTCAAATGTAACAGGAATTGTCTGAACCCGTGATATGGACACCACACTCATGTGTGCTTCCTGATAAACCACTGAGATGTTACGTGGACACTTGCCGAAGAGTCATGGGAGCACGCGCAACGACCAGGCAAGGGTAGAGGTGGGTACAAATCGAATCTATTTTGAATTGATTTCCTCTTTCTTTGGTCTTTGTGTATCTCGGACATGCTGACTTCGACGTGCTTGGCTGGCCATGACTATCTGCCTTGAATCCCCTATCACGATGCCCAACAACCAGCAATTAATTGAAAAGAATAGCGCACTGGCAGAGAAAAGTCCCCAGACAAAGGTGCTTCGACCTAGGAACTCCAATTGAAAGCCAAACCCTAACCAGGCAGCTTGACCTAGAATCCAAGCCACGAGTGCTGGTACACCAAGTTTATCCCATCGGGCCACTAAAGACGAATGAGGCAGATAAAGCGGCAAGAAGACGAGGTACCAGAGGAAGTACTGGCTTGTGCAGACTTTGTTAAAAGTAACGAATGCTAGGGTCTGAGCAAGCATGGTCGTTGCCAGGCTGTATCGAGTGGATGGAAGGAGAGGGAGGATGATACAACTGAGCAAGAGTTGAGGAAGGAATGCAAGACGTTCGACTGAGAAGACCAATGGTGTTTTCGAGGTGTCGGCAGAAGATAAATAGAGTAAAGTATTGTAAAGACTGAAGTTGTGTCTGTGGTCGGTACGGGTAAAATGGTAGAAGAAGGTGTGTTGGAGGAAGGGACTGCCATATTTTGTGTACATCACGACATTGAGAGCCATGAAGATGATCAAGGATGTTGCGAGGAGCTGAAGGCGAGGCTTGTTCAGCAGATTGCGATGAGAAGTCAATTGTCGAAGAATAGGTGTATCTGCTGCGTCCGTTCCGAGTGCCCAGAACATGCTTGCACCGTATATGAACGGGTAGATCTTGAAGTGTACAGCAAACCCTAAGAGGGTACCTGCAAGCAGTACCATTCGTGTCTCAAGAGCGTATGACATCCCTACCATCAGGGCACATAGCAATCCTTCACTACTTCCTCTTGTGCTGATATTGGCGACCATGGGATTCAGCAGCCATACACTAGCATACTTCAGTGCACGAGATCTCTCCATGCCTTGTCGCTGCAGTAGCCTATAAATCAGCCATCCTGCCACCAAATCCGACAATGCAAACAACGCTTTGCCTGAATGAAACCAAAGGCCATCTTTGCCCGACCAAGACGTCGGTAGCAATATCCAGGCCAGTAGTGGTGTATATCGATAAGTTGCTCTGTCATACGGCGACCTTCCCCTTGACACTGCTCGGGCTGCATCAGTGAAGACGTAGTAGTCGATATCGGTGTATTTTATGGCCGAATGTGCGTCCTGGTAGATGCCATAGAAGAGGAGCACTACACGGAGAGCAAGGCTCGCAGAGAAGACGATGACTGGTGGGCGAAAAGCTCGACCAACGACAGAGTCAGCCATGCATGCTAGATACTCGAAGTGCTGTGTCCTCAATGGAAGCGGAACGGCTGATAAAAGCAAGTACGGCAAAATTTAGGGTGGTGAAGATGGGCAGGTTTAGGCATGTAGTAGCATTGCGAAGCTAAATCTGAAAGCGGCAGGAACCCATCTTTTGGCCAGCTCCAGGGGCATTAAACCCTAAATGACGTGAATGATTAACAACAAAATTCGTCCATAGGCAGCAGACTTCATCAATACACCCTATGGCAGGCGTGAAGCGCAATCGAGCAGAAATGGAGTCTAAGGAACAGGAGGATTCTCCATCACCTTACTTGCCTATGTTCGAACACTTCAAATCCGAAATAGACACACACCACGACCGACGCGAACGAGTCATAAAGGCATCACGAGATATTACAGCTTACAGCAAAAAGATAATCTTTGCTCTCCAACGAACCAAAGAGATCGGCAAGCCATTGACTGATAGAAAAGCTTTGACTGATATGACGAAACTAAAGCAGCAGATCAAGGAGACGTTTGAAGGCGTTACAGACGACCTTCAGGGAATTAATGCTCACCGTTACCAAAGACAGATATCACCTGGTATCCAGGAGTTTATGGAAGCAGCCCTGTTCGAGCATTACCTCGTCAACCAAGCCATCATGACACACAGCGAAGCTGCTACTACCATACCAGCCGGGATAACGCTGACATACGAGGATTATGTCCTTGGCATTTTCGACATGACTGGAGAGCTGATGAAAATAGCTATTACCTACATGGCTACGAATGGCAAGCTACCAGGGCTTCAAGGTGGTGCATCTGTGTTGACCGATATGCAAACCATGCGGACGCAACTGGAGCTAATTAATGCTGGTCACGGGCCATTCGCGAAGGAGTTTGAAGGCAAGCTTCGAGTTACGAGACAGAGTGTCGAGAAGGTCGAAATAAGTGTGTATAGTATGACCGTGAGGGGAAAAGAGATGCCGAAGGGCTGGAAGCCGGATATTAATATGCGGCAACCCGTAGAAGAAATTGAGTCGTACTGAACGACGAGGGAAACCAACACTGAAGTCTTTTTCACATGGAGCTGTCCATGATATGATCTTTTGTGCTAAGCTATGGGCCACCACATATTGTCTCTTACGATTTAGCAACAAACTCTTGTGCTAATTTCAGTCATCTTAACAACGACATGAGATGAGCCAACGTCTCTTGCTATGCCGACGGCGTCTCACCAGGCTCGAGGATGCCATGTTCGACCAGCTCATCGACGGTGGGTCGTCGTTGCAACTTCTGTTCCAGAGCATCGGAGCGCATCTGCTTGTCGAGAGCTCTCTGGTTGGCCTGCAGTCCAGGAGCAGCATTCGAGTCAGGTAGGATGTTTCCTAGCACCAGCATGTCAGTCAGTGCTCCTTGTGGCTTGGGAACAACCCATACGATTGATGAGCTCGTCTTTCTCAGGCCGATGCTCGAGACCTTTCTTCAGGTTGTCTGTCGCTTGCTGACGCTCAAGTTCATGCTGTTTAGCTTGAAGAGAACTACCTGTGTCAGACTCGGCTAGCACGTCAAGAGGATCGTGCTACTTACGGAGCAGCATTAGTATCTAGCAAGATATTCCTGTTCTTGAGATCTTGTGCATCCGGCCTGAGTTGCAAGTGCTTCTCAAGCGAGCTCCGTCTTTCTACAGGTGAGATTGGAGTCTCGTCAACCGCGAGATCGGGCTTGTTCTCGTCCACAGCAGACATGTTGTATGAATATCTAAAGACACTAGTTGCACAGCGTGAAGGTGTCGTGTATTTGTAGCAATGCAAGGTCGACGTTGGTTGTCGAGGAGTCCAAACCACTGTGTTTTAAACAAGGCACAACAGGTCACAATGAACTGCAGCACATGCCACAATCCGAGCCACGACCACCAAGGCCCAGGGTTTGGAGGTTTGACATCATAACCCTGCAGCCATGCCTAATCTGTGCTTAGGCAGGTTAGGCTCTGGCTGCTCCCGGGTGTAACCAGGCATTAATACCCTGATTTTGCAGGCACTAAAAAGTGCGTCATTTGATGGTGGGCTTAAGCAGGCGCGACCATTACTTCGATGAAATTCAAGCGCTAATCCCATTCAACCTCTGAGGCCGAAACACACATCGTATAGCTAGAAGCCAAATAGCAAAACAGTAATCTAAGCCGCTACCATGGCCGAATCATCAACCACACGGGACAAATCGCCCACCCCCTCCGAGCGCGAACGCAACGACAAACAAGCCAAAGCCCGCGAAGAAGAAGAACAAGCCAAACTCCCATACAAATGGAAACAAACTCTCGACGAAGCCGAAATCACAATCTCCATCCCCGGGAACCTCAAATCCAAGGACCTCCTCATCGACCTCAAAAAGACACACATCAAGGTCGCCATAAAAGGTCAGGATCCAATCATAGACGGAGACACACCATTCCCACTTCAAACCGACGAATCAACGTGGACGCTTAACACGAAATCCGATGGCGGCAAGGAGATCAATATCACTGTTGCGAAGGCGAGAGGTACGAATTGGTGGCCGCATATCACAACGGATGCGCCGAAGATCGATGTCACGAAGATTGTGCCGGAAAATTCCAAGTTGAATGATTTGGATGGAGAGACTAGGGGCATGGTCGAGAAGATGATGTATGATCAGGAGATGAAGAGGCAGGGCAAGCCGACTAGTGATGAGCAGCAGAAGCAGGATTTGCTGAAGAAGTTTATGAAGGAGCACCCCGAGATGGATTTTAGCCAGGCTAAGATTGGTTGAGGGGATGAGGGAAGACACGCTTGCAGTAGTGCACAGTGTCAACATCCATATCAATCAGGAACAATTCAACTCACAAATATATCCTGCCTATCACTGAAAGCTTCACGACAAGTACCAGAAGCCTTCGTCCGACGCGCAAACACGCTACAACGCTCAATCAAATTCACCGTACCTGCCCTCACGCAAACACAAAAACAAACTTATCCACCACAGCGGCTGGACTATTAATTAAAAGCATCGCCTACACCTGACGTCCATTCAGATACGCTCAAAGTCTTGCACCAAAGTCCTTGAGTATAAGCATAGACTAGACAGCCTACATGCAATGCTGTAAGTATTCCAATTCGCCAAACAGGGTGAGGCATCGTGGCTAGCTCGGCAGCCGCAAGAAGGAAGACGACATAGAACAATGTGCTGTTGATGCCACTATTGAGACATGGTTGGAGCAGGGACATGAGTTTCGTAGCAAAGAGCAGGATATAGACAGAGATAGTCTGGATTCTGTAGGTCAATAAACTTACGACTCGCTGCTGTGGTGTAGTTGGACGTGTTGGGGGCGGTAGTAATAGCTGTACTGGCCGATCGCGTTCTGGACTGGGACTCAATTGCTTGCTGGACGGTTGTGGTGGGACAGATCCAGAGACATGTGCATAGGGCCTTGGGTTGAGCAACGGTGGTCTCGTAAGGCTGTTGCTTGTGCCATGCGATGACGATCTACGCATCATTAGTGCCGAATGGTTCACAGTCTCTTTTGTGTAATCTTCCGAAGCTTGTCTGGGACTCTGGGAACCACCAAGAGAAGGACTTCTAGGTCCTCGTCGGCGCATCTGTCGAGATGGCGACATTGCATCCATATCCTTGGGCCTGTTTCGTGTGGTGGCTCCCAGCGACGGTTGAGGGTGAGGTGAATCGAGCTTCGTGATTCGTCCCTTGCCGGCTGTAAGATCTTCCGAAGTAGAAGTTGGAGTCGTTGTAGAAGAACCACGACGTTTGAGCTCCGGCACAAATTCCAGTCCACCCATTTTGATGCCGTTGAGGACGTCATCTGAAGATGGTCGGCCTTCAGGTAGTATGGATAGCAACTCTTTCAGAAATGCGTATAGCTTGTTCGGTAGTTCTGGCCGTTGTCTCCAGCTCTGGTCAAAGCCTGTCCACGACGTGATCTCGTGTCTGAGCTCGTCCAGGTCTTCGCTCTCCTCCTGCAGGACATTCGCGTTCTGGTAAGGTAGGTCCGCAAAGCAAAGAAAGTGTAGAATCATGCCGAGCGAAAAGACGTCGGACTTGAAGGTGAAATTGCCTAAGGGCCCGCCAGGCGAGATTGGCTTCAGGACTTCGGGGGCGCAGTATGAGATTGTCCCTGTGGCGCCAGTTGATTTGCGAACGGCATTCTCATATTGTACTTCACCAAAATCACTGACAAGAACCCTTGTCTCGCCACTGACGCGGTGGATTAGGCAATTGCTTGGTTTTAGATCTCGATGTATGAAGCCATTCAGGTGCAAGAAGCGTAGTCCTTCTGTGATGTCGAGGAAGAAGGAGTAGATCTGGTCGAAGGGCAGCTTGCGAGGCTCATTGCGGGTCCGCGGCATATCTGCCTCGCCTTTTGATCTTCGTCGAAGGCGTTCCTTGAGCTCCTGTGTGGTGGTTTGGACTTGTGCAGGAGCACATACATAGGTGTGTAGATCACCCCCATTGCAGTACTGCTGAAGAATGAATGCGCACGGGACGCTCGGTGAAAAGTTGTTGATCTGATAGTCCTCGAGCCAGACGTGCCGGTAAGACACAAGGTTCTGATGAGATAAACTCTGAAGAGCTTGAACCTCGACAAGTACTTTCTCGAGCCAAGCATGATCATCGCCAACCGGAACGCGTTTGCAAGCAAAATGCCCAAGCGTAACTCCATCCAAGACATGCTTGACTAACAAGACTACCCCTCGTCCACCTCTACCAAGCTCCTTCTCGATCACAAAGAACCTTTCAAAGTATTCAGCTGCGAAGGCTGTCTCGGAAATCGGATGGATACTATCTGGTGGCGCCGGACTGCTCCCAACAAATTCAGCCTCAGGTAGTGATGCAGTCGTACTGGAGCTTAGAGGCGATGGTCGTACCGGTTGAGCAAGCTGTCTTCGTGGAGACGGTGGGGCCGAGCTTCGATTGGAACCAGGGGTGCTGCTCGCTAGCATTCGAAAGTAGTCGTTGTTGATGAATGAAGGTTGCTGTGCTTCTTCGAAGTCATCGTCGATGGCATTGGAGTCACTCTCGTATGGTCTCCCGCAGTTTGGACATGCAGTGTCAATTGCTGGTCTCTCGAGACCTCTGCTTCGGTTCCGGAGTATTAATTGTCTAGATTGGCTATCGAAGACTACGATTGAGTCTGCATGACGACTACGGGTGTTAGTGTCCTCTATAAGTACACATGGTACCAGACTTACAGTACGATTTCTCGATTATTGTCATATGGTATTATAGATAAGTGGTCATCGTTAGAGTCGTTCAAGTCTGCCATGGTTCATCACATCAATGGGCTTGTCTGCGAACACTTAATGTTGAAGTTAGCCAGCCCATGTTGTGCGGCTGAGCAAGCATTATTTAATTTATTCGTGACACGCGAACAGGTTGGAGACCGCTTTCTCGTAACGAGCGTTGTGGAAATCTCGTGTTGAGGAAGGAGCGGGATTAGACTCGAAGCTGGTGCATTTAATTGGAGCACGGAGCGGAGGACTGAGGAAACTCCTCAGACAAGCATCGCTCCTGCTCAATGTCGTCTGAGATGACTGATTTCAGACGGCCTGCATGACCGCGCAATCAATTTCCAATTTAACACAAAGCCACGTCTGGACGTACTTCCATCTTAGTTTTACGTGACGGATAATTCAACGAATGACTACAGCAACCAGAACACGGGTGAGTTCACAAAAGACACGGCTACAGAAGTGCAAAACAGCTGGTCATACCCAAGACTGCTGCTAGACAACAAAGGAGCACGCCTGACACGAGCAAACGCCGTTCCTATATGTCTACTAGCAAAAATGTTGAGAAGCATCAGGATAATACCTGACTTATAGATGTATATAGATGCATTAGTATGTAAAATCTAATTTTCCCAGCAGTGACGACGGAACTATGTTTGCTGCGCACCCGGTCTAGGGAATACCGAGGTCGTCGCCACGTTGTTCACGTCGAAACCTCCAAAGGTGCCCTGATTAGCATGCTGCCACCCCTGACCTGTCTGTTGGTTCACGAATTGACTCTGCCTGAAGGGATTTGTGCTACCGGTTACATTGACGGGCAAAGAAGACATTGCACCTACTGGAGGTGGTGACAAACTGTTCTTCGCAAATGGGTTCGTGCCAGTCACCTGTGACTGTAATGGAGCTAGCGTGGCTTGTTGCTGTACCGGCTGTGATTGTTGCACTTGTGATGACTGTTGCTGATCAAGAGGCGCTAATGCCATGTCCTGCGATAATTGACCACCAGTACCACGTTTCGCGAAAGGATTGGTGGATTGACGATTTACTGCTGGCGTGCTGCTGGACACTGGATTGCTTAAGGCCGGCATCATTGACTGCCTGAACGGATTTGTGCCAGTAGCTTGTGGCTGTAGAGATTGAGGTGATAGTGCTTGCGGCGATTGAAGATACAAGCCGGTGCTTGTTGATGGTTGAGAGAAATCTGCTGCACCACCCTGAGGTATGGACGACACTCCAGAGGTGAAATTGTAGTTTGGGTCTTGTTGTGGTTGTGGACCATATCCGCCGAAACCAGCTCCTGTGAAATCTGGTTGAAGAGATTGCTGCTGTAATTGCTGTTGCGGCTGCTGCTGGAGGTTCTGTCCGTAATCTTGCATAAAAGGGTTATAGCCAGTCTGTTGAGGCATGACCTGTGGTTGTTGGTATATTTGAGCCTGTGCGTAACCAGCATTGATCTGTTGGGTAGGGTCGTATGTTTGCTGCACCATTGGCTGTTGGTTCTGTTCGATGGACTCAAAAAAGTCTATCAGATCAGGCGCAGGTCCTTTGTACTGCTGTGTGGATTGTGCCTGAGGTCGACTGGCAGAAGGTAGCTCGACTGCTTTGGGTGCTGGTTTACTCGTCGATGCGGTTGCAGGCACAGGTTTGCCTGTCCGCTTGGCTTCTTGCTGAGCCAAGTACTGCCTCCTGTTAATCTCGAAGTCTGGATCGTTCAGATACTCTTCGAGAGAAGAAGTTAGAGTCGTTGGTGCATGTTTGAGCTTCGGCACCTCTAATTTGGTTGCCGCTTGATACTGTCTGGCCATGGACAAGTAGTTAACCACCAGATCGGTTTGACGGCCAAATGTCTTGTAGATGGCCAAAGCCCTTTGTGCGTCGACCTTGGACATTTCGAAATAATGTTCCAGGACGTTGATGGTCCCTTCGTTCATAGCTTTGAACAATTCCAGCAGATCTAGCGTCAGAAGGCGAAATGCTGTCAGTGAGATCTCATTCTCAGGGTCAGGGCCCCCAAGTAAATCGCATTTTAGGAGTGTTTGTATCTGGGCTTGCACAACCTCGGTCTGTCGAAGCAGGCCCTTGTCCACCGTTAGGGAGCGCATCTTGCCAGTGCCAGAGCGCACAAAGTCGGTATTGGTGTCGTGATATGCCTTAACTCGCTCCAGCAAGTATTCATAGTAACGGCGTATGCTGATGCCTTGAGTCTGGACTTCAGCGAAACCACTGATGGCCAACCTTTTTGGCGATTCGGCCAGGTAGCGCAGGGTGATTTCGGGAGCACCCTCGCGTATCATGAGATGTACTATTATCAGGGCCTTGAAGACAATCGTCCACGTCGAATCGCGCAGACGCAGCTGCAAAGTCTGGAAGACATCGGCGACGCCAGTCTCACCGCCACGAGTCGCGGAGAGGATGGGTTCGACATATTTTGTTTTAGGTGCGGCAAGCTGGAGGACGTTAGAATCGACTTCCGAACCATGAAGATTGACGTACTTTGATCTTGGTCGCACCTTTGACCGTCTTCTCCATCTTAGTTGCTTGGACTGGTAGCGTGAATGCTGGCACGAACAAGCACCAAGCTGGAATAGAGAGATTCAGTCGCTGACTTCGAGATCAAACGATCATGTCGGTGGCAGACATTGCAGCGAATACGGGCCAGTAGTGTTTCTGTGAGTAGTCGTACAGTGCTACCGTGTAAGCGCTTGAGAGATCGACCAAGACACACGCATCTCTGAGGCGTAGTAAGAGAGTGTGGCTGTAACCTGGCTCTATGTTATCGTTCTGGAGGCTAACGAGCTATGTTTACATCCGGTAGTACTAGGACCACTATATCAAACCCTGACGTCGCCTGGGGTCCACAACTTGCGGCTAGTAAGTTCAGATCACTGGACGGCGTGAGGATGAAAACCTTGCCCGACAGATGTTCGTCAAATGTATTTGGCCCCGTCTTCGTTTAAAAGCAGGCACAATATCAATGCCTCAAGACAAGTGGTTGTTAGCGAGGATGTTCTCGTTGTGACAAATAATGGGTTAGGTCAATCCGAGGCACAATACGAGTACAGCATGGAAACAGCGACAATATTGAGTATTTCTCATATTGCTAACAGCTCAGTAATATAGTAATGTTGACCACACAAGCACGTTCAGCATAGATATCCTTGCATCCTTTCAACGGGGCTCCTCTCGATAGTTTCATTGGTTTCGCTCACAATTTCGTAGTAATACAACCTAGCTCAAAGCCATTCTTAATCCATCATAAACTCTCCTCGAAGCATTCGTTCACCTAGGTGGTCTGGCTTCTTGGACCTCAACACAGAGGGAGCTGGGGGAGGACTACTCAGCCCGACTTCCTTCGGTGGTGGTGGAGGCTGTGGTGCATTGAACGATTTGCTCCGGTTATGGGCTGGAGAGAATGGATTTCCAGCAGAAATAGAGGCTCTCTTGTTCTTCATGGCATCGGACCAGTTGAATCCTTCTCCTATGCAAAGTCAGCATTGTGGATCACGCTCTAAAACGTATAGAAAAGGGTTGACGCAAATATCAGAATGAACATGAGAGGTAAAGAGATCGACCTAGACTCTTACCTCCAGTCTTGGCCGTCCCTGGGGAGCGAGCAGGTGCAGCTTTTTGATCATGGTTGATGTCGGAATCTTCGGTCAATGTGGACAGCAGATAAGACGAGGGTCGCCTACCAGCAGTATTGGTGGGAGACGTGCCGCTTTGTCTCGCCTCACGCATTGCTTGAGCACCAAAGCTGAGTCTGCGGGCAAATGAAGGACTGGGAGGAGAATTTAGTGGTGGCAGCTTATCGTCATCCTCGATGATCGCGTTCTCGTCAAAGCTGTTTCGGAATTCAGAGCCACTAGCTGAAGAGGTAGAAATGCTGGCTCGGCGTTGACGCGTGAAAGCATTATATGGTGACTCTTGATTGTTCCCTGCGCCAGAGAGACCCAAGACCATGGACATACTACTCTTTCGCTGAGCTGGTGGTGGTGGTGCTGCTGGCACTGCACCTGCGGGAGAGGTCGAGGAGGACGTGCTGGTGCTGAACACTCTAGGCTTCAGCATATCGACGAAACTCTTTCGTCTCTCGGTTGCAGCAGGGAGCTCGCCCGAGCTGGAATCGTTCATTGTGCCGGTAAACTGGACTCAAGTTTCGCAGCTACGCTCAGTCCTGCTGCAAAGCTTTATGTCTTTGGTGAGGGTCCGTCTCAACCAGGTCGTAGTACACACAATACCACTTTACCTCCTGTCGACAGGTATTTTATGGCAGTTTTGTTGTTGCAGACAAAGAGCTCGTAAACTCCACTTCAGAGCAACTTCTCTTGAAAAACGTGTTCAACTGATATACGAAAACATGGGTGGAATCACTCTGTTGACTGAACACGAAGCCTGTGGTCTACTTATGTTGGTTGCAGCCTTTGGTAGAGTAGGATATAGCACGAGTGTAGAAGAGAGAACGAAGATACGAGTATGGAGACCCTTGGAAGCAACAGCCCGCATTTGCCAATGCTGCGCTCCTGCCAATCCTGGGTCTCTCCTGTGGTGCTTATTTCTCTTTGACTTCCACCGTGCACGGACCAGATGCCCAGAATTGCGGGGAGAGCCAGACACTTTATGCCTGCAGATCACGTTGGTTCTGTCGTCATCCTCTTCAGCTTCTTGGACTGTGCAGTTGTACAACGAATAGATGAGTGGACTGACCATGGCACTCGGCCTCGTGCTACACGGATCCCACCTCTTCCGCGGGAAGCCGGATATGCTGTGACCGTCAGATCATAACCATGAGATTCGTGGTCAGAACCAGCAAATCATACAACACTGCCCGCTTGAGTGAAGGGCGGTACGCATAATACCAACAGTCGGCGATCTGCTTACGTGGGTACCGTGGTCTGTGCTTAAATTGCCAGCTTGTCCAATTAGAAATGCAGAGCTCGATGCCTTGTTGTCACTCGTGCCATGAAGATTACCTATCCAATGCAATATGTTCGCCTCTAGAACAGAAGCAGGAATGGCTATACACGGAAGTCTAGAGCTTGACGCTAGAGAGTACAGGTTGGTGGAAATATGAAGGCAGTAGCGATAGCCATGGCCTGTGCTCTAGTCGCCAATACTGAACACGGTCATTAAGTTGCGCGGATTGTGCGGTAAAAGAAGACCTGGTCGAAATTATGAAGTAAGTATCAGAGTGCTATTGAACGAGCATACTACAACACTTCTATCTGAGTGGTTGCAAATTGAGGCTACATAATGGCCCTGTTGACGCTTACCCACGCTGGACGCTCGCCCTATTTCTCTCACGTTTGCAGCCTGATGCATGTATGGCTGCGCACGGATATCATGTACTGCTAACAATGCTTCTTTGCTGCAATGGACGAACGCATCACGACCATAAAGTGCTTGTGACGGTACGTATGCTATCAGCTTCATTACCACCCCTAACCGACTCTTCATATTTTGCACTCTTCCCGCTCCTACTCCTTGTACTCGTTTTTCTAACTTGCTGGCCAACCCCTACATCGCACATACAGCTTCACCCGACCTTTTGCGAAACGTGATACAATGGTTCGAAAATTGTCAAACATCAGAGAGCCACGGTCCGTGGCAGTGGACAATACGACGGATCACAAGAAGCTGGAAGCGAGCGAGTTCTATACCAACATGCGTCAGACATGCTCAATACTCATCGAATACGCTCGATGTCGGGATTTCACGCCCGAGTTTGCGATCAAGCAGATCGACTCTTATTGCATGGACCTGGAAGAACTTTTACGCAACAGCTCACTGGAACCGACGTTACGCACATTCATAAGTACAGACGACCTCTCAACCCTTGAACAATCTATCAGACAGATCGAGGAACTCTGGCAGAGCAGAATAGTTGAGTATCTACAGGAAAGAATAGGCGAATTGGCCCAGAGGGTACATTCCGGTTCGTTCTCAATAGGCACTGAAGTTGAGTTCTCCCTGCTGGGTCGCCAACTTGCTCGTGTTCAAGCCAGACAACGAGTGCACGGGTGGAACGTTGACAGCGAGGACTGGGAGCGGTTCACTCCTCAATTTCTGCACGACGAGGTCAACGTCCTGGCTCACCAACTTCTGACTTTGCACAACCAATACCAGGAAAGCCTGTATCTCAATACTGTAGAAGAGGAACCAAGCCTATTCTACCTAATCTGGAAGAATCTGAGGCGTGCCTTCGAGGTGTTCCAACAAAGTACTGACGGACACGAGAATGTGAACTATCCTCTCGAAAGTGAATTCTTTGAGATACCCTTTGTTCGGTTTTGTTTGGAATGGATTTGTCATCCGGCTCAACCTGACTTTTATGTTCCTGAGGAGATCGAAATCATGGTCGCTTGCTATTGTCAATTCATCTTTGACCACGGTGAGCAAGCAGAGACACGTTCTCTAGGACTCGATGGATTGAATACCAACTTGCCATTGACACATGGCGCTATTGAAGCACTCATGCTGTTTCCGACCGAGCGGGAATGGAACGCCAACGCAGCGAGAGCTTTACACGAAGCAGTTTTACGGCTCAACTACCTGACACATGGTCCCATAGTCTATCGGCGCCACGAGTTTTGGACTGACTACTGGTGGGTGAAAGCCCATCTAGACGATTCCATACTTGAGAAATTACGCCTGGATCGAAACGAAGAAGTGGTGTTCGAACATAAGCAACGTAGCCTCGTGCGGCAATTGCCATCATTCGAAGAAAATGAGGCAGGAAGGTTTACGAAGACCGCCCCACTCTTCGTTGAAGATACGGACTCTTCGTCCTCAGAAGCATCGAACGATATGTTTTCACAACGATATGCTACGTTCTATGGCGGCAACTACCTTCTGGGCATGGCAGATGAATCTTTCAGGGATACGCCAACACTAACCTCTCACACGGCAGCACCTGTTGTCGATGACGATGGTCAGGTTCGGATGTTCGGAGGAGAAGGTCGACTGCCTTCCTCTGATCGAAGCGTCAGCATGTCCATCTCGGATGGTCCATCCCCAACTGTAGGGGCCACAAATCATGGTGTCGATGGCCTGCATTCCGAAAGTATGCATCGTCCAGAAGATGCTTCTTCGTCGCAAGGACCGCTACTTGTTGGTCGAAACATCACGAGCAAACACGACTACGTGTATTACCCTTGGCCTGACAATCGGGCGTCAGAAGTGGCAAATGACCGTCTCGTTACACGAGATCTTAGCAATCCAAGCATCTATTCCGAGGGACTGAAGGTACGGGACCTAGTCAATCTGCCTCCCAGACATTGCAGAAAGCCAGGATCTTACACGGTCTATGATTATCAGAAACGGAAGCCCTTTGGACCGTTGGACTGCATCAATATCTGTCGTAAAGTCATTTCTTATCTGATTTTCGGAGACATTCAATCTCAGACGACTATACTCGCCCCACCACACATCGTCTCTCGTGCCAGTGGTCGCCACTACAAACACAGTAAGGCGCTGATGGCCAAGTACGACACAAGAAGGAGGGTATCGAAAGCGTGAATAGCTGTAGAAAGCGCTGTTTTGGGGAAGTAAGTCTTACGTTCTTGTGGGAATACCCGGAGTGAAGACTTGTAAAGGATTGTTTGTTGTATATCTGAAGAATAGTTGACAAACAAGGACAATATGAAGACACCGATACGAGACCAGGTAGAGCAAAGTACTTCAGCAACCCACAGTCAAGAAAATTAATGTTCTTAAAAGAATTGTCTAAGACCAGGTCTTTGATCGTGTTCGTAAGGGCTCTTACAGTGCGGTGAGTGCGACGAAATAGGAACCCAGGCAAACAAGCCACATCTTAAAGTACGTCTGACGAGCCACGTGCCTTTTGTTTGCCGCACAGAATGGATGTTATGCACCCACAGCGGTAACTATTCGACTATGATGGCGAATCTTGGCAGTGGCTTCTTCGCCGAGCCAGCCAATGAGCGGAATCCAGATCCGGAGCATCTGATTAGACTCGTCACTCACTCAATGACTGCGGCTAGCGTCAGGGGTACATATTTTTCCTTATCTCACAACCAAACATTGCGGCACGTACATGTTCACGGCTGACCAAATTCTCAGTTCGTGCGCCTCCACACGACATGCGGAAGCTTCAGATCGACGACTTCATATGCATGGTTCATCTGGGAAGTCGGGATGGCTAGTATGGCTGTTGTACACCAAGGCAGATCGCAACGTGGGTGCTGGCAAACATAGTGGCCTGGTAGAGCATTGTCTTGCAGGGTCATTGCTTCTCGTCTGGGTTAACGATCTGTCCATCAGCTCGTCAGGTGCCGCGACATAAATTCCTAGCAACTTATGCACGACTTTTGCACGAACACAAGCATTCAAGATTGCGACTCCACTCCACGCACACTGATCTGAGCCGTAAAGATAAGGATGGAGCTCCTCCGGAGGTGTATCCTGGACGCACGACTCAAGTGATAACACGCTAAAGACAATTGAACCTACCAAGCTTCAACCCCTTCATGTTCCCTACTTGGCTCACCATCCAGATGCCGCCCTCATATAATGCTGAAGCCTCAGGCTTCTGCTGGGATACTGCAACAATATCACCGTATGCTGTTCAGCCAGGGACCCTCACCACCTTTCGAGCTTGCAAAATCGGGACACAACCTCGCTGCCACATTGTCGGATCGGCTATTCACAGTTCGAACAGATACCTGCCGGACGCTTTTTCGTGATACGCAATGGGGATTTCGCAAACTTTCAACAGCAGCGCCAAGCTTGTCAGGCTCGCGACTTTGTGCATAGGTCTTGTCGTCATAATATGGAATGCAACATCTATGCAATCGACACAAAACGTGTACAGTCGTCTTACAAAACCATACGCAGCATCAAACCCCGCCGATGATCTTCACAACGAGTTCTATGGTACGGTGGGAAGCTCGTCGGATCTCACAGGGCCTGTGCAAGCGGGAAGACATAACCATGCTCACCATGCACCTCCCAACCCTTCAAGCAAAGCAGAATCTGCAAGCTTAGGACTCAACGGTCGTCCGAGGCTGCCACCTGTCGATTTTATCGCCCAGCACGTTCCGCAGCCGAAGGAGGATGGCTCGCATTTTGAGAAGCAAAAGCTTAACGACTATATTGATGCCATATTCAACCTTGACAACAGCATATTCTGGCGCTTGGAATGTCCGGAACAACACAACCAGGGACCACGTTACCAAGTCCTTCGTGAACTTTCCAAGCAGGACCCTGGCATAAAGTACTTCTTCGCCCTCGATCTGTACAACATTATCGATATCCTACCTCGGCTGCTAGGGAGTATTATTCAAGTCATCAAATTTCTTGGTGCCGAAAACTGTGCTCTTTCCATCATTGAAGGCCGTTCCCACGACGGCACATATAGCGTCTTGTACGGCATCCAAGAGGAACTATCAAAGCACGGAGTGCAATACTGGCTCGATCAATCCGACATAAACCCACATGCCGACGGCGTCGACCGTATCGAGGAGCTGTCTAAACTGCGCAACATGGCTCTAGAACCTCTTACAAACCCCAAGACCCGCCCAATGTTCAGCGACAAGCCGGTCATAATGTTCGTCAACGACGTCGCAATTTGTCCCGACGACCTCCTCGAAATGACGTATCAGCATCTCCTCCAAAACGCAACACAGACCTGCGCAATGGACTGGGTGGACGGCGGTGACCTCTTCTACGACGCCTGGGTTTCAAGGTCAATGTCTGGAAACACATTTTTCGAGATTCCACAGGACATGAGCTGGGCCTTTTCGAGAAATATGTTTTGGGACGAACCTGACGCATACACATTGTACAGAGAGAAGAAGCCATTTCAAGTGTTTTCGTGTTGGGGCGGGATGGTAGTGCTTGATTCGGCACCTTTCATTGATGGCCAAATCTCGTTTCGGAGAAATGTGGAGGGTGAATGTTATGGTGGGGAGCCTCAGACACTGGCGAGTGATTTGGTGAAGATTGGTATGAGTCGAGTGCAGACGCTGCCGTATGTGCATGTGGCGTATAGCAATCATGAGGCTGAAAGGGTTAAAAAGATTAGGGAGTATGTGCATGATGTTGTGAATGTGACGGTGCCGGTGAACAAGTTTGAGGACGACAAGGAGACTCAGCGAGTAAAGTGGAAGCAAGCACCACCCAGATATAGGTGTATGCCGGGGTTCAATCAGCAGTGGTGGGTTGACACAGTTTATGTGCCTGGTGATGAGCATCTGCAGTGAACACTGGCAGGGGTTTATGATTGAAATGTCCATTTTCATGATCACGACCAAAACTGCATGAGATATGGGTATGAGTACATGTTCATGGTCTGAATAGAATGAATTGCCGACTCCGGGACTTGAGTAGTCCTGAATGAATATACACGCCATATGACACCGACTCCAGTATACAGGCCACTAGCAACAGCGACAGCTCTACTCACTCCACACCATCCTCCCCACAACAGAGACTTGCTTCACGATTCCCACACCCACGCTCACGTCCTCCACACTCTTCAGCTCAAACATATACATCCCCTCTTGCAGGACATATTTCCCCGTCCTCTCATCAAAGTCAGCCAAATCCCGCTTCGCTACCTCCACCTCGACCTTCCCTTGTTGTCCGGGCGCCACAGCAGTCTCGGTACTAGCCGATGCGACGAATTGCGCATCTTCAGGCGAGAACATTGGCCACGCATCGATCTTTATCGACTGGGATCGTGGTTGAGATGAGGTATTGCGGATGTAGGTGGTGATTCGCCAGTGGTCAGGTGTGTCTGTGATTGTGGCTGTGAGAATTGATTGGGAGGACATGATGGGCGAGGAGTATCTGGTATTCGGAAGGCGCGAGGTATATCTGATTTGCAGGTGGGCTGTTGGCCGCCGTGGTGATGGGGAGAAGCCGTTGAGGACTGCTGCCATTGTGATTTTTTGCGAGAATAACGGTTGTAAATTGGTGGATTGGATTTATTCGTCAACACAGTGTGTGTTTATGTGAGGTTGTCTGGTAGAAGAAGTTGAAGCAAGCTGTCTGGAATCAGCGGTCTGATAAAGTGGTGAAGTCAAGGTGACATACAATCAGGCACCTACTACGTAGTAGACCAACAGCGAGATTACTTTGATTTAATAAATGCCGCAGTATGAGGCTTTTGACGGTACAGTCACCGTTGCGGCAGCTACGACGGAGGCACTGGAGACTGAAGCTTTCCTACAGCTCTGGGCTTTCCTGCTTGGATGTGCTTGTTCTTCCAGAGATGTGGCGTGACCAGAGTGAAAGTGTCTTGAATCAGTCTAGTTGGTCGCCTAGTGTTTTGTTCTGCGAATAAAAGGGTGTTTAGTGGGGTTTCGTAGCAAGGCAGATCCACGAGGTCTGCATCGGAAAACGTCGGTTCTGGTGAAGCGAGGTCGTGGTCGTGTGCCGATTCGGTTGTTTGGTTCGAGTCTTGGTGGCGTGACAACCTCGTGTGGCAAGCTATTTGGTTCGCCTTGTTTTAGTTGTTGCAGCTGTCTTTGGTGTGCAGGTTGCGATCCCGGAGGAAGCTTTCGTGACATGAGGAGGAATGTTATGGCGAAAAGTTGACGGATGAATGCTACTCACAAACACTCGCACCCAGATTGCCAGTACATGGAGGGTTTCCAAATGAGGGTTTGCTACATTGTGTAGTGCCCACTCTTTCCACTAGTCGTCCTACCTCTTGCTACGAGAAATACGGCCAACTGCTGGCAATTGTGCTCGAAAGGCAGACGTAACCTGATCGAATAGATTCTTGGCTGAAAGCCATATATTTCCTTATGCTTTGCCTGTTTCTGACCTCCTGACGCCATCGAGTTCGAGCACAGGTCCCGCATACTTGTGTCGCCCACTGATCAGATAATACGAAGCTCCAAACAGAACCCAACCAGCGAGAACCACAGTACTGTAGTTCATGTTTACTGGTGTAACGGGGTAAAAATTCGGCCACGTGCTGTATGTTTGATTAGCAGCGTCCCTCCCAGATGTTCCAGGTTTGGCATACCTGAAAAAGATGGCCACGACGAGCCAAATCAAAGCTACAATGTTGATGGCAGGACCAGCGCGACCTAATCGGAACGGACCCGGCTCATGTGCACCTGGTTTGCGACCAAAGAACAGCATGTAGACGATAGGCAGCGTATATGACACATACATGCCAATGATTGCCATGGTCAAAATAGCATTGAAAGCAGTCGTGTTTCCGAGGTAGATAAACCCAAGCAGGAACTGCAACACTGTCACGACAACAATCATTCTCACCGGCACATGGAATTTAGTGTCGATCTGAGCCAAGTAGGCAGCTTTCGGAGTTGCATTATCTCGCGCTAGGGCCCAAGCTGTTCGCGATGTCGATGTGAGACCAGCGGCGTTGGCTGCAACAGCGATCAGACTAGGAATGAGTGAAAGTACTGTGGCTCCAGCCCTGCTCCTGGTGGCATCGAAGAAGACCTATGTAAACGATCAGACTAGACTCTCCCGTGGAAAGCAGCATGAGACTCGCACTGTACTTACTTGGATGTATGGGAAACCAAATGGCGACGCTAAGACGGTATCGAGATCGCCGAGGGAGAACAAAAGCATAAGACAGTATGCGAACCCAATCAAACCATTCAGTACAACTGACCCAACCATTGCTAATGGTACATAGCGTTCCGGTCTCGGAAGTTCCTCACTCAAGTGAGCAGCGCTATCATAACCGAGGAACGCATACGTCGTCGATAAGAGACCTATGAGCCAGGCGATACCGTCGTTCGGCCAGCCAGTAAGATTGGAGGTCTCCACGAAGACGAAGTCCGCATCACGTTTGGGCGCCATTGCGGCGAGGACAGCAAAGACGACGACAAAGCCTATGATGTGCAGCAAACCTATATCTCTGTTAGCAACGCTTTTGCAATTGATGTGCCACAGTACCACAGGCTTCGTTGGTCAGCGACAATATCCGAATACCGAATATGTTGATCGCAAGAGCGTAAACAAGGACCAGATCATAAAACAGCATGCCTTGCCATCGCTGTGGAATATACGTGTCGACATTGTTCAGGGTAATGAGTGCCTGTAGTTGTAGTCCACCAGCAAAGGCAGCCGACGCTGTCAACACAATCTGGCCTCCAATTGAGATCCATGCTGTGAACCATGAAGAGATGCGTCGTCCTTTAGCTGGCGAGATGCGTGCGACCCAATGGTATTGTCCAGCCGCGCTGGGATACATACTAGCCATTTCAGCCAATGAAGTGACAATGGCCATGGATCCGAAGAAGGAGATTAGGCTAGAGCATCAGCATTTGTCTGGTGCGGCTCAACTAGGTTACTCACTAATTGTAGAAGAGGCAGGGGGCACCACCTGTTCAGGATCAGATCTCGGTTCTTGCAGCTTGGGTGATCTCGAGCCTTCTTACCGGACACTAGAGCTTGTGCTACGACAGTAGACAGCGCCTCCCATGTTGCCATCAGGCAGAGACAGAGTGAACCCAATGACCATACTGAAAACTTCTTCTCAAGCTCGGGTTCGGTATCACGGTTGGTAGTAGCTCTGCTTTCGATATGTTGCAAGTCGGGGTCATTCATACCAGCATATGGCTTATGTTCGTTACTCATCGTGCCGTGTTCTCAGTGGATGTGTCGATCTTATCACAGCTATATGTCGAGAACCAGGACATGAGGCCCTCGACGCCATATTCCCTTTCTATACTCAAGGCTTTGCTGTGGCGGACAAAAACCACGCTCTGGGTGCGAACGTGGCTATCATTTTAATCTGTTCAAGGCTTAATTGAGGATGCGGCTGTGTCTGATTGGACAGCGCGCGGCCTCTTGCATACCAGAACCACGAGGCCCAGGTTAGGCTTACTCAAAAAGGACCGAGTTGTGGGAGGGAGCTTCAAAAAGGCGTCGAAACCGCCGACCTAGAATTCAGTGGTGAGGCGGGTATATTCCGTGCGGAATCAGGGCCGTGTCAGTGGGGCAACTACGTCGAAACACAAGCAAACAATCTTGGTAGGTGCCTTAGGATGTCCTTGGGTGGTGACTTCCAAGCACGCAACTTCGAGTCACTCAAGTTGTAGTATGTCATGTTATTCTGTTAACTATAGCCTCTACAGAACAAGATCGCCAGGTGTACTACCGGTAGTGGCGCTTGTATCAGGCATACATATTCGCTCACAGAATTGCCCTGCCACAATAAGGTCGATACTATTCAGGGCGGTTACTATTTCGACATCGTTCTGCTTGATCCGTATTTAGCTTGTTTTGGAGTGTTCCTCTTCATAGAGACTATGCTTCCTTCGAGCAATGCTGGCTCAATGCCATGACTGACAGTATGGGTAGCTAGAGGAAAGTCCTCTCAAACCCCTACGACCTCATCCTGGAATTGGTTTAGGTCAAAAGCCATTTTTCCAATATTGTCATTAACTCTAGAATCCAAGAAGGGAGTGAGCTTCAGGTCAGGTCGTGCCGTTTGCGATGAATTTTGCTTCCTGCCGTTGTGCACTTCCCTAGAACAAGAGCCTATGCAAGGCCAGCAGCTGCTGTACTCATATGTACGGGAGAGCCACCAGCACAATCTGATACATTCAGGTTATAAGCCTATCCATTAGGCACCAGGTCCATGAAGCGTTCGGACAGTACACATTGGTGATCCAACAGAAGAGAAAAACAAGAGCCGGGACAATCTTGCCTCGGCAAAGCACCACCAATAACGATAGCTACAACGGTTATCGCGAAGAGCCTCTGGTAGGAGCAAAATATGATGTCGGCAGCAAGAACACTACCTATCGACAGTGCTGCCATGATGCCCCTTAGCCAGAGGTTGTTCATGTTGACGACGAAAGAGCTACTAGTAAGCGAAAACGCCATTGAGCAACTCCAAAACATACATTGGAAGGTGATGACAGCTATAACCGCGAGTGACTGAGACATCATCGCAAGCACCGACTTGCGCTGCGACATGCCGCGATAAAGCAGACCAAGTCCTGGGTTGATCCAGAAGACGAAGAACGCGGTCAACATTTGGTACACGTGACGGAACTCCAGTCTGCTATATTACGCGTTGACATCGATCTCGCATGGGTTGATGCCTGCAGGCACAGACGAGCCCTACTCACAATGCCTGCCGACATGATTGGAGTATCACGGTGTTCTCAGCGTGGCCAAATGATAAGACATCAGCCCAATTAGAACAAGTCATTCAACGCTTGGAACTTTGAGTCAGAGAAATCAAGCATTCTTGGCACAGGCTGTTAGCTGCCTTCTTAACCAGAAGTTGATCTCAGGCAACAGACAGCTCATGCACGAAGCAATCATAAGCTGATGACTGTTGCATCTGCTAAATGCGAAGTGTCGGATTCAGCAATCAGCTGTGTTGTCGGACCTCTATTGCCACGTCTTGGCCATTTACGGGGGACACGAAGTATAGCGACAATGATTCCACCCTGTGTCTATCAAAGAGTTTCGATGAGCAGCCTATAGCAGAGCAGGAATCTTGACTCATCAGCTTACGAGACAGGGCGATCGAACAAACTGGCTACCAGTGGATCATCCTCGCTAACACAATCACGTCAGCAAGGTCACTCAGAAACCATTTTGGTCAGAAGTTTTCGCTGCACTTCTCATCTACAGGATGGAATCTGCTTTATGTCTGCTCCCTTGAGTGTCACGCATTCAATGTCCAGACTCTTACCGCTCAGACGAAGTTTGCAGTGGACTGAGAGAGCAAGGACATTGGCTTATTATAATAATCAGTCTCCGTGACAACCTCTGCTGGAAAGACGAAATAATACATATGAGCTAACACAGAGCACACCGTCAGCGACGTGGACTTGATATGCAAACGACATGAATGCAACGTGATCTGTTTCCGAGGTACCAATCCGGGGAGAAAGCCAGCCCAGACGACCAAGATGCGCGGATGATTTCATTACCTATACACGGTGTCTTGAAACACCAACAGTAGCTACAGGCCATGGTGCTAGTGCAGAGTGTGACAAGTTGTCGATCTACAAGAGGTTGATATCTGAGGTTCTAGGGGTACGCCAATGCGACCGAAACGTGCCTTCCTCAGCCTAAACCTTAACGAACCAACTTACCTCGGTGACTTAATCTCGAATTGAGCAGGATGCTACTCGATCGAGCTGCATTTGCGGAGAACCCCTGCTGTTGAGTCCATTCGAGGCAAGGCTGTAAGCATTGCAACTTATGCATCGGACGGGTCAACTCCGAAAGACACCTCGAATACTGTTCACCCAGATATCGAGACCAATCGTGATCGTTGCAGGCTTGCTTGGCTTTTGGTCGACCATGTGAGTTAGTCTTCTCGAAGCCCTGACAAGCTCCTCCACACCTTAAGAATGTGACACTCAACAGTGCCGTGGTTGGTTCACTGTGATGGCGATGTATTGGCAAACGTTCTTGACCAATCATAGATCTTGCCAAGACGGTTGGGCGATGTCTTCTCGGGTCTTGGCAGGCGTGGCGTTGGCAGTGCGTGCGGGGAACGTGGAGGATGTGTATCCGGGACTGGTCGGGGGTCACTACACTCATACCGGTTTGGAGGCCGATGCAAAGGGCATGACGGTATGGATGAGCGATGTACAGAGTAAGATCTGCCCTTAAAGAGGAACGAAAGCAGAGCAGCCATCGTTTCCCAACTCTTTCGCCTTCACTGAGTAGCGGTTGCTCGACGACCTTGAAGAGTTCGCAGTTATTACTCCTTCTTCTCGAATCCGCCACCTGCCAATCATCATGGGTGTCGATCACGCTGTGAGGCCTGCACAAGAAGACCTGTCAGAAGTCTCTTCACTAGAGAAGGAACTCCGTTCCACTGAGGTCGAGGTTGGATATGCCTCTGAGGAAAAGCGCAAATACCTGCAGGCAGGGCTCAGCAATGATGATGCGGAATTTCTGCTCTCCTTGACACCCAAGCAACAGAGTGCTATATACCATAAGGTGGACGTAAGGGTGGTTCCGATGCTGGCGTACGTCATGTCTTTCTGTTTGGGCTACCACCTACTGATAGGATTGCAGATTGCTCTACCTCATCGCCCACTTAGATCGAGCCAATATTGGCAATGCCAAGATTGAGGGTATCGAGAGATCATTGGGCATGAGAGGGACGGATTATAACGTTGCAGTATGTCCACGAAGACCATGACATTGAGCCACTATTCTGACGATAGATACAGGTTGCTATATTTTTCATCCCTTACATCCTCGTAGGGACTATCCACCTCGACCATTGATCTGCCTGCTGATCCTTTGACAGTGCGAAGTGCCCTCTAACCTCATATTGGCAAAGTTCAAGAAGCCAAGCACATACATTGGCATCTTGGTGTGCGCCTGGGGCTTGATCATGACTTGCAGCGGTTTCGTACAAGGCTTGTGGTCTTTATGTTTTACTCGGTTCCTCATCGGCTTGTTCGAAGGTCAGTCCACGAGCTCGGTTGATAGCTTCCAGGCAACGAGCCTGTCTGTTTGGTGCATGATGCTAACTTACCTCCAGCTGGGTTCTTTCCAGGTTCGATGTGGCTGATTAGTCAGTGGTACGAGCCACGTCGTACAGGATTCCGAATGAGTCTTTTCTACTTTTCCAGTGCTGCTTCTGGAGCATTTTCTGGCTTGTTGGCTGCCGGAATTGCTCAGATGGATGGTCTTGGCGGTCTGGAAGGTTGGCGCTGGATGTAAGATGGCATGTCTATCAGCAAGACCTTTGCTAACATCTGCCAGTTTCATCATCGAGGGTATCGTATCGGTGATTATAGGTGCAGGCTGCTTCTTGCTGTTGCCTGATACACCTTCGTTGTCCAGCCGATGGCTGAAGCCGGATGAGATTCGCTTCTTGAACCTAAAGTTTCAAGCCACTCGTGGTTCGGCCAGAGACGAGCTGGCAGAGAAAAAGCCAAGGTCGACACCAAGAGGCTCGGTCGTGATGCAAGTCCTCACAGACAAGCATCTCTACCTCCAAGCCTTGGTCTTCATGTCGAATTCGGTCCCGAATTATGGTCTGAAATTCACGATGCCACAAATCATCCGGAACATGGGTTTCACATCGACTAATGCTCAGCTGTTGACGGCGCCACCATACTTCCTCGGAGCCTTCAGCGCGTTATTCTGCTCATTCCTTGCAGACAGATTCACCTGGCGCATGCCATTCATCGTCAGCTGTCAGTCATTGTTGCTGGTAGCATATTCGGTTCTGTTCGTCAAGGCACCCAAGATCTCCGACAACGTCCCTCTATGCTACGTCATGGTTGCCTTTGCCTGCATGGGAGTATACCCCATCATTCCGAACTGCACTGCTTGGACAGTCAACAATCTTGCTGGGTCAGAAAAAAGATCTATGGGTATAGGTACGTAATAGAGCGACAAGCTGCTTGTCAATGCTGTGTTTCGAGCAAATGCTGACAATTACTTAGGTCTAATGATTGCCATGGGCAATTGCGGTGGAATCGTCGGCAGCTTCATCTTCTTAGACAAAGAGAAGCCAAGATACCCATCGGGCTTCGGCTCGTCGCTCTCCTTCGCAGCGGCAGGTCTGGTGGCCGCCTTGACATTGGAGTTCTTTTACAACCGCCACAACAAGAAGTATGAGCATATGAGTGAAGAGGAAATCCGACAGAAATACAGCTCGGCCGAGCTTGAGAAGCTCGGAGATCGAAGCCCTCTCTTCAAGAATTCGCTGTAGAAGCGAGCCAGGTATCCTGTTGGTGTTATCGATGGAGAAGATCTTTCTATGCTGTCTCAAAGGATTGAGCAGTTGCCTTCGATAGGGAAACGAAATTCAGTGAATTTGCTCATAGCCTCTTGGTAGTGTGAGCGTTCTTAAAACTTAGGGCGGGACGATGACAGCAGGCGGCGTTTTTTCCCACTGTTACTGTCTACGAGCTGGTCAGGTGAAGACACAGCAAATGCGACGTCTCTGGAAGGAGCAAACTACAGCTGCCCGCACAAAACAGATAGAGCACTAAGATCGACCGTAGCGTCCTTCGTACGGTACTCCACAACGCTATATAGACGCAATTAAGCCGGACCTCTATCTCGGCCTGCGTTCCTCGTACAATTTCTTCTGACTTCACTTCCTCGCAACCACTATACAGCCTCAACATTTCACTCCTCGCAGATACCGAAATCATCACCGTCGCTGAAGTCTCTCCTCGACGCTTTCTGGCGTCAGCTACATCGTCGGACACTTCTGCTACACGTGTATGATCAAAGCCCGACTGCATAAGACTAGCATTGCCCTCCCATACGAGATCACGACCTCCGCACCGATGTTTCTGGGAACCTCGCTGTCGCTTCATTCATCACGACCATCAGATTCCAGTAGCGATCTTGCAACGTAACTGTACCAGGCACAAAAGCGGCTTGATATGGCTGCGACTGCATAAATGCTTGGAGTGAGTTGTGTAACAGCACCATATCGGAGCCTGGGTCAATTGAATTTCGTATCGATGAATGCTTTGAATGCTCGAGGACTTATCTGGGTAAGCACTCCAGCGGCAACGACGTCGTATGAGTGACCTACTTGATCGCCCGTCAGTGACTTGGTGATTGGAGTCCTCTGACATCTTTCATCAAGAACAACGAGAAGCTTTAGTAAGTGATCACAATTGTTGTCTTACTAATCAATGAAGAGACTCGACGAGAGGTGGTAGAAGAAGACACAAAATGGAAAGGAGTAAATGAGCAGGTACAGAACGAACATGCAGGTATTTATACATTGACTTGGGTCCGAACCTCCATGTCCATGACACATTGCTGCAAGGATCTCAAAATCACCTCGAAGGAACCAATCGTGTCGGAGCATGGGGGTAATCTGAGGGGTCAAATCTGCACAGGAGGACGATACGACAACCTGGCATGTCCCAGTGACCCCTCCTCCACATGACGGGGCTACCATAGTCCCAACCTTCTGACGTCCACCTTGGGTCCTGGTATGCCTGGTATACACTTCCGTTCAGCTCTTCAATCCCGTCACGTCCACAAAATCCCCTAACCCTCAGCCATATCCGTGCTTCGCTTTGCTTTGAGCTTGAGCTTGATCTAACAATGCCCAATTTGTAGCTCGTGTTATCAATTGGATGATGTCTTATTGCTAACCTTCCTCACGACGCAATAACTCAAGAGCTTCTCTTGCTCTCTTGCTGTGCTCATCAAAGGTTTCGCCATTGTCTTTCTGGGCTGAATCTGCAAACAAGTTGAGGAGCTGCTGTTGGATACGTGACTGTACTAATGAAACATTCGAAACTTGCTTGTCTTGTGTGGTTTGTTTGTGTTGACCTTCAAAGTCGACCTTGTCAGATGCACCCGTGCTGTCTCCTTGTTCCACATCCATGCCTGGTACTTCCTTTGCGGACAGCTCGGAGTAATTCTCCATATTCGAGCCTGGTCGTGAAAGCTGGTTCTCCTCCTGCAGACTCTCACAAACCTCCTCAAGATCGATACCACTTTGTATCTTCAATAGACGGCGAAAGGCGTTCCAGTTTCTTTGTTGCCACTCCTCCGAGTTTGCTTCATTTCTAATTATTTCAATCAAGGATCGTCTCGCTGCTGCTAGGTATTCTTGAGCCGACGCATCGATCTGTCGGCGAGGTAAAATGCCTTTCTCGAGTCGACTGGGGGTGCCCAGCGGATCGGGTACCATTTCGGTCCATAGAAGATGGTCATCGTGTCGAAATTTGTTTACAATCTCCTCCTCAAGCGCATCTAAGTCAGAACGGGCATTACAGGTGGTAGACATGATTGGGTATCTGTATCGTTGGGAAGACCGCGGTCGGATTGAGTTTGCTCAGAACAACAACAGGTTTGCAGGTTAACATCGGATACCCGTATTCTTTGATCTATTTGTGCCGCGTTAGCAACCCGACGCAGTCACAGATTTTCACCTGCAGCTGTCAGCCGACTTTCAGCCACCCGTACTGCTCACCTCCCTCATCTCAGTCGTCAAGCCCAGGCTCATATTTCCGCTGCGCAGTCAATCAGCCATCTTCCTCCAAGAGCCACTTCCCACAATATGTCACCTTTCAGAGGTTACAATTATCTCAAGATCGTGACCAACGGGTACCTGCTTCACGCCTGATGTCATCGTTACAGTAACTTGGCAGTAACGAGACCGGACCACAATAAAACAGCTCTGATTTTCGCAGTACTAAGAGGCTGACAAGACTAGCTGAGATAGAAGCTTGTGGAAAGCACGTACTGATCGACCAAAATATCCAGTCCGGCATTCAGGAGAGCTCCAACTAACGAGGCAAACAGCACGGTCTGATCAAAAGTTGCCTCGACGAATCAAACACGATTACAGGACTTTATAGCTATTCCCCTTCCTACAATGCAATGCTCTCACACATCGGCTTCGAGCACGAAGAAGCTTGTCGCGAGAACAATCTAGCATTGTTTGGCCCATAAATGCCATCTACAGAGCTTCACTCTTATCCCCGTATTTGGAAGCTCCAAGTCCTGAGGATTTCAGAAGACTGCAGAAGAATCAAGCCCGACTGCGATATCTCCCTGTCCAAAACAAAGAAGGACCTCAACATCATGGATACACATGGTACTTCTACAGCCCACTCATGGAGGAGGACACCTTTTGTTTTGACTTGTACAGCATGTCGAGTAGAGGAAAATTTTAGCCCATTAAAGAAGTGTCTGTCTTATTCTTCTACTTCTCTTAAGCTGCCAGGCTGACCTATTACATTCTGTGACGAGATTGGGATGTCGCTCAACAACTGCCAATCACCTGTTGGTGTGCCATATCTTGCATATCTACTGGTGACTCTAACGCATTCTAGCACCATTCGAGCTACGCTAAACCACAGGTGCTAACAGAAGAGAATGTCCTCGGATGCAGGCCATCAAGCGAACCATAATACATGGCTTCACCACTACCCAGATGAGCAGGACTCTAGCCTCATTTCCCATGCATACCCAGTGCCAGCACTGACAACCAGGAGATGTCTGTATCCGTCAAGCGCAGAACAGGACAGTGCAATCTCGAGCATTAACTACAATGTAGCTTCTGAAACTCCAATCTCATTTCCCTCTCCTGCTACGAATCCACCGAATTCGCCCTTCCTCGATACTGGCCAACCTATCCCTACGTTGCAAGACCGATACCCTCCCTCTCCAAACATAGCGTTCCGTCCACCCGACTCCACGCTCGACTCGTTTGTTGCCTCTCACGACTTATTCTACCAACCAGGGCTAGCAGAGGCAGAGCTGATACAAACTCCAGCTGACGAAAACCTGGCCTGGGGAAAGACGTACAAACAACGTCGCGGAGCTGCAGCTAGGCAGAACTTTCCAAGAGAATGTAGAGCATGTGGCAGACGATTTCTATATGCTGATTCAGCTGTCAAGCATTGGCAAAAACATCACACAGAGCTCGGTCCGCCGAACATCATATTGAGGTATGATGCACCAAAACGACCTATGCCAGGACAGCCTCGCAATGTCCAGTCAGCCAAAGCTCAGAATAGAAGAGGTGTTACGCCTGCAAATACGACTGACGAAGACCATACTGTCGTTGTGCCTCATGCAGAACGTGAAGTGCGACGACGCCCGAGGGCTACTCGAGCTGGGAAAAGACTGACGGTGCAGCAAGACAAGCGGTCTTCAGTAGATCTGAACGCGACTCTGCCCTCGCCGCTGTCTATACCGGACAAATCTATTCGATCCAATCCGCGAGGGTCGATCCCATCCTCGTCGATTAATTCACGTCCAATATCTGCTACCAGCCAGCACAATACAACTTCTTCTCGACAAACTCCCAATCCTTCAACTCCTGTCACGAATACCAGGCTCTATAATGCCTCACAGCCCTTGACAGTCCACGACGATCACAGGGCGACCTTCGCCAATCAACCTTCACTTCCTCTACTTACCGCTGCCAACGCTCCCGACAGAGCAGAGCAGGCTCTCATCGGCATCCGTACCATAGCCGCTCTCACATCACCAAGAGCTCGGCGCGAGGCCTTCAGCCATCTCGAAGATGAGTTCAAGAACATCCGGCCTCAATTGCCTCCACCTGAGGTCGAGCCTGCAATACCAGAGATGATACTAGATCCTGCTTTGGACGTTGACTTTGGACATGTTCATCAGCAGTGGGATCAGGTTGTTCGGGATTGTCGATGTGGGTATCACACCGAACACCGCGTGGCGGAGTGGACAGGTGGTTGGCGGCACACTCCCAGCAATGATGCTGCCTAATGGCTGTTTCGACAAGGATACTGCGACTCTGGGTTAGCATGCTGGTTCTCACCGGTTCTCTGTGTGGAATGCTGACGGCTTAGACTACTGGGACGAACGAATGGACGGCGAACAGCTATCGATTCTAGACAGAAAATGTGATATGTGAAGCGGCAGAATAAAAGAAACAGTGTGGCGATACGTGTACAGAAGGCTCCTACATATGCAGGATAAAGAAACGTACGGACTATATGTGAGAATTTGTGTATATCGATTGTGTTTTTCTTCCTCTTTTCTTCTTCTCTACTGCCTCGAATACTGTTACAATTCTCAACCTATAGGAATGCTCAATTCGTGCAGCCAAGCTCGTCATCGCTAGGTTCGCTTGAGTAATACTTCTCCCTCTTACAAGGAGGAGGAGGGATGCGCCGGGCAGCCATGTACCACTCGGTTTGTGCGGCGAACTCATCGCTATCGCAGTCGTCGCTGCTTGCCTCGCGAGCTTGGCAGCCGTAGCCTTCGTCAGCACGATATGTCAGAATCTTCCCGAAACGGAGGCTGCAGGGCTTCTGTCGTGGAGATGACTCATTGGAAGTGTCCAGGTGATCTTGCTGACTCAGTGTTTCAGCCTGCGAAGAGAATTTGCCTTGATACTTTATCAACTGGCACAAGGATTCAGAGCTTTGTTCGTCTTCGTTGAAATATTCATCCAGCGCATCCGTAGCATATTCACGCTGAAGCTGGAGCTCTCGAACAGTCGCTCTGACGCTTTCTCTGGCTCTGTCATTGTGTATTAGCAGATGCCGTGTGTGCTTTGGTGGAGGTGGAGAGCGCATTCGTCGGCTAGACGAGCGTGGCGCCTGTCGGAAGAGACAGGGTGGTGTGATGGGACGCTGACGACTTGGCATTGACTCTGGACCGGAGTCTGAGGAAACATAGTCGAGTTTAGGAAAGTAGTAACCACATTCGCCAGTGTAAGGCATCTTTGCTAGCAAGTCTTGCACTAGTACCCACCTGTAGTATTAGCTCTGGGTATAATTGCCTACTTCCGCAGCTTCGAAGTATAGCTTGTACGATGCCGCTAGCTTGGTGCTTGTATCTGTCTGATCAACTCTAATGGGAGACACAATCGATGATTCTTTTTAAAGATATTTTCCTAAGGCTGGATTAGTTGACCACAAGGACAAAGGACTCAACAAAGACAATGATGTTCGAAAAACATTTTGGTGTGCAGTATCTTCAATGAAACGTCCTGGCGGATGCCTTGCTTGCTCGTTGTTGTGATTGAGCAGCGATTCACCAGACGAAGGACGATATGCTTTCGACAGGGTGCGTATAACACATGAAGGGACAGGTCGGGGTCACCACGTTGGCCTGTACCATGTGAGACAAGGGCGACATGAACTGAATAGCTTTTTGGCAGAACAGCAGGTCAACATTGTCAGCCTAAAACTCAAGTGAGGGCTAGGTAGCCTGCTGTTAAGTCTTCCAGGTACATTCGATGTGCACGAAAGCTGTGTCTGCAACAGAAATAAAAAGAGTGGGAGGATTCTAGACAAGAATGCAGGAACGACCAAGAGATTGCGAGTGCACGTGACCCTGTTTTTTTCGTGTTCAACCACCCATTTCGAACCCCCGAACGCTTCAATTTGAGAGGCTTAGAGGGCAAAAGAAGGAACAAAAATAGCAAAAAAACGTTTAGCTTCTCTTTGATTGAGCGTGTCATCCTTAGTGCAGGGGCCATGCTAATCTTCTCTGTATCGTTTCAAATTGACCAAATGCCCGAAGGCAAAGCGCATTTTGAGAAGTAGACAAATATGTACCTATCTAGATGCACGTGACAGAATCAACACACGTGCGCTAAGTGACGTCGGCACCAAGATGCTCGTCTCTCGAGCTTGGTCCATGGGTTTTCAGGTGAACGCATTCGCTTGAGTAGCTTGCCCTCCGCGCAAGCAGTTCGAGAGGACAATAACGTTCCTTTGTAGAGCTCTATATTGCTCCCAAGCAACGCTGAGAACATGGTCACCGTCTATAAGATTCTCCCTGCTTACGTATTGCAGCAATAGCTAGTGGCCTTTTTCGCAATCCTTGTCCATGCCTAGTGAAACCACCCTGGACCATGGCTAAGCAAGTCTCGCGCTTCGAATCATTACACGCCAATGCTTCGCATCTAAAGCTTCCCACCCACCACCAGCTCTCTAATCTTGTCAATACTCGACTCTACCGCAGTCTTTGACATCGCTTCCCACTTCTTGATATTCTCTTGCTGCTTCTCTACTGGTGTGTCTTCTGCCATGAACCACTCGAATTGATACGTCATGTATAGTTGTCCGCCAGCACCATCAGAAATCGTATTTAGCACCTTCGTGCCATCTGATTGTATAAACTTGTGCGCCTGTTAATGCTGATTTCACCTATGTAGATGTTGTCAGAACGAAGGATCAGCTTACCTCGACTTTCATCTGTGGGAAAAAGACACAAGACTCCCTTGCTTTGCGATCATTTTCAATGAAGATGACTTCGCGCTTGACCACTTCGCGTCCATGCTCGTCCTTCTCTTCTGAGAGGACTTGGGTAGACTTGATGGCGTTGGGCACGAAGACCTGAGCTTGTCTTCTATACTTTTATCAGTCGAGATCTCGTTGCGATTCGTTGTTAAGTCGCGAATTGAGCATAACGAGCGGACGGACTTACACTTTGCGCTGTAGACCTTGCCATACTTGGTCTTTGGATAGGACCGGAGTTGCACCATCCGGATTGATAGGTGCAGTGTAGGCAAGGTATGCTGCTGGATGTGACATGGTTGTGGTTCCAGTGCTGCTCAGGAAATTTGTGTTGCTTCGAAATTATACCTATAGTCAGCTATATATATAATCGACATCATTGAGAAGTCACAAATTAGTTCAGTTACCACTTTTGGCCACGACCCCACCTCAATTTGTAACACTGCTGTATTGGACCTTGCTTCTACCATCCCCAGTCAAACGGCTCGCAAGTTTATAGATATTGATTGGTGTCTTCTGTGCAATACCCTGTTCGGACCGCTTATGAATATATCGGAAAAAGAAGATCGCGTCCACACCACATACACGGACGTGCATGCACTACGATATTGATGAGCAATTACTTCATCTATACGTATTTGACCTGCTTGTACTATTGCTCGGTGAAGTCTGGTTGACTATCCTGTACAGGATCACCACCCTCCGACTTTTTGACCTTTTTCTTTTTCTTCTTCTTTAGTGTATCTACAAGAGATTGTTCTGTTGTTTCATCCCCAGCCGGCTTTTTTGACTTCTTCTTTTTACGTTTTACAACTATACCCTCCTCATCCACGCCTTCCGCCACATGTGTTCGTGCTTCTTCTTCTTGTCTCGCCAATTCCAGTCTCTTTCTCTCTACCTCCTTCAGTGCAGCGGCCATCTCAGCTTCCTCAGCTAGGCGACGGTCAATGTCCAGTTGTAATGTACCTGATTGTTCCTGGTCACTCAGCGAGAATGCACCAAGATTGGAAGAATCGACAGAAAGAAAATTCCTGCGATTACCCGTGGCTGGTACGGATGAGGAGGGGGCTGTATTGGATAGATTGCGGGTCAACGATCGTGGCGCTCGGGTGTCGCTGAAAGAACTAGAAAGTTGATCTGATGTAGGATCAAGAGTCTCATCTGCTGCTATCATAAACTTTCTCTTCGGCTTCTTCTTTGGCTTTTCAGTCGATTGTCCGTGTTGCAGTTGGCTGGGATCGATGTTCAAGTCGACGATTGGTATTGAATCAACATCGAGATCACCTGCTTGCTTGCCAATGACGCTCGCTATCTCATCCGACGGAGTGTGTGCACCACCTGGAATATAGAATGGGTCGTCCCTGTTACGTGCGGCTCTTTCTGCCTTCTTTCGTGCTTGGGTCTGTGGTGAATCTGGGATTCCTTGATACGAGACTGCCTCGTCGTTATCGGCCTCTACGTATTGTGATCGAGTAGTCGGTCTTATCGATGCCAGGGCCGTAATCTCTCGCTCGAAGTAAAATTTATTGAAAGCGGTCGTCTGCTCGTCGTCGCCTTCTTCTTCGTCAATCAGCTGTGACGATCGGAGAATGGTATCTAGATTAGGGTTTAAGGGTGTGTCAAGGTCGAGGTCTTCAGGTATGGGAACTTTCTTCTGTGCTGCGGAGGACACCGGATTGAGGTCGCTGCCCTCAAAAAGTGCTGGAAGAGCATGAATCAAGAGTAGGGGCGCCTCAGGGGCATCGATAGTGGCCGCGGATAGTGCTTCCGATCCAAGTTTCAGTAGTTCGAGGAACTCGACACTTCTCTCCTGTACCTCGAGGTTAGGATGGGCTGATAGAGTGTCCAGAAAGCTTGTGATGCGTCCTAGCATCAACTCCAAGGTACCTTTGCGTGAGGCGTTCCACTCTTGATTTGCAGATTTGGTAATACTAGCGAAAACCTTAGGAATCGCCTGAACGATGGTGCCAATGGTGCTCGAAGCGAAATCTTTCGTCTGATCATGGACAAGCGAATTGATGACCTCGTAAGGCGAAGATAGATGGACAGCATACTCTCCACATAACCAAGCAGCGACCTCGAGGATCTCAGCTTGTCCATAGCCGTGGCTCGCGAAGTACATACCGCGACTGGACATGGTTGCCAGCCTCTCGGCAGCTCTAACAGCCTCTGGACGTAACTCCTTGACACGAACAGTGACATCCAAAAGTTGACTACCAATACGCGCCGGCAGGTTCAAAGTTCTGTCGTGTCTTCCAGTCAGTGTATCGTTTGTCTTACCTGGCAGTTGACGAATCAATTTCACTAGCGTCTCAATATACCATTCAAAGTCTGTAATATTAGCATACGTGTCAGCTGGACACATGTCCAGGATTTTGCTTATAATTTCATGTCGGTACTCGTTAGGCAAGGGCGAAGCCTCCGAGCCTCGCTTGTCAGGCACAAGCTTCTGCTCCAGGTCTGTGTTATCTTGATCCTCAACGGACCCGTTCAGAAAGGTAGACTTCTCCGGTGGCGCATTTGCCAACTGTTTCATCAATCTATCAACCACACTTTGCAAGTTGTCACTGCTGACCATACCTGTGGCAAGTTCCAAGGCCTGAAGCCTGATTGAGACGTCGGGATCGTCTAAACACCTCAGGATAACGTCTTGCTGCATAGCCACCAAAGCAGGGTGCGTGGTGACGATCTTATTGAAAGCCAATAGAGCGACATACTTGAGGTTTGGATCTCCCTCGAGGAGGATCATGCCTCTCAGTTTGGAGATACACAGATCGGCAACCTCCTCTACGTTCACACCAGCATCGGCTCCATCCAGAATGCCACCCTGAATGATGCCACTGACACACTCATACAGCAGCGACATAGCAGTAGTGCTTTGGATCAGATTGGTTAAAGGACGAACTAGCTTCTTCACCAATCTTGGCTCGAGAGGGGTCAAGACCGCAAAAAGCTTGATTATTTTGATGGCCATCCAGTTGTTCCCACCCTCTATCAATAGCTCAAACAATCGAGGTGCAAGGGGCAGAAAGTCCCGTGGACGCCTCCAGCCAAGCTCGCAAACGACATTGACCGTTGCTGCAGTCACACTCGAATCTTCGTTCTCGTCCAGCAAACGGTCTTTGATCTTGGGCCATGCCACTATAAGAGTCTCAGGGTATACCAGTGCTAGACGGTACAAAGTGGTGATAGTCTTCTTCCTCACAGCTGGCTGAGAATGTGTTAACCTTGGCAAAAGGTCCGGTAGAATAGAGAGAGCTAAAGAGGACGTGACAAGGTGCGGAAGCGTTATCAGAGGCAGTGACAGGGTAGGTATAGAAGGAGATGTCAAGTCTTTCTTCAGCAAGTTTTCGGCAAGCATGAGAACTTCAGTATCGGGTCGAAAGGTCTGCACAGCAGCAAGATAACCGACACGCTTCTGCATGTGCTTGGCAGCCGACATGACTTCCAGAATATTGAAAGCAGCCCATGTCATGTCGTAACCAAACATTTCCAGGTAGATTAGCTTTAACAAGGCGGTGGCTTTGACGTCCATGTCCTGAGATCTGATTTCCGTCCGACATTCTTTAATGGCACTTTGGATATACTCAGCTTCACGACCTTTGTGACCTCTCATTCCTCTTATGAGGTCGACCAGTGATTTTTCGAACATCTTGTAAGCCTTGGACAGTCAACTTGTCCTGCAACTGTGAGCACCGAGGATAGTCTTGTGGTATCAAGGCTTGGTTTCGAACAGCTTCCCTTCATGGCGCCGTTCCTTTTCATGTAGAGTGATAATGTGAAATCTGCACACGGTTGCACATTTTGCGAACCACACGCGGTATTCCTGTAGGATAGGCGTTGTAACGATACTACTGTATAGTAAAGAAGTTTATTGTCTGGTATACTACGGTTGATATATGGTTGGCTCGGGCTGGTCGCTAATGCCCGGAATTGCATACAAGGCTGCAGCTGAGCCTCGTTTGCTCCTCCCGCCGCCGGCCGTGACTTGACCCGCGTCGATTCCGTATCAACTCGAACTTGAGCGACCGAATAGTCGCTCCGGAGGTCAATTTGCAACATACGTTCTTACTGGAAGGCAGGTAGCCATAAATCTCGAACATGATATAGCAGATCCTCCCTAACATATAACGAAACCTGAATAGCCGGTCCGCAATACCTCGAGGCTCCAATCATGGCTACAGAAATGCAGCACTACAATCAGAATGACCCGGCTACCGTGCTAAGTCTTTCACAAAGAGCACCCTCTATGCTCTCCAAATCATCCCTGAAGCCAAAGTCGAAGCTGCTGTCCGTCGTATCTGCTATTGAAGAGCCTCTGGAATGGGCCGAGTTGGAACAAATCTTCCTCGCATGTCTCAGATCGAGCGACGATGAAACTGCCCACTTATGCCTCGAACGTCTAACGACCCGATTTGGTGCCGAAAACCACCGTGTGATGGCCCTGCGTGGATTGTACCAAGAAGCTGAAGCGAAGAATGAGGAGGACCTCCGGCGCATCCTTCAAGGCTACAACAAGATTGTGGATGCTGATCCCATGAATGTACCTATACACAAACGTCGGACAGCTTTAATACGCTCATTTGGAAAACAAACAGATGCTCTCGAATGTCTCGTCCAGTTTCTGGCTACCTTTCCTTCAGATGCTGAGGCTTGGTGTGAGCTGTCTGATCTGTACCAGACCCAGGGTATGAGCAGCCAAGCCATCTTTTGCCTCGAAGAAGCCCTCCTGATTGCCCCAAATGCCTGGAATTTGCATGCAAGGCTCGGGGAACTGAATTATCTGGCTAGTCAGTCTGGACAAGAAGGTGCTTCGGCAAATGAAAAGCACCTCACAGAAGCCGTTCGAAGATTTGCAAGAAGTGTGGAACTCTGTCAAGATTACCTGCGCGGGCTCTACGGCCTGAAAATAGCTACTGACAAGTTGTCCACTTCTCAACCAGCCAGGACGGCAGAGGCAATCTCCTCGGATGTGGTGCAGCAGCTCAACAACATGGCTGCCACAAAGTTGAAGCACATCATCAAGCAGGACTCGGCCCATGCTGTTGGTCCTAAGAAAGCGGAAATTATAGCTGCGCAAGCATTGCTGGACCAATCCAAGTCCTGAAGCCATCTATAGGATGATAATGCATTGGCAGAACGTGTCATTGACATGAAGTCGGCTACGGCCCGAAGCGCTCTCAGCCCAACATCAGGCATCATCCATGCTTCTGCAATTGAAATTTATGCAAGATCGAACATGTAATGGTGAACAGGTGTGTCTGCATAGAACTTCAGCACGAGGCTTGGAGGCTAGAGGGAAGTGGCAAAGAAACTCTTGGGGAATATGGCCGTGGTCAAGCCCCACAACCTCGAGAAGCCGGCATCGTTAGTAGTCGCTCAACGAGTGGGTATGCCCCAGCTTGGGTCAGACGTGCAGGTTGGGCAGCACTTCTCATGCCTCCTAGCGTGGCAGCATATAAGAGGTTGTATCTGCTCATAGGTGCCCAAGGGCTCCTTCTTTGGAAGGCTTCCTGACAGCCACTTACGATGCATGCTGGGATTTGTGTCGGACCTTCGGATCATTGAGCCTTGCTGAAGCTCTCGTTCGTGGCTGGATATTGCCATGTCCGAAGTCGAAACATACAATATCTCCATCACGGCGTATCAAAATGTTCAGAATAGTCTTAGAAACCCCTTAATGGTTCAAGTTGTGAATCGGCACAAGATGGTGGCTTGCGTGCCTGATTGACTCATAGACAGTGCTTGTTGGGAAATGTCACGACCAGAGCCGGCTGTTCTATATAGACGTAGCAGTCGTAACTTGCGACTGGCAAGTAAGCAGTATCAAATACCACAACACTGACAAGACTCGAACTTTGTGTCACGTCCGCACAACACACAAAACTTGAAGTCAGAGCACAATCTGTTATTCCTCACCAGCTCAATGTCCAGCAACAAAAGCAACAGACTGACCCTAAAGCGAGTGCGGAAAAAGCGCTGCAGATCCATCTGATTTGCTATCACCCTGTATCAAGTGCAGCGACCTGCGTACCACAAGGCGTCATATCACTTGTCGAGGAGCGACTTGACAGGTTGTTGTGATTACAGGCGCACATTCAACCTCTGGTCTCGTCTTGACTCTTCCCACTCATCATACGAAGGTGTTGTGTCCTACAACTTTGCTTCGCTGACAGGAGATCCGTGATACTTACCTGACGGCAGTGATTCAGTTTCCTCCTTCAACATCTGTCAAGAACGGTATCATTTCGGCACAACACTTGCCATTGACTGGAACAATCACCTTGTAGGCCCGATAAAATCACTGCATCTGGGTCACACCACAACGCATTATATCACCTCTTCGCATTTCGCTGCAGTCTCATCGAAGATCTCGTCTGGACTCACCGTGCGGTTCTACTCTGCAGCGTACAATCCTCTCGTCTCTTGATGTGAACTATCGTGCTAATACTGCAGCGACATCAATCCAGCAATCTTGAGCAGGGTGCTGCGCTCGTGTATCGGCATCGACAGTGTCCTGAGCTCGGTGCAATACAGCTGAACATTTAACGACCTCATTTATCTGCACTCGCACAAGAGCGTTGTCGTTGCGACGATCACCAGGCCTGAATACTCCGAGTGGGTTCCGCAATCAGACCATTTGAGGACTAGCTATCCAGCTCTGTGATCCACTGTTTATTAGGCCTTGGATCCCCTCGGGCACCCACTGGAGCATCTTCAAAGTGGCTCTCCCTTCTTTTGATCCTTGCCCAAACACATCCCACCTTTTAGGTGCGCATTACGCGCTTCACCGAAACTCATCACTTCTATCTTGCCTACCCTGGTTGGCAGGCTGATTCTCGCCAACCAACAGGAAGTCTGGTGTATGCGAAGAACGCTGTCGTAGAAGTTTACAGCGTCTTCGCACCACGTCGTTGACCCAAACCTCGTCGCAAGCGCTGGCTCACATTGGCTTCTCCTCCCTTTGCACGAGCGAACGATTGAGCCTCTTCCCACAAGAACCACAGTCCCTTTTGGAACGACTGCTGCGACCCTATACAGAACATCGAAAATCAGGATCTGCTCTTGCTGCAGGCGCTGCATCATTCCAGCAAGTTGCGGTCACTACATATCTTCAGCACACCACTGACTTATTACCAAGGTTATCACATCCTACCTAGCCACAGGGCAGGTCTGGATGCGATAATTCCTGGCTGACCACATTCCTGATGGGGTACGTTTCGCTTGAAGGAATGGCACGCATGATGCTGACCTCCCACAGTCCACGTCCACAGAGTATTCACATCAACATAGACAACCCGCAATACGCACCGTCACCCTCAGTCTCGGAGGAAGACGACGGCGTAGAGGTTTCACCAGAAGGAATCTCTCCCGACTACTCAGTCATTGGCCTACATGGTCAAACCGCCAGTCAAAGCAGCTCCTCTCAACACGGAGATTATCAAGTAATACCACCAGTGTTGGCATATCCTTCCGAAGTCGAGCAGGAGAGCGAACCCGACGCTCATCCATACCAGCATCAAATAGTTCACCATCCGGTCCACCGTAGTCGAAAACGACCTGACCCATCAAGAGAAAGCTCCATACAACGTGAGCCTCGAAGGGTGGTGCAGCTTCAAAGCGCTCACCACCCAAAACGCAGCAGATCGCACCACCATCAGCATCCCGAATCAGTTGCTGATGAGACAGATTCGACCGAAGCTTTTCTCCAACAACCAGATCGACCAGAATACGTCTACAGGATGCCGCGTGACCAGCAATATCATGGCCAAGCCGGCTACAGCCACAGCAGCTCGTCTGGCTCATATAGCTATCCTGCTGTCCCACATCAATCACACCAAATAGTCCATTATGCACCACCTGGCGCTCCACAACCTATGCTTGCATATCAACACCCTCAGATGCCTGCGCCTTATGCTTACCCTCCACAACCTCAACCTCATCCTCAACACCAGGGTCCACCTCCTCAGCCTCATCCTTATGGGGCCCCTGTCAATACACATTTAGGTCATGTCACCTCACCATACTCGGCCTCGCCATACGGATCTCCGAATGTCGTCCAATATCAATCGCCACAAAGCTACTTTCCTCCCCAGGGTTTCCCTCCTTATGCGCAAAACCCCTACTTCATGCAACAAATGCAACAGATGCAGCAATTTCAGGGCATGTACCCTCCTATGCCCCCCCATATGCACTACACGCCTCCTCCGAGAGATTCCCCACAGCCTGCCGTGGCTTCTCCTGCGCCTGCTGAGCCTAAGTCCCAGATTGACGAAGCCGCCATCATGGCAAGGTTCGAGCAACTGCTGCTGGCAGAGCGTGCGGACAGAGATAAGAAAGAAGACGAGCGTCAGAAATCAATACAATCTGCCGAAGACAGAGCAGCAGCCATGGCGCAGGCTGACAAGGATCGCCGTGAAGATGAAAGACGTATAAGAGAGCAGGCGATCAAAGACGCCGAGGAGGAAGCTGCACGCACGCGCAAGTTGCTACAAGAACGCGCCGAGGAAGAGAAGAGAATTAGACAAGATGCACTTCGAGCTGCGGAAGAGGAGGCTGTTGCTGCCAGAAAGCGTGAAGAGGCCCGAAGACTAGAAGAGGCCAGGATTAGAGAAGAGGCGAAAAGGGATGCCCTTGAAGCAGAAAAGAAGCGCATCGCGGCAGAGGCCGAACGCAAAGCATATGAGGCAAAGATCCGTCAAGAAGCTGCTGAGGCTGCTTTGGCTGCCGCTGCCGCAGATCAAAAAGCCAAAAAGGAAACGGCCGACCGTGAAGCTAAAATCGCCAGCGATGCCGCGGAAGCCGCAAAGAATGCGGCGGAGAAACAGGCGAAAGAAATAGCTGATGCGGCGGAGAAAGCAGCCAAGGAAGCTGCCGATGCTGCCGAGAAGGAGGCCAAGAAAGCAAAGGAAGAGCACGAGGCAAAGCTGAAAGAAGCCGAAGAAGCTGCCGCTGCCGCCAAAAAAGAAGCGGAGGCTGCTGAGGCCAAGGCTGCAGCCAACGCTCCACCAGAGAGGAAGGCCCCAATACGTTTCAAGGATGCCCTCAACAGAAGCTACAATTTCCCATGGGAACGGTGTCACAAGTGGGACGACATGGAAGGCCTCATACACCAAGCTTTTGCTCATATCGACCGGATCGGTCCACACGTCATGCAGGGAAGGTACGATCTCATTGGTCCAGACAAGGAAATCATCATGGCTGAGTACTGGGAAGACACTGTTCAGCCCGGTATGACTATCACCATGATGCTATGGCCGATACCAGAACCCGAACCAGAGCCTGAACCTATGTTACCTGATCCCGAACCCATACCTCCACCCTTTGACTCGGACATCATTGACCTCGACGCTTTACTAGGTGGTACAGGACCAACTGTGAAGAAATCAAAGAGCAAGGACAAAGCCAGCGCCGCGAAGAAGCGGCCAGGTGGATTTGCCTCCTGGATGTTAGGAGCAAATGCCGCCCCAAGGGGCCGACCGGCGTTAAAAGGTGATAAAAAGCCTGAAGCAGCCGCTGTTCATCAGCACGGTGCCGCCGAGCAAGGCGCATGCATCGTTATGTGAGCTCGGACTGAATGAATCGAAATTTTCTAGACATCAACAATACCACTCGGAAGAGGAGAGAAAATGGTAATGGTACACAACAAGAGACGGATACGATATCACTGGGAGGCAATTGCACATGTACGATTTTGCAGCAACTCATGCGACTCAGGGTATTCCTAGTTTCTTGAACAACGACAACGTCAGTGGCTAAACTGGCATTACGATGGACGACCACTCAACTACCAGTATTTCTCGACCGAACGAGCGATAAGGCGGTGTTCTGACGAATTTTGATTTTCTTGGTCGAGCCTACATAGGCTGTTTCAGGGGGCATGGCTTTATCCTCCCGGGTCACCCGGGATTGGTTTTTCATGCCTCGAGGGGATGAGATTTGAAGTGGACAACTAATGAGCATTTACGTTTTGACGATTTTGGCGATTTTGGTGATTTTGACGATGTTTTAGCAAGCGTTTGCGTTTGGACATGTGGGCAACAAAATGTTAAGAAACGCGTTTATGATGAGACAAGACAGACGATAGAGAGGTGTGTTTCGGCGCGCAAGCATTTTGTTGTTGGTTAGAAGCTGGAGTCTTCTCAAATATCATTGTCAATTTGAATGATACCCCTTGTTTACTCGAGCTAGTTTGGGTATTTAGGACTGACTCGGTGGACTTTTGATGAGATGCTCGAAGGCTTGTATGGTTAGCAGAGATGTGGAAAAGTTCGAGTCGTTGTCAATTCGCTCTGTGGTCCTTGTCTGGTCTGGTACCGCGCAGGGAGTTCGAGCTTCGCGCTCTAGTCCATTCATGTAATATGTATTTCGACAATCTGCAGCACACGAAATCTCTTTGAACTTCATGCTTGTGTACCGTGGTTGCGCCATGCCACTGGGCAGGCCCAACGAGCTCACAAAAACGGGATCAGCTTCGCAGCTTCTCTTGATCGAATGAAAGAGGTAGTAGTTCCAAAAGTGTGACCAACTCAAGAAATTCCTGCCAGCAGCAAGAGCTCGCGTGTGGTAGAGTGGCAGATGCTGACAGGCCATTTAAATTACTCACAATTACGCAGATTATGTTTGTTGTATCGCTGACAGGAGCTACCCGTCATGTCTGGCAAGTGCCTAGCACTCTCGCCCTAGCAGCCCATCGCGTAAATCTTTTGACTACCACTTTTCTCGACATTTCAACACTTCTGACAGGCCTGATCTCGTTGTTCAAGCACACAAACGTTTCAACCAAGATCAACAGTGTGACTTGTTAAAATCTGCCTGTTGGTAGCATGCTGACGCGAAGAGTCGACTTGATGCGCTTTTGCATACATCCTTATCTCTCCTAATAAGATCGTCACTCCTTCGGCGCACGACATGTTTCTGGCCATCACAGTAAGCTCAAGCGTAACCTGTGCGTCGAATATCAGCGGCGGTTGAACACTAATCGGGCATCCGATACCTCCCGCCTACAGATCTATTTGCAGTCGTTACGGATCGGAATAAGGTTGGACAACGACTGCGCGTGCATAATGTCCATAAGAGTCTTGGTTAGTGACCATCCTCATAGAACACTCGCACTTGCCACCGAGAGCCATGTGCTCTTATTCAAGCACGCACACACAGGTCCAAACTTGGGTGTTTCCAGATCTTTGACTGCGTCTAGTACAGTCCCGAAGGACCGGAAAAATGAAGCGCCACGATGTATGGTCGAATTCCTGCAGAAGTCTGCAGTAGAACTTAAGGGTTATCGGACTTTGACGACTGCCAAAGGCACTCTTGGACTCATAACATTGGGAGACGATGTATTTGTCTGTGTTGCGACTGGAAGTCGAGAGGTAGCTACTGTTCGACCAGGCGAGACGGTCCAACAAATAGTCGCGGTAGAGTTTTACTGTCTCAACAGATCAGACTACGACCACGCCGGCGGCTATGGTGCAGGTTACAGGGACGGCTATCGTGAGCCTAATCCTTATTCAAATACCTTGTTCGAGGATGAGCACAGCTACGAGTCAAGCGAAACAATTGCTGAACATCCCTTCATGGCGTTGAAGAAGATACTGAGCAGTGGTTCGTTCTACTATAGCTACAACTTTGACTTGACCAGGAGACTGCAGGATCGAGCTGATGCAGATACAGCAGTAGATATCGCAAGTTTGGACGAAGGCCTTCTGTGGAACAGCTACATGATCAACCCACTACTATCGTTCCGTAGTCGGCTCACAGACGAGGAAAGAGGAGCGCTAGACCACTCGTCACTTCTGACCAGCGTCATACGTGGCTATGTCGGCACCCTTACAGTACCACAAAGTGCGAATCCAATCAGATCGGTAAAGTCAAACTACCCTGCCACCTTGACTCTCATATCGCGACTATCCTCAAGGCGAGCAGGTACAAGGTTCAACGCAAGAGGCGTCGATGATGATGGAAATGTTGCCAATTTCGTGGAGACCGAGACGATATTTTGGTCACCAACTGGCATCTGTTTCTCTTATGTCCAGGTTCGGGGTTCCATTCCTATCTTTTGGGAGTCGTCCTCCACGTTGATTCCAGGACAGCAGAAAATCCAGATCACAAGAAGCCCAGAGGCTACTCAATTGAGCTTCGACAGGCACTTCGACAACCTCATACATCGCTATGGAATCGTTCATGTGGTCAACTTACTCAGCGAAACCAAGCCTGGAGAAGTTGAGCTGACAGAGCGTTACAATCTTCACATGACTAGAAATGCAAAGATGAAGCTCGAAATAGAGGATAAGCCTGAAGGTGCAAGATCTGACCTTATTCGCAAGACGGAGTTCGACTTTCACGAAATTTCAAGAGTAGCTGGTGGTTATGATGGCGCGAAGCAAATCAAGCCGCTCATTTCAGAAAGTGCTGAATCCTTTCTCTATTTTTTAACACAAGAAATCGAGGACGAAGTCAATGACGCCGCAAACAAGGGGCAAATACACAAGAAGATTTACAGACCTGTAATGGTCATGCAGCAAACAGGTATCTTCAGAACAAATTGTCTTGATTGCCTGGATCGCACGAATCTGGTGCAAGGAATTATCTCTCAAACAGCACTAGAACTCTTTCTTGAGCATCGTGGAGAGATTGCTCACAGTTCCAACTTATCAGTGTTCTGGATGCGGCATAGTTCGTTATGGGCGGACAATGGTGATGCGCTCTCGAAGATCTACGCCGGTACTGGTGCATTGAAATCAAGCTTTACCCGCCACGGCAAGATGAGCCTAGGAGGTTTGATGGCTGATGCGAGGAAATCAGCGACCAGGCTATATGTCAATCACTTTGAGGACAAGGGCAGACAGAACACCACCGACCTCCTTCTTGGTCGTCTTGTGGGTCAAGAAGAAGTGGAATTGTTCGATCCAGTCAGCGACTGGGTACAGGAACGCCTGAGATCAAGAGCTAATGACTTCGAGTCTTCAGAAGTAATCCGTTTATGGGTAGGTACATACAATCTAAACGGCAAGATGCTACGTGATGCATCGGAACTACGCAAATGGCTCGATGTCCGCAAAGGCGAAGGATTCGAGATTGTTGTGGTTGGCTTTCAAGAGATTGTTGAGCTCTCACCTCAGCAGATCATGAACACGGATCCGGCACGACGCACAGTATGGGAGCAAGCAGTCAAGGCAACAATCAACGAGACGTCTTCGGAAAAAGCGGATGAACAATATATCCTTCTTCGAAGTGGCCAGCTTGTAGGGGCAGCATTAATGGTCTTCGTCAAGAGCTCCGTGCTCTCGAAAATCAAGAATGTCGAAGGAGCGATCAAGAAGACCGGTGTGAGTGGACTGGCAGGAAATAAAGGCGCAGTAGCGATTCGAATGGAAATTCAAGGCAGCTCTGTCTGTTTTGTCACTGCTCACTTGGCAGCAGGTTTTGGAAACTACGACGAAAGGAACCGAGATTATCAGACCATCATAACAGGTCTACGATTTCAACGCGATCGCAAGATTGAGGATCACGAGGTAGTGATTTGGCTTGGCGATTTCAATTATCGAATTGGAACGAGACCGGAGTATGCTCGAGATCTGATCGATACGTATAGGCAGGCGAATGGTCAGGGCCTGAAAGCAGTAAATGCCTTACATGATTTGTATAAGGACGATCAGCTGAATATCCAGATGGTGGCAGGCCAAACATTTCCCTTCTACCAGGAAGGCGCGATCAAATTCTTACCCACCTACAAATTCGATCTTGGTAACGACAATTACGATACTAGCGAGAAAGCAAGAATTCCAGCTTGGACGGATCGGATCCTATACAAGATTGACCCGACGAAAGGAACAGATATGAGACAGACAGAGTATACCAGTGTTATGAACCTCAGGTTCAGCGATCATCGTCCTGTATACTCGACTTTTAATGTCCAGGTTAGGGTCGTAGACGAGCAGAAGAAAGGTGAAATCCTGAAAGAGCTTTATGCGAAGCGTTACCGCCAGCTGAGAGAAGATATTGAAGACGATGAGAGTGACAGTGATGCCGATGACTTGGTAGGATACCAAAGTATTGCGCCTGGATTGCCGCCTGCAAGCAGTGATAGGAGAAAGTGGTGGCTAGATGGAGATAAGCCGGTGGCGAGCAAGGTCGTCCCTCCGGAAGAAGGAATGAAACTCAATCCAGACAGAAATGGAAACCCCTGGCGTGAAGGTGGTGAAGACGATTGGGTCCTGGTAGAAGAACTAGAAACGAAGGAGAGGAACAAGAAAGAAGCCAAGTCGAAGCCAGAACCGCCAGCGCCGAGAAAGGCCAAGATTCCTCCTTCTGTGTCTATCGTCAGTAACGACACTAACGAGGAGAGAAACAAGACGCCTCCTCCCAAGCCACCTGCACCGAGAGGTTCAAGCAGCAGGGCAGCAACACTAACTCAAAGCTCGAACATGGCAGGTGCGTGGCCACAATCTCGCAATGTAAGCACTACCAGTGCATTCCAGCAACGACATTCAGTTCCACCACGCGATGGTGATACCCAGAATGTAGCTCCGTCCGCAATTCTTGATGACGATAACGATGTACCTACCGATCTACCTCGACCCCTAATTTCACGAACAGCCTCTCAAGCGTCAACAGCATCGGTCAGCTCATCAGCAAAAATCCCCTCAAGAGCCGCATCGCTATCCAAAAGCAGCGCAGTCCCTCCTCGTCGACCCATAAAACCATCAGCACTGTCCTCACAGCCAACCAGCTCAAGCGTCGCCAGCACAAGCAGCAACAACACCGAAAGCCCACGCGTGAGAGCAATCTCACCAAGAGCAGAACCAGACCTCGAAACCGCTTCGCCAACTCCGTCGCTACGAAGTCAACTGACATACACAAGCGCAAACAGCAATCATCCTCCACCGCCCATGAAACCAACACGTCTCTCCTCGATCAGATTACCCTCCTCCACAACAAGTGGTGCTTATCCATCTTCTACAAACGATGAATTAACAGACAGCGCAACTCCTCCACCCTTACCAAGACGAACAAACACCTCTGCGTCGATGTCAAGCACCAACACAAGCACTTCTGGACCACCACTACCACCAAGGAGAGGCGCTGGAACACCAGTCGGCGAGATAGAAAGTGCTAGACAGAGTAGGGATTTACTTGCAGACGATGGAAACGAGGAAGGTGGAAGCAACAAAGCCTATTGGAGGCCGCTCTTGCCGAACAGATGATTGTTCTGCCTGCAACACTCTGGTTGCTAATCATATACTTCGTAATAATCCAATAAACCAATAATCCAACATGAGAAGCTCGAAAACTGCTGTTGCTCTCATATATGCCCAATCAGGCACGCAAATTCCCAGCGCTCAAACGAAAATATTCAATCGCTCACTGACTCGCTTGCTCTCTACCGCGAAAAACCAAAGCTCGTCACAAAATGCTTTGCGCCAATAAACAACCGCACCCCTCTTAATCCCGCCTCAACCCAAAAACACTCATCCGCATTCCACCCTTCTTCCCAGCCCCAACACCTCTAGCACCCCTATTCGTACCAAAAGCATTATCTCTCATCTCCCGTCTTTCCATCTCCTCAACACGCTCCCTGTAGCTCATCATGCCGACGTTCTTGATTTTGCTCGGTGCAGAGCCCGTTTGCATCTTCGTCTTGTATGGTGCTGGGGTGAGACCTGTTTCGATGAGGGATTCGTCCTCTTCGTCCTCGTCCTCGTTTGGCTCATTAATAGCACGAGGAGTGTTGTTCTCCTGGTCTTCCTGTTCGGTGGTGGTGTCGTTGGACATGATGGTGTCGTCCCATCCGTTCGTGTTTGCGTTGCCGACCGCGTAGCTTTTCTGTAGAAGTTCTAATGTACGTCTTGCTGGAGTGTCTTCGCCGAGGTTGTGGGTTGCGTTGATGGATTTCCATGCTGCGGTGAGGGAGAGCTTGTCGGCTTCAGCTTGTTTCTTAACTGTGCTGACTTGTGGTGTTGTCATGGTGTCGGCTGTGGTTTTGACTGTAGCTGGACTAGCAGCAGCCTTTTGCTCGTTTCTCTGAACATGACCTGTGTAGGTGAAGATACTTGGTCTTGGTGCTGATCTGTGATCAGAGACGGTTTTCGTGCCTTCTCGTCGAATGGTGCCAAGGGACGTGCTCATCCGACTCTTGGTCTTCGAGCGCTTGACACTGCCGCTACCATCAGCGATGAGCATGCTTGGCTCCATGGACTTGCGTCTATTGCTCTTCGTTACGGACTGCAAGACGCGGTCGGTAGCACTCGGATTGAGCAGGTACTCAGCCTCGTCGACCCAAGTCTTACGTGCCTCGCAGTCTAGTGGCCAGGCCACGCCAACCACTTTGATGTCTGCTTGGCTGAGGCGTGCTTTCTCAAGAAGTCGAGGATTGCCATCCTTGAAAACGATATGTGTGATCTTCTCCGAAAAGTCCTTTACCGCTTTAGCTCCAAGGCTCGTCAGCAGGTCAGTGTAAATAGCACTAGCATCTGCGCCTTCTGAGGTGCGAACGTCGATACAGATAACGGCGTCAGAGAGTATGTTCATCGTAGACGACATTACTGGTGTGAGTGGCGTACGTGCCAAAGGCGTGCTTGCGACTCGAGCAACACTCTTGGCCGCGGAAGCTTTAGTAGCAGACATAAGGCGACTTGCACTTTGGACTGGTGTTGCCACTGGTTTTGAACGAGTAGAGGTAGCATCAGGCGAGCTTGCCGTTCGTGCCGATTTGATAGGCGTGAACCTGTCTTCATTTTCAGTCCGGTCTGGTTGTGCACCAAGCGAAAGAGGTCGTTTCCTTTTCTTGATTTGTAGCTTGAAAGGCGATTCTTGTCCTTCAGGCTTCAAGGGCACTTTGGAAACAACAGTGTGTAAACTGAACTTCCGTGGGATTGGCAGGTCAGGTGTGAAGGCTAGAGAATGTTTTGTGACGCCTGCTGGTGTTTGCTCGTTTTCGTTGATCGAACCTTGCTTGAATGAAGATTGGCCCACAATAGTCAGCTCATGCTCTGCTACGCTGACAGGCGAGGCTGCTGTTTTATCGACACTGGCAGTAGCCATCATTGTCAATTCGTGTTCATCGATGCTTACTGGCGAGCTTGCTAGCTCGGCCAGATCCTTAGCTTTGGTCGGTGCTGGAGTATTTGCAAACTGATCACCACCCATGATTGTCAACTCTCCTTCATGCAAAATGGAAGGGGATGGTTGTTCTAGCACTGTAGGTGTCACGATACCCGCCATCAGAGAAAGCTCGTTCTCGTGCAAAATGGCTGGAGATTGAGCTTGCTGGACCGAGGAAAGTAGAGGCAAGTCCTTATTTTGTGGCGAGGAGGCTGCATTCATTGGCTTGTGCTGCTGTAGTGGTACCGATACCGCAGTGGTAGGTGTCGTGGTCACTGACCGAACGAATTTTGCAATGACATCCTCTTTGGGTGATGGTGCTAACTCGTCGATGGAGGTGTCCATCTCATGGTAAGCTGTAGAGACTAGTGCTGGACGTGGAGCTGCCTCTCCTGCTGACTCTGGTAGAAGGATTGTTTCATCATCAGCGTCCGACATTGGCAGATCGTCCTGAATGTTCTCGGCATGTGACCGGGAGTTTGCCTCCAGGTCATGCATGCTCACGAAAGTGCTCTCGCAGTGGCTACCTGCACGACTTTCGGGAGTGCTCTGAACACTACTCAGAGCATCAACTACGTCCCTATCCGCAACCGGTTGAGGCGATCGAGGCTGTGATTGAAGGCCGCCGACAATGCTCATTGGTTTTGTGGGTGATGAAAGCATCTTCAAAGGACTTCTGACAGGCAAGACTGAATCGTCAAAGTCGACTTGCATATCATCTTCGGATAGTTTGTAGGTTCTCATTGGAGACATAGATGGTCGTTGGTGGCTAGAAACACTAACTTCTACTTCGCCATCATTCATCAACTGAGTGACCTCCATCTCATTAAGATCGAGCTCGTCGAATTGTAACTCTGTTTGCATGGCAATCGGAAGTGCATTGCTCCAGGCAAGGGTGTTTTTCAAGGGTGATGATAAGCCGGCCCTCTTTGGAGGACTACTAAAGAAGCTGCTTTTGGAAAGATTGTTCTTCTGTTGTGGCTTGATTGCAGAGTGAGCGAAGATGCGGGAAGGGTCGAAAGCGGTAGAGCGTTTGGGACTCTGGAGGAGGTTCGAAGTGGTACCTTGAGCGAGAGGCACTCGTTGGTCCCTCATTGTTGCGTGAGGAAAGAGGAGTTTTGCTGGCGAGTCAAGTCTTCTAGCTGGACTTGCCAAAGCATTGGCATTTTCGTTGAGGACCCTAGCTGGTGATGCGATGGCTGGAAACATCCTGGCAGGAGAGGCTGGTCGTCGCGCGGGGCTTGTCGAAAGCGCATCTTCGTGTAGCACGTTGTTTCTAGCTGATTGGGGAAGTAGTGGTTGTGTAAAGTCGAGCTTCTTAGGAGGAGAGAGTCTCTGTGCAACTGCTTCAACCACAGCATCGGTGTGTGGTCTCCTAGGTGACATGCTGAGGTCTCTGAGAGGAGTTTTACCGCCATTAAGTTCGTCTTCCGACCCCTCATCTGGGGTCGTAGCTCGTGCTAGCTGAGTGATTTTCTTAGGCGTGAGGACGCGCTGGATCTTCTTCCTAGGTTGTTCCTGCTCGTCGTCGGAGAGGTCCGGATTCGACCTCTTACTAGTTCTGGTAGCAACAGCTGGTTTTCGGACAGGCTTTGCACGTAATCCAGTTGATTTTTCGGTTGCTTTCGTGGTTTTCTTGGTGGCTCTTGTGATGGGTACATTTTCTTTATCCTCAGCAATAATATCTTGGAAAGTGACCTTCTTCCGCAAGACTGGCTTTGCGGGTATCGTTTCCTCTTGAGGTTCGACAGATTCAACAGGTTTCTCCTGCTTCGCTGCTGTCTTTGTTGTTCTTGTGCCTTTCACAGCAGGCTTCTCTTTTGCCTCAGAGCTCGCTGTAGTCGCAGTAGCTCGAGTGGTTCGAGTGATTCTTTTTGGTTTCTCTACCGGCTTTTCCGCAGTCTTCAATGGCTCCGTCTCTTTGGTTGTGGTTTCTGTCTTTCTTGGTCGACCGCGCGGTTTTGCAGAGCTTGTTGTAGAGCTGATTGGTAGAGGTAGCTTTTCGTCAGCGACAGACTTTTTGGCGCGTGTAGAGCGCGTCGAAGGCTTCTCTGCTGGCTCGATTGGCTTCGGGTTTTCCTTCTCAAGCTGGGTTACTTTGACTCGTCGTCGAGGTGCAGCTGCAAGTGGTGCAGGTGCTGGTATAGGTGCAGATGTAACTGCCGCTGCGGCTCGTGTTCGCACCATGGTGATGTGTTATTCTGTATTCATTTGCTGTCAGGGTTATGTAAGTCGAATGGACAAGAGCTACAGAAGCATGGAGAAAAGCTGACAAGGTAAATGGAGATGGAGACGCGCCAGGTTTGTTTGTATGGATATTTCCTGATTGATACTAGTGCGCAGCTGGCTTATCGATTGGAATGAAGCAACACTCTCTCATCCACCCGTCATCCTTCAAAGAGCACAATCATCGTGAATAAGATATATATATGTAACTCTATCTTCGTTGAACCCTTCTGCTTTCACACAGTCGAGAAATCTATCTGTCTATCAAGTCTGGTCATGATACATTGTTTTTACATTCTCCTCCACATTTCTAGCATGATACGTCATACAGAGGAGTGGTTGGAGGAGGAGTTCCAGCTCCAGCAAGGCCGAAAATGACTGCAGGTGCGACAGGCTGCTGATCTTGCAGAGTGAACCACCACGTGTTGACATTCTCGCTGAAGAGGCTGCAAGCAACGTCCTTGTAGTATGTTTCCGCGTTTTGAACACTTGCCACGGCTTGATTCTCAGTAGGTCCCGAGATTGGCCATCCTGTCTCTGTGATCCATACTGGCTTGCCTGCAGCAACAGCTGTGACAGCATCAAGATCAGCAAAGAAGATTGACTGAGCATTGTCGATGCTGTTGGACTTGGTATTCTCATAGTATGGATATGCTGCATCGTTGTCAGTTCATTCGTTCAATACACTTGTCTGAGAAATCTTACCATCAACACCAAGGAAGTCAACAGCGTAGATCAGCCCTTGTGTGTAAGAAGTATTGGTCCAGACATTGTATGTATCGACATGTCCAATCGGCTTGCCAAACAGGCTGTTGTCATGAACGGCAAGTCTGACCTGTGCGACATACTCGATGAGCGCATCAAGCGAAGCACCTGTTCCGGCATTGCTTGCGATCCCAATATCTGTTGTTCTGTATACGTCTTCCGATCCTACTGAGATGCCTACTACCAGATCTGTAAAGGCACTGCCATATTGAGCCACAGCTTGTCCCAGTTGTGTCACCTCGTTGTTGAATGTTTCTTGGCCTGCGCTAGCCCAAAGTCCGAGCAACAGTGAAGTGTTTGTGCTGATGGCGGCCGGAATCGCCTCAATCACACCACCTGTATCTCCTTGAATCATGGTGTACAACCGAGCAGATGTGAAGCTGTGTCCTGCCATGTTCTTGGCGCTGTTGAACTCTCTCTCGAAGTCTGCCTGTTTCTTAATTGTGCCATCACTGAAAGTGGCACCGTAGTTAAAGCCTTGCTCGGCCGCAAAGGCTGTAGCTGCCAAAGCAACAAGAGATGTGAACCGCATAGTATCGATTTGATTTTAATGTCCAAGAAAGTGAAAAAGAAGAAGCTGGGAGGATGTAATGTTTCCAAAAGACAGGCACAAGCGAGAATTTAAGAACAAATAAGCCTGGGACAAGCTCTCTCAAGACTTCGTGGATCTTGGCATAGCCTTCTTCGGCCCTCGTTCCTCGTGAGTTGACTATGTGCGTGACCCAAAATTGGAAGACAAATAAACAGCTCCATGGTCAGCGTTGGAACAACGTTTTCCCATTCGTGAGGTGTCAGTCTTGGTGGACAATGTACCGTCATCAGCCTGCCGTCTGGCGTCCCAACGAGAAAATAAAATAAAAACAGAAAACCCTCACCAGAGGGAAGCTTGTGGCAGTCCCATTCCTGCAGCGACGTCAGCGTATGGAGCGAGGCACCTGCACACCCATGAGCTATCTTCGTCATGCAAGCGGATGCAGGAACGGCAAGTGGAGCATCACTGCGGAAACGTGGATTTTTGTTCAAAGACTTTTGCAGTTCAAAGCACATATATAGATTCATGTACGAAATGAGGTTACAGCTGCCAGAACCGGTGATGGCAATGACGATAAGCACTTACGCAGTGCTGAAGTCCAAATACTACGAAAAGTTGGCAATATCGTCTTTAAGCTGGCCTGGTTCCCGGAGTCATTCGAGAGCATCGTCTTGCTGTTATCTCTCACTGGTCATCCCCAAGCTAAACTCAGCCTTCTGATGTGTTCGCTCGTTCCCTTAATCGTCGACCCTCCATCAAGCCTCGCAGGCCTCTCTTTTGTAGGCCGATGACACTACTCAATTCACCGTTCCAGATTTGTCTGCTACTGTCCCTTCTGCCTCTAGGTCCTTCGTCAACTATCGGACTTTCGGTATCAGTCTGTGAAAAGGTCGTGCTGGTTGTTCCACTTGTAGCCGTACTGGTAGAATCACCCGAGCCGGTCCTACCGTGCCCACGTCGTTCGCCATATCTATTGCGATCATCAGACATGGTGCCAACGGCATCCCCAAGAAGACTTCCTCTTTGCAGACCAGGAGGAACAACCATCGTCGCCACACTTTCACGCCTCTCAAGTGCTTCCAATGTCCCATGGCCACTATAGCCATTGGCGCGTCCTCCTCCAGCAGCCATGGCGGCGGCATTAAATACAGCCGCTGCATTCCGTCCATCCAAAACCTCATGCAAGCGCTCTATGGTTGCTTCCAGAAGTCCATCGATTTGGTAGGGACGTGCTAGCTGTAGCAAAGAGCACAGCGTATGCACCGAGCAGAGAGGATCATTGACCGAAGGTAAGGCTGAGGTATACAGAAAATGCAGCATGAGCTTGATCGTGGAAACCATGTGAGGTAAGTAAAGCGCACGACCTCGAGCAGCTGCTGGGATCGAGTTCAATGAGGGTAGGTCTACTAGCGTTGTTTGAGTAGATCTACTATATGATCTTTCGTCGGTCGATGTGCCGCCGTTGGTATTTGTGCTTGGTGTGATCGTAAGAGCCGATATACGGCTTGCTGCACGCGAAGCCATCGTGGGTCTTAAGGTCGTAGCCTCTGATTCAGCGATGCCTTCATAGGATAACGCTGAGTCAAGCAAAAGCTGGTCGAAGAAAGCACCCCATCGTTGAGACAGAATTCTGGAGTTGCACGAAATTCGCTCTCCGTTCTGGGCAATTATGTCCATGTCGCATAGTTCGGTCACATAAAGTGCCGTATGACCAAGTTGTTCTGCAACGGCTGAAATCTTCCTTCCACCTGCACTCTTCGATGGCAGATTTTGCTGCAAGGAGGCAGGGATTGAAGGTGCTGACTTAGACACGTATGCAGACAACGGGCTTTTCTTTCGTGGGTTGTCATACAATCCATATGCTTCAAGCTCAACAAGACAAAAGTGTGCGAAATTTATTCTTCTGTGGTTGTAGTCGTCGACTAGGTTGCGTTTTCGATGGCCAAGTATGATATATGCATTTCGGCGGTTCCACAAGATTCCCCTGTTCCAGCTGCCTTGTCCGAAGACAGTTCCGGCTGTATCGATCATAGCCCACGTTAATGTCCTGAGGTCGAGCGCCCATAATGCATATTCGTGCTTCGATGAGGTCAAATATGTGCCACTAACCACGAAATGACCATTGATCACACCTCCATTGGGAAACCTGAGCCCGGGTGGTGATACTGACCCATTCATGGTTTTCTCCTCCAGCCTTCCATCAGGGGTCCGCACTTGCAGCTCCAACTTGACGTCGAGGAAGTTGTAATTCGAGTATATCAGCATAGGTGTTCCCGACTGCTGTGTTACCCCCTCATCTAACGTAGATCCTTGGCCAATATTTTGTACGTTGATCTCTGGCAATGCCGTGACCATGCTTTTGTACGCGCCACAATTTCGATCATAAGGTGTACTACTGGTCCATCTCAAATTTCGTAGGTTGAAAACGCTGATCTGCTGAATGTAATTGTTGTTGCTATCTTGTCCTCCAACGACGATCATTTCTGCTCCTCCTGTACCATCGATCTGCACACCGATCGTCCCGGAATGTGGATTTGCAGAAGGTGGATTGTGGTGAATGGCAGAGGTATGGGAGCTAGCTGATGCAAAGACAGCTGACGAAGGCAATATTGTGGCGCAATGAGCATATCTACCCTGTGGACTATCCCCGCCAGCAGGGTGTATCTGGGTCCACGTTCTAGTTGGGACATCATAAATGAATATATCGTTGCTCACAATCACCTCTGGCTGCGCTTCGGCATGCTCATTAGCAGGGGGGGATCTTTGGTGCGATGCTGGGGACATTCCTCCATAGCAGACCAGCTTTGTGTCGCCTAATGCGCACACACTATGGAAATAACGTGATGGAGGAATGTCTCCCGTGGTGTCAAGCTTCGTCCAGTGCTGTCTGATCAGGTCAAGTTCATACAAGCTCGAAGATAGGTGAGAGTTGGTCCTACTGTGGACACGCCCTCCAAAGACGTACAGCTTGTCACCAAGTATCGTCGTTGTTGCACCAACGAGTGGATAAGGCTCTTGGCCAGTGGTCCGGTGTATGTTGCAGACGAAGCCTGAAACATTCGCGGCAGCCACATTCTGTTGATGTGTAGGTGATGGACTAGTAGTAGCAGCGAGGCTACTTTGCGAGTGTGAGAGGCGTATCGAGCTCGCAGCACTCTCCGTCCCAGATTCGGAAGCAGTCAAACTCAACTGGCTCGTATTCATGGTGGTTTGCGGAATGACGACCTGAGATGGGACTTCCTTCTCACGACTTTGCGATGGTTTTGCGCCCAACTTCGTGGCATCTGCTTCAGTGGTGAAGGCTGCTGAAACAGGTAGCAGTATTTCAGGAAGTGAAGGGCAGTGACTCAGTACGGGGCTCTGAATCTGCTGAGGCGGGTCGTAAGGTGAGGAATACTTGGATATTATGATGGGTACATGTCGTGGCTTTCGTGGTGATATTGAGGATTTGACGATGGAGTTACGCTCGTGAAATGATAACGATAGTGGATTGCGTCCAGGATGTTCGAGAAGCACATGCTTTGACTTGTTGGTCGACTCAGGCTGAACTGAAGCGGAGGGTGATTTATTTACCCAGCGACCAAAAAAGGTTGCGAATCGTTTCGAGTCCTGGTCTAGCGATACTGCGGAGTCGGGAGCGTTGAGGTCGAAGGGGACGTGAATTGGTGAGGGGTTGCTGTCACGTTCGGAAGCAGGAGACGGTATAGCAACATCAATGTTTGCACTTCTTCTTCTGAAACGATCCATGTTGAGTTAGCGAAACTTTCGAGTCTTACAGCGAATCTTGAAAGGAGGAATGAGTGGGAACAGAGGAGGTACACACAGGTATATCAGTCAATGTCCTCTCACAAAGAATCACTACGTTGCCACAAAATCTGGTACGCGGACCACAAGCAACGGGATCAGGCAGGCAATATGTCAATCGTGATGGTCTCGAAACGACTTAGTTGATGGGTGGTGGAGGTGAAGTCTCGGAGGGAGACAAAGAATGTGTCGCTGCACGTATCGGGAGTGTGTACTGATGTGAATTCCAAGTGGAAATCATGTAAATGTCATACAAACTTCTCAAGAAGTTTTACGAACTCTTGGTAGGAGTGCATAGTCCAAGCTCGACTTTGTCGAGTTCGAAGAATGCTGACTTCGAGGTCTGGAAAGATAGAAATGTTGTGGAACGGCAGTGGCTTGCATGGGTTAGCTGGACCTGCATGTGGGCTGCTCCTGCCAAGGACGAGCGCATCCAGATTCACTTTGCACAGCAGCGCGTACAATGTTCCTGGAGGTCACACGAAATCTTGCAACGATGCATGGAATTCGCGGTGATGATTTTGAGCTCTACGAAAACAGTCCAGTACAACGGTAACTCTAATTCGCCATGATGCGGCTAGTCACATAATTCAGCGCGTCGGGAGAACTCTTCATCGCGAACGCGCAGGGTAATCTCTTTGTGCAACGAATTGGATTTAGCTAAACACCGATATCCGCCTCTTGACTATTGAACTATTTGGGTATCGCGTTTATGCTGGAACAGATGTCTGCTCTTTTGGCAATGGGGTCACTCGCAGGTAGGGCTTGATGGCCTTGAACTGAGGGAACAACTCCTTTGCCTTGTCGTTGTTGATGCTTGGGTGGACAATCACATCATCGCCCGGAACCCAGTTGATTGGGGTAGTGACTTTGTGCTTGTCGCCAGTTTGAAGAGAGTCGACGATTCGCAGAACTTCGGCAGAGTTTCGGCCTGTGGAGGCTGGGTATGAGAGGATAGTTCGGATGGTCTTCTTTGGGTCGATAATAAAGACGGATCGGATGGTGAAGGCAATGCCCTTCTCGTCAACATTTGTAGCATCTTGTTGATCTAACATATCGTAGGCCAAAGCAACTTGTCTCTGCTTGTCACCAATGATTGGAAACTGCAGATCGCAACTGGAGATCTCGTTGATGTCTTTGATCCAGCCACCATGGCTCTCGATCGTGTTGGCCGACAAACCAATGAGCTTGACGCCTCGCTTCTTGAATTCAGGCTCTAGCTTTGCGAAGGCACCAAGCTCGGTCGTGCAGACAGGAGTGTAATCTTCTGGGTGGGAGAAAAGGACGACCCAGTTGTCGCCGATGAACTCATGGAAGTCGATAGGGCCTCTAGTAGTTTCAGCCTTGAAGTTTGGGGCAATGCTGCCCAGGCGCAGTCTGCACAAACATTAGCAATGTCGACTTAAGAGTCGATTTGATCACTTACGGTGCAGGTCCCTTGTCAGTCATGTTGGCTATTGTGTATACTATAGTGAGATGGAGAGTAGTTCTCTGAAAGAGTAGGCTGCGATGTTGCAAGACACAAATATGAACGGAAGGGGCGCTGCTTTGAAATGCTGATCAATGGCGTAGTACCACTACGAAATTTCTGTGCCCAGTCTGCTCGGAAAAGATTTCGTGATTTTGCACCACTCTTGTGCCCCTCCTCTTGCATAGCAACACATGAAAGTCTTGCCACGCTGCTATGTGTAGCCTCATGTGCTTGAGTTTATTTTGTGCACTTTCATCTTTTGCTACCGTCACCTTCAGTCGATAGGTACAGATTTCATAGTATTTATTGCCAATCGCTCTGACTCTCAATAGCTGAGCTACAGCTGTATTTTTTCTTCCTCATGTCTGTGCTGCTGCAAGCTGTTTACAGAATGCGTTCATCGCAACTGGGGAAAAGTGTTACTAGCGTCATGTCGCAATCTTACGCCAATCGCTAGCCGACGCTCGTCTCACCTTCCATTCTGACTCGACAGAACGACAACAGAAGCTGGAAGCTGGAAACAATATGGCCTTTAGCAAAATCCTGATCAGTGAATCTCTAACGTTGGCCTCGCGACAACTCTTCTTGAGTACAGCCATAAAGGTGCTGCTTTCTGGCCTACTTGATTAGTGGTTTGCTCAAGGGTCATACATACTCGTAGCGGACATGTTTTGAAAATACTCTATTCAGAGATCGGCCTGAGCAGCTGATCTATTCATCAAGCTTGACATCCATACATCGTGCTAGCTCCTTGCCTAGACCTCTATCCAGGCGAGCACGGCATCTGATAGCGAATTGTCCTGAACAAAGGCTCCCGCCTGCTTGCTCTGCACTGTCATATGGTCGAAGAGGTAGATTGTGCACCACGAAACCGAATCAATCTCCATGCTGAATCAATCAGCTGAAATTGCGTACCGTCAAGTCCCTTGAAATTACAGTAGCCATGCTCAATGTGCGATGGATGCGAGAGGCGGTAGTGCTGCGAACATGGTCGAGTTCCCTGCTGTGATCATCAAATTCCGGCTTGACCGGAAGTGTGTGACAAGAACCACGTCAACGCGAGCAGAGCTCTTGAGATTGAACGTCGTAGATGGTAGATTAACATGTAGACTCACAAGAGGTGATATGTGTTTCCAGGTTTTCCGGGAATGAGGTCCGATACTGTCGCAATGCAGGAGTGCACGACGTCAGAAGTCGTGAACTCGTTAATTTATCAGAATCCTCTTACACCTGTGCAGTAGTAATGAACCGAGACAGACAACACACGGTAAGAACATTTCGCTGCCATGGCTCTTGTCGTTCAAGGATACACGTTCCTCCAGCAGTATGCCGTTTCCTTCGTGCAAAATGTGCCGAAGAAGAATCAGAATGCTCTAAAGATGGGGGTCATATCCACTGCGCAGATAAACGCGGCAGCAGGTAAGCTCAATCAAGGGGACAATTGTGGAAGCAGATGCTGACCACGTGTGAAAGCCATCCACCCAGCTGAGACACATCCCGATGTTATTCTCTATGGCATCGCTTCGCGAACACTAGAATCTGCCAAGACTCACGCTAAGAAGTACAAGTTCCAGAAGGCGTTCGGGTCTTACCAGGAGCTACTCGACGATACTGAAGTGGACTTTGTATACATCAGTACACCCAATGGCCAGCACTATGAGTGGGCAAGTAAAGCGCTGAAGGCGGGCAAGCATGTTCTCTTAGAGAAACCATTTACTTCCAACGCTACGGAAGCTAAAAGACTCGTTGAGGAGGCGGACCAGGCTGGAAAGGTGCTCGAAGAAGCGTTCCACTGGCAATTCCACCCTGCAGCTCACAAATGGAGGAGTATTATAGACTCGGGTAGGTATGGTCAAGTGATTGCGACAGATGCAAAGATGACTGCCAGTAAGTTGTCCACCCACCTCTATTTGTCGAAAGAGCAGTCAGCTAATGTGTAACAAAGGTCCTGGTGTTCCTCATGGAGATATCAGGTGGCAATACGACCTCGCAGGTGGGAGCGCCATGGACGCAACATATGCGTTGAACTTCACGCGCTACGCACTCCGCGCCAAAACCCCAGAGAAAATACTGTCGTCCGTTGCTCGCCCCTACAACAAGGACGCACGAGTCGACGCCGCCATGTATACCAACGCACTCTTCAAAGACGGTCGTAACGGCAACACTGTCCACAGTCGCATCTATACCGATCTTGCTCGTAGCTGGGTAGGAGGCTTGATACCGAGAGTATGGGAGCTGCCGATGATCGAGGTGGATTGCGAAAAGGCAACGATATTCTTCTACAACGCGATGATGCCTCACCTATACCATTATATCGCCGTCACAGACAAAGCGACTGGGAAGACTGAGATTTTGAAGCAGTACTCTGGCGGTCCTCTCTGGGGCAATGTCCAGACGACCGGTGGAAAGGGCGGTAGCAGCCTCTGGAGCACGTACAGATATCAGATGGAGGCCTTTGTGATGAAATTGAAAGGCAAAGAGCCGCCGTGCTGGGTTGGAAACGAGGACTCGATTCAGCAGATGGAAACGATCGATGAAATGTACGAAATGAGCGGCCTTGGAGCAAGACTTGCTTCGAAACAGAGATGACGGATGCAAATACAATTCAATCAACCCGAACTTGGGGACCAAGCTCCTTCGGCCGTACTTGAGCGAGCCGTGGTGTCAGCGGGTCCAAAGTTGGACTTTCAAGCCCTCTTGAAGCTTCGTGGTCCAAAGACTATTCGGGCATAGCTTACCCCGAGTTGTGGGCTTGATTGGTCTCCATGACGAGTGCCTGGCGTCAGAAACGGGCTGAATCCAGTCCTCTTTCGCGAGTTCATACGAGTCATCAAGCGAAGTTCTTACACCCGTTAGGATCTCACAAGTATATAGACATGCCATCTGTTTGATGAGAGAGAAAGTAGAAAGTAGCAAGTCAAGCAACAACATCGGTTCGCTGAAATAGAAAGAGTTTCTTCCACTTTGTCATTAAAAGACCACTGCCCAACATGTGCGGACATAACAGAAGAAAGGCCTATGCTACCGAATGCGGTGCAGACAATCGAAGAGGATACGGCACATTGAGCCATTCAGGAGACATCTCAGCTATTGTTGGAGCACTTGGTAAGATGAAAATTAAGTCCACAGCACGACCGTATCATCAAGCTCCGACAACGACAAAGGCAGCGAGAAGCAGCAGCCAGAAGAACGGCGTGCTTTACGCCACTGATGTCGACTCGAGACAGGCGAGAGCCCAACAGCAGAACGATCTCACTTCCGAGCAACTGCCGTCGTACGACGAGGTCGTGGGCAGTCAAAACGTGCCTTCTTCGCAGACCACTCCTGCAGTGGTAGCGCTACCAAGCTCGAAGAATGAATCTATACTCACTCGTCTTGATGAATTTAGATTTGATCTTGAGCAATACAAGACTGGCGCACGTGGAGGAAAGTGGGTCGTGAAGCGGGCCGCGAAAGGGCTTGCGAAAGAGTTGTACTACCAGGAGATAGAGCAGCGACGAGGCATGAAGGGTTATCTCCAGTGTGGTGAACGGAAGCAGGTCAGACGAGACCTCAAGCCAGTGAAGCAGATGCTCAATGATGCTGTGTGGGAGGCTAGGAGGGAACGCAGGGGCTGGTGAGCGTCGTTACAACAGACCTGGCTCTAGTGTCGATCAGGACCGATCCGGTTGAACTTTCGCTTTCCTTGTTCATAGAATTAGCATACTGTACAATACAATGATTTTGAGTTGATATCGTGATGAACAGGTCTCAGATTGTTGAGCTTGAATTTTGATGTAACTTCATTGCTCCTATGAGCTAAGCAGTTATCGTTTGAAGTAGATGATCATCATCGTGACGGGAATACGAAAGTAAGGAAATGCTTACCAAGTTTGTGGATGCTGTAACGACAATACAGCCATATCTTGGCTGAAAAGCAAGGGTTCTGCTGGCGGGTGTCTGGCCGTCCTGGCTCGATGTACAACACCGCGTTGTCTTGTCGTTCATTGGAAAAGAGGCCTGCAGGCCTCTACACGAGGATCGGAGAAATGAAATCGGCAGTCCTAATACCCTGAGCGTGTGCCTTCGTTCTTCTCGACCAGATCGGCAACACCACGTTGTCTGCCGACTCTGACCTTGACCATCTTCTCTCCGTTTGTGTTCGTTTCAGCTTTCTTACCAGCGCTGCCTACTGCATCGCCCTCATCTTGGTCGTCGACCTCGGGAATGTCTTTGATCTGCATGTCTTTCAGGTCCATCTTCATCGCATAAGCATTTTCACCATCAGCATAGTATTTTTCCTCCGTCTTCTCGACCGTAAAGCCCAGAGTGTCCCGGTAGAGGTGAAGAGCTGCACTGTTGGATACACGGACATGTAGACTGACGTAATCTGCGCCAAAGACTTCAGCCATAGCACGTTGGCTGTTTCGCATGAGCTTCTCTGCTATTCCTAATCTTCTGTGCGTCCGCATCACACTGAGACTTGTAATGTGGCCATGTTGGATATTGTCAGAGGGGTCTTCCTCCATTTTCGCAAGGACGTAGCCAACAACTTTAGGGTATGCTGTTGGTTTTGCTGTGCGCACGACTGCCACGAAAGACAGTTGAGGCCATGTTAGAGCGTGGTAGAGGTAGTATTTCAGAAAATAATTCTCTGGCAAATTCGTCAGGTTACATTGCTGTATCGATGGTAGGAGAGATATGTGGGACGGGTAAGATGACACTGGTACTATGTCAACCATCTTATCGAGGTGTATGAGCTTCTAGACTGGCAAGGTAGAGATCTTGAGGATTTGCTTGCGGAGTCTGTGTGAGCACGAACGAGAAAGAGGATGACCGAACATGAGCCGTTTGATGCTTGACATTTTAGTACTAGCTTGAGCAGCACATCTCTTGGCAAAAAAGGTTCACGTTGCAGATTTCTTCTCAAAGGTTCAGACGCAAAAATTGCAAAACAATCAACAGCGAGGATTCGCTGGTTGTCTCCAACCCAACTACTAACTCGTCGGCGCCTGGCTTAAGTACGGGTGATCGAACGGGAACCCCTGTTTTCCAAACCCTATGGTCGATTGCGAAGAAAATCTCATTTCTTTTAAAATATAAACCTTTTACGGAGATGTAGCAAGTCACGTCCAATATACTCTTGGTCATATCGATATAGCCTACCTTATACATGGAAGGTCAAATTCCGTTAACTAGGGGCGTTCCTCAAGCTATTGACATTTTCATGCCACCATTAGCGCAGACAACACTACCGGTTGTCCATCTAGACTCATCCGAACACAACATACCGATCGTGGCGGCAATATCGTCGGTGAATGCAGGTCTCATCCCGCCCATTCCTTGTTTCACGATCTTGTCGAACTCTTGTGGATCACCACCCGCCCTTCTTTTGGTTTCGTCATCACCATTGTACTTACATAGAGGAGCTGCGTCGACGTATTTCTGATTCACCTTCCAAAAGGCCTCGCCGGCTTGTGCATACATATCACCCCATACAGGCCCTGTTCACAAATTAGCCAAGCTCACGACCGATATTGAGTGCTCCTGCTCACCAGGGTTGACAGCGTTCACTGTTGCGTTCTCTGCTAATTCCCTCGACCAGGTACGCGTCATTGCCTCGAGTGCAGCCTTGGTTCCAGCATAGATGCTCTGCCCCTCGTACCCGATGCTGCTGCTCACACTGCTCACATTCACAATCCTCCCACTCCTATCTTTGGGCAGGTAAGGTGCCACCGCTTGCGTCAAGAGTAAAGGAGCAAGGACGTTGACATTGTACATCTTGTGGAACTGGGTTTCCTCTATCGGACCTTCTTTCTCATCGTTCAGACATTTATTTCCTGCTATACCGGCGTTGTTGATGAGGATGTCAATCTGAAAGCCCCCGGATTTGGGATGACTAAAGTGATTCTTTGCTGTGGCTAGTATATGTGGTACGCTCCTGCTTGGGTCGGAGAGATCAGCTTGTGCAGACTTGGCGATCACGTTGTTCTCGTTCTGAACTTTAGCACACAGTTTCTGGGTCGGCTCTGCCGATGAGTCTGAGGTGAAGACCAAGAGCAAGTTACAGCCTTTTGCAGCGAGATTCTCAACCACGGCAGCGCCAATCCCTGGTTAGACAGTGTAAGTATAGACCTTCGTTGAATTGGACCACAGCTGAGGGTAGCAAATACCTCGTGACCCCCCTGTCACTATGCCAAATTTACTGTCATGAGGTCTGTAGACACCTTGTCTAGGTATGTTGGTGGACGGCGCCCTTCTGTAGCTCGGTCGTTCTGCCATCACACCAGTTCAACGAAACTTTACTCGAGAGGTCAGAAACACATATCGAACGAGCCTATCGATTTTATTCGTGCGGGCGCAGCGAGGCGGGGCGGCGGTCCACTTCCGGGCTTTCACCCTTGTGATCGCTCTCCTTCGGCTTGAAAGTCTCATGCTCGTCCAGCTATATAGGGATGTACTCTTATAACCTTCTACACATTGCGAATGGAAATTCTCTCTCATGCATCCCTCCTAAAGCAGCACGCAGACAGGCGTGAAGCAATTTATCCACACACAGGTAGACTCTAGAATGTAAAGACAATCGAGCACTAACATTGAGGTGATTGATGTAGCTGGCTGGTTCGACCACGAACCTACACGTTCAATAGCAGACTCTAAAACTTGTAGATCCGTGACCTCAGTTGCCTATTCAGAATTCGGCAATCTACGACTTGCTTGCACGAGGCAGTCTTCGAAAGCAGCTCTTCAAGTTGGAGACACGAACCAAACACTTGCCCAAAGAAGTCAGTTGGACCCATAAGATAGATTCTCGGAGAAGGCATGTGGGCACTGAATGGTTTGCCGTATTTTACTCAATTTAGTTTGATAACAACGAATATTCACTAGAGGACACAGACCATCGAGTACACTTATCCTGAAACATTTTTGAACAACAACGACTTTTGTCACGCGTCACCGAGTTGTCGAAGCGTCGTCCTCTCCCACTTCACCATTTGCAACATCGAGTCCGACAATACTAGTCGTTTTTTATTTACCACACCCCGCAGCAATTGGTTGGTTCACTCGAACAGGCCACGAGCAGTTACGATTCTCTATTGACACGATCTTCTCACCCTTGTCCCTTCCTGCTCTTGCATGCCGAGCAGCTGATCGCTTTTGGACAAGATGTCTGCACTCCATCCGGAGTTGCAAGGCGCTCTCGCTCAGCTGCTGCAGGGCCTCAACTCCGCCGACAACGATCTACGAAGCAAGTATGAAGATTCTCTGGCCAATGAGTGGCAGGCACAAAAACCGGACGCCCTGTTGATGGGCTTGGTCGAGCATGCGCATGCAGCTCAGGATGAGAAGGTAGGATTGAAGTGGCCTGGTCGTGAAAGAGGGCTTACATTACGTAGATGAGATCGTCTGCGGCCGTCATCTTCAGAAGAGTCGCCTCAAAGGCTAGGAAAGACCCTACTACTGGCGAGAACAAAGAATTGTTCTTGACTCTATCAAATGACGCGAAGGTTCCAATAAGAACAGGCCTGCTACAATGTCTTGCTTCTGAGCAGATCTCCCATGTGAGAAACAAGATCGGAGACGCCATTGCAGAGATAGCCAGACAATACACAGATAATGGTATGCCGATTCCTCTCTGTCGCAGTCTCCCCGTCTCGCTAACCAGTGTGTACAGGAGAGACCTGGCCAGAATTGCTTAGTGCTCTCTTTCAGTCAAGTCAGTCTCCAGACCCTGCTGTCCGAGAAGTCGCTTTCAGAATATTTGCTACGACGCCAGGTATAATTGAACGACAACACGAGAATGTGGTTCAAAAGGTTTTTGGTGAAGCCTTCCGGGACAGCAGTGTTAATGTCAAGCTGGCCGGAATTGAGGCTTTCGCCTGCTTCTTCAATTCGGTGACTAAGAAAGCACAGTCCAAATACTACTCGCTAGTCCCCGAAGTCCTCAACGTCCTCCCTCCACTCAAGGAATCGAACGATCAGGAGAATCTCTCCAAGGCTTTTGTGTCGCTTATTGAGCTGGCCGAAGCTGCACCTAAGATGTTCAAGCCTCTCTTCCCTAACTTGAGGCAATTTACCATATCCGTGGTTCAAGACAAAGAGATGGATGATCAGGTCAGACAAAACGCCCTGGAACTGATGGCTACTTTTGCCGAATTCGCTCCCAACATGTGCAAGAAGGATGCCTCTTTCGCTTCCGACATGGTCACGCAATGCCTCAGCTTGATGACCGATATTGGCGCTGATGACGAGGATGCAGCTGAATGGAACTCACAGGAAGACATTGATGCAGAAGAAAGCGATCTCAACCACGTCGCGGGTGAACAATGCATGGATCGCTTAGCCAACAAGCTTGGTGGAGAGGTACTTTTGCCCGTCACATTCACATGGTTACCGCGTATGATGCACTCAGCTTCCTGGAGAGATCGTCACGCGGCTCTAATGGCTATCAGTGCAATCTCTGAAGGTTGCAGAGATCTCATGCTCAGTGAGTTAGACAAGGTGTTGGAGCTGGTGATCCCTGCCCTGAAAGACCCTCATCCTCGAGTCAGATTCGCTGGCTGCAATGCTCTTGGTCAGATGAGCACAGACTTCGCTGGAGACATGCAAGCGAAGTATCATCAGGTCGTCCTTAGCAACATAATACCCGTCCTGGAGTCACCTGAACCAAGAGTACAAGCTCACGCTGCTGCTGCTTTGGTCAACTTCTGTGAAGAAGCCGAAAAGTCTATACTGGAACCCTACCTGGACCCCTTGCTGAGTCACCTCCTAGTCTTGCTTAATTCACCAAAGCGTTATGTACAAGAGCAGGCTCTCTCGACTATTGCGACGATAGCAGACTCAGCCGAAACTGCTTTTGCCAAATATTATGATGCTCTTATGCCTCAGCTACTGACCCTGCTTCGTGGGCAGCAAGATAAAGAATATCGACTCTTACGAGCCAAAGCCATGGAATGTGCGACCTTGATTGCTTTAGCAGTCGGCAAGGAGAAGATGGGCCAGCAAGCTCGAGAGCTTGTCGAAACCCTGGCCACAATTCAGACCGGAATTACCGATAGTGATGATCCGCAGGCACAATATCTGCTGCACTGCTGGGGCAGAATGTGTCGGGTGCTTGGAACTGACTTTGCACCTTATCTCGATGGCGTGATGCATCCCTTATTACAGCTTGCATCTGCCAAAGCAGATATCCAATTACTCGAAGACAGTGATGACTTGCCTGACCAGGAAGACGGCTGGGAACTTGTGCCTCTGAAAGGAAAAGTCATTGGCATAAAAACTCAGACGTTGGAGGATAAGAATACTGCCATTGAGTTGATCACCATATACGCACAGATACTAGAGGCTCACTTCGCAAAGTATGTGGAGGAAATCATGGACAAGGTCGCCCTACCAGGATTGGCTTTCTTCTTTCACGATCCTGTGCGAGTTTCTTCGGCCAAGCTTATACCCGCACTCTTGGCTTCGTACAAGAAGCAGTTTGGAGATCGTTCAGAACAGCTTGCCAGGCTGTGGGCTGTCACCGTGGAAAAGGAAATCGAAATCTTGGTGGCCGAGCCTGCCATTGAGACCCTCGCTGAGATGTATCAATGCTTCTACGAGAGTGTAGAAGTGATTGGCAAGGGGTGTCTTAGTGTCGACCACATGAACAAGTTCATTGAGTCAACCAAGTCAACGTTGAAAGAATACGAAGACCGAGTACGGCAACGAGAAGCTGACAAAGCCGATGCAGCCGTTGATGGTGAGGATGAGGACGACTCGATGTCAATGCAATATGCAATCGAAGATGACCAAACCCTACTGTCCGACATGAACAAAGCCTTCCACACTATCTTCAAGAACATGGGTCCCCAATTTCTGCCTCCGTGGGAAAGGCTCATGGATTTCTACGACCGATTCATTAACTCGAATGACCCAACACAGCGACAATGGGCGATCTGCATTATGGACGATGTGTTCGAGTTCTGTGGTCCACAATCGTTTCAATACTCTAACCACATCGTACAGCCTTTTATTAATGGGTTGCAAGATACCAACGCAGCGAACAGACAAGCTGCCACGTATGGAGTCGGCATGGCTGCACAAAAGGGTGGTAACGACTGGGCAGAATTCGTCGCTGGTTGTCTAGAACTACTTTTCGCTGTTACCAGGATGCCGAACTCCCGAAGCGACGATGAAGTCTTTGCCACCGAGAATGCCTGCGCCTCTATCGCGAAGATCCTGCATTTCAATTCCTCAAAGGTCCCAAATCCGAACGCTGTTGTCGATCCTTGGTTGGACACTCTGCCAATCGTGAATGATGAGGAAGCTGCGCCATACGCATACTCGTTCGTCGCACAGCTTATTGATCAGTGAGTACAATTTACACGCAACTCGGGAAATTGCTAACAATCTCTAGAAACCACGAGGCCGTCCGTAACAAGGCCCAGCAAGTCTTCCACGCTATATGCCTAGCTCTCGAAGCAGAAACTATTCAAGGCCAAACAGCACAAAAAGTCGCGAGCAGCGCCAAAGTTCTAGCCACCACCTCAGGCGTCGACGCCAACCAAATTCTCAGCAGCCTCAGTCCAGAAGGTCAAGCCACAGTTCAGAGCTTCTTTGCATAGTTTGCACCATTGCCATTTCAGTACAATTGTGAAGGGACAGGTTCTGTGTACAGCATTGTCAAGGGCGTGTGCTAGAAGTTTGCTTTTGTCTTTCAGGAGCGAGGCGCTTTTCTCCAATGTCAGGATACGTAGATCTGTACGTCGATAGCAGGCATCTTGTTCGCAGTTTCGTGGGGATACTGTGCCCTCTGCAGACCTCTCAATCACATTCTAGTCATCAAAGTGCTCTTGGATGAGTGGGTCTCTTCAAGTTGATTGCATTAAAAAGAGCGCTGACATATGCGACAGAATTGGAATTCATAGTCGTCCAACATGGTACGCCAGCTATGCTATCCTGTAGTGATTCGCTCCAGGTAGGCGTACCTGGAGCGCGCCCTTTTCGCCGACTACGAAAGCACTGAGCAGGTGAAAAACAACAGCGAATGACGCAGCCTGTACTGACCGAATACAAGGGCTAAGTCTACAGTCTACAGAAGAGGTGATTACACATATTCTCTGTCAGCAATGTCACTCTACGATATGCTCTCGCCGTCATTCAAAGTTTCCCAGGGAAGTGCCGTCAATACGTATACAACATCAACGAGATAGGTACAGCGCTTCGATAGCAAGGGTAGGTAGCACGTTGCTGAGGAGATTGGTCGCGGAGTGGGAGAAGGCGAGCCTAAGCAGCTGCGAGGAGCATACTGTGTCCATGTCATAGCTGGGGTAGTTGCATTGCTTCAATGAGGACACTGGTTTCTGCATACTTGTTTCGTGTTGCAGGTGAAAACAGGTGGTGGACAGTGAGGAAGGAGAGGTGGGAAGAGGAAGGAGAGGTGGGAAGAGGAAGGAGAGGTGGGAAGAGGAAGGAGAGGTGGGAAGAGGAAGGAGAGGTGGGTAGTTGAGTGCAATCCGGCTTTGCTCAACATATTGTCAAACATGTTAGATGTAGAAGAGTATGCCTGTGTTGAGGAAGTGTTTTGAGAAGAGTGAGGGCATACTGGACAACAAGTATACTAATTGTGCATTCGTGAAGATGATGTATAGGATAGAGCTGTCAGAAGAGTCATCCACGGTCAAGAGCTTTCGAGATTTCAAGTCAATTCTTTGCAACCCGTTGTGGTAGAAATCGTTACCACGCGAGGGTATGCTATGAGTACACTGAATGCCGGCGATGTGATTCAGGAGGTGAGTTTCCAGAAAATTTGACTTGGGCATCAAGCTGAACCGAGTTGAGGGGGAAAACTCGTGAGGGAAATCGTTAGTCAGGCGAGGTGTTAAGAGATGGCCTGAAAAGTGTCGCGACGCGGATCATGGTCATGCAGAGAGTAAGCAAAGGAGTTTTTCATCGGTTCATCCATGTCTGCGGACTCAGGAAGTCCTCGAGTCGGAATGTGCGCCCCTGATCATCAACGACGGCTCAGCAATAGTGCATGGCACTTGAGAAAGTGATGATGAAGGAACGATGAAAAACCAGGTCGTCGACGCGTTCAAGCGTGTTTCTCGCGTATAGTGCTGGAGCACTGGCTTTTGTGATCCGAAGTATGGTCTGTGCTGGGCACGAGAAGTGGACTACGGATATTTGTAGCATTTCAGCGGCGTGCTGGAATCGACGCGGGCCATGCATCACGCGACAGCTTCGATGAAATCTTCATCTGTCTGCAGTGTGCTCGCTTGAGACCAAAGGCTTGTTCCTGAATGCAGGTGATCGTCCACCGAAAAATGGTGAAACGCGGCCGAGTGATAGCTTCGAAGGCTCTTGGTGCCGCTTGGCCAGAGCGAGTAAGCAGGTCGCGGGTTCATAAACCTTTTGATAAATGGCTAGAAGCGATTCTGACTTTCGAGACGTCATATTTCTACACATGTTGCGGTGCAACCAAGGATGAAGGCTGGCTTCGGATGCGGATACTGATACCTTAAGAAGTCACGCTAGGATGCAAGAGCTTCAGCTCGATGCCTCGCGGTCGTGTGCCTGACGCGACTCTACTCCGTAAATTGAGTCTGTGGCTTCGCGCAACGGCAATAGTGCCTGTCGCCGGAGAGATAACTCCACAGTCTGAAAGACCAGTGTGTTTTGAGGGGGACAGAGTTCGGTCGCGGATGACAGGTGCAGTCTACCAGCTCAGACGTTGCTATAACACATTGACCTGATAGGCACGTACGCAGTCACGAAGATGCACAGTGTTCAGGCAGACAGACTTGAGACCAGTCTGTCTAGAAACAGGTAGCCGTTGTGTTTCATAGTCTATTGTGTCCCACGAACGCACAAGCTGTTAAAGGCAATGTTGACCAGGTCCAATACTTTTGTAGATACTGATGTCAATGTGGACTCGGAAGAGAACCTTTTGAGTACACGAAAGTAAGCACTTAGACGCGTCAAGCCAGAGGGTTGGAACGTTGGTCACGCGAAGCAAACTTCGTGACAAAGTTGATGGAACGCATTATGCGGATTGACAGACTTTCATTGTCAGGAAATGAGGATGGATGAATGATCCGCCTAGCACAATGACGAGCTTATAGATGTTGGTAGCCAGACGAAGACAGGCCTATGCCGGAAGAGGAGATTCGCTGGTAATATCGCGATTAATCATGAGGCTGGAAAGGATTATCACCGAGACCATCCATGTTCGTTGCGGGGAATCGTGGTACTGGCAGCAGTGCCTAGCGGTGCAGTCCTTTGAGTATCAAGTTGTCGGAAATACGTATTGTGCATTGCTCATACTCTTCTCACATCAGAAGTGCGTGCAGATATGGGTATCCAGTGCTGTGCAGAGCCTTGATACAATGCAGGTTGTACTGCATAATGGGAGCTTATCACAATAAATCATTTTTCGGCTGCCAGCAAGTTTTGTCGTAATTTGACATAAGAGCCGTAGAGCTGGAAGCTTGGCTGCCGGCAAACGGCTGAAGATTGAGTCCTTTCGAGCTAGGCGTCTTATAAGAGCATGTGAGTTAGTACTGCAGACGAATCAGTCTTGCTTGACGCGCGATGTGCATCGGGCTAAGCGATGCGCGACCAGACCAGTCTGTATGGAGTGAGCGGTGACGATACCTGGACCAGTATCAGGTCTGACGTGTTTTACTGAAACAATACAGAGCACCAGAAATAGGAATACACGTCAGAAACTCATGCAGCTGCACATCGCCTGCCACGACCAGGAAACAAGCAGTATGCACATCATTACCGTAGGAAAACAATAGTGAGATTGTTGTGAGCGCCAGCGAGGGTCAGAGCAGCAATAGTAAGGATGGCTGCGTGGAATCACAAGTCTTTGTTCGGTAGGCAGCATTGAGCATCACCGGAGCTAAGTGATTGGCGACGATACCACCCCCAAAAAAGTTCTGATTCCAGGCGACAGGAGATTGCCTTGTGGACGCAGCACAGTTGGCCGGACTGTGAACCAGGCTCCGGATGGGGTTGTAAATAACAAGTAACAAATCTCATGCAAAGTATTCATCAGTTGAGCATCATTACGACTGGTTAGAATGGTTACTAGCTGATCTGACACGAAATGGTCGAATTCAGGTCTTGCCATGGAACAGCCAACGATACGATGACTTTCGAGACAACATGCAGGAGCTTGGTCGTGCCGAAGTTGGCGTGTTTGCAATCGCGTGCCGGCATGGGTGTTTGAGTTGAGGTGTTCCTTGTTCATCATCGGTATGTCTGCAGGTGGTGGAGCATTGGCGTTCCTGGGTCGTCCTTTCTTGACGTGCCAGTGGTTTCTTAGGCCCTGCAAACTCCAGCCCGCTTGAGAGCCAATCAGTCCTTGTCGCCTCCATCAAGCTGTAGCTCCTCATCGCTCCAGCAAAGCTGGTTAGTGGCAGTCACGTCGACAGATTTGTACAATCCGTTCATACATGGATCCACCAAGCTTCTCCTTCATTTTGTCAACCTCACACTTCCTTTCCTTTTGACTCCGTCCATCGTCCATGTCCTTCCTTATATCCTCCATACCCACGACCTCCTGAGGCCGTCGTCCAAACCTCGAGCACAACCTCAAGGCCCACCTCCACAACTCCGGTCGAAAAAAGGATAAAGATACTTGATTGGACGACTCAAGTATCTGAATGTCCTCGACACACGAGCTTGATATCTCTCACCTCTGATCCTCTTGACAACTCAACGAGTCTCACATCCGACGATTTAGCTCCAGGCAGCTGCTCTCGTGTTTACGAACATTTCTGGATAACAGGCTGTTCATCGTTGCCTAGCAGGAAAGAGCTGTGAATATACAGATTCAGGTCCAGAAGGTAAGAGACATTGAGTTTTCATCACATATTATGCGAAGCATCGAGATTGAGATGGGTCTGGAAGAGTTGGCATGATCACAAGCAGATTCAATTATTGCATTGTGGGGTATAGTCGTTGAGCAGTGAGGCTGGCGTTAAACCCTGCTGATCGTTTACACAATGGTCTGGCAGGTGTGTCAATCGAGTCAATCGAGAAGGACCACGGGGATCTTATACAGGGAGCGTTCCGTGCACTGAAATTTTGGTCAACTACCCCTAGCAGGGACTGATTCTGCTCGTGCACAAAATTGGGCTCTCCTTGTGGACCAAGTTTGACCTCGAGCATTTGTCCCATGGCACCTCTCCCTTGCGTCGCCTATGTTTCAAGACAATACGTTTTTCACGTTTATGCCAACTGTCACTGACAATACCACTAGATACCGGACGAGCTCTCCCACCATCACCCTCAGACACTTGCACTTGTCTACTACGTAGAGCAATTGCAAAGCTTGTGCGAAGTGGAGCAGGTCAGTGCTTTTGCAAATGGATCGGTCCAATTCTAACCATGTTATAGCTTGCTGTTCTTTTTTCACTGGGCAGGCTACATTCCAACGCTGTAGTCTGAGCTTTTATCAAGTGGAGGCGTTAGCTCGACCTTCACACAAACTTGCCAGACAATTCTAGCCAAATTATCTCCACAACTCCAGGGATAATCATTCGGCTATCCACTCCACCGGTAAGCCACCAATATTCAGCACGACAATGCATTGCTCTGACCATCTCGCTGTGTCTTAGATCTCATTCAAAAAGATATTCGTCAATATATCTTCTCGACTTCTCATCCTTCAAACTATAGTCACTCTTTAATACGAAAGTTTCCTTCCAACGGTCACACAACACTCTCATTGAAAATCCGTCATCTACGGACTGTCTTTCACTATCAGTCATCTGAAGCAGGATCTCAAGCAGGCTTGAAGAATCATCGTCATCTATACCTACAGCAAAAATGTCGTTCAACCGTGTCTCATCATTCGGATCTCAGGACAGTGGCTACGAGACTGCCTCAAGTCAAGAGAGTGTATCCTACACTGCCTCCAAACAACAGGACAATACCAAAGAAGTAGCTAGACATCGTCAACATCTACTGGCTCAAGAACTGTCGAGGCAGGATTCAGAAGAGTATGGACAGGACATGCTCGACCACATGCTGAGAATGGATCAAGAGACCATGCCCGACGTTGACAGCATCGACATTCAGACTGAGATACAGTGGTTCATGAGGCCATACTTGCTTGACTTCCTCGTTGAAGCTCATTCGGCTTTTCAATTGCTCCCAGAGACCCTCTTCCTCACAGTCAACTTATTGGACCGCTACTGTTCCAAGAGGGTCGTTTACAAACGTCATTATCAATTGGTCGGATGTGCCGCACTGCTGATAGCCTCGAAATATGGTGACAAAAAGGAGAAGGTGCCAACAATCAAGGAATTGAAATCAATGTGCTGCTCCTTGTATGATGACGATATGTTCTTGCAGATGGAATGGCATGTGCTGTCGACCATCGGCTGGACCATTGGCCATCCTACTGTGGACAACTTCTTGCGCATGGCCACCAGAGACAATGTTCAGGATCCTGAGGTTGATAATATGGCCCTATATATCCTGGAGATTGCCCTCTACCACCGGGACTTTGTATCTAAGAGATCATCACAACTGGCATTGTCTGCATTGGCCCTTGCACGAAACATCCTTCGTCGCAATGCAGCGAGACACACCGAGTGGGCGGCGACCTTCGATGCCACAACCTTTCAGGAGCTGATGCTCAAGATCAACGAGCCTTCCCAGATATTGTCTCGGAAATATGCATCTGCTCGACACTCTTGTGTATCACGGACATTATCCCATGTCCTGGCTCAGCAAGCAGCTGCTCAAGCACAGTTGACACAGGCCACTGCTTATGACCTGACACCACCTTCATCTCTAGGCAAGCCTGGCCACTACTTCCAGTCATATGCTACACCACAGAAGCCGGCTATTCCTTCCATCGTGCAGCACGGCCTGTATACGCCACCCATCACACCAGGTGAAGACATGTTTGGTATCACGCAGAAGACCTTCTCCTCGAATCAATACGTGCCTCCTACACCTACTGAATACCAGCAAGGACAATATCATTATCAACCATCGCACGTACAACCTACCAGTCACAGATGGACATCAGTCGACTCTTAGCAAGAGACTTGTGATTCCTACAATACCCTGTATCAGATGATCTAATTCGTGTTACATAGTTGCACGTTGCATTGTAAAGCGATACACCATGTCTCATTTTCCCTAATTGTCAATTTGAATTCAGCAGGCGTTTACCAGAAGCTTCTTATGTCTCAGTGGCTGAGCACTGCTGTGGTCTGGGAGGAATGTATTGATTGCAATGCAACACTGAAGCTGAAGAAGCAAAAGTTTATAGGATCGATCTTAGCAAAGTCCTGATAGAATCTGGAAGCAGTTCGAAATATTCACCCTATGTAACAACAAAGCACGTGAATTCAGTACAATGCAGTCCTCCTTAGCACAGTTCTACCTGAGTGGAGTATTTCTGACAATCCTAAGTCTCGGTCTTACCACCAAATTGTGTAGGCCATCACACCCTCCGATATTGATGCAACTTCACACTGTCCCCAGCAGACATCTCTACATTCACCCTTCTCATTTGAAGCACGTGACAACACAACTAAATTCGCTGACCTCAATTCACATATCTCAATCTAACATCGCAACACGATCGTCCAGCAACCAGTTAATCACAGGACAGTTGTTGCGTTGTTGCTCTAACGGAAATTGATGTGCTCGAGCACCGCTCACCCAATCAAACTTGAGCCCTTGTTGTTTTACCCCTGTCTTCGGTAATCTGACAGTAGCCACTAGCAGTCGATCGCGTCTCTAACTCCGATGCGGTGGTGGCTTGTCAACGTGGCGCGAGGATAGTGGCTGGATTGGGGAGGTGTGTTCTAGAACTTTACGGTGTATCTTCGGTCTGAAGGCATTACCGTGCGTTGTTGCAATCACTAGTTGATGATTGTTATTGTCTTTGCTACGCTGAAATCTAAAAAGCTGTGGGCATCAGCTCGCATTGGACACATGGCTTGCGGGATTGGGCATCTAGATTTCAAGCTCTGTGTCTTTTGGTAAAAAGCGAACCGTGGTGTCGGTGTGAGTGTGAGTGTGATGTGCAGCTGAAGATTGGGCTGGGCAGCAAGTACGGGGTGTTGTTGTAGCAAAGTAGAGACGGCGCCCTGTGTGCGGTCGGATGGCTTCTTCTGGAAGCGAAGGAACATGCATTGCACTTCTGTTTTTGGACGCTTTGCATGTCGGCGTGGGTGTGCATGGCAGCAAGAGAGCATAACCAGGGCTTGGCAGTATTATGGACGCGTCTCGACAAAGATACTACTTGTGATGCCATGTCAAGAAGTCGGCAGGCGAGAAATGACCCTCGTATGCTGTCCTAGATGAAAAGAAGGAGAAGTCAAGGGTGTATATAGTTGGGTACTGAGAGACTTTACGTGGTGCTCAGCATGAGCAGTTATTTTATTTACTTCTGACATTTTATTCAATCAATAATGGGATTCGCTAATTTTCACCACGAAACCTCTCAGATAAGAAGTGTGCAGCTTTATGCTTCGGCTCAGCTGTACTTAGTCCTTCCTCAATTTCTCTCTTTCCTCGCTGAAGAGGATGCAATGCTTTTTTGTTCCTTCGTAGATGCTTGAAGATGGCTAGGGAGCATCCAGTCTGGTGCACAGGGCCGACTCTCTGGCCGCGACTTCCTGTGTCCGAGAACTGCGACTCCCTTGCCTATCAACTAGAAGTTCAAATAGAAGTACCAGATATCTGTAAGACGTGGCTGAACAATGTTTTGTGGCTCGAACGCGATTGCAAACTTGAACGGCAAACTGTCGGCGCCTACAAGAGAGGCCTTGCCAGCAGATGCCACCCAAGTCATCTGAGTGATTATGGTTCAATGTGGTGCAATAGCTTCCTGGTGTCGACTTTGTGTCGCAACTAACTAGTTCCGCTCATGAAGTTTTTGTTGTGTGAACCAAATCACACCAGCAGATTGAGATGTGGCATAGATAAGAGTGTATATGACTACTGTCATGTGCTAGATTCAAGGGCTTCAAGTTTGTGGTGTTCCTGGTGAATGTCGTCACCCGTATTCGATGTTCGTGGTTCCTTGTTGTTGCTGACCCGTTACGTCTGATAGCGTCAACGTGTCGAGGTGCGAAGCACCTGCTAGGAGAGTGTTTGTGCAGCCGTGGCTGCTAAAATATGAGATTCGAAGAAGTTTCGTTGTTGTGTGTAAGTATTGGCGACATATATATGTCTATCGACAGGAAAGTTTGTCACGGAAGGACAAGTGTTGGGCGATCTGAGGTATGAAGCCCAATGAACAACAAATAAGGATCTACGAAGAGCAGGGGATTGCCTACCTTATGTAAAGCAGAGAACTTTGTGCCGAATACATATACAACTCAACATCTTCTAGGCAGGAGCTTTGATTTGGCAAGGACGACACGTACGCTGCATCAGGCGCAGGCATATCCTAATCCAGTAGTGCAAGCACCGTGCTAATAGCGGTGTAAGGCGTAAATCCGTCGGCATAAAAGAATGCAGGTGCCTAATAAAGAGCACCAACGATGTGACTGTGTCCGAAGTGCTATTGGCCAACGCGAGCGTCGGCTCCGACATCTGGAATCAATTGAATGGCTGAGTAAAACGGCCCCGGTATGGCTCGTTTGAAAGTCGGGACAGAATACGAGATCCTCAGAGGAATGGACGAAGTGCGAACAAGCCAGCAGAATGCGAGCATGGAGTCTCGGTGTTCGTGGTCGGCCGACCGGTCGTATTTCAGCTCGCATGGCCACGTGAATTCAGGAGTATCTGCGGCACTGGCAGTGATAATCTTCTCTGTTCTCGGGATTCGGATTGCACCGCACGTTTCGGAAGTTGTTACACTCTACCGGACATAAGAAATGCATGGCTTGCTTGACTTCAGCAAAGCTTCAAGAATTTGAACGTCCACCGTTGCTCAGCTGCAAACAACAAATCCTGTCGTGGCTGCAGTTTCTCAGGTGAAGGCTCTTCAAGGAACGTCTGAAAGACAGTACAGCTCCGCAATATATGGTGATTGACGAGACCTGAAAGTCCTCGACACGTACCGTAAGTAAAAGCATTGCACCGCGTCTTGCATATACACTGGAACTGCCTACATGGGTCCAGGATTATGCCCTCTGTTACTATGAGCATCATGCTATCGAGTCATTACAGGCGAACGCTGTACAAGATGTACGTGTTGCAATCATGTCCTGCGACATTGGAGCAGTCGAGACCTCATATGAATGGTATGTAGTTGGTAGTTGATGACTGTCCGTGCAGGTGGTCTATCGCGCAGCGACCAAAATTGATGGTCGGCAAGACAAATATTGGTTCTCGATTCAGTCACCGGTACCAATTGTTAGCACTGCGACTCGATGCTACACGACCAGCGACTCTTCGCTCATCAACGCAAAGGTCAGTATAGCAAAATTACTTACAGCTCGGTTTCACAAAAGGACTACATGACTCACGAACTGAGCATGGTAGCGAATCATTCGCCCGCACCAAAGTGATTGTTTGCAAGGTAAGCCACTCCTGTTGAATTTTGTGCAGAATGAGGCTGATTATTACAAAGGCATTGAGATTGAGAGTGAAGCACGATGGCGAGCACAAGGTATTGAATAGATAGGTGGGCTCCGGCGATGTAGATGTGAACGATCAACTTGAGAAATGGGGTGTCTGCTTTCCAGAAGAGTCGCAGAATTAACAAGGACGAGAGTTCCTGGTGGACGAAGGTAGTGCTGGAGAAATGGGGATCTCATAAAGTCTGGATATGATGGCAGTACTCGCCAGTTCACAGTTAGCACTACAACGATATCATCAAGAACCTATGCATATTCCATCCATGTCACAGCCGAATAAGTAGTGCGGCCGATGGGATTCTACCGACGGGCTCTTCTCAACTCCGAACCTGTCCTGCAAGGTACCAGTGGCACCAGACGGGCGAAGACTGCCTGGTGGGGACGATAGAAAGATCGGCCAATCACAGTTCTTAGCAAAATAATTTGTTAAATCGCATCAACACCGCTCAAGCATCCTATACCCTCATCTCGACTGCTTAGGCACTGATACCACGAAAGCACGAGGATGGGTGCAGTGGCGATCGTTGCAGAACCTTTACAGCGGCTCGCGCAGTCGCTGGCGATATGGCAGCTCGTGCTGCTGGGCTCAGTCAGTTTCATTGTTCTCGCCATCACTCTCAATGTCCTCAACCAAATCCTCTTCAAGAACCCCAACGGACCACCTGTTGTCTTTCACCTCGTTCCCGGTCTCGGTAGTACAATATGGTATGGCATGGATCCTTTTACTTTCTTCTTCGCCTGCAAGGAGAAATATGGCGATGTCTTCACCTTTATCCTGCTCGGTCGCAAGGTCACAGTGTGCTTGGGAACAGTAGGCAATGAGTTTATACTGAACGGAAAGCTAAAAGATGTCAACGCGGAAGAGGTCTATACAGGGCTCACCACACCTGTCTTTGGGTCAGACGTGGTTTACGATTGTCCCAACTCCAAGTTGATGGAACAGAAAAAGTTCGTTAAGTTTGGGCTGACTACCGACGCCTTCAGGCAGTATGTCTCGCTCATCCAAAGGGAAACTGAGCTTTTCATCAAGAACAAATTCAACCAGCCAGCAGGCACCATGGATATATCTCCAGCCATGGCCGAGCTCACCATTTATACCGCTTCGCGATCATTACAAGGCAAGGAAGTGCGAGAGAAATTTGATCACACCTTCGCTGAACTCTATCACCACCTCGATATGGGCTTTTCGCCAATCAACTTTATGTTACCGTGGGCACCCCTGCCTCACAATCGAAAGCGAGATTATGCACAAAGGAGGATGGCACAGACGTACATGGAAATCATTCAAGAAAGACGTGCACGAGGAGACTTGAGCTCTAAGGAGGGCGAGCAAGATATGATCAGGAACCTGATGTCCTGTGTATACAAGAACGGTACTCCAGTGCCAGATCACGAAGTGGCTCACATGATGATTGCTCTTTTAATGGCTGGTCAACACTCATCTTCTTCCACAAGTGCATGGATCCTGCTTCGACTGGCTACTCGCCCTGATATTCAAGAGGAACTGCTGGAGGAGCAACGCAGGGTTCTCGGAGAAGACCTGCCTCCTTTGACTTACGAAAGTCTATCTCAATTGCCATTGCTGACCAATGTGGTGAAGGAGACACTAAGAATACATGCACCGATCCACAGCGTCATGCGCAAAGTCAAGTCACCTTTGACAATCACTGCTCAAACTCCAACGACAACCAAGTCTTACTCTATCCCCACCTCACATACCTTGATGTCCGCACCAGGTGTGACCTCAAGACAAGAACATCATTTCCCCGAGCCAATGACCTGGGAGCCTCATCGATGGGAAGAGGGCCACAGGCTACAGTACACTGGCCTCAGCGTCGAGGAAGAGTTTGAGGACTACGGCTATGGTATGATCAGCAAGGGAGCCTCATCTCCCTACCTGCCATTCGGCGCAGGACGACATCGATGCATTGGCGAGCAGTTTGCATACGTTCAACTTCAGTCGGTGGTAGCCACCTTTGTCCGATATGTCAAGTTCGCCAATCAGGAAGGCAGGAAAGATATTGTCGACACTGACTATTCATCCTTGTTTTCCAGGCCTCTAGCGCCAGCTGTAGTCAGGTATGAAAGGCGAGAGCAGAATTTCGCAGTGATATAGAGGCCGTAACAGGCTACAATTGGGTTTCGATCTTAAGGCAGACACTGAGCGACAGCTTTAGCAGAGAGCGTCTGGCGTTGTGGTATGGCAGCGGGACATGCATTGAAGAGCACTATACATAGATAATAGAAGCATCCATATCAACGACATCTCACACTCTTGCACTATCTCTTCTACAGTCGGCTTGATCGCCATTTGTTCACCGAATCAATGATTGCTTGACCAGAGCTTATTCCTGATAAGGTCGGTTAAATTTGATGTCCACATGTCTTGCATGCCATCATCCGTCAATAGTCCGTCGACTTTCGCCTGGCTCCTTTGAAGGACATTCATCAAAGTCTTTATGGATCGAATCCGTTCATCGACGGCATATTTGACTTGTTGTCAAGGCATGTGGCAGCATTTTCTGTGAGCCCAAATGCTCTGTTCACCAAAAACTGGCATGCGAGCTGCAGAAGACTTCGCAAAGCTACGAGTAGCGTGGCTGCGGAGGTGCAGGAGTAACCAAATTTAGATCTCGAAACAGCCCCGATCTGCAGGATGATCCAATTGCAGTAACATTTCTATCGAGGCTTGGCTCGATCTCACCACTTTTACCAGCACCTACTTGGATGATAGGATAGAGGCTATACTATAGTGGTGGTGCCGTGCGCAGCAGGCAGTAAGCACATAAGTGCCTTGTATAACTACTGAGATGTAGTCTTCTAATAGTCACCTTGACCTCTTGTTGTGCAACAATTTGCTACGTGTTTATGGATACACAGCACGCACGTTTTGCCGATCCACGGGAAAAGTCAAGCAATAGGAGAATCGGACTCTGGCGTGCATTCCGATTGGTCAAAACTGTTCTCTAATCTGTGTTCGACGGCTCATCGTCCACTCGGGCAAGAATCGTGCCGGATCCGGCTCCAAAGCAGTATGGGCTTTGAAGACTTTACTCTTCCATTCACGAACCAGCTGTCCTCTGATAGATACTATTCCCTTCCGCTGCACGAGTGTCATTGTGAGGAAGATCACTCTTTACTTCAAGCCACTCCTTCCGTCACTCGTCCTGCAAGCCGTCAATCGACCCCTGCTGGATCGAGAACCATCCTCCTTCGAGTAGGCGATAACATTCCCTACACCTCAAGAATGTCTCAAAATCGATCGAGAAGTCCTTCGTTGAATCGACACAATGACGACACTCAGACACAACATACCACACTAAAACAAGAGACGAGAGATAGCATGGATAAGAATGTGGCGCTTGACAGTTATGAGATGCAGGACAGCAGGTCGCAAAGTCCGTTGCCTCGAAGCTCGCAGACTTCGGACAAGAAGATCATGGAAGAAAAACTACAGCCTGAGGACGACGAGATCGAGTATCCTCATGGTATCAAGCTGGCCATCATATCTGCATCGTTATGTTTGGCAGTGTTTTTGATGGCTCTGGACAACACGATCATTGCGACGGCTATACCTAAGATAACGGATCAATTCAAGTCGCTCGATGATATTGGCTGGTATGCCTCATCCTATCTACTTACAACTTGCGCGCTGCAGCTATTCTTCGGCAAGATCTACACATTCTATTCCATCAAATGGACTTTTCTGGTATCTATTGGTATTTTTGAGGTTGGCTCAGCAATTTGCGGTGCCGCTCCTTCATCAACCGCTTTGATCATTGGTCGAGCCGTTGCAGGTGTTGGTTCTGCTGGTCTCTTTGGTGGTGCTCTAACCATTATTGCCTACACTGTGCCAATGAGCAAGCGCCCTGCTTATACGGGCATAATAGGAGCAATGTACGGCATTGCTTCAGTTGCTGGACCTTTGTTGGGCGGTGCTTTCACAGATGGTCCTGGCTGGAGATGGTGTTTCTATATTAACTTACCTTTAGGCGCCATTACCTGCCTTGCCATTGGTCTGCTCTTCAAATCACCAACCCGAAAGCTCGAGGCAAAAGTGCCTTTTACGCAACGTGTAAAACAGCTTGATCTTGTTGGAACGTCTCTTTTCATCACTGGTATCGTTGTCGTCCTTCTTGCATTACAATGGGGTGGAACCAAATATCCCTGGAGCGACTGGAGAATCATCCTCCTATTCGTCCTTTTCGGTATCATCACCATTGTCTTTATTGGCCTACAGTGGTACCTCAAGGACAACGCAACACTTCCTTTCCGAATCATTTCTCAGAGAAGTGTGGCCGCTGCTTGTGTGTGGGCTTCTCTCCTTGGAGCAGCTTTCTTCATCCTAATTTACTGGGTCCCGATCTGGTTCCAGGCCGTCAAAGGTGCTACAGCTTTCAAATCTGGAATATACTGTCTACCTATGATATTGGCTCTTGTCATTGCTAACGCCATTTGTGGTGCTGGCACCACAGTGATTGGATACTACAACCCTTTCTACTATGCCTCTGTTGTGCTATCTTGTATTGGTGCTGGACTACTTACAACCTGGACCGTCGACGTCTCATCTGGAAAGTGGATCGGCTATCAAATCATTTACGGCTTCGGTGTTGGTTTTGGCATGCAACAAGCTATTATTACAGTACAAGCTGTCCTGCCTCTTAAAGACATTCCCGTTGGTACAGCCATGGCCGCCTTCTTCATGAATTTTGGCGGCAGTTTGTTCGTCTCTGTCGGTCAGAATGTGTTTAATAATCGACTCACCGCTGAGCTGGCAAAGTTCACCACTGGCATCGATCCTTCGATCATTATTCACGTCGGCGCGACGGAGATAAAACACGTGGTTCCTCCTAGCCAGCTTGATGGAGTACTGACAGCATACAACAACTCGCTCACTCAGACGTGGTATATTGCTGTTGCCATGTGCTGTTTGACAGTTTTCCCAGCTATCTTTGTCGAATGGAAGAGCGTCAAAGGCATGAAGGGTCTTGGTGGTGCTGCTTAATTTTTTCGTTCATATCTGAAACAATTTACGGCGTTGCACGGGGAGCAAACCTCGATTTTGCTTTTCTTATTTCAAGACGACTAACAGACTATACTTCTTGTATGAGCTACACGAGAAAGAGTTGGAATACCCATATTCTATATAGCCAAAGACTGCTAGAGATACGAATAACCATGGATACCCTTTGATCGACCATCATTGTTTCCCTTGAAGGATTGTACCCACAGTAGGTGAACAAATCTAGACCTTAGCCAGGAACACAGCATTGCTAGCACGAACCAAGACACGATTTAGCTCGACAGAAGCAGCTTCCGGGCCGCTTTTCAGGGTCCAGCCACCTATCAGATACCCCAATGTAAACACTGACATGTGGGTAAATTTACCACGAGGATTTTTTGGAAGTCGGTGAAGTGAAGATAGATGTACTGTACAGATTTGTAGTTTCTTGAAACTCTTCTAGTCATTGAAACTACGTATCCCGCTCCTACTCTCTGCAGTAAGAAAGACTGCAAAGTGTCCTCAACATAGAGCAAGCTGTCCTCTCCAAGAGTGTATACATAACTCTGCACCCCTCCACTTCTGCGCCGTAGCTCATTGAGCAGACAGCGAAGTCAACATGTCGTTCCCAGAACTCCAGGATAGGCCGATCAAGGAGACAATATGCCTCTTCGACGTGGATGGCACTGTCACACCCGCTCGTCAATCAGCCTCGCCAGAAATGCTTAAACTGCTGCTCCAGCTGAGGGAGAAGTGTGCAATTGGTTTCGTAAGTTCAGCAGTCCCCTGTGGTGTCCCTCGAAGTCTGCGGCTACGTCTTCGACTGGCAGAGAGCTCTAGCAGCTCACATCCTCCTTCCTGCGTTTCGAATCAGCACTCTTAGCAACAGCTCAACCACTAACGCACCCTCAAACAGGTCGGAGGCTCAGACCTCGTCAAGCAACAAGAACAACTAGGAACCCCCTCAGTCCCAGTAACCAGCCTCTTCGACTTCTGCTTCGCAGAAAACGGCCTGACCGCATACCGATTAGGTCAACCTCTCGAGTCCACCTCCTTCCTTAAGCACCTCGGTGAACCAAACTACCAGAAACTTGCAAAATTCGTGTTGCGGTATATCTCCGAGCTCGAGGGGCTACCGGCCATGCGAGGGACGTTTATTGAGTTCAGAAATGGCATGATCAATGTTTCTCCTGTGGGAAGGAATGCGAGCAAGCAAGAGAGGGACGAGTTTGAGGCTTGGGATAAGGGAACTGGGTGCAGAGCCAAGTTTGTCGAGGTGCTTAAGAAGGAGTTTGCTGATCTTGGATTGACGTGAGTACTATCTACCCTGGGCTCAACCAGCCGCTACGGACAACCTGCGAGAACAGAGAGTGGTGAACAGGAGGAGAGGGAGACTTTCTACATTGCGCTCCACATTCGCGCCTGCAAGCCTTCTTCCCTACCTCATCACGTTATCTGTTCCATGAGTATATACTGACTGTCCTCCAGCTACTCAATCGGCGGCCAAATCTCCTTCGACGTCTTCCCCACCGGCTGGGACAAGACCTACGCCCTCCGACACGTCGAAGCCGAGAAACAGGTATCCGGCATCGACTACAAGCACATCCACTTCTTCGGCGACAAGTCCTTCAAGGGCGGTAACGACTACGAGATCTACTCGGATGAAAGAACAATTGGCCATGCGGTCAAGGGACCAGAGGATACGATGAAGATTGTCAGGGAGACGTTTGGGCTGTAGGATGTTTGTGAGAGTCGGCTGCATAACAGGAAAGGGTTTTGCAGCCAGATGGAACCTGTGATGGGCCAGCATATACGGTGAACAAAGTGTTGGGAACATATAGATTGGACGCTTGTCGAAAAGCTGTGATACCCGGAATGCTTCCTTAAAGACGGCACAGCACGTGCAATGTATCAAATATTGCAACAGAAAGGTAAAGCAAGCTTCACAGACTGTGTAGTCACAAATGCGTGGTTTGCTATGGACATTTCATTCCATTTTGGCTCTGGCCTGGTCTTGAAAACCACGACAACTTAATTCCTAGCGATGTTTACATTAGCCTCTGCAGTGGCTTGATATCTAGTGACTCTACACAATTTGAGATATTTCCTACAATGCTGGAACAAAGACCGTGACAAAGCAGGAACACAGTGCGGAAAAAGCAAGTTTGATGTAACTTTATTCGGACCGAACTCATGCTTGCCGCACGGGCGAAGCTATGACCAGTTGTCTCATCTTAAACGAATGTGTTCTGTTTCTCTCGTGCAATCTTGTTCCGGTAAACGTGTCTCCCAAGAATTGAATGTGACGACGATCCCTCCTGTCAAGCCGTCTTTCTCGATACGTGCGTATACCTGATTTTGATGAATGTCCTTGCTCTGAGCAAGGAGACAGCTCTCACATATCCTCGTAACCAATAATCTACCTGTAGCTACCACACCTTCCCGACTCAGTATCCAAGGAGTGCACTCGCACCAGCCTCGCTTGACACGTACATCGTCTCATGCTTGTCGGTAAAGCCGTTGAAGCGGGTTGCCGAGCACTTGGTGTATGCGCCCATGTTCTCAAAGTATAGCCAATCACCAATATCGAGTGTGCCAGGCAAGTAGCAGGACTCGGAGATGACATCGATACCATCGCAAGTTGGACCCCAGATACTATACTCGATCAGCTTGTTGAGATCACGAGCCTGGCTGCTATACAAGACCTGAGGAACTGGGTGCTGGTGGTCAAAGATAATGTTAGAGAAGTTTCCGTACACACCATCGTTCAGGTAGAGCATGTAAGACTTTTCGGTGGTGGTGCTAGGGGTACTGGCGTTGGATGTGGTGGACGCGGTGGAGGTTGGAGTACCAGGGCCTGAGCTGACATCGCGACGGGCGATGATGTTGGTGGCTAGGGTGAACGCGTTGGCGGTGTAGTAGCGACCCGGCTCGGCGATGACCTGGATGTGAGGAGGGAAGTACTCTTCGAGTGCTTCGTTGAGTCGGCTAGCGAAGATCTCGAATGTGTCATCTGTGAAGCCACCACCAACGTCAAGTAGGCTAAGCTTGTAGTCAAGCGCGTCTGCCTGGTCGAAGACCCATCTTGCATCTTTGACTGCTTTGGCAAAGGCACTGGGATCAGCAGCACCGGAACCAACGTGAAAGGACACGCCAGTGACATTGAGGTTGAGCTGCTTGGCAAGACGAAGAAGATCTGCAGCAGTGTCCAAATCTGCTCCAAACTTAGTGCTTAGGCGGCAGAGGCTAGCTGAGTCATCAGTCAAGATTCGAAGGACAATTTCGGCGTCGGGGAACGAGTTCTTGATCTTGTACAGCTCATCTGCGTTGTCAAAGGTCATTCGTGCGACGCCAGCCTGTGCAGCGTGACGAAGATAGGACTTGGTCTTGCATGGTTGAGCATAAATGATGCGGCTTGGGTCCACTCCAAGGCCAAGAACAATATCGATCTCCGCCTTTGACGCACAATCGAATCCAGTTCCTAACTTCGAAAGAAGTCGAAGGACTTCGGTGTCCGGGTTGCATTTGACCGCGTAGAATGGTTTGACGCGTGGCAAATTGCTCTTCCATCGTATATGCTGGCGATAGACCTCACCCAAATCTGCAACGTAGAAAGCGTTTTCCTCGTCCGGATCGCAGGTATCGGTATCGATGCGAGCAATTTGCTCGTGCAGAACCTTCTTGATCATAATCTTGGCTAACTCGCCATTACTTGATACGAATGGCTTTCCAGCGCCATAATTGCTGTCAGTTCCAGAATTGATTCTATCGTAATTTTCGATAATGGTGTCTTCTGAGTGTAGTAGAATTGAGGAAGGTGCCATAACCATGCAAAGAATGGCCAGGGGAAATTTTTGATTGTGATACTGCTTTGAAAGGTGTTAAGGAGGTCTTGTTGATTCCGCTCCAACCAAGCGTATACTCTGCCTCAGCGACTCTTCCCCCAAGGAGGAGGGAAGAACCGTTCGTGAAGTCCTATGCGGCAGCTCAAATTGTGGAAGACAGTTTGGAGTGTTATTCAACACGAAAACCAAAGGAGGTGCCGCCTCGGACAAAGACACCAGTCGTGGGTGGTGGTAGAGTGTTGAGAATGTGGCGATGCTTGGATCCAGATGCAGTTTGATGACGAAGAGCGAAACTTGTTGCGGCCGTGGTAAAGTGCCTTTGGAGAAGTTTCCAAAGGCTGTGCTTTCTTCCTTCGAGATGCTCGTGTGAGCAGAAACGTGGTGATGAGAAGTGGGAGAGAATGTGATATGGCACGATGAGATATTTATTGCAAACTCGTACTATCGATGACAATATCGGTCTGGGGGCGGAGACCTCGACAACTTTTTTTGTTGTGGAGCCCTGTTTGACGCTAGCAGCTCAAGCCAGGCAGAAAGTGACGCTTAACCAGTGGAGTGAAGGACCTGTGAAATGCACTCTTTAGAGAGGTAGGCTTGCCACATGTCATGTGGAAAGGACCACCAATACGGCAAGTATTTTGAGTGAGATGTGATATGCTGTTAAGATAGTGGTCGCCTGTGTAACTGCTCTAGGCCTGATAAACGAAAGTCTCAATCCGAGGTTCAGCGACATCGTGGTCTGTCATGACATGTGGCAAATTGATAAAGCCTTGCTCAATTACACGAAGACGTGTCTTTTGCAGGCTTGAGAAAAAGACATCGTCCGCATCGTGGCGACGTTTGAAAGCCACAAAAATGAGAAGTTTGGGATTATGTTCGGAAATTTGAGTGAGGGTTCGGACTAATAAGACACTGCTTTCCGGGTTGTAGATGCAATCGCACACAAGTACCAAGTCGAACTTGGTATCCTTAAGGCTGTCTAGATCTTCGCCCCATTCCAGCACTTGCCGTTGCAAGGACGAGCCAGCGGCTGGCTTGGCACAATCGACATTGACTTGCATAATGTCTTGAGCATCCTCGAGGTCAGTAAGGAAAACCTCACACTTTCTTGCCTGCGATACAGCAATGCCAAATATCCCACAACCCGCACCAACTTCTAACACGCGTAGTCGTTGCGATTTATTGCTAGTAAGGAGCTCTCGAAGAACAGGCAACGAGGTCTCCTCTGGATTTTCAAAACAAGATCTGAGGTAGATAAGGCAGCCTAAGCTTGCATCCCTGTACCTGTCAGCTCAACGCGATGAAGACCAGACTTACTACGGACCAGATATGTCGTGCAATACTGTCCCCAGTTTCCTCCCATATGCGCACAGGGACTCTTCCATGTGATTGCAAGCGGCGTTCGACAAGCGGTTCTGCTTTTGCTTTCAGCTTGAGATGAAACGTAGAGCTCCAAATGTCAACCACTGCAGGGCTTTTAGACGTGAGAGTAGCAGAGACACTATCACGCGTAGAGACGTGGAGAGTGACCAAACGCTCCATGAACTTGGATGGGCAGGAGATATCAATCTTCGTGGCCCTCGAATGAGATTTCCATTCCACTTCAGCTAGACATAGAACCTCACCATTCTCTGTGGCATCAACGACTCGTGCGACAAGTGTCAAATCTTGTGCAAGAAAAGAATCGCCAAGGTCGGTGGTTACAGCAGCAACAGCAGAGATCTCGAGTGCTTTCTTTGAAGCATTCTTGACCTGAGGTGTTCTCAGATAACGGATGTAGTGTACCATATGGGCGGCTAGAAGAGTGAACAAGCATGCACGTTTCTTTTAAGGAGATCAGTTGCTCTTGTGTCGTCTTTATGCACTTTTTGGATAGTGATCTCGGAACACAGCGAGCCACGACAAAAGTAGGAGAACAGGAAGACTATGACCACAAAGCGGGTGAGAAGAGCAGGCGTTAGTGGTGAAACCAGCCCGTAATAGGCATGATCCAGAAGCATGTAAGCAACGGTTAGTGGGTGCTTTGCCCCAGAAGTCGTCACACCGTTGGACCTTCAATTATCGGGGAATATTCCATCATCCTCAACCAGCCATCATATTATTGCTCAACGATTCAAGTTGTTAAGCTTCAGCAGCCTTCGATCGTATTGCGATCGTACCATGTTTGTCGCAAAGACCATATGAAACATCTCATGGCGTACAACACATATGAGTCGCTACAGCGGTAGTATTGACCCCACTACTACCATTTAGTAACGGTTTCGAGTTTGCATCATGAATCCTGAGATCCGCCAGACCCTAAATACAATCTCCCGTAACCTCGAGTCCGCCAACGAGGCTGCACAAGAGAGGGTCTACACCTTCACCCAGCTTGTTATTGACCCTTGCTTGAGTGGGATAAGAGGCTGCTTGAACGACTGCACTGCAACATGTTTTCCGAAACGGGAAGACCGAATGCGCCGGCGTCGAGCACGATCGCGTGGACGATCTGACCTACATTTCGACTTCTATGATGATTGGGATGATGAGGAAGACGACAATTACGGAGCTGGATCTTGGGGAAATGACGAGCTGGACAGTCTGCTTGCAGGACGAGGTGTGAAGTCCATACAGCCCGGCCGTCAGCGAGCTATGAGTTATGGCGCAAGGAACCGCCGACCTGCCCATGCGCCAGGAGAAGAGAACCCGAACATCATTCCGAGCTCCTCATATCTAGGATTTCTTGAACGCTTCAAATGGAGACCTGGCGCACGTGGTGTGAGGTACAAGCCCTCCGCCGCTGATCTGCAGGAGCAGCCTAGCGCAACTGCGCTAGGTAGAGATGAAACAGACCCACTGATAGAAGAGAGCGAGGACGACGATCGGGTCACGAACACAAGGAAGCATCGTAGGCAGCGTAGCGACACCGAAAACTCCAGATCAACAACCAACTCTTTGAGCTCGAGGGGCGATCTTATCATGGGCGACGAGGAAGAGGATGCCCAGCCATTGGATGACGAATTTGCGGTCATGCTTACAAGGACAAATACCGGAGGCTCAAGGCGTCCTGGTCTATCATCGAGGAAGTCAGCCAGGACGACATCCAGCAAGTCTAGCAAAAGTATAGCGACACAGCGCTCCAACAGCAGCAAGAGCCTACAGCCTATTATTGCTTCACCAACGTTGGAGAGTACACAGGCTGAACCTCCCTCTCTATCTGCGCTTCGTGCAGAAGAAGAACATCTTAGAAGAGAGCAGGAATTAGAAATTGCCCAGAAACGAGAGGCTGCGGTCCATATTGCAAAACAACGCGGTTTGAACGCAGACACACTCGACTCTGGGGGAAGTCAGGAGACCAAGCCATTGACCATTGAGGTTGCAAGCACACAAAAACCATCAGGTGAAAACCGAGAGATGTACCAGCAGGACCTTCAACCAATAACGCAAGACAAGAGCCCTATTCAAAGTCCGGTACACGAGATCGAGCAACAGCTCGGCCCTGCCTCACCTGTATCGACCAACACTGGATATCACGCCGATAGTGAGACTGAACCCTTCCCCTCTTTCCCAACTTCGCCTTCGAAAGAGAGTGAGGAGCAGGATCGACCGCCATGAGAACGATTCGCATATTTACACATTTTCAAAACTTATAGCAGAATTGAGCCTCGCTCCTCACCCTAATCCCTTGAGCCCTGCGAGAAAGGTACCACAGTAACACGACACTGAAATGGTCAAGGACTAGGTCTCGGTAGACGAACCCTCGCGTCGCCTAGGAAAGAGAAAGCTCGACCATCACAACATGAACAGTCTGGGGCCTCAACCTACTTAGCTTTGCCCTTGTGCACTACGAGAAATACAAGCCTGAATGATCAGTCTTCCTTGAGACGCGTCCCTAACGGAACATCTAGAGAACACTGCATCACGCTGGATCTGCAATGTTGGATGATATTTCACAACTCTGGATGACAGAATTCTCTATTTGTGCAAGTCAGACACTCGAAAGGCACGGCTGTTTGAAAAATTGAGACATTCACAGGAAGAGAGAGTCGTAAAGATAGCACGAGACCGTGAGCAGCAGCGAAGCCTAGCTAGCTATATCGGTGAAAAGGCACAGATCTTGAAAGGCTCGTCACCTCGATCACAATTGCTAGTCAGCAAACTGATCTCGATACCCAGGCTTCATACAGCAGATCTTCGTCAATCTGACCCTCATCTGCCATTCACGTCATGTAACAAATACTACTACTGTACATACACGAATCACGAACCCCCCAGAATTCAAACATCGGACCCCGATTCGAAAAAGCGCTAACATTGGTAACCTCCAGAATCGAAAAACACAAGTAGATTCAAAACAGCAGCCATACTCATTCATTTCCTTTTCGTAAAACCATCACCGGAACCAGATAGCTAGTAACAAAATACCTGCCATATGGCATCACTTTAAGTTGTTGCGTCAATCATCAGAACAACATAGCACTTTCCCTCTTTCGCCGCTTGTCGGTCGTGGCGCCTTGTGGGACGATCATCCTGTTGAGGCTGCCGTACTGTTCCTCGCCTTCTACGGGTGGCTGTTGCTGCTGTTCTGAAGGTGGACTGAAGGATTGGATGCGTGGATCTCGGGGGTCTGAGACGTATTGTCCAGACTCGTAGCTTGGGTGAACTGGTGTGAAGCCAAACTCACCTGAGCCTGATGACTGGTGGCTCTTCGAAGATGCTTCGGTGGTGCCGAAAGTCGTCTGGTTGTATGCTGGTGTAGGTATATCGGAGAACATCTGATGCCTTGGACTACGTATCTCATCCGTACCTAACACTGCGGGTGCACGAAGGGTTGTCTGCTGTATTTGTTCTTGATAGTCTCTGTCTCGGGACGGTTTCGTGTCGAAAACGGCACTGAACTCGCTCAGGAAGAGGTTGAAAACTGGGGTAGGGATATTGACGGTTGGGGAGAAGACGATTCCCATGTTTCTGACAGACATTTTGTTCTTGCCAGCATTTTCGGTAACTTCGAGCAGATATTCCGACATGGCGCGGAGAAGCTCAAAGTTGACTCTCGGCAATTGATGCACTAGGACGTTGAATGCCATTACCTTTTCCTCCTGAGAGTCCATCTCAAGGACTTTCAGGAATTCGATATGCAGATCTCGTGTCAACAGAGGCGACGGAAGTTCTCGCAGATAGGTCTTGAATAGTGATGCCACTGCATGCACGTCATAAGTTTCCTCATCATCAACGAGATCAACATCGCCCTCGGTATTGAACCGTTCTTTGAGCGTTTTGACTGTAATGTTGGAACCACTCAGACGGAAGAGGCCTTCCTCGTTAGCAGCCTTACGGAATCTCATGTATTCAATACTCCGATAGACAACAGCAGGCACAGGCACATCAATATTGAAAGGGGCACAGTACTCCACCGCCTCTGCTAAGGGTAGCCCGAAGACAGATCGAACATATCCGTTGTGCCTAAGTACCCTCGGCTTGACCGACGACTCTCGAGCCTTGCTGGACGTGTTCAACTGCTCTTGGGAACCCTTCTTGAAATGAAAGATGTTGCCCATCTTCGAACTCTTTTCTTTGGATTGTGGCGTCGCCTTATTGCCCCACGCCGTACTATCCTGGATGGGTGCACCATTTAAGGGTCCGGATATGTTGGTGCTCTTCGACATGGTTTCGCTAATGCTAGTATCGGTCAAAGACGTCGGACTGGTAGGTGAAGGCGAAGTGCTCTGTACTTCAACTGTCCTGTCTTTCGTGCTGGCAGTTTGCGGTCTGGAAATAGACGATGCGTTAGTAGACAGGGTCGGACTATTTGGTTCTCGAGATCCATCTCCCTCCACATAGTGAAGTAAGGCTGCAACCCACTGATCACGGTCTGCATCGCTCTCGGCGCACAGCACATGACGTACAAAGGTTGCGCTGTCTTTCTTCTTTGGTTCTTCGATCAGGAAAGCATGACGATATTGCCCATCTGCATCAGTGATCGTGGAATCCTCCGATTTCTGCGTGCTAATTCTTGCGTGAGACACCTTGATCGTGCCAATCTGTGGACCTCCTGGTGTTTCATAATATCGCAGGTCGGGGTTGTCTAGCACGAAGTATCTCGATTTCCACCCTCCAAAGTTCTTCCCTCTTTTAGTAAGAAAGCCTGTTTTGGCTACCTTACCTACCAGATCTGTCTGTTGTGGTAGAGAATCTTGATTGACGCCAGGATGTTTGTGGGGCTCATTTGACGGGTCAAGCACATCAGTCGACAAGAAACGACAGATCGTAAGTGCTGAGGGCTCGTCCATTTCCACGTCGAGAAGTTCCTCGAAGTACGAATCCAAGGCTTGTCTACGAGCATCGACAACAACTGGGTTATGTCCGCTGAAAAGCTTTCTGTCTGGTACTTTCGGAAGGTCCTTGCATCGAGAACGCAACTGCTGATCAAGCTGAGGTAGCGAGGCAGGAATCTTCTCTATGCGCCAAAGCTCGTTTCGGCTTGCTCTCGAGTAAATAGACAGACTGAAAACAGTAGAATCCTCTTGGGTTCGCAGTCCCAGCATGCTATGCCTGGAAGGTCGCAGACGAGAGGATGCTACCACGATTTGTATTGATGGCAAGGCATTAGGCGGCAGAAGCAAATTTGGATATTGAGGACTAACCAAGCCTTGAAACACAGGAGGGATTTCGTTGGTGGCCGTCGGCTCGTGAACTTGCAGACGATCTTGTGGTTGATGTGACTGCTGTGCAGCTTGTCTAGCCATAACATTTTGGCGTTGAATGATCGCAGGATCGACGAAGGGTGAAGGACTCATCATTGGTGGAGGTACAGGTTGTTTAGGTGCACGTGGCGATAGAGGACCAGGTGGTGGTGCACGTGGTGATAGAGGCAGTCCGCTAATAGTAGAAAGATTGTTGTTCATGGGACGAGGGCTGGTAGGTAGACCTGGACTCCGTAAAGGCAGTGACAGCAGTCGTTCTTGAACGGAGCCAGCTTGCGCAGCATTTAGTGCAATGGTAGGAGCAAGTCCTTGCGATGGTCGCGGACTAGCAGGGAGGGTGACTGGAACAGACAGTGAGGCCTGAAGTGTTTGACCTTCACTTTCATTTGTATCGAGGGCCACTTTCTTAGATTTGCTCCTAGCTTCTTGTTCCATTTTCAAACTCTTTTCGCGTTCGCGATCGTCTTCTTCACGTGTTTTACGCCGGCCTCTTCCTTCATTTGGGGCTTCATCTGCAACGTCTACAGCAGTTGACGGCACTTGCTCATTTTTGGATTGCATGAGGTTGAGAGGCTTCGGAGTCGCCTTGCGTGAGGCACTAAAGCCCTTGTTCGGCTTCTCGTTCAAGGGCGTGGCTTCGGTCAGGGCGAAAACGGGCTGCGCCAAACCAGCGGTTTGAGCCTGCAAAACAGGCTTCTGCCCATTCGAACGTGGAAGAGGCCCATTTGTCGCATGGCTGGTCGTGACGATGGTCGGGCCCACATTGTCGAGGGAAGAAGCCGTGGATACTGAATCTGCTGCCGATGGATGCACATCAAGGTCATTCTGGGGCAGGTCTTGAGGCTTGACTGGGGCTTGCGCGCCGTGGCTACTTACATCCTGAGAGGGAGATTGAGTTGCAGCTCGAGGGAGGACACCTTGGGCTTGTACTTCTTTTAGCTTCTTCCTGTATCGATCTCGCTCCTTGGTGATGCGCTCGAGGTCCTTATTCAGGCCAAGCAACAAAGCTCTTTGCTTCTCAACTAGTTTCCACAACTGGTTATTCTGATTTGCAGCATGATTCTTCTCTTTCAGCAGGTGCAGCACCAAACTCTCGGCTGAACCAGCTACACTAATCAAATTGCGGATACTGGAAGGGCTGGGGTCGCGCACGTCACCATGGTCTTTGCGTTGAGTGGACGAGGTAGATGCCGAAGAGATGGCGGAATCTATGGACGAGGTCCGAGGCATGTTATTGTGTAACGTTTTGGAGCTGAGCCCAACATTCGGCCTGGCACTCGCAGTGGTGCTCTCCAACGAAGTCGTTGTTCCAACCGACTCAAGAGAACGAGTCTTCTCGAGGCTCAGGGTTTGATCAGTACTCAGATTCTCCTCCTCAAACGACCGCGATCGGGTTTGTTCGTCGAATGTAGGTGTTTTTGTGTCGTTGGTGCCCAATTCGTGGGTCATGCACGATGAACTTCCAGCCTGCTGTACCACTGCATCCGACGCAACGGCGGAGGGTTTCGTCCTAGTTCCTAGGTAGTCGCGGGGGATGAGTTTCGTGGACAAGATAGGATTCGAAGATGAATTAGTATATGATTGATTGGATTTATTCGAAAGAGCGTTTAGTGGTGAGGGAGTGACAGTGTTTTTGGTCGGATGCGACATGGTGGAGGCTCGTTGTCGAGCGTCATGGGCTCAGAGGAAGCGGAAGAGGATCAGTAGTGGTGTCAGCTTATTGCACACCGCAAGAAGGTGACCATTCACATCACGCACTCACAGGCCAGCTGTGCATTGCGACAGCAGATGTGATGGCATTGCGCCGTAACAGGCGAAGACGCAATGGTGGAAAGGAAAACTGGAGTGACCCCGAAGAAATGGATGCGACAGATGGACAACACCATCAGCCATAAGCGCCGAGTTCGAGGTTGATGGAGGCAGACTTGTCCTATCAGAATTCACTTGTCTGCCAGGGCAGCTGGCACTAACGGCACCTGCCTCATGCATCAGATCGCTAGCTCGTACTTTGCTTCCATCCCACCTCAAACACACGCTGCATATTGTGCACACTACTGTTACAGCAGCATCTACACGTGCATCCGGTCAAGTAATATTGCTATCTGAACGTGTTTTGTGCCCACGCCAAATCTCCGCTACAAAGAGAGCATCTGAGCTGGTACACACAGTACGACTTCCGGTCACATTATCTGAGATCGAGACTCATCGTGGGTCTACACCTAATTTCACGATACGAAAGTGGGTCAAGAACCAATAATTCACAGTGTTTAGCTCCGGAGCTGCACAGACATGCCTGATCGCCGGTCAATTGGTTGCAGCCTCCAGGAACACAAAGCTTAAGCCAGTCAGCAGATGTACAGCCAGGCTACCTAATTCGTAGATCTGAAGCGAATGACCACAAACACAACCTGATAGTCGCATCCATCGCTTGAGCTCAGCATTTGACCAGTAACCTGTTGTGCCAGCAACCTGTCTCTTGAGTCAAGGTAGGCAATCGAATGTCATCGCAGTGATTCGATACCGATAGTGAGTCGCATCATGTCTTATTGATGTTCTATAACCTGATTAGCTTGCTGACAAGGGCATCGCCAGACACTGAAAGACACGTCTTGAGGGCTGAACGCAATATATCGATTCTGGTGGCAGAAGGTATTTGACCTATTACCACTATCAATCGCGACCACCAGACGCGATTGACTTCAAGAGCTATCTTTTGTAATTTGTGACTGCGTCAAAGCACGAGATGTGCAGACGGCCACATCCATTGTCACGACAGTCGCTATAAGAACAATCCGTCATGACTTCAATATTTTCCCCATACTTCGCACTATCTTGCTCTTGATATTTTGCCCCATTTCTGTCATAAGAGGACATTTGGCGAGCCTAGAATCTGGAGAATGCCTTGACAGCCTTGTTGCTGCTTGGGAGAACTCGGATAACGTTGAATCGAACCTTTTGAAGGATTAGTATAACTTCTTCACTTCTTTACATGTATTGGAGTTGTGCATACAGTCTTGCTGAGTGGTCGGCACTGGCCAACGGTGACTCTATCACCTTCCTCAACACGGAAAGCTGGTGAAACGTGTGCGGCCAGATTACTGTGTCTCTTCTCATATCGGGCATATTTTGGCACAAAATGGAGGTACTCTCGTCTGATGATGATGGTTCTGTGCATTTTTGTCGAGACGACAGTGCCGGTCAGGATTCGTCCTCGAATGGATACCATACCAGTGAACGGGCACTTCTTGTCTGCATTCTCTCCGTCAGTACTTGTTCCCGAATCTCCTTCTATATTCCACAAAACTCTTGCTTCGCATAGGCATTTTAGGTACTACCCACCAATATATTGACCCTCAATGGCTGTTCGTGGTGTTCTGAAGCCCAGACCGACATCTTTGAACCATCTTCGACCACCCTTGCCAACTCTCTTGCTCTTTGCACTCTTCGCCTTCGAGTTGAGGAAAATGTGCGGCTGCTTCTGGAACGCGCGCTCGGACTGGACAGTCAACTCGGTAGCCATGTTGGCAGTTGAACTATGGCGTTGGCTAGGAAGGAAGTATGATTGTCTCGTTGTTCCGGATTGCGCTCAAAACTTTGACCAAATCCGAAGAGTGCGCACGACTAGCTCTTGGCAGGCCCGTCTTGGCAAGGAAAGTGATGCCTTGTTGCCATGTCAGCTTGGACCTCGACTAATCAGGCATGGTCGATTATGACGTTCGATTCCCCAATTCGAGGGACACTACAGAGGTGTAAACAAACCAAAAACGCGCCAACTGCTGTTGACATCTTGCTTCTCAATGCAACTTTCTGATCAATCAGGCGATACTGTATGTGCTTATTTGCTTTGTGTATGACTGACATGGTCGCTTGATCTTACACTTTATCTTTCGATGCGAAGGTGAACCATCCGCCCACAATGGAGGAAGTGAACAAGGGTAGATCACCCCGACAGAAGTCGCGACAGTCGCTTGCACACGTACCTTCCAGGTCAAACACCACAACTGATATTACTGCTTTAAGACAAGCAGAAGACGCAAAGTTGAAAGCGAAAAAGACTCGTGGAAAAAGTTTGGGTCCTGGTGCACTCGAAGTGCTCACAGAAAGCAATATCAATACTTTGAAGGTATGTTTCTTGACTAAGCGGTGACAAGTGACTGCTAAAAGGTCTAGACTATACCATCTGCTAGACCACGATCGATACTGAAGCCAAGCATACCGTTGACACCTCCAAAACCCATCCCGTCGTTCGATGAGTTGCGCAAGAAGAGCTCCACAAAAGCCAAATCTCCTGCGAAAGATGCGCCAGAAGATTTGCTCATCGATTTCTCAACGCCTGGTGCGTATCCAAACACTGTTCTCAACACTGTCGTCATGGATGCCGATGCTCTCGTGGATCCGTTCAGTCCTGTGGCCAAGCCACATACTGATAGTTTCAAAGGCCAAGCCATGCGCGAGGACGAGGAGGAGGAGCGCCGACAGGCCGAGAAGAAGGCTATTATCGATCGGAGGAATCAGCGACGAAAATCACTGGCTAATAGACGCGTTTCATTTGCGCCTGAAGCTACATTACATACGTGGAGTGTGATGGAATTGCTAGAGGATTCAACGACCTCATCTGCAACTAATTCTACACGCAGACAGTCGGCCACCACGGCCAATCCGTCGCCTCTGCCACACATTGCTACGCCGGCAAGACCCAACGAGCGTCTCTCCACACCCGTCGAGCAACAAAACGGAGAGGTTATCAGCAGCAGTCCAGCCTCACAGCGTGACCTTCATCAACGCAAGAGGAGACGCGTATCCGACCCTGCCCAATCTGCCGAAGACGATAGCTTCTCGAGTCCTGGCGACGGGCCTGACAGTAGTCCTATTAGAGTTGAAGATAGTATAGATTCTGAATCGGACAGTGATGGGGATACTGCCATGAGCTTGGACGATGCCACCCAGGACACCATCCGATCTTCCACTTCCTTGAATTCACATAATAGTCTTGATCAGCGTTTACGGCAAGCAGCAAGTCTGGCAGGCACCACTGGTGTTCGACACGACGAAGACAACACAGACGAAGAAGAAGACCAAGACGACCAGCCGATGGAGATAGCCGACGGCACTGTGACGCATGCGTTCCGCCAGTATGATCGCAACGGTCATACAGATGCCCCCACTGACAAGGAGAATGTGAACCACTTTCAGGAAGATTCTCTTCAGTCAACTCAAGGCAGTGAATATGAGCAGGAGGGCCTGACTATGGGCATGACCATGGACATGACCAAGGCTGTCGGACGTATCATGCATCGCGAGGCAGCTGAGTCCACTGCGGACACCTCTCAACGACGTCGAAGCAGTGCCTCAAGACGGAGATCCTCCGGCGATAGCACTCTATCCAGCGAAGAGACGATGGAAATGACAGTCGCTAAGGGCGGTATCTTATCCTATCTCGCCAGGGCACAAGAGGATGTAGAGCCAGTATCTGACGATGAAATGACTGTGGAGATGACGACGGCTATGGACGGGATTGAGCAGCACACCGATAAAGAGTCTTCTATGTTAAATGGTGTCCAAGATACTGAATCCATGGATATGACCGTGGCTGCAGGTGGAATCTTGCCCCCTATTGAGGAGCAGACAGAACCACAATCCTTCGTCGAAGATGGAATGACTGCAGCTATGGACATGACACGAGCTATGGGAGCAATATTGGACTCACATCGATCTGTCGACCAGGACATAATATATGCCACTGCTGAGACTATCAGCGCGGCATGTGAAGACGGCACACTTTTGGAGCAACAGCCAATGACCCGACGGACTTCCTCAGACGAGGAAAACCAAACGTCACCAATGGAAGAGATGAGAGTTATGGGAGACATAGTTGCAGGGAAACAACCACTGGTCGAAGTTGCGGACGTCTCAATCTTGGACCAGGACGGAGATGAGAAACATTGTGGACCTGATGTGCAGTTCAAGCTCGAGCCGGATCAAGTCACGCTTACTCCAAAGGATTTCAGCCTTCAGATGGCGCCAGTTGTCCTAGAGACAGGAAGTCCAACATTAAAGCCCCGTCCATCAGCCCGAAGGAGTTCTCTTATTAGCCAGTCAACTACGCCTCATGCCACACCACAACGCTCGCGGATAGAATCCACCGGGCAGACCACTCCGTCCAAGCAGCTCACGCCAATGCCACTGAAAAGTGCTTCTGCGAAGCGTACACCTGTCTTAATGGCCAACATCACGACAAGGAGTGCGTCCCCTAAGAAGCTATTTGCAAAAGAGATCCAGCAGCGAGCTTCTCCTTCGACTCGAATGAGTCCACGCCAGAAGCAGGATCCAATTTTCTCCGAAGACGCAAATACAGGTCTACGAACCCCACGCGTAGTACTACATGCTCCGAAGCCACATCAACATCTTCGCAAAGGAAGTAGTGATGTAAACATGGCAAAGGAGGGTACTGGTTCACCACAAGTGTCTCAACTGTTGTCGCATCGCGGGTCGATTGGTGAAACAGTTCCCCATTTCCAATTAAGTCAGGAAGCTAAATGCGATTTTCATCTTGAGGATCCCCAGCAAATAGAGCTGGAAGTCGAAGCAGAAAGAGCCGAAGAGCACAGACGAGAAAGTGGCCGCTTCGTTATGGAGCAGGAAGGCAGTGAGCATCAAGACGAAAACACCACGCAAAACCTGAGAGTAATGATCGAATCCATGACACCCAAACAGGACGAGAAGGCATCTAAGATCAAGGGACGGAAGAGTCTAGCAGTCGGATCGGCGAAAGGTCTGCTTGGCAAACGACCACCCGAGCTTGACGAAGATGATTACGAGGATAGCACTCCCAAACGTCTGAGAGTTATGTCACGCGAGGGCAGTCCGATCAAAAAGGTACACTTGCCCAAACCGCCTACAAGAGAGGAGACCACTGGACACCTCCCCAAGGTAGAGCAGTTTCAAAATGAATTCGTCAACACTCCAACTTTGAATCAATCACCAGTCAAGCAGGCTCAAAGCCCTGTACGGAATGGTCGATTCCGAGAGCCGCCATCGGCACAGAAAGCAACTCTGTTTGACCAGAGACTCGACAACGTTGTTGATGCTACTGACATTTCCACGTTGCATCCAGAGGTCGGCAATCACGTACCTGATGAGGAAAGGCTATCTTTACAGGAATTCCTCAATATGACCAACATCCACTTTATAGAGTTGTCAACAACTAAACGACGCCATACTATGGCCCAATCTGCGCACAATAATGGAGGTAATGAGCCAGAAAATCCTTCACAAGCAAACTTCGTGGCTGCAGCGACCACTTTGCCCTTACTCGAGCTTTACCAACACGCTACACGAGAGTTAAAATCCTATGTCTCTTCAGGCCGCAAGGTGATTCGTCAAATTGAGGCTGAAACATTCGCCCATCAGCCTGCTATCTTCAAAGAGTATGTGGATGGGCGTCCGGACGTAAGAGTGACCATGGACAACCAGTTCCGTAACAGCAAGACGAGCGCGAGGTTGCAGAGCAAAGAAGGCTGGTACGCGTGGCGTGGACAGCTTGTCGAGGGTTTGCAACAGGGGCTTGAAACAGTTCGAGCAAACATGGAACAGGACAAATCAGTGCTGACCTCGCAGCAACAAAAAGTTGAGGATACAGTTCCTGACTTAGTGCTTGCAAAGCAGCGGCTTGATCGTCATATCAAAGAATCGAGGAAGAGGCTACAAGAAATCGACAGTATCGACCACCACACGTTGAAAGCGACCCGTGGCGAGCTGTTCGGACTCGATCAAGAAGTCTCACGCAGCTCACAGCAGGTATCTGCCCTCCAGCAACAGATGCATGAAAAGGACGAAGTTTTGTCCCAGGCTGCAGAGCTACGTCAGGAGATGAACGATCAAACTCGTGAAGCTACCAGAATGCAAGAAGAGCAAGATCGTTGGTATTCTCACGACGTTAGCCGACACCAAGAGGCTGTCCGAAAGCTAGAAGAACAGTATGGGTGGAAATTACAAAGTGTAGAGGAAGCTTGTAACAAGCCAGAGCCCTTCGATATCACTCTGACACTTTTGTACCAGAATCAGCTGCGATTCTCCTTTTGTCCCGGGATGCTACAGCCAGATCGCAGTTCTAATTCTGAGTCAAAGGCCCGAGACTCAGTGCCGGCGTATGAACATGGCGCATCGATCAGCTTGACATACAGCCCAGATGATTATGACGAGCGGCATCCGAGCAAACTCCCCACTGAGCTCAAATTCTTCTTAGAGCTCATTCAAAACCGTCTGCAAGAATTCGCAGCGTTGGCGAAAGAAGCAGCAACCTGCAAAACGTTGCTGAACATGGTTGCTCAAGGTTGGAAACTAGCAAAGCAAGTGGCCGACGAGATTCAAACATTAAAGGCTCTCGGGATAGTCAAAGTTTACCCAGTGAGTGGTTGCAAGCTGGGAATCAGATTAATGCTCGTTCAGAGTGATCGCAGCAGGGTGGACGTAGAGTTCATCTTGACGGTGCTTCGGCTTGAGGAAGGAGGGTTTGGAGCTACGACAAATGTCAGCGCTATTCCGGTACATGGCTCGGCCAAGCAAATCATGGATGTGTCGAAGACAAGGAAGGTGCAGCATGCACTTAGTAAAGAAGTCGAGAGCAAAGCGTTGGGCGAAAAAACATGGGTCAGTGCTGTAGGTGGTTTTCAGGAATGGCTTCAAGGTCAAATGCAAGCTAGATCAGCGGTATCGAAAACAGAACCAACTATGTCAAAAGAGAGTCACGAGCAAGTACAACAAGCCGTGAGACAGGAGAGAGCAGAGCCGGCAAGAGTTGAGGGAAGACGTGCGACAACTCAATCTCCACAGCGCAGTACGACACCAAAAGCACCAGCTAGATCACCACTGGCACCAAAAACCACCAACAGTAAGGTACACAAGAAGGCACTGCCAGTACCCAAGCGGAGCGTCGCATCTCTGTACATGTCGCAGCAAGACAGTCAAATTCCAGTTCTTTCTCAGCAGAAAGAAAATGTCATGGCGGGAATTTCCAAAGAAATTATCTCGAACATGGACCCTATGCGCTGTGACGATGTTTTTGATGGCAGCCAACCCGCCATTCCACCTGAGGTGCAGGAAGCAATGATGTACACGCCAGTGAAGAGAAGAGCGGGAGCATTAAGGCGGTCACCTATCTGAGCTGGAAACAGTAGTTGCTCAACTTTTTTGGTAGAAAGCTTAGAAACTGTGGTAAACCACGGGAAAGTGTGTCTATTGCAAGACTTCATATCACTTTGTAGCATTTTTGGATGGTGCCATTGCACTCGTAACCATGTTTGTGCAACTGAACCTGAAATTAGGTGCCTTGAATTCTGGTCGGCCGTCGTCGAGGCTCGGGCATCAATTGCAAGCCTTGTCATGCCCGGATCAGCCTTGCGTCTTTAGCGTACGAGGCAGGCGACTGCATGATGGCGTATCGCTGCAGCGCAAGCAACGGGAAAGACACAGAAAGTAGAAGCGTGTTTCTCGTGGTCAAGAAGTAATTAATCTACTGACACTTTCTCTACATTGTCAGTCGTTTCCCACAGCGTTTCCTTACCGCCAACGCTCTTGCCTCGCCGGCCTTCCATCTCCGCGCTGGCCGTTTCTGCTGTTGACCTCATCACTGTCGCCGCAAACTGTACACATAATCTCGCTCACGCGTCATACAATATCTCAACCTCGAACCACTTGTCGTGTTCAAAAGATATCCTGCGCCATATCGTCCGAGATTGCCATTAAAAAAAATGGTCGGACTCGCATCAGCAGCAGGCCTCATCGGCTATCTGCAGGAGCCAGAACCAGAGTTGAGATCGTTCGCCCTCAAGCAGCTAGACAACCAAGTCGATCTGCTATGGACTGAGATCGCTGGCTCGGTTGGTGATATGTAAGTGTGAACCTTGTCTTGACTACAACGTGACTGTCTGACACATACCAGAGAAGCTCTGTACGAAGATGAATCCTTTCCAGACCGACCCTTGGCAGCAATCGTTGCCTCAAAAGTCTACTACCATCTACAGGAATACAACGAAAGCATGGCTTTTGCATTAGGAGCAGGAAAATACTTCAAACTTGACAGAGCCGGTGAATTTGAAGATACCATAATTTCCAAATGCATCGACACTTTTATCGCCCTGTCCGCCAGTCGTGACCCAACCTTAATCGCCGCCTCCCAGCCAGGAGATCAGCTCGAAAAGACTTTCTCCCAGACCGAAGGTGCAGCTAGCATGTCTGCAAGCCTGACCTCGCCCGTCACTCCCTTTTCACAGTCCGTACTACCCTCTAAATCGTTGCTGAGCCGACAAAACACAACCACCCTTGACCCGACTCAAGGCACTTCCGCCGGCCCACAAGGATCTCCCGAGTCTATAATCCAGCAAAGAGGGCTACAAAAGCAGTTGAATGCAGTAATTGAGAGACTCTTCGAGAAATGTTTCCAGGAGAAGAGGTATAGACAAGTTGTGGGCATCGCTGTCGAAGCAAGGAACCTCGATATCTTGAAAAGAGTCATCCTTCGTGCGTCGCAGGATGAGAAGAATGCTAGAGGTGACGCCACAAAGGCTGGCGAAGAGCTGATGGACTACGTTTTGGACATCTGTATGAGTGTCGTGCAAGAAAGAGCTTTACGCAACGAAATCCTCAAGCTCATCCTCGAGCTTCTCAACGACATACCCTCTCCCGATTACTTCGCCATTGCCAAATGTGTCGTCTACCTAGACCAACACTCCTTGGCTTCAGACATTCTGCGGAAATTGGTCGAGAATGGTGATGCTCGTTCCCTGGCTGTAGCTTACCAAATCTCCTTCGACCTTTACGACAACAGCACCCAGGAGTTCCTAAGAAAGGTGCGTGAAGAGCTGGCAGACATGATGCCAGAAGATAAGCAGGAAGGTCAATCGGCTGTTACCATGGACGAAGATGCTACTGCTGCAGAGCAAGCCGAAGAACAACTACAACAAGAACTGCAAGAATCAGCTGGTGCCTCCAAGCCAGAACCCAACCATGTCAAGGGTGAAGAGCAGCAGGAAGCCCTCAGATCGTGTCGAGAGATTCTTGACGGCCTAAAGTCCATACATCTGAATATCGAGTTCCTCAACAAATCAAATCGAGTCGACTTGTCCATCTTAAATAAGATCAAGGACAGCTTGGAGGCCCGAAACTCCATTTATCACCAAGCAACAACCCTGGCTACAGGTTTCATGCACGCCAAAACTGCCAATGACAAATTCTTCCGCGACAATCTTGAATGGTTGGGCAAAGCTATAAACTGGTCCAAATTTACGGCCACTGCTGCTCTTGGTGTCATCCACCAAGGTAATATCAACCATGTCGACCGGCTGCTCAGCCCATACTTGCCCAAAACTTCCTCTGGTGGACCACTGCAAGGCTCTGCATACAGCCAAGGTGGCTCTTTGTACGCATACGGCTTAATATGTGCAAATCATAAGGGTAAAGCGGTTGACTTTATTCGAGGCAAGTTCAAGGAAAACTCGGATGAGATTGTGCAGCATGGTGGTGCTCTCGGCCTAGGTGTCGCGGGTATGGCACTTGGCGACCAATCGCTTTATGATGATCTAAAACAAGTCCTCTACTCCGATTCTGCTATCAATGGTGAAGCTGTCGGTCTGTCCATGGGCCTGGTTATGCTTGGATCTGGTAACGTCTCTGCACTTTCGGATATGGTACAATACGCTCACGACACTCAACACGACAAGATTGTTCGAGGTCTTGCAATGGGCATGGCTATGATCATGTATGGTCGCCAAGAAGGCGCTGATGAGGTTATACAAGGTCTACTAAATGATCCGGATCCAAGTCTCAGGTACGGCGGTATCCTTACTATCGCTATGGCCTATGTCGGTACGGGCAGTAACAAGGCTGTCCGAAAATTGTTGCATGTCGCCGTCAGTGATGTCAGTGATGATGTGAGGAGAATCGCTGTCCTCAGCTTGGGCTTCATTCTCTTCCGGAAGTACACCAGTGTCCCACGTATGGTTGAATTGCTGGCCGAATCCTATAACCCACATGTCAGATATGGCGCAGCAATGGCGCTCGGTATCTCCTGTGCTGGCACAGGTCTCGAGGAGGCTATTGACCTTCTCGAGCCAATGCTCAAAGATCCAACCGATTTTGTACGACAGGGTGCCCTTATCGCCCTGGCTATGATTCTTGTACAGCAGAACGATGCCCTCAATCCAAAGGTGAGCGAAATTCGAAAGAAGATGGCCAAGATTATTGGCGATAGACACGAAGACGCCATGTGCAAGTTTGGCTGTGCAATGGCACTTGGTATCATCGACGCTGGTGGCAGAAATTGTACCATCAGCTTGCAGACACAAACAGGCAACTTGAACATGCCTGGTATCATCGGCATGGCAGTGTTCACACAATACTGGTATTGGTTCCCGCTTGCTCATTTCCTGTCGCTGTCTTTTACACCTACGGCTATCATTGGCATTGACCAGAAGCTTGAAGTACCAGCATTCAAATTTCACACCAACACTAAACCAAGCCTATTCGACTATCCACCCGAGGAGACAACCAAGGTCGACGCTGGACCTGAAAAAGTGAAGACTGCAGTCCTATCCACAACTGCTCAAGCCAAACGCCGAGCTGCCAAGAAGGAAAAGGAGAAGACGACCGACAGTATGGACGTTGATGAACCTGCACCTACTACACCAAGGCCCGAGAAGTCTGACACGAAGGACAAGACGGAGGGGGACGACGACAAGAAAGATGACCACGCCGATACCACAGCCGACGAGAAGAAGGAAGACGAAGAGAAGAAAGAAAAGCAAATCAAGAAGGAAAAGGTTGGCTACGAACTTTCCAACATGTCCAGAGTATTACCAGCCCAGTTGAAATACCTCTCTTTCCCAGACAGCCGATACCAGCCAGTGAAGAAGCCACTCACTGGAGGTGTGGTCGTAGTTCTGGATACAGAGGCTGGTAAAGCGAGAGACACAATTCCCTTGACGGTCAGCAAAAAGGCTGTTGCGCCTGCACCAACCGTGCAAAATACTGCTGGTACTGGGACTGGGGCACCACAGACTCCTGCTAGAGGCATAGGAGAACAAACGGTGGGTGCCGGTGCAGCTGCCGCGGCAGCTGTTCTCACTGCAGTGGACGAGGATGAAGAGGGTGGCGAAGAGGCCGAAGTACCTAACGAATTTGATTACGAAAGTTCAGGTGAAGGCAATGACTCTTAGGCCACCCCCGAGGCAACGAAATGCATAGTTGTCTTGAAGGAAAGCAGAAGCTAGTTAGAAACACATGCTATCTACACTCAGTATTCTAAAAAGTAGCGAGATGGGTGAAGGGACTCATGAACGGCAAGAGCTGATGATGAGCTATTGTGCTCCTTGACTTGGTTTAGGTCGAGTGTATCGTCAGCCTGTATTATACTGATTGATAATTGTGCAACACTAAAAATTCTGTGTACGGCGTTTCTGGTTTGAGCGTAATCACTCTGTAAAAGATGCACGAGATAGACGTCCGAGCGACACTGCCAGGACTAAGTTTCGTTATAGGTCAACAGCTCTACTTTCCTATGGTTGAGTAAATGTTGCATAAAGCCTGTATGTACGTAAATTGTATAACACAATACTACACGTTACCCATCACATCGCGTGACACAAACTGTCATACGTCGAGTATAGAACACTTCGCTTCCACAACTCCAGAAAGATTGACAAGATATATGTAAGCTGGTAAGAAGTAAAGACACAACGCTAAGCACAAATGTGAAGTCTTGATGATTGACCCTCGACTATTTATCGGACCCCGGGTGGTTCGAGATCTGGGTAATTCTAGGGTTTCCAAGAAACCCAAGTTTGTCCTGTCCTGTTGTGTCGTTTCGTGTAAACGAGGCGTGAATGATAGAAACTCAAAATAGACATCTGAACTTCCTCAACAAGTAAACTGGGATTAACATCGTAGTTCTTTTCGCACAGGTGTGTGCGCGGCTGAAGCCATATAAGCACTGGCGAGACCTTCACTGTCACATGGCCGGATCTCGGCCCACACTGCCGACGGTTCCTGTGAAAGAGCTTCTAGGTAATGATATCCTGATTCATCGACGGGGCTGGCTGGCTGGTCATGGATTGGCAAGCAGGGCAAGCACGAGAATATGTTAGTAGGCGCCGCTGAAATATGCATGGTTTCAGGCAGCCACGGGATCGGTGTGCATGGGATGGAACGGATCATGAATGAGTAGTATCATCCACCAAAACTATCGGCGGTCAGGTCAATTCAAGGATACTCCAAGTTCAGAATCTATCTCTTCTCGCTTGTCGGATAACACCTAGCGCTTTCTATGATGCTTTGCATAGGTCCCCAAAATGCAGGTCATTGATGTCGTAAGCTTCGTGACTCGTTATGACGATGGGTGTAAAGATGTTGGTGAAAAAGAGAAGAGCAGGTTGCTGACTATACTCTGACCCAGTAGAAGCACTTTACTTCTTCGTTACTGCTTTATCCAGCAGCCTTCTCCAAAATCTCTTCCATTGTGTCAAGTCCCAAATCTTTGTACTCACCGTGACGATCTAGATCCCTCTGCTTGAGGTATTCTTGTCGCTTCGAGTCATCGACCTTTAGAATGGGTTCGTCAGTCAACTCCGCTTTGGTCAACTTGTAAGCCGCGTAGCCAAGAAACGGCGTGGCGGCCGCTGCAAGGACAAGATTGTTGCGTGCAGGGTTGTAATCATCATGCTAAAATGAAAAGAGAATAATTAATGCCTGAACCGAAAATTGCTTTTCAGTCAGCTACATCAATCATCGTAAGCACTCACTTTTTTTCGAGACTTGTCTCGTACGGGACTGCGATCATCGTCGTCGCGATCGTAGCGACTGCGTGCCCTGTACCTCTCGCCATTCCGGCTTGAGCTGGGAGGGGCTTCAATCATCCTTCTTTCGCCTTGTCTTGGCCCAGCGAGCTGGTCATATGTATCATAGGTACTGTTTGAACGTGCCCGCGCTCTTATAGAGCTCTGCAGTTCGGGGCCGTCGTAATACCAGTTTCCATCTCTACCCTTGTAGTAGCCACCATGCTCCCTGGCGCGTTGCCTGCGCTGATATTCGAGTCGCTTCTTATGGTGCTCCTCGTGCAGTTGACAGAGCTCTTTGTGTCGCTCGTAATCTTCGGTCATCTCTTTCCATTCACTGATCGCGCCTTTTATACCGAGAGCCGCAATACCAATAGCAGCGGCATCTTGCCATCTTGCGCTACGTGCCTGTTTATGTGCCTCTTCGGGTGACATTGTTCCCTGCTGTACAGCTATTACTCTCTTATCATGATTCTCAATCGAGGAATAAACTTTCGAGGCAGCGTGTATTGTGGCAACCGCAGCAAAGCCTCCGGTAATCCACTTCTTGCGCTTCATCTTCTTGATTTCGTTCTCTTCATCGGTGGATGATCCTAGATCGGAGGATGAGGAGCTCGAACTTGAGCTGAAGGCTCGGCGAGATCGACCAGATGTAGATGTGGCGCGGCGTGAGCGAGGCGGCATCGAGCCTTCGGAGTCGGAGCCGTAACCACCAGCGTCGCGACGATAGCGACCGTTCATCGAGCTTGTCTGTCTTCGAGCCCGTGGTCTTCTGGGTAGGACTTGTCCTTTATGCCGCACCACTTCGACAATCTCCTCGTCAGACTGAACCTGAGAACGTCGGCGCAAGATATAGCCTTTGTCTTCCATTGCATTGGTGTCTACCACGCCAGGATCTTCTCTGGGCGCTCTTCCTCGAGCTTTGTCGATACGCTGCTTTGCTTTCTCCCTCACGGGCTCTACATAAGGAGCAGCCAAATTGACAGCATTGAGGGCGTACGGCAAGTGCTCCATGATTGCGGTTCAGGCTGAGTATCAGCGGGTTTTGACGAGGGCGGAACTAGCGAGACGACTGCGGCTGAATGATCTGATTCGCTCAGGTGTCTGTGTCCTGCGACACAGCATGTGCGCCCTGCTTCGCACCAATACGCGAAAAGCCCAATCCACGACAGACAATCAAGGCTATCACGGAAAGCTGGGCTCGCACATGGTCTAATTCGAGGGTCTGCGCAAAATCGGTAACACAATATTGGAAAGGCCTCAAATCCCTAGCACGAGAACCCTGTTCTTGAACACAAATGCTCAGTAGCAAACCAACCGAAGAAGAATCATGCAAGAGTTGAGTAGATCAAGCACACAGCGGACGGCGTTAACATAACCAACAGTGCTAAGAAAGGTGTTCTTGAGTGGGTGGTGATTGTCGCAAGTACGTTTTGGCAATTTGAGAGGGCAGGAAAATGAAGCATAAGAGGACGGGGCTCACCGTAAGCTGAGTAGTCAGGTGAACGGAGACAAGCATTCGGGAAGTCTGGACAGTCCCGATTTCATTGTGGATGGAGGTGAGGTGTTTCATGCCCACTTTGCTTACCCAGTCCGCGTATCAAACATGGTTGTGCAAATCCTTTACCTGGGATGCTCCCTTTGTGGTTGGGCGCAAACGACGCTTTTCGTGTACTAGAACCGAAAAATTCAGAAGGTTTGTGGCTTTCTTTCGAAAATGTCAAGCTTTCCCACCTTATTTGTCCACTGCCAGGTACACGATTGGAGGAAGATGGCATTAGCTAGGAAGGAACGACTGAGAGGAGGTGTGCGAATGCACAGTGATGACATGAAATGCTGCTTCCACTGCTGCTTTCTGATCTGCCGCCGAAGCGTCTAGCTCGCTTACTGCCAGGACAAGCATAATCTTAGTGGTGGATCATCCAAGTGGCTGGTACGCGATGACGTATATGTAGCCAGAACATCGGCGTCGGACTTGTTTATTGCGCTTTCGAGACCATGGCAAGAGAGACAGATCGGAACCGAGAAGCTGTTCTGAGTAAGGACGTATTACTGTACAACGTCGCACAAGATAGCTTACCAAGGCCATATGCCCTGAAGAAGAGGCATCCACGAGCTGGACAGAACGCTAAGAATGCTAGCCTCTTGCAGGAATCTGTAAGAGTTAATGGTCATGCTAGATTCGGGCTTTTATCTGTACACGTATGCTGATATTGGTTTGGCTTCAGATCAGAAGCTTCAGCCTGACAGATAATTGGTATATCAGTTGAGAGGAAACTGAATATCTGCCTGAGGCACGATGAAAACGTTCAGGCTGCCAGGCGTGAAGTATCCACCCTGCGGGCTCGGCTACGTATGCAGTGCGCTGCGTGTTCCCGCACTTGCACGAGGCTCTCTTACGCTATACTCAACTTTCTCCAGCAAGAAAGCGCGTCCGTGCAGTGATCTTCGTGGTGACCTTTTTTACTGTTCTCACATCTTGCTATAGGGCTACAGTTGGATGGTATAGCCTTCCACCAGGTCACAAGCAGCAGCTATGGCGGAACCACCCATTGGTAAGATTTATGCTGTTCGTATCCGGACCACTCTGATATGTGTCCAGTGCTCGATGGAGGCACAGGTTTCGTAAAGGTTGGCTATGCCGCTCAGGTAAAGCCACAACCATATCACCGATGTTCTCAGCTAATCACAATGCGCAGAACTTCCCCGAGCACTCATATCCCTCTATAGTAGGGCGACCTATACTGCGATCGGAGGAAAAAGCAGGAGACATCATAGTGAAGGACATTATGTGCGGTGATGAAGCTGCGGCTGCCAGATCTGCCCTACAGATCACATATCCTGTATGCGACCGTACGGACGAGGAACGGCAGGCTAAGTACTGACCTGACACAGATGGAAAATGGTATCATAAAGAGATGGGACGATATGCAACATCTTTGGAACTTTACTTTCTTCGACAAGCTCAAAATTGACCCTTCGGGACGAAAGATTTTGCTCACCGAACCGCCGTTAAATCCTCTGAAAAATCGTGAGCGAATGTGCGAGATCATGTTTGAGGATTATAACTTTGGTGGTGTCTACGTCGCTATTCAGGCAGTCCTTGCGCTGTATGCCCAGGGCTTGTCTTCTGGCGTGGTCGTCGATTCTGGAGATGGTGTCACCCACATTGTTCCTGTATATGAGTCTACGGTGCTCGAACACCTTACGAAGCGTTTGGATGTTGCTGGCAGGGACGTCACAAGGAATTTGATCGCTCTATTATTACGGCGTGGATATGCGCTGAACAGAACTGCCGATTTCGAGACGGTACGGCAGATGAAAGAAAAGCTGTGCTACGTCTCCTATGATCTAGCTCTCGACCAGAAGCTTGCTGAAGATACCACTGTCCTCGTCGAATCATACACTCTCCCTGATGGTCGAGTAATCAAGGTCGGAAGCGAAAGGTTCGAAGCGCCAGAATGCCTATTTCAGGTGAGTTACCCACAAGATTTACACACGATCCATCCCCAGGATGGTGGATCGTCCAAGTCGTGTCCATGTCCGAAGCTGACTGCGTTTTCAGCCACACCTAGTCGATAATGAAAATCCAGGTATTGCCGAGTTCCTCTTCAACACGATACAATCCGCCGATGTCGACGTAAGATCCTCACTATACAAAGCCATTGTTCTTTCTGGTGGAAGTAGCATGTACCCTGGCCTGCCTTCGAGACTTGAGAAGGAACTCAAGCAGTTATGGCTTACTAAAATCCTAGGTGGCAATCCAGAAAGACTGAGTAAATTCAAAGTAAGGATAGAAGATCCTCCAAGGCGACGACACATGGTTTTCCTTGGCGGCGCTGTTTTGGCAAACATCATGGCTGACAAAGAAAACATGTGGGTTTCGAAACAAGAATGGCAAGAACAAGGCGCGAGAGCTTTACAGAAGCTTGGTCCAAGATAGAAAAAGTCATTCCATGTCACACAATCTACCACGTCTACACTAACGTGTCCGAATCGTATGGCTGTACACCAGTACCAGGCTGCTATGAGCCTAGTCAGGCAACGATATGAAATGCAGCACCCAGACACCATGCTGAGACTCTGACGTGGTCGTTGCCCACAGCTTCAGGAGATCGTGGTCGCCTACAACATCCGATCTTATCATGTTTTGCAAATTCTCGCATTGGCGAAAGGGGCCACAATGCCAACTGAGGAACAAACACTGCCGAAGTTCATTCTTTGTGGCATATAGCTGGTCCAGCACTACTGGAGTCTCTGCCGCAGAATAGTCGTGCTCGCCAGGATCAGCAGCTACGGCAGCCAATGTTGCGACTTGAACGTATTTGTAGACTTTATAAAACTGCAATCATGCAGCCAGTAGCTGACCCTAAATCGACATTAGTTGCCGCTATCACACATATGATAGGAGTATCTGCAGCAACTCTGCCAGACGATGTTCGCACTGCCCGAAATTGGGGTTGCTTCTCGAGCTCTCTCACCTTTTTAGCGAAAGAGCACCTCGCGTGCCGGAGGGGCATTCAGCTCCATTCTGGAGCTTCGAATTCAACTTCAGTCCAGTCGAGTTCACCTTTCAGATACATTTTCTCCTTCTTAAAGAACAACACGACAAGTGATAGTCAACATGGCAAGATGATGCCCTCAGCCTACCCAAACAATGCTCTGACGTCGGAATGTGTGTCCGGACTAATGATCCGGAACTGCTCTTATCGAGCTCCTATCATGAAACACTGGCAGCTGAGCACCACAGCTGCTCAAAATGGTACCTATTTGAATAGCCTGGCAACCTGACAACTGGGTTATATCATTGACCACTCCTCTTTCCATACGTTCTCCAGCCTTGTTGAACCCGGAGTCGAAGCTTTGTGTTGATTGTCGCAATGCCTCCGTGCGTCTCACGTGCTGCTCTCCTACGTGGTTGTTTGGTGGCCAAGCCCAGGATTCAACTCCAAAGATATGCTCACAGTTCTCCCAGAACTCTGCCTTGCTTTTCTTTGGAAGGTAGGACATGTGTTGGTGAGTACAAACCTCGTCTCAAGAGCGATTGACACCTCGTCTAACCACTCTGTCTAGTCACGGGGTACGTTCATGTGACTTAGGCCTACATGACCAGCATCTAACTCAATCCCAGAGCCTCACAAGGCCTCGGAGCTCAAATCCTAGCAGCATTCGCTCTCTCCGGCGCCAACGGAGCCGTCGTCGACCTATCACAAGAAACCGCCAACAAAGCAGTTAGCGACCTAAAGGATGAAGCCAAGCGCGCCGGCCTCCCCGAACCAAAACTCCTCGGCTACGAATGTGACACCTCGGACAAAGACAAGGTCGTCAAGACCTTTGACCAGATCGTCAAGGATTTCGGCAAAGTCGACGTTATGGTTACGAATGCCGGGATCGCTAGTGGTACTCCGGCGGAAGACTACGAGCTCGATGAGTGGAAGAAGATGCTGGACGTTAATGTCAGTGGTGCGTTTTTGTTCGCTCAGGCTGCGGGTAGGCATATGATTAGCCAGAAGATTAAGGGGAGCATTATCATGGTCAGTTCCATGTCAGGTTCAATTGTGAATAGGCCGCAGAAACAGAGTGCTTATAATGTGGTACGTTTCGGTTTTACCATGTTTTGGGTGTGGGCATCTAACTAGCCACACAGTCCAAAGCTGCAGTCTCACATCTGATGCGTTCCCTGGCAAGCGAGTGGGGAGAACATGGTATTCGCGTCAACGCCCTTTCGCCAGGCTATATCCAGACCGCGAAGAACGAAGGTCCGGAGATGAAGGAGTTGAGCAAAGGCTGGGTAGAGATGATTCCCTTACATCGCATTGCGACGCCGGACGAATTCAGAGGCACCGTCGTATGGATGGCGTCCGATGCATCCAGTTACATGACTGGCGCAGACATTATTGTCGATGGAGGGTAAGTCTGAAAAACTTCCCGTGCTGTGAAGCTAATATTGGCGCAGGTATACTATATGGTAAAGCATTGCCACCCCTTTCAGCTCAACCGAAGGGCATCAGATCGAGTCGCAGTCGTCTTGCTGCTCCTACCTGTACCTTGCTTTAGAGCACATTCTTGACTGATCTTCGAAGCGAGATCCATTGGCTACCGCCATCTGCGGACGATGTACCTCCATGTCAGCTTGATGCAGAGCAAGAGATTCGTATCCACGAGCAGCATCTCAAGTCTGCTCGCATCCTCAAGGGCGTCGATGTTGGCCTCAGCATGCCCAGAACACAAATGGGCCCCTGGTTCGCATCAGCAAGTTATCGAACGAATATTGCAGCTTACATACCTCTCAAGACCCTTAGTAGCATTTTGAGCTCGACTCTCTTCGCCATTGAGCATAGTCACAAACTCATACTCGATCTCTTCTTCAGGAGCTTGCTCCTGCTGGTCACTTTGGTCTTGTGCTTCCCAATCTGTGTCAGCGGTACTATCTTCTTCTTCGTCATCTGTCTCGTTGCCATACACTTCCTGCTTCGCCTTCTTGGTGCGACGCCTCTTCCTTTTACCTCCTTTATTTTTGCTTCTCCTTCTCTTACTTTTCTTCTTGCCAGCACCACCAGACTCGTCTTCGGCCGTATTCGAGGTCTTTGAGACATTTTCCGGCAGGGAAACTGATCGTACTTCAACGCCAATAGCGTCTGGTCCAACCTCCTTGCCTGGACCCATACCCTCAATCCCATGAATCCGCCACCATCGACCAAGCATAATTTTCCCGCCTGGAGTTATTACACCTTCGTATGCGTAGGCGTAGTCAATCGTCCCATCGTCCCAGGTCATGTATTGTGCAGGCGAGAAGTCTTCTTCCAGCATCCGGATGTGCTTGGCTGAGAACAGTGGTGGAAGCTCTGTCTTTGATTTGGTTTCGCCTCGAGGTGCAGATGGTGGCATTGAAGCTGAAGTCTTGAGGTTCTCGTCAAGAAGGTTGCTGTAGCTATCGCTGAATGACTTGACGCGTTTTGTCAGCAATTTTCTAAGCTGAACTTCAACTTGCTCTTCGGTTGGTTGACCTTCATTTCCATCGTCATTGTCAGCATTAGTGGCTGCTTCCGGGGGAGTGTAGGTGCCAGCGGAATCGTCGTTGTTACCGCCTGCAGTTTGTTGCGACGGCGCACCTTGACCCTCTCCGGCTGCGTTGTTGTTCCAGACGTCTGCTGTGTTGAAGTCCATTTCTGTACCCGAAGCTCCGCCATACGCTTCCTGTGCATACTCGAGGACAGAGACCAGCTGTCGTGTCGTTGGTTTGTAGATGACCGCAACAATGTGTTTCCAACCAGGTATGATACTCTCTCTTTCGTCGTGCTTGGGATCTGAGAAGCGTGCTCTCCTCGGTTTTCTGCCGAGTATTGCTTCTGAAGGTATATCGTGAACGAACCCGTGCAGGCGGGAAGCGAGGAATGGGTGCCACTTCGGCAGTGTGTCTTCATCTTGCTCTGCCGATGAGTTCTCCATAGGTTTCTTTTTGTCCTTGAACTCCTTGAATGGCGCTATACCTCGGATGTAGGTAACATTGTGGCTCTGCTTGGCCGATTCAGGAGGCATTATCCGTTCGAACATCGGAATAGTGCTGAAAGCTGGTGGCCAGAAAATGCCTTCGGTGTCGGTAGTACTCGTCTCGAACTCGAGCGTCATTGGATCGACATGATCCCAATCCTCGGCGCAACTTTGACCTTCCTCGAGATCTTGTCTGCTTTTCGGCCATGGTTGCAGGCAACTATAGTGACCGATCCAATTTGTCTCAACAGGAATATGCTCGGTCAGAGGCCGCTGCCATCTCCGCGGTATCTTATTGTGCGCCACAAGGTTTGCCGCCATAGAAGCATAAGTGTTCTCTCCAATGCCTTGTGTGTCGTCACTAATGTGTCGCTGCCAAAAATTCCGAATATGTAAGACGGTATGAATGTCGAGCTTGTAGCCCCGCTGCTGTGGTCCAGGCGGTGACGATCGCAAGTTGGGAAATCTCTTACTCTCTAGTGGGTTGTGTGGTCGCTCCTTGTCTTCCAACCTCACAAGCAGAGGTTTGCACGGCTTGTTGTAATTGTAAACGCGTGTAAGGTCATAGTTCTCGCGTGAGGACGGTAGTCTGACTAATACAGGTGACCGTCGGTTCAATACCAGATGAGAAAGTGTAACTTGTATCGTGTCGAAGAGCACGTTTGGTTGACCATATTTGGACTTCTGGTTGCCAAACAAAGCACAACGCATGAACTCAACGATCCATGGCGAGGAATCTGGCGAAGACATGGCACCCACGTTCTTCGAGGTCGGGGGAGGAGGTAGGTGAGCTTTGTGTCTGTTGTAAGTTTCTGACTGTATTAGCGAGAACTCATCATATTGCCTGTGCATTGGCCCTACCGAGTATCATATCGTTTAGGACAAGAAGCTGGTGTTCAGCTTGTTTCATGTTGCCGCTCGCAAGGGAGTGACTGTTCATTTTTCGTAGCACAAATCGCCGTATCTTGTATGCAGTCGCAAACTCATCACCAGCATTCAGTATTGGAAAATCATACCTTGCGAGGAACCGCTTTCGCCAATAGCCTGCGCCATCTGGTATGAGTTCGGTTGCGAGGAACGAAGCACTTAAAGATAATCGTCCCAGATCAAGATCAGAGTTCGTGAGGGTAGCAATATTGTGGATAAGCTTGAGTAACAGGTCAGCTTTGACATCAAAATGTATACGATCATGTCACCTCAGAAGGCAAAGCCTTGACCCCCTTCAGTTTCTGTTGAGTGTGTTCTTCGTCTGAGCTAGGGCTATCGTATTCGGACGACGCAGACGATGACTGCTGCGAAGAGTGTTCAACAGCCTCCATGTGAGCTGAAACGGAAGTCTGCCTGCTTGAAGACTCGGTACGAACAGGCGAACTTTCTTGGTCATTCTCTGACATATGAACGTCTTCATTGTATAATTCCGTCCTGGTCAGCAAATCTTCAAGATCCATATCATCTTCGCCGGAGTCTGCTTGGAATTTATCAGAGCTAAAAGTGTTAGCAGGTTCAACTGCAGATTGAACAGATTCATGCGAAATCATATTGATCCGAAGAAGTTTGTGGTATTGAAAGATCGATCCTGATAGTAAGAACGAGGGTTCAAAAGACAGCAGCAAAGGCATGGATTGTTCAATCTGGTACAGCACTGCTGCCTTGCTTCGACACGCGGAACAGGTCTTGTTGCTCATACGTGCGAGCTTCAGGTGAAATGAATCCGAGGTTAAAATGAACGAGCTATTGCGAAACTTCGTATTGGACACGTTCAAATTATGCACGACTGTCATATTTGTGGGTGGCCGGCTGAAATCATACCATGGCACAAACCTGCCTGCTCGAACCTGCTCCACTAAACATCATCTACACAGATATGATGATTCCATGCTGGAAGAACATATACTCCGCACATCTCGATCAATGAGCCTGAACAACTCCTGCTTCATTAGCTTGTGCAAGGAGTTTCTTCTTGTATGCATTGACATCACCAGGGAACTTGGTGACTGTGCCATTGTCGCATACCCACAAGCTTGTGCAGACATTTTGTAACATTGTCACATCGTGGCTGACCATCAATACACCACCACCGAACCTCTGTAAAGCTGTAGATAGTGCATCCATGGCCTCAATATCGAGATGATTGGAAGGTTCGTCGAGCACAAGGATATGAGGATTAGTCAAAGAGAGACAAGCGAATGCAACCCTGGACTTTTGACCACCCGATAACAACTCGAGTTTTTGTAGACCAGTCATTCCTGTAATACCAAAAGCTCCAAGATGCCTCCGATATTCCTCGTCAGACTTGCCAGGGTAGTTCTTCTGCATGAAGCCAACGGCGGATGCATTCATGTCCAGTGCATCAACGTGATGCTGTGCGAAAAACCCAATCCTCAATCGTGCGTTCTGCGAGACAAGCCCAGCAGTAGGTTGTAGCTGGCCAATAAGAAGCTTCAAGATTGTTGTTTTGCCGGCACCATTCGGACCAACAATGCCGATTCTCGAGTCAAGTTGTACATCCAGATCCACATTCTTGAGCAACGGCTTCTCTTTAGTGTAGCCAAAGGCCACACCACTCATCTGAATAATTGGTGGAGATAGCTTCTCCACATCTGGAAACTTGAACTGCACAGAGTACTCAGCTTCTGGTGGTGGAAGCTCGGGCATGCGCTCGAGCTTCTTGATCCTGGATTGTGCTTCAGCTGCCTTACCAGCATTGTACCTGAACTTGTCGATGAAGGCTTGCAGATGCGCTCGCTGAGCCACGTTGTTCTCATACTCTCGCTTGGCAGTCTTCTTTCGTTCCTCCTTTGTGGCATAGAAGGAGTCAAAATTGGCGCCCTTGTAGTAGTCGAGTCTCTCAGAGTGCTGGTGTATGATATCTGTCGCTATTTCATTCAGGAACGCTCTGTCGTGCGATACAACCAGTACAGTGCTTGGGTATGTTTGCAGATAATTTGCCAGGAAAGTAATAGATGGCACGTCCAACATATTTGAAGGTTCGTCGAGTAACAACAAGTCTGGCTCGCAGAACAGAGCTCTAGCAAGGGCCAACCTCATTCTCCAACCACCAGAGAATGTTCTTGTGGCGAATTGCTGTCTTTCTGGCGAGAAGCCAAGACCTGCCAGAATACTTGCGGCTCTTGGCTCTGCTTTATCTGACTCCATTTCGCTGAGCTTAGCTTGAATATCACCAAGGGTCGTATCGAGGCCGTCTTTTTCTTTGTCGAGTGTTGCAGCCTCTCTCGATGTATCTGCCATTTGGGAACGTTGTGCCTCGAGGTCGGCCAGCTGCTGGGTGATCTTGGCCTGATCCTGCAACAGTTTCTTACGCCATACATCAGCATCCAACACTGCTTGCAGAGCTGGTGTATCATCACCTGTGATCTCTTGCTCGACGTGGAGGATGGAGATATGAGTAGGAATTGCAACTTCTCTTCTGCTCAATGCTCGCAGTAAGGTGGATTTACCGATACCATTCTGGCCGACGAGACCGTAACGTCTACCATAGGCCAATGTCAAACTTGTGTCCGTGAGAATTCGTTTGCCACCGATTGAGATGTCGAAGCCGTCAACCTTGATGTCTTTACTCTTCATTTGGGAATCAGAGCCAAGTTGTAGCGGGTTGACTTGCATGAAGAATTCTTCGTAGGACTGTGCCTCTGTAGGCTGGTCAAGCAATCTCGAAGCTTCGTATTCGACGTTTTTCATTACTTTCTTGTCCTGTTTCGCTCGAATTTTGCGTTCGGCCTTTTCGAGCTTTTTCCTATCGACCTTGGATTCGACCTTTCTGGCCGCAGTAGCCTCCAGGTCGACAGCGGCACTAGACAACCCGAGGGTAGAAGAAATATTTCTTTGTGAGCTCACCTGAATTGTCTGATCAAGCTTCTTTGCTGCAAAAGGCATCTGTCGTCCCTCGCCGTCGAGTGCGTTAGAATCATTAAGACGGGTGATGAATTTTTCGACCAAATTTCGCACAGCTGTCAAATTTTGGTCAGAGAAATCGCCCGATGCAGACACAAGCATCTCAGTCACGGCTTCAAGAGCATCTGCCATAGGATTTAACTCCTCAGCTTCACTAAAATACTGTTTAGCGGCATGATTAAGATAACCAACAGAATATTCTGATATGGTTGGGTCAATGTTCGGTATTTGCTGGTGAATTTCTGCCTCCATCGTTTATCAACACGTGAAGACTCAGGACTGAAGGTTTGCAGTGATCTTGTAGATCAAGATGAAGAGTCGTGGATGCATCGAACCTGAGAGGCAATAACGAGGCTGGCAGTTGCAGAAGAAGACTTTCAATCACGTGAGCTAAAGCTTAACGATGGATAAACGGCAGCAGTCGGCTTGTCCCTGCACGGATCGACAGCGAGGGTGGCTCGGGACTGCACCTTCGAGTTCAATGACGCGGAATGCGCCTTTCCCCAAGACCTATACGTCGCAATCCCTTAGTAATGTGGGCTGCACGAGTGAACGAGAGGAGGATGTCGTTAGTCATGGGACAACTCCCTATATCAGCTTAATCCTGCTCTTCCTTTAGCGATCCCCTGCCTTTTTGCTGCGATTTTGTCTTGCTCAGCCTCAGAGATTCCTGTCAACCTCGTTCAAATTGAAGCAATGGCTGTAATGAAGGCCGTCACCCTTGCACTGCTATGCGCAGTCGCAGTCACTAATGCTCAATCTAGTTGCATCTCCCCATCTGGCAGAATACAGCCTTCTGTAGCGTCTGGGTATTCCCTTCAGGTCGTTGCGACCGGTCTCGCAAAGCCACGAGGTCTTACCTTTGACAGTCAGGGACACCTGCTTGTCGTCCAGCAAGGAAGCGGCAGTCTCACTTCATACACTATCGATGAGTCAAATGGCTGTACTACCTTGGGTAACAACGCCACGGTGGTGGATGTTGGCCTCAACCTAAATCACGGTCTATGGGTCAATGGCACTACCCTCTACGCCTCAAATGTCAACAGCGTCTACTCCTGGACCTACGATCCAAACGCTAGAACGGTCAGCAATCAGGAAGAGTTGGTTAATGGTATGGCAAACAGTGATCACGGCACACGTACACTGCTATTGCCCGAATCTGCCCCAGGCATGCTTGTCATCACTCGAGGTAGTGGAGGCAACCTCGACATCAATTCCACGACTATTGAGGGCGGAACAGCACAAGTCAGGGCTTTCAACCTCAACAATAGAACAGGAATATACGATTGGCTTGATGGTCAGCTCCTGGCATGGGGTGTCAGAAATGAAGTGGGAATAGCCGAACACCCAGCGACTGGTGGCATATGGGGTGTGGAGAACTCAGCCGACCAGATTACCCGCAACGGCGTGGACGTGTCGAACAACAATCCTGGAGAGGAACTCAATTTCTTTGGATATCTGAACGGTACCCCTTATGCGAATCAAGGAGCCAATTTTGGCTATCCATGGTGTCTGGCCGCATATAACCTCACTGAGCTGCCTAATAGTTCAGATTTGACGATCGGCGAACAATTTGCTTTCGATACGGCCTCAACGTTGGACAACGAGAACCGCACTGATGAGTACTGTTCTCAACAGGCTGCGCCACGACTAGTGTTCCAAGCACACATGGCACCTCTTGATATCAAGTTCAACAATTCAGCTACCGAAGCGTGGATCTCCTTCCATGGCTCATGGGATAGGGAAGTGCCAGTTGGGTACAAGCTTTCTGTCGTCCGATTCGGCGAAAACGGCGAGCCTTCGGATCAACCAGACTCACTCACTGCTGTTACAGATATAGTCAGCAACACCAACCTTAGTGCATGTCCTGCTAACTGCTTCCGGCCGGCAGGACTTGCCGTCGACAACCGAGGCCGTATCTTCATGACTTCGGATTCATCAGGCGAGATATATCTCGTAACACGAAACAGCACATCCAATGGCACAAGTGGTACTTCCACTTCTGCTTCGCCATCTGCCACTGCATCTGCTTCATCAGCATCCACTTATGGCATCTATCCTACAGGGTTTGGTGCTGTCTGTGTCTTGCTTCTGTTTTTGTTGTTCTAATGCAATCTAGAATACATTCATGTCACGAATCTCTTCAGAAGCAGAGAGGGAAATGAGCAGATGTACATCACTTTGCTCGAGGACGATACCCCTATTTATGCAAGAGTGTATATAGTATTCCTTTGTCGATCAATCCATTGCTACAAGGCATGAAGCTCCTTGCACTATTTCGATATAAGTAGTGGCTGATCTGCAATCTGCCATGCTTGTAGTACCTGTCTCACCATTAATGTACATATATTGAGATTCCCAAGCTCGAGACATAAGAGCCTTCAACTCTCACGTAGAACAACACAACGCCGATGAGCCAACCACAATCTTCCAAAGCACCAAATTGCCAGACCAAACACCTACCCAAAAGATGGGCCCTGTCACTATCACCGTTCTCTACCCTTCCATTGCCGCGGACCCCTTCGATTTCGCCTACTACAAAGACACACATATGCCTTTCATGGCCTCAGAATTCAAACCATATGGACTAAAAGGTATACCTTTCACCTCCCTCCTCATCTCTCATCCTCGTCCTTTTTCTGCCCCAAACCTATACATACTTACCAGTAATCAGGATACACGATCACTCGCTTCCTCGCCCCGCCAACAGCCGACAATCCCGTCGCACCTCCGAACTATGCCGTGCAGTCCTGCTTAGAGTTCAATAGTGTCGAGCAGGTGAAGGAGACTTTTGCGATGGCTAGTGAGAAGGTGAGGCTTACTGTTGTAGCTGGTTATTGTGCACGGGTTGCTAACGGGTTAGTGAAGATTATTTTACAGAGGTTGTCCTGTTAGGTTTCAGTGATATCCCAAGAAGAGCTTCCCCCTAACATCCTAGATCGATTCCAATATCAGACTCTTCATATGATTTCGTTTCTTCAACTCATCAAACATCTTAATCAACTATTTCCTGGTCATCTTCGTCCTCGACATCTGTGACTTGTGCATTCAGAGAGCCTCTTTCTCCCCTTCGTTCTCGCATGAACTCTTCAAATGTTCGTCGGTTTCCACGAGCTGACTCTACGTCGCTCTTGACCTGATCTCGAAGCCTGCTATTTTCCTTATCCTCGTCAGTCATATTAATGCCCTTCAGCCGTTCTAGCGTTTCTGCAACAGTGGCCCCCATCGGCGCGTCGTGTCGCATAGCATCGAAGATCTCACGCATTTCTGTGGCATTTAGTCCGTTGACGATTCCGACGTTACTGAAAGTATAATTGTTGAGGTAAGACCAGTGCCTCTTTCTCACAGACCATCCATTGTCACGAAATGAGACCTTGCGGACGAACGGGTACGGGTGAGAAAGCAATTGCATCGAAAGGGTTGGCCTGACTACAATAGGATTGTAAACTATGCTGCCTGTTGTAGCTGTCTCATGAAGATCTGATCCAAGCCTTTCGAGTCGGAGAATGCCAACCTCTTTGCGTGGATGTTCTTCCCTCTTAGTAAATGTCGCCCGTTCCGCAAGCGGTGTTGCGTGGCTGTTGTGATATTGGCCTCTGGTATTGCTAGAGGCGTCGAGGTACCTGTTGTTGTCTCTTCTGCTGTATCGGGCGTGTCTGTAGCAGATTGCGACGATGCCTCATTGACAAGCCTCCTTTTCTTTTTTGCTTCTCGTCTTATCCTACGTTCCTCTTTCCTCCTTCTCTTTTCAGCCTTGCGGTTCGCTCGCTCCTCTGACGACTCAACTGCCCTTGCTGTTGCAGTATTGTGTTTCGAAGGTAGATTTGTTTCATCGTCAGAAGGCGAGGCTGATTCGTCCTCATTTCCTTTGATTTCGTCGGCCTTTGTGCTCCGCGGGTCTTCCTGCACAAGCAGACCGCCTGGAACAAAGACCATACCGCCCCAACGGCCTTGGGCGAACGTGGCTAATTTTTTATTCTCGGTCTTTTTCTCTGCCTCTTTCACTTCCTCCTCTGACTTAGCGTTGAGACGACCTAGTAGGCCCTGGAACGCATCAAGACCCGTTCGTTGGTGCTCGACATTCTTGCTCTTCAAGCTGGCGCCTAGTCCTAGCATGTCGTCCTTCACAGCGATTCGAACTTTGGCAGCACTAGTTTCATGAGCAGGTATAGGTATAGAGGAGGCGCCAAGGGCTGTGCCCGGTTTCCAACCAGACGACTGCATGATGCGAGCGCCGAAGGATGCGGTCGATTCGCTCCATTGCAAGTTGTTTGGATCGTGTGACAATTTAATACGTCTATCGAGTAACTGATCAGTATGGGCACAAAGTATAATATGCTAGGCGGTCTGACTTTCGAGGTTCTGCAAGGCCCATTGTAGCAAGATGGGCTGGCAATGTATCAACAAGGACTCGAGTGCTGGTGATGTCTCTTCTGGACGAGGACCATGTATCAGAACTCCAGTTGCAGACAGCAATTTTTTGAGTCTGGCTCACCAGCTCGAATGAGGCATCGCTTATCTTATCGCCAACTCCACATTCCCGGCTGCTTAAGCTCGGGAAATCGCTTGATCGCATACATTCTGAGCCGAGACACAAACTCAATGAACAATGGTTCTATGCCGTCGAAGAAGCAGGGTAAGCCTCTACGTACACTCAATCTATGGCTATTTACAGTACTGTCAATACTAGTATGCTGCTGCTTCTATTAATGGCCAATGAAATGGTCCCTGCCACCAGATTTGCCAATTCTCTGCCCTCCAATCCTCGTGGCCGCTAATACCTTGGCGACCGCCCTTTCGTTTGCCTAGTAGTCATACCAACCTCGCTCGTTTGCATCCGCCCGTTTGCTCCTGCGCTCGTGAGCAAAGATGCATACAATGCTTGATCCTTTGCCATGCTGTCAAACAATTTGCACTACTGCGTCTTTTCCAATCGTAGATTCAATCGAAGCAGATATATAGCTACCGTCGGTGAGTCTTGTTCGTCTAACTCAGCTCGTGACACAATACAACCTTCTCAAACAAGGGTTGTCAGTCTTGTGTAATCACAAAAAGCTCTACGTTGCCATTCACGTACTGCCAATATCAAACGAATTATGTTGTCCCTCAGTCGAGCTGTCCTCGGCTTCACAGCTCTAAGCACAGTCGGTCTCGCTGCACCCATACAACAACGTCAATCTTCCGATTGTGTTGACGGAGTTACTCGAATCTACACTCCGGACCTATTCAACATCTACTACTACAACGATGTTCCCGAATTTCCTTCGATATCAACAGTCATAAACGTTATGAACGGCAGCACATCTGGCTCAGCTCAACACCAAGTCGCCCGTTTTGCCAACCTATCAGTAAACGCCGAAAGCTGTACTTTTGGCTGGTCCCAAGCAGCCGATCGATCCTTCAGTGTTTACGACAACGGTCTTGTGCGGTTCTCTCAGCTTACCGGTCTTCCAGCTGGCAACGTCACGGCATCCACCATCGAACCTTTCCAGTCTGAAGATGCAAAAGGTGGCAGCGTTGATTTCACTTTCTGGCCCGAGTCTGTTGGCCCTGAAGATCATGTTGGAGGTTCGGTTGACTGTGGCGCAGAGGTTGTCATTCTGCTTACGAAGGATATGGTCAGTGGGGGTCCTGGATCAGTCACAATGGAGCAGACCCAAGGAAATGGTCTTTGGTTAGAACATGCTTGTTAAGACCCAGGTCTAACACTAACGCGACTACGAAAAGTATTGGATGTTTCATGACAGATTGCAAGAAGATTGTGTAAGGAGTTGTTATGGTTCGAAAAATGGGCTAGATTTTACCACTACGCGGGTACATAATGATTACTGAGGATGTTCATGCTGAATATGGCATGCTTGTTGTTGTATCACTAGAAATGCCAGATAGTGATCAACGAGAATACTGAAAAGTTCTTACTGAGTTAATCTTACTGCGATAAGTCCTACAGTTGTCATCTTCAACATTAGTCCTGCGCTCCGTGTCTGGCAGCGCGTTCCAGCAATCTGACATAATCCTTTGCATGATATACATTTTCCATTCTATATGAGGAGTGACCTCGAACATTCAAGGCGGATAGGACAACCGTTCTTAGAATCAATAGTGGACATGCGATAGTCGTAACTCTACAATCCTTCCCCTCGTCAGCCTCATCCGTGTATGGAGCTGCTCGACATCGATTCTTGAGCGGTCACCATTCATCATTTCGCAATAGTCAACACTAAGGCAAAGCTTCCCCTTATCTAGGACCTACCTCTGTCAGATCTCTGTAGTCCTCATTAAACGGTCGGTAGACCAGCCAGACCACGCAAGAATAGCTCCCGAACAATAAAGTGCTATTTCCAGAATGGCCTTGTCACCTTTACCTATACAACGCCAATTTATTGCTTTGTTTGAGATAACACACAATCACCAGTATAGTCACTTGCTAAGTCGCACAAGAATTGGTGTTTATTGCGTGTTGTATGCCTAATGTAATCGCTTTTGTTGGGTAGTCTTTCTTTCCTCTTAAAAAGAAACGTCGCAACCCAGAGTAAGTGTCGCAACTTGCAATAAGTATACATACTGCAACATCACTCCAGGTAATTGTCCCGTCGTAATAGACTAGCAGACCTGCTATCCTAAGCACTCCTTGCAGCCTCTGAGAGCACTTCGACCGCTATATCAAGAAGAACCTGCCAAGTTTAGCATCTATTCACAAGTGAGGCGAAGCCACAATGTCAACTAATATCAGTGCCCTATCGACCGAACAGCGAAGCTTACTTGTAAGCGATCGCTATTCCCAAGAAGACCTCAATAAGTTGCTCGGTTTCACTGAGCCAGCCAAACCTGAACCTCCAAGGCAGTCCAAGCCATGGCAAGAAGAGTTTCTCGACTCACTTCCGAAGAATAAAGTCGAAGATACGCCTTGTAAAGGTATAGTGACTTCTGCATTGACATTGAGAGATGGCGACTGGATCTTCTTTAATCCTGAACGCAAGCCACGACTTATACCTGCGAGCCAACTAAGAGGAGCTCGAATCAACTTTTACCCCGAGGAGAATCAAGATCCATCCGCATACCGGAATCCTCCGATCCACGCTGGTCCTCGTCAGGGAGACCCTGCCGATATCAGGAGGGCTTGGGAGTTGGAGTATGAGAAGTACGGAGAACACACCGCCAATAAGCGGCACTTCGAGCGTCAAGCTGCAGTGCAGCGACGAGACATCGTTGATACCGGTCGAAGAGGGAAGAAAGTTGGCGAAGCCGCGGGACACGTCTTTGGCGAGAGGTGGAATTTAGCGGACCGCTCGCGAGCGACGGCATTCCACAGGAAGGTCGACCTAGCGAGGAGAGAATTGGTAGAGCGAGGAGAGGTCGAAGATGAATAGATTCTTAGTGAAGATAAAGATTTGCATCTGAAGCTTCCTGCAATGGTATTGAAACCAACAATCAACTCGACAGGAGTCGCTCTCGACTAGCACAACCTCGGCCGCATAATAGCCACGTCCTGAAAGACTAGGTTCTGGCACATTGTGCAGAGGAGGTGAAGGATGTTCGAGACGTTATTGATTTTGGAAAGAAGCGTGGTGTAAAGCATCCACAACTACTTTGAAATAACCGGCATTAACCTCGGATCGGTCTCCAAGATTGGATGTTACAAAGAATTGATGTCTTTTCCGCTTTTTCAACGAGGCTCAAACCTCAACTAGGTTTGATGAGCGTAAATACAAGCAATGATCAGTTTGTCTTTTGAAGTTTATCGAACCTTGGAAAGAGGAACATCGACCAGATAACACTTCGTCTGGCAACCCTTGTGATAGTCAATGCGTTACTATGCATTTAGCTTAAGCTTGTGAGAGCACTCGATGACGGCTTTGATGGTTCGTCGATCATCAGTTTTCATCTTTGTTCTATACGTCGATTCGCGTCGGTGCATTGCCAAGAAAATGCGTCGCGTGCATGTACGAGAGCTGAACGTACCTTCGACCTCGTCCTCGTCTTCGTTCCCGTGTCGTCTCTATTGACTGTTTCAGTCCGTCATCTCAGACGAACGATACGTTCTTTCGTTGTGTACCAGTCAGACATGTGTCTATAACCAGTAGTCTTATCCTGCTTCAACTTTTCTCGAACAGCAAGACAATATTGCTGACTTATACCTTACTCGTTAAGAGGACTGGGTCCGCTCAGTCAATCTTCATCTGAGACTTTCGATGTGGTAAATGGCATTTGCAAATATACACTTCAAAATAGCCTTCACTCAGGAGAATGTTTTTTCCCTTCTTGCTTTCTTGAACTCCCATCCATCCTAACAATCCACGTTCTTTTGTCTGATCAATATGCTCTAAGCAGTCTTCTCATTCCTCGCACGCAGTGAGTTCCCGTTTCTTTCCGTCATGCTCCCTCACCCGAAGTACAGACACAGTTGGAAAGAAAGAGATCGGATCCTTCTCTGTCTGCTAAAAAGAGAACATAGTCGCACCCAGGCAGCTACTCTATGGAATCGGCTTTGTAGTCACAGAGCAGAAGGATTAGGCATAACCGCTCTTGATGGACAGTACCAAGAAATGAAGAAGGGAGGCAACGGCCATGAAATTTTCTCACGAATTAACACAGCTTCACAACCTCAACTCGAACAAGAATACCGAATGTACTTCACCGAAATACGAAACGCGGTCGAGGACATTGAACGTGGGACTACAGCTAGTATTATTAATATGCCTGCGCAGTCCAGAGCTTCTACACGATCAACGCTGGCGGGAGACGTTTCAGTCGCTGCGGCATTAACAGGTATCAACTCAGGTAGCGACGACACCGAAATACGAATTCGACCACAACTGCAACAGTTCACGTACAAAGAGAGTACGCACTTCCAAAGAGACGAAACCTCAATCAGTTCAGTCCAAGCCCCTCCAGATACTCGTTACGAAGCGCAATTGCTCCCAATACCTCCAGTGTACCGGATCGATATAGCATTCGACGGAACACCCTCCCGGAGACATCCTCTTCTTCTGTTTAGAGCTGCACCTTTCGAGTTGATATTAAATTCAAGGGAGCAGATCAAGGGCAAGCGAGCTATACAGGTTCCCGCTTTTGGCAGCAAAGACTTCATGGATCGAGTCGTACCACATATGCAAGGCGATAAAACATATTCCTCGCCATTTGTTTCCTTCAGAGAGAGCCCCAAGGCCACCCTACAAAAGTTGGAGAAGCGACGTGCTGCAGACATCGACGAAAAGATCTTTTTCGCAGTCTTTGCATTCAATGATGTTCAACAGCATGCAGAAAGAGTATACGGGCCAAATTCAGGGCCATACCTGATAAGTGGGATTGAACTGCCGTATTTACCAGGGGGCTACACGGGCACCACGGAGGTAAGTCTATAGATCGAATCAACGGACGTGCCTAATCACTATAGTGGCTCATATATCGAACAGTCGAGTGTGAGCCTATCGTACTTTTAGATTCGGCGCAAGCGATCCTTCTAGCACAAGCTCTTGATCGACTCAAACGTTCGAGTGATACCTCAGCACTTATAATCGTCAGCAACGTAAGCACACTCAAGATCTGAAAGAATCACCGACTAATCTATCGTAGTGTCTTTCCGACACGCCCGCGAAGTGGAAATGCGCATTGGCATATCTCATTTTAAAATACTACTGGAAAAAATCATCGCTCCCTAAAGTCAACACCAAAAGATATCATCTACTCATGCAACTGATTCACAGCGGTACCGAGACAGACCTAAAGATGTTCGATTCGTGTCACTCCGATACCCAAGTGATTCAAGTGGAGAGTACAGACGAAGACTGTGTTTTAGTTGATAGCCATCAACCTTCATCAGCATCTCAGGTGTCGCCCGTTACTAAGCTGAACGAGCTGAACTCGATTCCATCTAAGACATCTCCTCAACACCCCGGTCGCAAACGTCGCTCCAGTCCTCTATGGAGCCCAGACACCCATTCTGAAAGCGACCAGGATATGCCTATTGTATTGGAACATTCTCCAAAGCGAAGAAGGACCAGCATAGCCAACGTAGTGGCTAATGTTGAGACATACGTCGAGGATGACGAAGATTATAACTTTACTGAAGGGCTAGATTCATTGACCAGGAAGAAGATAAAAGAATGGTCACTGCAGCCAGGTCATCAAGACGAGACTATACTTCCTAGTACAGAAGCATCACAGCCAAACAGTGACTTCCTGGCGGAATTGTACCAAGAAGCGTACCGCAAAGCATCAGATACTATATCGATACCGGCCTCTCTACACGTCCAAGCACCTATAAACTGTCATCCAGAGAATGAGAACAGATTTTCAACCAAGGAAAATGCGCACTCTTGGACTTGGGTAAATTCAACAAGAAGTTTAGGCTCTCAAGGTGTTTCTAGTGGTGTGAAGGTTTTTACTATGGGCCATGACGATGAGGAAGAGGAAGACTTGGTGCCAGTCAAGGAGGAAGCTCAGAATGGAGGTGAAGAAGAAGAAGACGAGGACGTTATTTACGTTGGATCAAATGGAAGAGACCTCATTAACCTGCAGCTTCGAAGCTTGTCGGTGCAGTGAGCCTGTGAGCAACCCAAGCATCGACCGGACGAGAGTTGACTGCCTCTTAAGCCATGATTGGCTGAGAATGTCGAGTTATGCTGTTATAGCATAGAATGGAATTAGTGCTGAGATCAAAAGAAGCTTATCAGATGCTACAGCGTCAAACAGCGCACGAGGCGTGTCAAGATAAAGATTGAAGTCGAAGAAAAGTTATATTTCAAAGAGGAGAGCTACTCAACCCTCTTGTAAATTCGAAGGGTATCACATATATATTCAAGCTCAGAACCTTTTTGACCCGATGTTGAGGACGTTCTTTGTTCAATCAAAGTGGTTGTGATAAATTTCAGTCCTTTTTTCACATTACCATTCGCTGAGTAACTCCAGAACTTCTCATCCACCCTTCCATCATTTTCAGACGTTCGTTCAGACGCTCGATCTCTGCATCCTTGCGCCGTAGATCTGATTCTGCAGTCTGTATCCAGGACATAGCTAAGACTAGAACCTCGGACTTCTTAGGTGCTCTGTCGTCATCCATATCATCTATATCTGCCTCATCAGTCTGGTCAATACCGTGCTGCGCTCTTTTCAGAGTCGAATATAACTCCATGATCTTGGCATTGAGGTTTTCTCGGTACTTTTTCTCGACAAGACTGTGAGCCACACGCTGGCGGGACTTTTTCGTCTGCTTCGACGTTGACGGCTCGTCTTTCGTGCCACTAGTCAATTTGGTTGATGATTTCCGTGCCCGAACACGTCCCTTCTTGTCGTCGTCGTCGAGTGGAATAGTGTTCATGTCTTGGATTTGCGGCTGAGACCTTTGCGGCGAGGTATGAGGCGTAAAGTCTATGGGCTGGTTGTCAAGCTCATCTTCCATGACGGAATCTTCACGAATTTGGTCAGGGACACAGTCCTCAATGTCATCAGGCTGTCGCACGTACTGAAGACAAGGAGCATTGGGACCACATTGCTCTGGTATACAGACTCCCTGACCGCCAGCGAGGAGGGCGGGGCATAGTTCGTTAGAAGCATAGTTGGATATGGTCGATGGTTTGCGAGATAGGGAGGATCCAGAATGGATACTGTTTACTCCGTCATCGTCGAACATGTTGCTACTTATCGAGGAGTGTAATGACCCTTGAGATATTGACGAGACTTCGCAAGAGTCGGACGAATAAGAGAAGGCTCCTAGATCGTGGGACTCAAAATCGTATGGGTGGTTTTGGTATGGTATCATCAGATTGTGAGAAAACATGCTGGCCTGATCATATGGATGGCTGTATGTGGTGGTCTGTTGTACTGCTTGAGGCTCGGTACCGTGGTTAAACGGCTGAGCTGCATAGTTATGGCTCTCACACCACTGCTGCTTATACTGCCCAACCTCGTGGTCTAGTGAGAAGTACTGAAGATCCGCTAGGTCAGGTCTTGGTTGGTCAGGTGCTCTTTGAGGGGCCCCATTCCGTTTGTTGAAAAGTAAATGTCTTAGCGGCATGGTTTGGTTTCGTCCAGGGTTTCCTGTCGGTTCTCTACTACTGCGAAATATCAGGCAACGAAAACGTTGTAGTCGGCATGTTGAAGAGAGAGAACATCACACCACTGAAGAAGAATCGACTTTCCACTACGAAGTGTGACCAATTGGACATTTCCCACGGCCAAGCGACGAGACCTTGACCCCGTCCAGCTAGCAGACAATGTGGTCGGCCAGGCTGGCTGTTGGCGGCGGGCTAGAGCGGCCTAAGGCACAGCAGGTGGACTCTCTATCGGGACCTTGCAGCGAATCACTGCCGATCTTTGATAGCTGGAACCGTTCAAGGCTCGTACCCCTGGTCGCTTTGACCAAATTGAGCTCCATGAGAAAAATGTCATGCCACCTTGTTCCACAAAGTCCTTCTTATTGGCAGGGTTGGATTCAGGATTGCTTACCTTTGGTTGCGTGTATCTTGCCTCCTATGCCAGTCGTTCCGGTTGTATAGCTTCTTGACACGAGATTTTATCGTTCGGCAATCACCGAGGAGAGACATTGCCGCTATTGGCGTGTGCATCAGCTGGCAAAACCGGACATAAAGTGACCAGGTTGACTTGCGGCACGGAAACAATAAAACGCGACAACTATGAGCTGTGAGGCATGCCGTAGTGCTTTTGCTCTGACATTGGCAGGTGGTGTGGAGGAAAGCGAGCACTGTGCCAGCCTGGTGTACTCGGAAGACAGTATCGGGTCGAGAATGGTCCGGCTCTTAATCTTCACATTCAGTACCTTTGCAGTGATTGATGTCTTTCATGTGGTGCCACTTGAGCCCATTCCACGTCTTCAGTCGTTCCTGAAGCGAGTTCGAAGTCTCATGATAGATCGTCGTTCGCTCAATGCCGATGCTGTTCAGAATTCTGAAGGCATGATCCTTCTGCCATGCTCACACCACGATTTCTGATGTATCCCCATCAGTCCAACAATGTGCACTGCTTTGAGAGTCGAGGTGATTTTGGTTCGCGTTGTATCGCTGACGATGGCAGATACAAAAGCTCGATCATGGCACCTGATCTTCGAGGAGATATACACAACAAACAAACACCAGTATCTGAAAGGACGTTCCTCTGTCTTACCGGAAGAGCAAACCTCGTAACACGCAATGAACAGCACAATTCAAAGACAGAATGCTGCTGTGGTCAGAAGATCAATCAGCACTTTAAACTCTTCAACCACGATACGTTCTAGCCTCCACAGGCCTTTTCACCAACATCATCAGCTTGGCTCGAAAACTGCATTTGCGCCCAAGAAGTACGACGACACAGCGATGTGGCTGACATTCGCGTCAGTGGGAGCAATAACGACGGCCGGCATGTATTATGCTGTAAGTGCCTTCTAACATACGCTAAGGATATCTCGCTGAAGAATGTAGCTTATGACATCTGGCACTAAGATGAGTGGTCATTTCCGAGCACGCGACGCAGGTGACCATTCGGCGTGGTCTGCAAACGATGGGTCCAAGGCATTAAAATATTATTTAGTTGGATAAGCCCTGTCGATGCTATTCTGTCATTTCTCAGGATCAAAACGCAGAGATATAGAGATCTTGGCATCACGAGCACGGTACATGGCGTTCGACTGATTATGGTTTCGTTCAAGGGATTGAATATTGCTAAAGAACGACCTGTTGGCGTTCACGGTTTTGGCTCTCCTGGCTTCGCAGAAGAGTTTGTTATTCTTACTTTTTGTGGTTACAGACGTCATCATGCTTCCAGACCACGACTTGTGACAACCTCGGATTTGGAGAAACTTTGCGAGGAGGACCATGTTGGAGGCTGCTTTATCGCTGTACATCAACAATGAGCTTGCGCATTGCGCTCTCGTCTTTCATATCTCATATTCGACTTTAAACCATTAGCGACATAGGCATTCGCTCGACAAGTGACAAAATGAAACTTATCTCTGCTACACCGTATGCAGTTCTTGGGCCCGGGCAAGGAGATTTCTCTACTGACCATGGCTAGATCGCCTTACGCTCGAAAAGTGAGAATTCTGCTGAAAGAGAAAGGCATACCGTTTGAGCTTCAGACGTAAGCCATGTTGGAGTACCATGCTTTCATTTGGATTAACCTCAATAGTGAGGTACCATGGGACAGTACAACCAAGACACCAGAACATAACCCTCTCGAGAAGCTTCCAGTGGTCAGCAGATTGAACCGCCTCACAAATATAAGCTGACCTGCTCCTAGCTCATTCTGGAGGATGGAAAGGCAGTATACGAGTGTATGTAACGGATTCCTGTGGTAGTCAGGAGCCAATCCAGTTATGAGCTTCACAACACGGAACTAAATACTTCCCATAGCTCACTTTATACTGGAGTATCTTGAGGCCAAATACCCGGCCCCAGAATATTACAGTTCTTATCCAGAATCGACAGACGATCTACTCATGGCAAAGCAAGCTCAAGTTATAGCTGACGGCATGTGTGATGGTAAGTAAGCCATTCAGGTGCACTTGCAACAGACCCAGAGTGTAACTTGTTTTCATACCCTTCGCAGCTAACGACTCACAGCCTGTGTTCTCGTCTTCTTCGAAAACCAACGAGAATATCCTTCGAAAGAATGGACTGATAGGCAATTGCGCAAGGTGAGAGGAGGACTAAAGGCGCTCGATGGACTGGTTGGCGAACGGCAATTCATTATCGGAAACTCTTTGACGCTAGCAGACATTGCGGCAGGATGTGTTCTGGGATACATGACGGTCCGATTCAAGATCTTTGACTGGAGAGCTGAGTTTCCAAGGTTGGCAGCATACACCGATCGTCTGGAAGAGCGACCCAGTTTCAAGGATAGCGCTCCCTACCCTCAAACCATCAAAGATAAGATTGTGTGAGTCTTGTTCGAGGATGTCCCATCTAGTCTCCATAGTCAATTGAGGACTCATGAAATGCCGCCACGCCTAGTGTGTTTCCGACGCACAGGGGTTTCGCCTGTATACTGTGTCGAGACCTAGTCAATAGTACTCTGAGAATGACTGGGTCGCCTATGTTTAAATTGATACTCTCTTAGGTAGCATTGTCAGCTTCTGTGCACCTGCTACGAAGATTTGAACAAGGTATTGCGTTATCGATTGTCATTGCCAAGTGGTACGATCATCTCGTCTCTCCGGTTTCAAGTTCTTGGCAGAGCCATGGTGCCCAGTAAAAGTGCCCATTGGCTGGTCAGACCGCACAGAACGAAGCGGAAACTAAACAATTTCAGTTGCTGCTAAGGATGTGTGAGCACTTTCTGTACTTGCCGCTTATCTCGAGCCAGCAGGCCTTGCAGCGGTCACAATTTCTTTGCCTAGCACAGCAACGCCATGAACCAAAATCGCGCCGACATTGACCTGAAAAATCCACGGGCGCTTGGTCCAGTCGTCATCGATATCTATATAAACAAAGCTTGGAAGCACAATGTAGTCGCCGTCACAGCGTTTCTCATCCTCTCTTGTGAGGACCGTAACCTGTCGCCATGTCCCACGGTGTTCTTTCTTATGTCGCCGCCATTGCGGCGACCTCAGGTCTGCTGTCACACGTGCTGGTTTTTATGAGACGTGATTTGGACTCGAATTCGCATCAGCTGTTAATAGTGGCAAACCTGGTTGTCTTATTGAAGCCTGTTGCTCTTGTTATTAGAGGGTGGTCATGGTTCGACGCGATCTTAATCAGCATTGTAGCTGACATTTGCTACACGACGGCCTTGTTTGCATCGATTGCGCTATATCGTGCATTCTTTCATCCTCTGCGCAATTACCCCGGACCATTCTGGGCTAGAATATCGGTTTTCTGGAAAGTAAAGCATTTTCAACAGTCGGGTTTCAAGGCTTTTAGAGTCATCGACGGGTTGCACAAGCGATATGGCAATATTGTCCGAGTGGCACCGCGACAGCTATCGATAAATGAACCAGAGGCATATCAGATGGTGTATGGAGCTCAATCTCAGTGCCACAGACTTAGATGGTTGGAGGATCGACCAAAAAACATACAATTCCTTGCGGATGTAGAAGAGCACTCTTCGAGACGCAAGATCTGGGATCACGGTTTGAGCGCCAAAGCTTGTCAATCGTCCCACCTGTCCCAGATGAATGATATCAGCCAGCGGCTTTGCACACGATTGTCTATCTCCAAAGGTAATCCAACCGTGATCAACGACATCTGTCACCACTTCACTTTCGATGTCATGGGACAGATTGGTTTTGGGCAGAGCTACGGACAGCTCGAAAGTGGCAAATCCCATCCTGCGATCACAAAGGTGGAGCGATTCATGAAGGCAGGCGTGATTGTTACGCAGATGATGTGGGTGGTCACTCTGCTCATGGTGATTCCAGGCTTGGACGATCCGATGAAAGACCTGAAAGACTGGGCAAAACAGTTGCTGGACGAGCGCGCTAACACAAGACAGCTGGAAGAGAAAGGCGAAGATGAGAAAGATTTGATGAGTTACGTAGAAGAGAGCAAGAAACTGACAAACACCCGTCATCCTATGACAGATGAGGTGTTCGCAGAGGATGCAGTTCTACTCCAAGTAGCTGGTTCTGATACCAGCTACAGTGTGCTTGTCAATCTGTGCCACTACTTTGCTAATTATCCGAAACTGCAGGAGATCATCCGAAAAGAGGTTCTTGCTACGTTTCCAGAAGATGATACTAAAGGCCCAGTGTGGTCAAAACTCAGTTCGGCGAAAGAGTGTCCTTATCTTGATGCTACTGTCAACGAGGTCTTGCGGCGCCATGCGCCCGTACCCATGGGTATGCTTCGAGAAAGTCCAGATCATGCTATCAACATAGCTGGACACGTTGTTCCGCCCAAAACCATTGTCTCGTGTCCTATATGGTCATTGCAGTACGATGAGCGGTGCTTCAAGGATCCCGACGCTTTCATCCCTGAGCGGTGGCTAGACAAAAGTCATCCCGATAGCCAAGCCGAGCTTGTACTGGACAAGAGAGGATTTGTCCCCTTTTCTGTAGGACCAATGAACTGCGCGGGCAAATATTTTGCATATATGGAGATCAAGATTTTCTGCGCCTATGTGCTAAAGTCCTTCACGATCACCTTCCCTGAAGGCAAGACAGGGAAAAGTGAAGAGGATCTGGAGACGAAGCAGGCTAGAGACAAAGAGCATGCATCAGGGACAGAAGACTATCTCACACAAGGGGCACCGCGAACAGAGGTTTGTTTCCAGCCGTTAGCTGTACAATAACCCCAACGATAGAAGCTCTTTGAGCCATCTCTACTCTCCGGACGAACTCAGCTGTTGGCACCGAAGTGCGACTATGCTGAGGACGGAGCGTGCTGGCTGTCGCAGTACCTAGCAAAATCCCTCCTTACCAACACGCCGAACCTTAGAAATTAATAGATCACTGCCATCATTGACTTTGAGGAAAGAGCCGTAATTTCCCGTGCCCTACACCAAGCAAATACAGCAGGTTCATCGCGTCGTTCCGAAGCACTGCAATCGAAAGTACTTGTCAATCGCACTTGTCAAACTCGGATAACATAACCTCCAGCTAAAGTGGGCAAGTACTACCGCAGCAGACCAGAAGTGAGGGACGACCAGCTCAAGATTGCCCGCACCTGCAACCCCACCTCTCATCAATAAACTGTGTTATGTCACTGAGGAAGTCTCAAATCAACAAATTTTGGTGCTATAACATTGATTCTGATAGCAATTAAAGTTGCTTTGAGCTCTTCCCGTACTTTAACCACGAGAATCCTGCGCTTCTATACTTTAAGTCAGAACCAACTTTGCCAGTAAGTCCCCATAGCGTCGAAGCAGCACGGCCACGAAAACGTGAAGCCCACTTTGTTCCGATCCAGCTGGTTGCTCCATATAAACATGTTTCCCTGCCTTACTGGCAGCTACCCTCATAGAACTCTACTGAACAGATCGCAGTCATGCCTATCGTCAAAGTTCACGCCCGATCCATCTACGACTCTCGGGGTAACCCAACCGTCGAAGTCGACGTAGTCACCGAGACTGGTCTACACCGAGCCATCGTTCCCTCTGGTGCGTCTACTGGTCAGCATGAAGCCTGCGAGTTAAGAGACGGTGACAAGTCCAAGTGGGCTGGCAAGGGTGTTACCAAAGCTGTCGACAATGTCAACAACACAATTGGCCCCAAGCTCATCGAGTCAAAAATCGACCCAGCAGATCAGTCAGCTGTAGACAAGTTCTTGATCGATCTTGACGGCACTGAGAACAAAACCAAACTGGGTGCAAACGCTATCCTTGGTGTCTCACTTGCTGTTGCAAAGGCTGGTGCAGCTCAGAAGGGTGTGCCACTATACGTCCATGTGTCGGACCTCGCAGGCACCAAGAAGCCATATGTTCTCCCAGTCCCATTCATGAACGTCCTGAACGGTGGCTCACACGCTGGTGGCCGTCTTGCTTTCCAAGAGTTCATGATTGTTCCAGAGTAAGCCGCATGCTTGAATCGACGTTTCTTAGCTAACAATGCTCCAGTCAAGCTCCAACCTTCTCCGAGGGTCTTCGATGGGGTGCTGAGGTCTACCAGAAGCTCAAGGGTCTGGCCAAGAAGAAGTATGGACAATCTGCAGGGAACGTTGGTGATGAGGGTGGTGTTGCGCCAGATATTCAAACCCCAGAAGAAGCTCTAGACCTGATCACGGAAGCCATAGAAGCTGCAGGCTACGCGGGCAAGATGAACATCGCCATGGACGTAGCATCCAGCGAGTTCTACAAAGAGGAGGAGAAGAAGTACGACCTTGACTTCAAGAATCCAGACAGCGACAAAAGCAAGTGGATCACATACGAACAACTCGCCAACATGTACAAGTCCCTGTCAGAGAAGTACCCTATTGTCAGCATCGAGGATCCATTCGCCGAGGATGACTGGGAGGCCTGGAGTTACTTCTTCAAGACGACCGATTTCCAGCTTGTGGGTGACGACTTGACTGTGACTAACCCCAAGCGCATCAAGAAGGCGATTGAGCTCAAGGCATGTAACGCTCTGCTTCTCAAGGTCAACCAGATCGGTACTCTTACAGAATCCATTCAAGCCGCCAAGGACTCGTATGCTGCTGGCTGGGGTGTCATGGTTTCCCATCGATCTGGTGAAACAGAGGATGTTACCATTGCTGATATCGTCGTCGGCCTTCGAGCTGGTGAGATCAAGACTGGTGCACCTGTAAGTACAATATCCACATCCGATGCCATAACTAACCACGTTGCAGGCTCGATCAGAACGTTTGGCTAAGCTGAACCAAATCCTGCGAATCGAGGAAGAGTTGGGCTCTCAAGCTATCTACGCCGGTTCCAACTTCAGAAAGTCGGTCACGTTGTAAAGGGAACATGAGCATCAATATGCACCAAGAAATACTCAGATTGAGCGTTCTAGCAGGCGAGTATGAATAGCAGCGTTGGGATAGATCATCGACATACGGTGGTACTGCCGAAAAGTTCAGAATTCTGGAGGCGTGATGTCGATCCGTGCAACACACGTCATAAATTCATCGATGGTACATGTTATTGAGTACAGCCGTTGGTAGTTTGCCTTACACATTGATAGTACAGACAAAGATTATCACACGATAACCATTGTACTCAATTGAAAATACCACATGTTCATAGGTGACTTCGGCGCTGATTGGCCGCCATTTTCGGGCATGCACCAACGCGGAAAAAGACGCCAATTGACGTCTTCCCGCACAGGCATTTGTTTGGACGTCTTCAAATCCTCTTTTCTTCACTGCGCGATTCTTAGTCTCTTCCTCAAAGTCCACACATTCTGGTCCTACAGCACAGTACAGGCTGAATTTGCGATACTGTAGCCCAAATTCCTACCAGATCGAAACCTCTTTGGTGCGACCAACCACACTTCAGCAAAGGATCTTGCAAACACCATGGCGCCACCTAAGAAGTGGGGTGAGTCAACTCTTGCACAGAAGACTTGACACCATTCGCACAATTTGAGGAATTGGGCGGACTATGAAATTAGAAAGAGATTGCTGACTGTTTATCAGAGGACGACTCGGAGTCAGAAGAAGAGACTTCATCGGGCGAGGAGTCTGTCGACCTGAAGACCGTAAATGTACCTATTCGAAAGAAATTCGACGATGAAGAAGACTCTGACGACGTAAGTTCGTCCTGGCAAAGTCCCCCGATCGAAGCTCACTATCTAGGTCGCCGACAATTGGGATGAGGCCGAGGACTCAGAAGAAGAACGAAAGAAAGCATCTGCTGCCGCGGCTGCAAAGGCCAAGGCCGACGAGGAAGCAGCAAAGAACAAGAAATCCAAGGCACAAAGAGTAGAGGAACACAGAGAAGCCAACAGACGAAAGAAAATGGCAGAGATGGACGACGAAGAATCGGAAGAAGAAGACGAAGCCACACGACGAGAGAGGTTACGCGCAACCGAAAAGGAAGCCGACATGAAACACGCTGAAGATTTACTGGCTGCTGGCTTGGGACAGAGCAAGAAGGGCGCAAAGGCGATAGTCGTCGAAAGCCAGGACAAACCAGGCGAGGCCATCGATCTTTCCAGTATACCTCTTTTCAAGCCTGCGACCAAGACCCAGTTCGAAGCGCTCTCCGAAGTACTGGTTCCGTTGCTGCGTAACTCTTCCAACAAGCCACACTACTCGATATGGATGCAGAATTTCGTCAAACAGATATGTCAGGACATGCCTAGTGCAGAGATTAAGAAGGCAGCTAGCACGCTGACTGCACTCAGCAACGAGAAGATGGCGAAGGAGAAAATGGCAGACAAGACTGGAAAGAAGACCAAGGCTCAGCAGACGAAGACGAAACTTGCTGGTGTGAGCCGAGGAGGTGCGACGGATACGACTGCTTATGAGGATGGGTTGGCGGATGACGATTTTATGTGAGCGTGTGGGGGCTGCAGTCCTGTCTTTCGACCTTTTTTCGTGCACGATTGATGATTTTGATGCCTAAATGATTAGCATAGATTTACGTTTGTCTGAAGGGTTGTGGTTCTGTCAGAATCATGGCAGGCACAAGAACCTACTCTACTTCGTAGCACAGCGTACTCGCTACTGCTCATTGAACAATATTTTGATATAACTTGCAGGCCTATGCTCACTATTGCACATTTGTGCTATTCGCAGCAGCGGTACAGTGCCATGCAAGTTCACCCGTAGGCTTCGGCCGTTTTTTATTCACCTTCGCCCTGTTCGACTCTGGCACTAGATCGTGCCTGGAATGACCCTCAACAGACAGAAACATGTTCGCTACTGGCGCATGTGTGCTAATATCCTGCCTGATGCATACCAATCCAGCGATGCTAGCCGAATGTTCCTTGGATTTTTCATCGTGGCAGCACTCGACCTCTTGGACGTTTTTGACAACCCTCAACTCGAAAAACCGGTTATCGCGGTCCAGGAAAGAAAGGACTGGATAGACTGGATCTACAGTTGTCAAGTCCCAGACGGTCAGGGTTTCCGGGGTTTCACTGGCACAGATCTCAGAGACCGAAGAAGTAGCCACAACAAGCAGTGGGACCCTGGCAATTTACCAAACACCTTCTTTGCTCTAGCTGCTTTGCTTACTCTCAATGACGACCTATCACGAGTACGGAGAAAGGAGTTGCTTTCGTGGCTGCCACGATTACAGAGACCAGACGGGAGCTTTGGCGAGATTCTTGGTCCAGATGATGAGATTGAAGGCGGAAGAGATCTGAGGTATTGCTGTTGTGCCGCTGGAATAGCATACATCCTTCAGGACCCAGCCACAGAGCCTTACCAATCTCCGTTTGACGAGAACAGATTGATTGACTACATACTGAGTTGTCAGACCTACGCCGGTGGGTTTGCTGAATCGCCCCTGCGAGAACCACATTCAGGCCTCAGCTACTGTGCCATAGCAACACTACAATTGCTCACGAGACTCGATGGAACAAGTAGTCGAAGGGCAAGAGAGACTCTGGACAATCAAGAGTCATGCATGCGGTGGTTACTAGAAAGGCAGACAACCGTGTTGTATGAGGAAAGACCTGAGTCTGACGAGGCTGACAGCGACGATGAGGAGCCAGCTAACAACGATGGATCGTCGACGGTAAACAGCTTCGCTGATTCTCCTATGTACTATACCCCACCATTGCTTACTGTCGGTTTTAATGGCAGGGACAACAAGATAGCTGATACCTGCTATTGCTTCTGGAACTCAGGGGCACTTGCGGTAAGTCCTTTCTAGCCTTAAAAGGAACAGTACTTATACAGAACCAGATCCTTGGCTCACTGCATCTAGCAGATCTCCAAGCTGTACGCCGTTACCTGCTAGACAAAGTTCAACATATTATTGGTGGCTTTGCCAAAGGTCCAGAAAGTCCTCCAGGTAAGTCGAGCCCAGGCCATAGCATTAGACTGTCGGGGTACTGAACGAGACACTAGATGTGATGCACTCTTACCTTGGCTTGGCGACTTTGTCGCTGTATGGCGAGGCTGGTGTTAAGAGTGTAGATCCTGCACTGTGCATTAGCAAGAGTGCGGCAGCAAATATTCAAAACGTGGTCTGGCGGCAGAAGGGAACACGACCATGAGTCTGTTCCGAAAGCCGCGTAAACAACACTTGTGCAAGGGATGTCAACAGTGCCTCGAGGTGCCTGCCTCCGGTGTTGTTTCATCCCTCCTCTAGAAGAGTCTCCTTGACGACACCGTACGACATATGGAGCGACCAGTGAAGTTCTTGACGACGGTGACTGGTTGCCTCAGTAAGGGCAGGGACGGATACACCAAAATTGAGCCAATTTGATTTTGGTAACGAAGTAGTACTCGGCTTAGCGTGGTCACTGATGGGCCTTCACGGCAGTCCTGGCAGCAGGCTTTTGCAGCTGAGCAGGCACGCCAGACTCGGGCCTGTGAAGAAAATGGATAATGTGCTCTGGTTTTTTGCAGCGTTCCGTAGTGCAGGGACAGAGGGTCAAGGTCACGAGGTATCGTTTGAGTACATCATACAAGGAAGTGACATCCTTTTCCTGTGCACTGTATTCCGACCAGTGCGCCTTCCTACGTCAGTTACTGTGTAGTCTTTTTGACAATGATATTCTTTTTTACGTGAAAGACAAGAGCAACCAGTCCAGACGAATGAAGGTGGCCCCTTTTCTATCAGGTCTCAGTCCCAAGCTTCGCCGTTGAGTTACCCTGCAAGGATCGTCATAGCGTGGTCAATCCACCATCGAGTAGGCTAAATTACTTCTAGTCGTTAAGACTTCCCGTTTGGCTCAAGTTCGTGCACGGCCCGTACTTTCAACATCGTCAGAAATCTGCACATACAAATCAGGTCGAGCGTTACGTCTGTAAATCACGATTTAGACACACCTGGCACATATGTCGCACTTTTCCGCTAATACTATACATCGTCGTCATACTTCGAACTATCCGGACGAAAAGCGAAGAAGCGCAAGCACGAACTTGACTCGGTTTGGCGCTAGGCGCGAGCACGAGCAGGAGCAGGAGCGGTAACACGCATATAAGCAGATCTACCGCGGAGCATGAAAACCAAAGCAGAGCTTCAGCAACATAAGAACAAAGTTGGTCGATACCTCCATATCAGGCTGTCACTGTTGCACTACTGACATATCGTCTTTTCGTAGCTTGCCAATTCTTATTCAGAACTCCTTGAGTACGTCCGCACCTACTCAGTCGGTCGTCCATACTAATCATTTCAGAGAATTTTGTGCGCCCGAATTGCGACATGTTGGCAACTACACCCTTGGCCGTATCATTGGCAAGGGCTCCTTTGGCAAAGTCTATCTTGCCCGACATACCTTGACGAACGGCACCAAAGTCGTGCTCAAAGCCTCCTCCAAAGACGATCCGAACCTTGCTCGAGAAATTCACCACCACCGTCAATTCATCCACCCACATATCGCACGCCTCTACGAGGTCGTAGTCACTGAAAAACAGGTATGGCTGGCATTAGAATTCTGTCCAGGTGATGAGCTGTATCATCACCTGGTCACTTGCGGACCACAGGGACTACCCGTTGAAAAGGTGCAAAAAATATTCACTCAGCTTGTAGGTGCGGTCAGCTACATTCACAGCAAGTCGTGCGTGCATCGAGATCTGAAGCTGGAAAACGTGTTGCTGGATAAGAACGAGAATGTCAAGCTGGTTGATTTTGGTTTCACAAGAGAATATGAAGGAAAATCAAATTATTTGTCGACATTTTGCGGCACAGTCTGTTATGCTGCGCCAGAAATGCTAAAGGGAGAGAAATATGCTGGAGAGAAGGTAGACGTTTGGTCGTTAGGGATTGTCCTATATGCTTTGTTGACAGGCCAACTACCCTTCGACGAGGACGACGACCAGGCTACCAAGATGAAGATCTTGAAGGAGGAACCCAATTATCCAGCTGGCTTTCCTGAGCAGGCCAAAGCATTGGTCTCGAAATTGCTCAGCAAACGACCTCTGTATAGACCGATACTGGCTGAAGCTCTCAACGACCCTTTCTTAGCAGAACATGCTCCAGCTCAACAAGCAGTACTTAAACTGACCCAGCCAGCTCCCTTTACAACAACCTTGGAAAAAGCAACCCTTGAACGCATGAAAGCAGCAGGTGTAGATATTGACAAGGTCATCGAAAACGTTCTCAGTCAGAGGTGCGATGCGCTTGCTGGCTGGTGGGCTCTTCTTATCGAAAAGGAAGGTCGCAAGGAGGCAAGAAGGGAGAAGAAGAGACGTGAAAAAGAGCTGGAGCTAAAGCTTCTTCGACGCCTTAGTGGGGCGTCTAGCAGATTCGAAAGGATAGCCCCAACACTCGAAGACGTTGCTGAGGAGAATACACGATTGGATCCTCCTAGACCAAGAAGTGCGAGTCGTGGAAGGACAAACCGAAGAAGTACACCACAAATTACGATCGGTGACCTGCCCAGGTTACCAGAAGGGTCAGCAATCGAAAGTCCTGGCACAAAAACTCCTCCGCCACCTATCGAGAAGGATTCTCGCGAGTCGAACAGTGGAAGTCGACCACCTATTCCACCCAAAGAACGACAAAGAAGACGAAGCAGTAATTTACAAATTATGACCACGAATCCAGACTTACTAGGGCCACCGAACGGCATTCGCAGGCACAAACTCAGCAGGATGGGAGGACAGAACCAGAATAGGAAGTTCTTTGCGGCATTGAAGAACTGGATCGTGGAGAATACACGCCGAGCAGCTTCGCCTATGAGACCTAAAAAATCCAACAGTGCCTCGCCTGCTACATCTCAACCAACCCCCAAAAATGGTACAAATGTCTCGAATATCAATTCCCTACAAGGACATTCTAGAGAAGTGTCAGGTACGAGCGCTGGGACGCGCCATTCGTATGGTGCAACTCTAACACCGTCTGCCTCGAATTATTCCGCCGGCTCTAACGGCCGACCACTTGCTCCTGGGCGACTTGACATGCAACGAACGCGACATCGAACTTCTCTCTCACCTTCCCCCATCACTCCTCGATCAAGCTATAGGCGGTCGTCACAGGGCTTGCGAGGCCGTAAGTCAACCTCAAGCTCGGTCAGTTCTGTTCGCAGTATACGTTACACTCACTCGAAAGCTTCATCAGTCTCAAGCGACAGCCACGATACAAGTACCATACATTCACCTGCATCTCGCTCGGTCGGTCGAAGTCCACATCAGTCGTTAAAATCCCTGCCCGCAGCACCTGGCGGTTCTGTATTTGGTGGTTCAGGTATGCGTAGCCGTTCCAGTAGTGCTGAAGATAACGGGATCGACCACATAGGCAGCAGCGTCTTGTTTGCGCGAAGAAAGAGGAGCCCTTTCAAAGGACCTGCGCTGCATCAAGCATCACTCAACACTAACGGTACAGGCTTTGGACCTAGTGGCCCCGGCAGTCCAGCTATATTCGCTAGAGGCAGGGAAGCAAGCCCGAGCCACACGAACACGGGCCTACTTGATGTACGGCCTCAAAGACCACGAGCAACACAGAGAAAGAGCATGGTGATTGCTGAGGAAGAAGAGGAAGAACCGCTGGAGGACGATGAAGAGGCCGTGGAGGAAGTTGACGAATTTTCGTCTATCGACCTGGGAAGAGGAGAAAGGGTAGCCAGCATAATATTCCTCGACGATCCTGCCATAGATCTAGTCACCAACGAAGAAGACGGCAAAGATCCCCCAAGCTCTTCCGAACCAGACATGGTCCACAAAGAGGAGTCTAGCGATAGCCTGCCACCAAACAACCCCCCTACGATCAGCAACGGTGTCAACGCTAATTCTAACCTCGATCCTCTCAGCATCAAACAAGGTCAATGACTAGCCGCCGGTCACTTGGTCGAAATTCCCGTACAGCAGAACCACGACGTGTCCGGAACATGTGCAGAGCAGCCTGTGGTAGGACCGACAATTCGTGGCCCGAAAGCGCATTCTGATTCTAAGAGGCAGAAATCTTCATTGCAATGTTTTTCTGCTTCGGACTCCACGAGTCCTGAACGACCTCAGACCGCAAACACAACGAGCTCACGAAGCCGATCCAGGGCTGTACTTCACCAAGTGACCACTAGAGCGAAAGGTAGAAAGGAGCGATTCGGGTGTTTCTGAGCCTACCTACCTACATTTTCAATACAACCCACTGTCACCATTGTGACTGCCACGGTACTTCAGGCATTGGCCTTTACAATTCAGCGACATGAGGTCGATTTAATGAGGCGGCTAATGACCTCAGATGAACGCTAAGGGCTTCAATCATGTATAAAACTTGTGATGTTTTAGCAAGCGTCGTGATCAGAGTTCCTTTGACACAGATACATGTACATTTATGAATAGCATTTGAAGACAGTATTACTCGAAAGAGACAGCACTTGATGGTAGTCTATGGTGCGAAAGGAGGTCTTGGGGGGATGCAAAAGACGTGCATCGCGCCTACCACGCCATCGTGCTGTGTTGTCGAAGCACCTGCACAAGTGTTCAAGCAAACATTTATGCTGTCAACTCGGTCCCAGCATAATCTTGGGGTGGATACGTGCTCTCTCTTTCAAGTTCTTGACCTATGAGTAGAGTACTATGGCTGACAGCTCTCTTTCTTCGAACCCACCAATTATGGATAAGAAAGAAAAACGAAGTAGCCTAGCTAACTGCCAAATAGACGTGTTGGGCCTTTGCTGTTCCTTATCCGCAAGTTCACTTACCAGCCCTTACCTCTTTACGTGCCGCACACCGAGTATTCGTGGTACTACTATACAGAACGTGGCAGTCATAACGTTATCACGCTTAGCAACCGAGTGTGGCACAGCCTCAACTTATAACCTGGCCCTGAAGATTCAACGCCTTCGGCCTAACACAAGTGTTTCGTTAAATGCACAGTTTGGCTTGCTTGTGTCAACCTAGGACACTCTCGACAAAAGCAGTCGCGCCTTGCAGAAGGCATAACGTCACATTGTACGCCTTGGGCTGACTTCGAGCAAACATATCCGAACTCCTGCCAGATCACCGAATGAAACACTTCATCGTCGCTATTTCATTACTCATCTGCGATGTTATAGAGTGTAACAGGCTGTCTTTGATTCGCCTCGAGGGACTACCCCGCTGAGAACTGCAAGCCATGCATCTGAAGTACGACACTATCGCGGTTAGCGGCGTTGCCTTGCGTTGGTAGTAGCACACAGCATGGGACTTTATGGGATTCAGCACGATGGGAGTATTTATCTGGTCGTCTTCGCTGTTCAGGCTGAGCTTCTCCTTCAAGTCTTAGATGTCAGTTGCTATATATTTTCTGCTGACTCTCAAGGCACTACCACTCACAGAAGGTGCGAGTTGAACGGCGGAAGTTGAGGTCCGTCAGTCATTCAGAGTCAGCCTTCTCCGAGCCCGAGTATCAATTATACTGCTGCTCGTTGCATCACAAAAATGCCACGAAACACCACTACACCCAAATATCAGTCAAGTGCCCACCACATCATGGCGTACCTACTCGTTGCCGTTGGTCTATTTGGTGCTCTAGGAATCACTGGAAAAGCTCAGGAGCGCTACCACGATCGTCGTGACAGCGAGACAAAGTCCCGAGCTCGAACGAAACGAGACAGTCAGCATGAACATAGACACAGTGCTCGAAGCAGCAGACGATACGATGACTATGCTGGTAAGGAGCATGCTATTAGACCAAGGAGTGTCTCTCGGCATTCAGCCCGACGACGTCTTGATTATGCGATTCAGCCTCGGAGGAATAGGAGCAGGACTTCGCATATCAGGTACACTGATGAACAGGCTATGGTACCATATGGTCATGGATTATGAGTTGATGGAGTCATTGTAGATGCTTGTATGCTCGCTGGTCATCGAGGCTGGAGTTCTACTTTGTCGGACGCTGAGGTATCATGCAGTATGGATGAGGTTCATGGAAGAAAGCAATAGGGTCTCTGTACCGCCTCGTCTCAAACATCCTACATGGCACAGTATCAAGACCGCAATGTGCTACTACCACAGGCTTTGAAAATTATCATCGATGTTTTATCACACACATAGGTGAATGGCGTCAATCGTGCAAGTACGCTGTGCAAAATCAGTGTAGTCATTCATCATAAGTTGTAGAGGATGCGAGTTAGTATCTTCAAGTACGTAATATAGTATAATCCAAGCTCCCACACTTTAACATCCTGTATCGATGTACACATCTATCGCTTCATCGAAACCTATACATGTAACCCGCACAGAACATGTTCGCTGTAGCCTCGTTGAGCTCTTACTCGGCATAACTCCAGCTCTATCACCAATCGAGTCTGTCAAGGCAATCACACGGCAAGACATTCACACCTTGCAAGAGTCCGCCGGCATCCTTTCACGTCATCGTAATAGATTCATACTACGTAGATGTTCTTCGACGTGCTCCGTTCACCTCGAAACGGTACGCAGTTCTGCCACACCCACCATGACGAAGTTTCTACAAATGTCCAGGTTAGCACTCCTGATTTCCTCCCACATCGTCACGATGCCCATCTCCATCACAGAGTGGGACCACCCAACTTCGCGAGTTACCACGACGTCCTAGATCGACCAGCGACAAGCAACAACACAACAAACTACAACATTCGCCCACACTGTACATAGCTGCTGAAGCAGCGGCTCATTCGTACAGCGTTTAGCTAGCAGTCGTTGAAAAGCAAAAAAAAAAAAGTAAAGAATAGAACTATGTGCGCCATCAAGGTCATCATCGGTGTTCACGGAATGATGTCCATACTGTAGGTCTGAATCGACAATTACCCGCCGTGCACAAAGAGAGTCTATATTGTACCCTTCGTTCGGCGAATTAGAATCTCAAGGGAAAAAGCTTCCTTGAGTTAGTAGTGGAGCTGAGCTAAGGAACTTCCCTGTAGCTAATGAAGCTAATAACGCTTGTTTTGGAGGTCGAGATGGATGGAGAATACCGTTTATTTCTCCGTTGTGGGTGAAAGCAGAAGGTCGGATTATCTGTCGACTACTGTATGGCTGTAGATCGACGAACCGGGATTTTTGAGGAGTGTCAGACCTGTCTTAGGTCAGGTACAAGTACGATGGCCTGTAACGCCTAATGCTGTTAAGGTTTTGGGCATACATGACTTCGGGGCCAACTTTATTGTCGTATTGTTCGCGTCGAAAGCTTCGAAGCACAGCACATAATGTGATGAGCTGCCATCTCATCGAAACTTTGTGAAGGCGCGATCACAACATCCTAGCCATGATGTGTTGTTGAGATCACACAACTGGCGCGGTGATGACTGTGTAGAAGTGCAATTGTTTCAGCCACTGCTCCTCGAGCGAAAAGTTTCTAGGCAACAGAATGAGCTTTCCCCCACCATGGTAAGCATTGCTTAAAGGTTCTATGATTCGTATGCCTTGTATTTAGTGTTGACGCAATAGAATAGCAAGCATAAGCTCCTCTCGATTGTTTGGTGATGCAGGAATATATGCTTATGGCGATGTATATAGTAGCGGCTTTGTAAGGTGTAATAAGGGATAGCCTTGGTGACAATTGTCTGAAGACGAACGTACGAGTCCCACTCGAGTACCTCCATACCGTTAAGCAGAATTTGACCACTTTTGGTCGGTGAAAACAGCCTGAGATACAAGACTTTTTACCCGAGAAGTAGCTGTCGATCCATTGACTAACGCAGTAGTCCGCATCAAATCTGAGAAAGGACGTCGTCCATCGATATCGGCGTCGCAGGCCGGCAGTGGCTTTTCAAGCTTCCTCACCAAGAATACAAGACGGCTTCTGTTGCGAACAGCATTTCCTTTGTCTCAGTCGAGGTGGTGTGATGGAAGTGGCCTGATCGATGCCAACACTCTTTTTAGCGTGCAGATCAATCGCAAGCCAGAAGTCATGTGGAGTGGTTTGTGCCCAATGATCTGCAGCCGAGACTTGCACCATGGACAATCCGAGATTCAACCATTGTAGGCTGCTGTAACGGCTTTTGCCACAGATCCTGCTGGCCAGGCACCTCGACTGTGCATCGGGCGTATGGAGGCTGACGCTAACAATGCCACTGTATCTGATACCTCTCACACCGGTGTGTGAGCATTAAGAATGTAATCTTATTATGTTGAATGGCACCGAGGCTCTCGAATCCTTGTTACGGGAGAGCAACTGGCTCAACGATCAGGCGGCAGTACCTCGAGAGATCTGCATGGAGTCGGCATCGAAGTGATGCACAAGCGATGTTACAAAGCCGCCTAAGCCAGTCAAATTGCCTCTTTGAGTAGGCGCTCCTTAGCGCTCGCCTCAAGCGAGGATGACACTCCTGGTGCATCGAGTTTGTTAATCAGAAAGGCATCTATTCATCTCGTCTACGTCGCGAGCATTAAAGGACAGGAGTCTTGTGTGAGCGAGACTCACGGAATGTCAGGGAGAGATGGTACCGACGCTATTACCATGACGCCAGCCTTTGCGAAAATAGATGGGATCTAATCGTGAGATCTAAATAGCTCACCAAGGGGATCTCTTGACAACAATTGTAAGAGGCTAACTAGGTGCATTGTATCTGGGTTTGGCTCCATGCATGGATAACAGCCCATATACCAAAGGCCGGTTTTGAAATCACATGTGGGAACAGATACTGAAAACGAAGTAGATGCAAGAGTAAATTGCCTAGCACACAGGCCATAAACTGGACCAGTAATAGACCAACGCTTGTCAAGCCTGAAGGTCAAGCCATGCCTGCTCTTGCTCGCACCGAACTCGTAGAACAACTGCCTCACAACCTTCTTCAAATTCGTATGCATTCCTTTCACCATGAATAGTACTCCAGTAGGAAAGGACTGACACCTAAAACATAAAATCGCTTCATCGCCTCTAATAAGGCGGAATGGGGTATCATTCGTAACCCAGATCCAACAACAACAATCGTCGCTATGCTTTGCAGAAGGCCTCTGATAAGGCAAAATAACTGCACATGTACGCCCCCCTTTACCCAGCCAGATTTTAGGGTAAACCTTTTTGCTGATGTAGAAATTCTGTACAATTGCAAGAGTAGCCGATTGCCCGGCGGTGAAGCTCGAATATCTTAGTAAACGCCGTTAAAACAGTCATAAATGTTGTCGTGAAATTTTGTGTGTGTACCCGAAGAAAAAAGCTGTGGAATCTTGACATCGACCGGGAGGTTCTTCGTCAGATACCCATACGTGCTCAAGGCCGTGTATCGTTCAAACTTTTAGGCCTCAAATTCGAACCTGTAAGAACTGCAGCTTTGTTTGCTCCCATCTTCCTTGTTAATTTTGCATAGTGAAGACCACAGGCGTTGCACAAGGTACGAGCTCCGTCAGGCCCACGTCGCCATTCTGGTGTTTCGGCTCGGTTGCAGCTATGACATCTTCCGGGCGGTGCTGCTTTGCCCCGGCGCTTTTTTGCGTCTCCTCCAGCAAAGCCATTGGTCTTGAAATCCTCGGACAGATGGTGGTATTCTTCGTCGGGATGCTGTCCTCTAGCAGCACGGGCCCTTTGTTCATTCACTGCGTTTTCCTGCATGACAGCTGCATCACGCAAACGTGAAAGGTTGTCCATTATGTGCTGGGCAGATCTCATCATTTCGTCGACTTCGGATGTTCCAGGAATACCATCATTTACGTAGCTTGTTCTATTGGCCTGATGGTACCGTTGGCTCCAAACATTTGCGAATTCGAGGGTTTGTGCAGATGAGTCACGAATCTAAATCATCGTTAGCCAACCATAACTCAAACCTCAGCCTGGACGTAAACGTGACGTACCTCGTTCAGCGCCAGTTCCGCATCCCAAATGTCCAGGTGTCTTTTTATAGTCTCGTTGTAAGACACTGGCTTCACAAACGGATTGCGTGAATCGTCGAATTTGTTGTGATGTTCGAATTGGAAATTACTTGAGATGCGGGGCGTGGTCGGGCCTTGAGGACCATAGTAATCAGGAAAAGGATATCCTGGCCTAGTCGAATCTGCTGAGAAGGATGCTCGTGGAGGAGCAGAATCGGATTGGGGGGCAACGGCTGCCGATGCAAGGCCTGAGAGTTTCTGATGTGACTCATTGAGTTGTGGAGAGCTGAGGGGGTTAAGTGATGGTGGATGCCGAACATCAGGCGGTGCTGGTGGTGGTGGAACAGCTTTTATTTGGGACGGGTCCGCTGTTAGTGGGAAGGAAGACTTCAAGGCAGAAGCCGGTATTGTAGGTTGTGAAAATGGGTTGCCAGGACCCTGTGGTGCATCTGTGAAAGATTGAGGAGGAACAACAGACGCAGAGTGCTGGTTCACTGATGAGAAAGGCTGAGCTGGTGGGGCCATGTCTGCGCTTTTCAATGCTTCCAATATTGAAGGTAATGACGGCATACCAGAAGGCGATTCCTTTTCGTCCCGCGTCGATCGTTTCGAGACAGCATCTGGCGGTGACATGTAGCCTGGTATACCTTGTGTCGAGCCATTTATAGAGATAGCAGATGAATATGGTGGTGGTGGTCCAGAATACGTGGTTGGTGGACTACTCATTGTACTTCTCGCAATCGAGTCAAGATTCGGCATCGAGTACCGATTTGATTCGGGTTTTTGTAAACGATATCTCTCGAAATCCAGGCTGATTATGGACGGCAAAGCGTCCCTGACGTTTGTTAGCATGCTTGCCCAGCTAAACTATATCGAACCATTACCTTTGCCGTCCTGCGCTGTCAAGCGACGCCATGCCGCCCGACCAAGGACGGTGTCTTAGACTCTTTCTTTCCCTCTTCACGAAACAACAACAACCATGCAGTTGCTAAAGCAAGCGGTTCGTGTTATCTGTACGCTTCCGATAACGTGAAACCTAGTCGAACACACCACGTGCAACCAAAACTGGGTCCGGATCGGCAGTATAATCGAGAGGGATTGTCTATCGTCGAGATGCTCAACCGTCGGGCCACTTGTAAACGTGCAATTTGTCAAGTATGCCAGGCCCTCCTTCCGTGCCCAAGACGTACAGTCCTCCTCGAATGTCCGGCGCGGGTTCCCCGAATCCGATCGTGGTAAGTCTAGCTGCAGCGTGTTCGATGCGTGAGAACAAGGCAACTTTTCAGAATATGCAAATAGCAAGCCGATGTACGGGAGTATGATGGCTCAGTTTTCTGGTATGAGGACCAGGTTTTGTGGTTGGCAAGGGTGGCGCGGAAAAGTATTGGAAAGTCGGAAGGTGATTGTAGCACGAGAAAGAAAGGAAACTGCAGACGGTGGAAGCGTCAAGGAAGCAGAGAAGGTGGGAGGTGGGAGAAGTATAGGCGAGGGAATGGACGGAAAATGATGCATAGGCGGCTTGCTTCAACAGCACAGCACAGACTGTCAAAGAATCAAAGCACGAGGGTCCTCCACCAGGATACGGATGCTTCGAGTCCTGGGTACAGATTGCAAGACACAGCGGAGACCGATCGAGAGATCGCACACTAAGCTCAGTGGTGGGCCAATTCTGCTAGGGGTTTCCTCCGAAGAGCTGAGTGGGCGTCAGAGTGCGACAGTAGCTCATCCAGGTGGCGTCGTTGCGAACGTTGAAAAATTGCATGCGACCATGAGTTTCACACTTGACCATAAGTAAACATAGTCGACTTTGGCCATCACTTGCACCGACGACTATCCGCTCTGCTCACAATGAGTTGCGTGTTGAACGCTCATGACATGGACTTTATCTACGGCACAATGTTCCGGATATAGCTTGCAATCATGATACACAAAAAGTCGGCTTTGTGCGGCGCCACGGTGGTCGATGATCCGTGCCTCTTAGAAAAGTCGAGAGCGTGAATAAGGACACGCTAAGCATGATGTTGCAAAAGGCTATTTGGCGGATAGTGTTGCGAGAAGTGCTGCTACAGCAGCCTCCAACAGACTTGGTCTAGGATTTAGACCAAGCTGGATTGGGGCCATTGTGAAGCTAAAGCACTTGCGGTAGGGCCTGAACCGCACCCCGCCAGATATTCGTACTGGACTGGACAAACGTCTAAAGCACAAGGGCATCTTCACCTGAAAGAACATTATTGTATTCTGTGCGACGCTTTTGACATGAATGAACAAGGATTCTCACGAATAGCCAGACTGATGACCAAACCTCAAATGGGCTTGAGATCTGTTCTAACGCAATACGATGATTGCCGAGGGACAGCACAGTTACACGCATGAAAAGCGATCGAACGTAGAAATGATTCGTTGATAAGTGTGCTTGCAAAGTCTGTCGCCTGACCCCTGTTGCTTTTGACGGTTCGATGAGATCTCGCCACGATGGTTATTGAGATGAAGACTGGGATTGCCAGGGCAAGGCGCCCGTCGAAATAGAATAGTCGGACACCCGTCCGTCGAGGTCGTGTGTTATTGGCTGCTCAACTGCCTTTCCTTCCACAGAGTGGTGGCATGACACTTAGAAGTAAAATCCACTACACTTTATTTAGTCCTTCCAGGAAATCAAGTCTTGTCACTGAAGCGCTGCATTTTCTCTACTTGAGACCATGGTGTTCCTGCAGTAACAAAGAAGTGAGTCAGAATATGTGAGTCTTTCTTGAAGTCTTGTCATACAGACCTCTGGCTCAACTCACCTCGTCCGGCCTGTCAACAACGACAACCACCACGATTCGTCCTGTAGAGGACAGACACTAGTAGACTATCGATCGATTACTTGGTCCTGTTGTGCGGAAATCGAACTACACTAAAATGCCTCGAATGTCCTGATGAAGAAGTTGCAGACAGCACCTACCCCAAGACCGGTAAGGGCGTAGATGAAGTTGTATAAACAACATTTCCAGGTGCAAGTTCAGCAAACTGATACTCAAGCAATATCACTGGGTAACACTCTTCGTGCCATATTCGCGGGTAGTTCGCACTCTGGCTTCGAGTACATTGTGTTGTGCCGTGGCACCGAACCATGGACTTTTGAAACGGCCACTATCGGGGTTGGCAAATTTCCAGGGTCCTCCTGGTGTGCAGACATTTTGCATTAACGCCATGTGGTAAAGCTCGTGCAAACAAGCAGATCTTATCCACACGTGGACAAGAGGAGCCACTTGTTGTCAGCGATCGAGGCTACTCCAAAAGCGGGGCTCGGTTAGCTATGGTCCAATGATTGAGCTTTGTGGCTCGTGTGCCTGAGAAGATGGAGTTGTCATCGACTGCGTCATATGCACTTACATTCTGTAAGTCCTCAAAGTAAATAGACCCCTGTCCCATCAGCTAAGTGCCAGGCTGTTTGTCCGCCAATGAAGCAGAGAGCTTTTCCAGCTGCGTTGCTCTGCTGCCGCGCTAGTATATGACACTTGTGCAGCCACATGATCGTTCTCAAACTCGCGGCTGCTTTTCCAGATGCAAACATTCGCTTGTGATCGTTGCATAATCGAGCTGACATACTTGACCCACTATCGGCTCGCCGGTTTCCTGACATGCCTCGCGATTAGTGTCCGGGGTTCACTCGAGCTTGCTTGCTTGCTTGCTTGCCCGCTTGCCCATAACTCGAAGCTTCGAAATCGTTTGATTGCTCGTGAATGACACAATTCGAAAGTTACATTAGAGGTCATCCCGCACTACGAGCACAAATGGAGCAAATTCGGCATCACGTAACGGGCGATAAAAGATACCCAGATGTGCCAGCTCGGGTTTTTTCTTCACAGATTAAGGAATGTGCTAAATCACATGTGTGGGTCGATCATCACGGCATTCCCAACGACATGCACATCGGGCTGATTTCGACGTCCACTTGCTTCATGTTTATTGTTTACATGTATAAGCATTCAAGTTGCTAGCAAGTGATGAGGTCTATGGCGTGCGCGGACCACGTGGCGATACGAGGTTGCTGCTTTGACTGGTGCCATTCTGCTGCGTGATTGAGTGGAGGAAATTAACCGTTAGTAGTGGCTTATTAACATCCTCGATCCGAACAAGCCTATCAGCAAGCTGGTTTTTTTTTGTTTTTGATCAACCAATTCCTTGATTACCTACAATTTCAGGCTCTGGCAGTACATGCAATTGCGATTCGTGCATTTCTGACGAGAGCGCAGTACTCATTCTCTTTCGTGGTTGATGCGAAACATTCGGCGTCGTCCAGATGATTGTTGCAAGTTCACCGTCACCAATCCTGACGTTATTCAAAGGTCAAGCAATAATCGGCTGGATTTGAAAGAGGAAGCATCGGCGATGGAATGCATATAAGCCTAGCCGTTGCTGCCTCCCTTCATGCAATTGTTGTTTGCCACCACTCGAAACTCGTCCGCTCACGTTACTGATTGCAGCCTTCTTGTGACACGTGTGCGAAGGTCTTCATGCTCTGGTCTGACTAGATTTGGAGATGATGCTCGAGTGATTGGTGTTTGCGACCAAGGACACTATCAACATTCGTCGAAACCCCAGTATATGCAGTGTCACCTTACTGAGGCCACAGAACATGCTCTCATGTCCTTCGAGCACTTTAGCGAGCACACAGCGGGTATATCTGAACAAACTGGCTCGATAGTTATGTGCTGGATAGTCATGAATGATGGAAAGACGTTGAGGAAGTTACACCCTCCTCAGCCTTTACCAAGTACGAACGAAACTATGTAGAGAACCAGTTTGCAAGAACAAAGTAGCTTATGAACCGATTTCCTATTTCCATAACACCGACCAGGCGCTACTTTTTGAGTAGCAGTGTGCAGAACGGTGGTTTGCTGTCTAGTACCCTCGTTTTCGTGCATTTGTGACGAAGCAGAAAGAGAACCGAGCCTACCATGATCGTGGCTACCCAGACAAGTCTAACGAATTGCAACCTGGTAGTTTTTACTTCGTCTCAATGGGGTACCACCTTCGGATTTCTGTCAAGTTGTCCTGTCGGAGGTAAGCTCATGGAAACTGTGCTGTGATCACACCAAGTGAGGCCCGTTACTCAGTCTGATGAGCCTATTTCGGCAAACAATCGTTGGTGTTGTGTTCATTGGTCGGTGCTTCAACAACCGGATCGCTAAATAGTTCGTGTCGCACAACACAACTGCAGACACGAGATATATCTTGGTGCAATTGTCGCGCTCACCAGCTTGGCACAATTTCTGTTACACCTTCTGACAGCGGACACCACATCGCTGTGCCACCAACATGGTATTGCGTCCTCACGTGGAGTGCCTAACCCAGCTTGCTCTGTTTATGGGCCTGCGGGTGTGATTGCAAGAACACATATTTACTTTGATCTGTCCATTCCGGTTGCTTTCGTTCTTCTGCGATAATCGTAAGAATGTCGGAACACTATTTCGAGCTAGGGAGCATGGCTGAATACATTCATGGCCAATCCCTAAAACATCGGTTCTAGACCATTTGTGATGCAGACTTTGGCAACCATGTTGTCTTCCCAATGTTTTAGTGGTTGTACCAGGTTAACGCGCAGGATCATCCCTGAACGAGCTGACAATTCAACCTCTTTGGTTGTTGCAGCAATAGCTACCGTACGTCGTCAAACCATGCTAGCAAGCAAAGACTGACCACGCTGTCGAAGTCAGGGTCATGCAAATCATCAGACGTGCTGCACCACGAGTTTCTCGAGCTGCGAATTGGCACGATAGAAACTCGTAGCGGATAGCAACCACCTGGGATCACCAATCCATTCAACATCTTCACTAACGCAATCCTCTGCTGATGGTCTTCGGATACAGCCAGTGCAAATTTTCTTATTGGAAATATGAAGCTAATTCGTTCCTGTTCCGAAGGTTAGAACAGCACAGCAGGAATCATCGCCTGAGCATGTGGAAGCATTACTCAGTCACACAGTGATGCCCTTGACGTGCCGTTGCTTTGTGTGCTTGAGCTCGATTGTGGACAATGCTGTTTGCAATGTGTAGCAGTAAACAATCTCGTGGCGTCCTTGCCCGAAGCAGGGGCACTTTGCGAAACTCGAATTGGCGGAGATCCGATGGTCAGTCGATATATCTCGGTATGAAAATTCCAGATGCTACATTGAGCAGCATTTCGAAGAAAGGCACCATTCCTACTGCTTCTTATTGGGAGGTCGCTCGGGTTTGTGTCCAGACTTCAGTTCTTCCCAAAACAACTTCACAAAATTCTTCACTCCACTACCAGCTGCAGGGTCTTCTAGATTCGTACCGCCATGGTATTCTGGCGGCTTGCCATGTTGTAGCTGATGAACCTGTTTATGAATCTTCTGAACGCTGCGATGGAAAGTAGGGCTTCGTAGGAGAGTTTCGACCAATTTGCGCTGTTTCGCATCAGTAATGGCTCAAGATATTGAATATCGCACACACCTCAACTAACCAGAACCAACTCATCTCGCTTTCCTCATATCCTGCAACAGAAAAGACAGTATTACATGAGAGGCTACACTGTATGCAAGAGCCGCAACAGCGTGACTAGAAGATACTGCGGGAGGTGGCTGACTTCATTTGCCACGAACTCGAAGTTTCACCAATCAGTATACGTGCATTGGCGCGTTTTGCCGTCAGGCGGAAGTCGCAAGTCTCTACACAGTAGTCCTCTGAATTTCTGTGGTAAAGTACAATTGCACAAATGTCCCAATTGAGCTCGAGCATGTTCAATCTGCACAGTGGACAATAAGAATTGCTTGATTCACTCTTGTTGCTGATCGTGGCTCTACGGAGTTAAATCTTGGATGTGTCTTTCTACAGCCTTCTGAAGATCAGGAACGAGCCATTCCTGAGTCAGGGTTGGGCCTGCTTTGAGACATTTGTCCCCTCTCGAGCACACGTCGAACAACAGAGTCGAGACTTTCTGATTCTCTTCCAAATTTCAGACTATACCTGATTTTCGCATACGTATCAGGCTCAACCCACGTGTGTCACAAACAGCGCTTCCTAAGCACTCCAATTTAAACTTTGATAACAACAATTCGATCAAGTACTTGACCGGTCATATCGCTCATCACGACCGTCTCTCGTCTTTTTATCGACAAACACTCCGGCGCCGCCACAGAAAGGGCTGATGCCTCTTCTGAGGAACTTACAACCAGGAAACACCGATCACTCCTGCAGCGTCTGCATATACGTACTTCTACCAAGCGAGGTAGATCACCCAGTCCACTTCCTCCGACTTCTGTGATCGACAAGACTCCTGCTATTACTGCAGTCAGAGAGCCACAAGCCCAGTCACGGACTGATGTCGACGTTGAGCACATTGCAGAGATCGTGTCATCGTCGCTAACTTTCAGTACGCCGTGGCACACCGGCTCTATGAAGCGACAACGTTCGGCAGATGGAATTGCACGCTATCTAGCTGGCCCCACAATTCATAGGGGTCCCAGCAATATGGCACGTGCTTCAAATGGGAAATCAGATGGGACGACAATGAAGATGCCAGCCTATCTCGAGAAGTCAAGAAGCGGTAAGTCCAGCTCAATTGGATGGATCTAGCTGACACGTTCAAAGAGATTTCAGCGTCGTTCCAAGAGCTTGAATGGAAACAGAGGTTTCGACTGTTTCACGCCATGGAGAATCCGAACACTTCACCATACAAGGTCGATAGGTCCGATGTTGTAGTCAGCAGAAATAGATACGGTAACGTGCAACCATGGGACGCTTCTAGGATCAAGCTCAAAACGCCGATATGTGGTTCGGACTATGTCAATGCTTCTCCCATTGTGCTGAAACGCCATGTTTTGGATTCGCCAAACATAACAGGTCGGCCTCCAGCATACGAAGCTAAGTATATTGCAACTCAAGGACCCAAGCAGGGTCAGAAATCACACTTTTGGCATATGGTCCATCAGGAGGTCTCTGGGGATACGGGCGTCATCATCATGCTTACGCAAATAGTCGAAGATAGCAAGGAGAAGTGCGGACAATATTACCCCTCTGACCTTGATGATCCCACGATGAGCCTGCTACACGAGGAAAAGCCAGTAGGTGGTGAATCGTCTGGCAGACTAAATGGTGAAGACCCCTTTCTAGATAGTGACTACATTCCTGGTACTGATTGTGAGGAAGCTAATAGCCAAATCGATTCGACGACAACCGATTCCACCGAACCCGAGCTTGGCTCGTCAGACACAATCACTCTCCTATCCAAGGAGTTTGATAGCAGCGTACGATGCGAAGTACGGAAGCTTCGATTGTTGATAAATGACGAGCCGAAAACAATCATACATTACCTCTTCGGACGATGGCCAGATTTTGGCAAACCGGATGTTGAGGATAGAAGAGCACTAGTAGAACTGTCTAGGCGCACTTACGACGAGGCGGGTGGTAGTGCGCGCATTGTTCACTGTAGTGCTGGAGTTGGCAGAACCGGTACTTGGATCGCACTTGATTTCTTGGTGCGTGAAGTTGAAGATGGCTGCTTGCTTGATAATGTTCATTCAGGAGATCGTCCTCCGAAAGATTCGGGCGTCGGAGCCACGAAACAAGAGACCTTGACCGGGCCAGGCCCTCCAAAACTTAATACACCCACGCAAGAAGACGGCTTCGACAAGGATGATTACGATCTGATATTCGAAACCGTCAATACATTGCGTGAACAGCGCATGATGATGGTCATTCGAGAAGTTCAATACTCATTTCTGTATGACGTAGTTCGTGAAGCGACGCTGGAGAAGTACAGGTCTACGCCTGAGGGTGCGGTTGTGAAAGAGACTGAAAGCTCGGAGTCGCAAGCTCACCGTGCCAAACAACCCCGTATTCCGGACGAAGCAACGGTGGACAGCGGTAGCGATGCAGAAACAGAAATTATCGGCACCGACGACGATCCTTATGCAGCAGTTTCTCCTGATATTCTGCGACGTGGGCTCAGCCAGGAATTTTGACATTGCACCACTGACACAATACGAAGCACCTCGTTTGACGAATGATGGATGATCTTCACGTCAACGTAACTTAGTTGGATAAGAGTCGGAACCCCAGGTGAGAACCCGAGTACAGCGTTCGAAGCCATTAGGCGAATAGGATATGCAACATGCGAACGAAGCAGTTCTACTGGTATGCGCCATTCGTGTTGCTTACGAAGTCATGGGTACGATATGAACTTTTGTATGCATCGAACAGCGTACTCGGCGTCCGGGATAACGCTCTCGATCGATGAGATGTCGTATAGTCACGCGATCAAGATCAACATATAGCAGCAGTGACTGGTGCTTGAGACAACCAGTGCAGTATGAAGCTCACGTCTCGATCTGGGAGTTCTCTCCTCCGCTGTCCTTTCAGGTCCTGCCAACTACGACTGGAGACGCATCCATCTTCCGGTCGTGGAGGAGGTTATATTGATAGCTTAGGATCGATTGCAGCCGTTCCCTCAAGACCTGGTTAAGCATAGAGCTCTGAGTTCTTTCAAAAAATTTGGTGATAGTTCTCACAGACGAACATCCCTCTCCGACCACTAACTAGGTGTTGGATCCTGCAAAAGAGTCGAGTTCTATATGTCACCTTGCTGGGTGTGGTAGCGTGTACTTGAGCTCACCGTCTGGTGCAAGGGATCAAGTTTGACGCCCGGAACCACAGTCGACAGCGAGCAGCGCTTGGTGCCAGTGATGTTTGCCTGGGCTCCAGTTTCTCTCCATAGGACAGACGGTAAGCTGCAATGCTACCACCAAGTCGAAACATGCTGCCCGCAACTTGGAACGGCATCGCATGCACAAACCTGGAACAATGAGAATAAAGGGGTACCGGACACTGTGCTCAAAACAGGGTCGATACTCGATGAACAATTTGATAGTACTACATTTTTATACTCCGGTAAGCTCAAGCACTCTTCTGATTACGTTGCTGCCATGCTGTGTATACCAGGAAAGTTATTCTTCCCAATGCAGGAATGACAGTCTATTCATCTTAGCCAAGGTGTCTGCAGATGAACACTGGGTCCCCTTTGAAGAGTAACATTCGCTCAAATGATTCAAAGGCGTCTTCTTCCAGTCGCAACCTCTTGGACTTTCCTGGTGCAACAAAGATTCAGTAGGTAAAGTCAGCATAATGAAACCTGAGCATAATGTCTCTTGTAATGTCGTGTCGACATCACAGGTTTTGCTGCAGAGATGTTATTGCTCAAACAGGGGCTCCTGAGGCTCAATTCGGGGCACATCAACCTCGTTCGCGGGCATCATCAACACGTGATCGCGTAGAAACTCGCGTCCCAGCCCACCTCGTAGACGCGTCTGGTGATATTCAGCTGCAGGAATTCGTGCTGAGATCGCTTCTTTAATGAAGTCCAAGAACGCGAGCTTGAACATGTCGCAAGCAATCAGTTGGCCACTTAAATTCGCCTTGCTATTGCTGATATAATGATTGCACTCGTTTTTGCATGATCAGACCATCATGGAGGCGATCTTGAAAGGCCTCAATGCAGCACAACGAGCAGCAGTCACCACCCAAGCATCGGTGCTACAATGTCTCGCACCACCTGGTCAGTCCATACAAAGGCCCCTTGAGATGGTTTCAGCAAGATTGTGTCGTGCGATATTGCTAACGATTCATAGGCTCTGGTAAAACCAAAACCTTGACTTCGCGCGTCGCATACCTGGTTAGCAATGGCTTCCAGCCTCAGAATATCATCTGCTGCACTTTCACCATCAAGGCAAGTCGAGAGATGAGGGAGAGACTTCGAGGACTTGTCGGCAACGATCTTGAGAAGAGATTGATTTTGGGGACATTCCATTCAATATGCCGCCGGTATCTTGTCACATATGGCCATCTTATCGGTATCCCCAAGAACTTTGGCATTGCAGACTCAAACGACAGTCTAGGCATACTCAAAGCACTGCAAAAGAAGATCAGGTTTGGCATGGACCCCAAGGTAGCTCGTAACAAGATCTCACATCGGAAGGCAAAGGGCGAAAGGATAGAGGATATTCTTAAGACGCCGAAGAAGAGCACAGAAGCCCAAGAGTTTGTGACAATCTTCCAAGAATATGAGACTGCTCTGGCTATTTCAAACTTGCTCGATTACGACGATTTGTTGCTTAGATGCGTTGAGCTGCTACAAAAACACCCTGAATGTGTGTCAAATATCGAGGCACTGTTAATTGACGAATTCCAAGACACGAACAATGTGCAATATGAGCTGATGAAATTACTTGCATCCGCAAAGAGGAGGATAACCATTGTTGGAGACCCTGATCAGAGTATTTATGGCTTTCGTTCGGCTGAGGTCGAAAACCTGAAACGAATGAAAGATTATTACCCTGAAACTGTGGTGATCAATCTCGAAGAGAACTACAGGTCGTCTTCCGCAATCCTCAGTCTTGCACAAAACGTAATTGAGCAGGACAATGAGAGACCAGCGAAAAAGCTGAAGTCCACCCACTGCTACGGCACACCACCAGTACTGCGATATCTCACAAACCCCCATGAACAAGCGGCTTGGATCGTCAGTGAGATCAAGAGGATGACTAGGATGACTGTTGGTTTGCTACAATATACGGACATTGCAATCCTGCTCAGATCAACCTTTTTGTCCTTGCTGATCGAAAAGGCTCTTGGTAATGCTGGCATACCTTACAGAATGGTAGGAGGCAAACGTTTTTTCGATCGAGCTGAAGTTCGTCTGTTGTTAGACTACCTAAGAACTATCAATCATCCGGACAATAACGCAGCCCTACTCTCCATCATCAACACTCCAGCTCGAAAGGTGGGCGTCAACACTGTGGCTGAGCTCACTAGGGCTGCCGAAAATGCAAAGTTATCATTGTGGACTCTACTACAAAGGGTGCTTCGTGGCGAGCATACGCTCGACAAGAGGCTGTCCAAGCCTGCTGAGCAAGGCCTTAACGAGCTTATCACTCTGATCAGAAGAGGCCAGGAGAAATTGCAGAAGTTCGAGCCCGTGCAGGCTCCTGGTCAACTCATTGAGTTTGTGGCAAGCGAGCTGGGCCTCCGTGACTATCTAAAGAGCCAGTATCGAGAAGACTGGGAAGAGAGATGGGAGAACGTCAAAGAGTTGTCAGCCCAGGCCAAAGACGTCACCCTGGAATCTCTCACTGCTGAGGATCAATTACCTGAAGTCGATGGAGTCAAGCAAGCCCAAGCACAAGGCGCCCAAGAGGTCTTGACCAGGTTTCTCGCAAACGTGGCACTATCTACAGAAGTAGAGTCTGACGAGAACGAGGTCAAATCGAGAGTGACGATCTCGACAATACATTCAGCAAAAGGGCTGGAGTGGCCAGTAGTCTTTGTGCCAGGAGTCTATGAAGGATCAATACCTCATTCTCGCGCCGAAGATATCAACGAAGAAAGACGGCTACTATACGTGGCCATGACCAGAGCGAAGGCGTTGCTTTACATGACGTTCCCAGTCAATCAATCGCGGGATGCTGAGTCGATATTGACACAATTCTTATCTTATGAAATCACTCGCTCCTTAGACAAGGTCGGTCCACAATTCAGTGATCAGGTAATTCAAGATATCGCTACCGTCCTTGGACGTCGTGCACCATCGCAAGAAGCACTGGCTAAGGCTGTCACCTCGCTGCAGGATCATGAAAGCCAATACGATGATATCTGGTCAGAAGATGGGAGTCGCAAAGTGATTTTCCACACTGGCGGCAATGGGCTGTCATCGCTGTATTCTCAGCACGGACAAACTTTCGCTGAAGCCATGAGATCGAAGATCAACTCTCAGCAAAGCTCAAATTTCAGCACATACACGGGCTTTACCACAGCAAACGAGCAAATGGGGATGACTCCTGCTCAACCAGAAGTAGTAACAAGGAAGGAAAAGCCAAAGCTCACGAAGTCCTCCTCCAGCCAAGGCAGCATTGCGTCTTTCTTCAGCACAGGCACATTCAAAGACACCAAGAACAATAACGATGGCCTTCCTCAACTCGCTAGAGCTTCGAGCGCTTCGGTTCCATCTACCACCAAAGCGACTCTGCCTAGCATTCCGAAAGAGCTGTCTACGCATCGCATCACCAACGAACACCTCACAAACCCCGTGACTGCTCTCAAACGGTCTCGACCCGTGTTGGCCGATACCTCGAACATTGATCAGAAACCCAACAAACGAGCATATTCTTGTTTCTCGAGTTCGCCAGTAAAAGAGACGTTTGATGAGAATCTTCCTGCCGAGCCTGCGGAAGAGTCAAAATATAACACTACCATGTCTGGCTTTAAAGCGCGGTCTAACACTACATTCACGAGCTATAGGAGTGGCATGCTGAATACTCTGGACAGACCGGCACCACTTCATCAGGTGAGCACGATCCCGGGTGTTAATAATGTCTCGAAGAAGACGCTCGGTATGCGTAGGTCGATGACTGGTTGGGCGGATAGGAAAAATAAGTAAGTAGTGTATAAGGTGAGTGTCATTGCGAAGAACTTCAAGCTTCTAGTCCGGATTTCGGGTCGCCTTACACGAGAGGGAGTTTGAAATTGGGTTTTATGAAATTGGAAGATACCCTGCGAGCGCTTCTAAGTATAACTATATACAACTTACGAATTATGAACCGTTATAATGAGAACAAAGTACTGCACGGAAGGATATTGTTGTGACCGGGTCGTGCACGCGGCCAATAGTTCGCCGAACTGTGTACTTGAGCACTGCCGCAGCGAGAGTACGTAGACCGAACGGAAATTGAGTCGAACTTGAGGCGAGTCTTTCTGAAGCACGGCAGATACGGGTTGACCTCCGTAGTCACCAGTGTTATGCCTGTGCAACAAATGCTAGGGTGTTTGCTTCAATCTGGGTACCGGTTGGTGTGCATGGGCTGTTATGGGTCGTGCTTCTGCTTCAAGCTAACTCGACGCAGACCTCGCAGACTCTATCGTCTATATCTAGTGAAAGGTCTTGCTGGTCTGCAGGTCTTCCCCGTGCAAGTTCTTCAGGAAACGGCAATGTCCCTTTTCCCAACTCAATCCACGTCATCGGCCTCGGCCGATCCTTCATCCTCTGAGTTCTTCTGCACATCTGTTTTCTTGTCCTCCAATTTGAGATCCTGTGCCTTCTTCGCAAGCTCGTCAGCGTCCGTACCAGCATTGTCACCGCCTTCTTTTTTGATAAGCTCTTCAAGTTCTTCGCCAAATAACAGGGTGAATACGACCACGCAGTATACCTCACCGGTCTTTATGTTTTTGAGTGTATATCGCAATTCATGGGTCTTCGCATCGACATATCCTATCACATTTAACGTGAAGCCCGGAAGCTTTAGTGAGAAGTCGTTGAAATCGAGATAGCCATTGCCGAAATCAGACTGGTATAGTCTCCCTTTCTCAAAGGTAAAGTTTTCGAGGTGAGATCTAGTAAGGAAGTACTTTTTGCGGCCGGCGGCGTCGGCAGGTAAGCCTGATTCATCTCGTGCTTCTTCACCATCGCCTTCTGCGCCTTCTTCGACTACTTCCTCGTGGAAGGATGTGGCGTTGGGGATCTTCCAGGCGTCCTTGTCGCCCATTTTGTCGTCGTGCACGATCTTGTCGCATATCTTGAAGTAGTTCCAACTGCTCAGTGCTGGGCCGTAGAGATATGGTTGGTCCGCATAAGCATCCCCTTCTAGGCCAGGATCTATCCACCATCTCACAATGCGCAGGGCTTGGTTGAAACCTGGTGGGAGTCTGTCTCGTATTGGTCGGTCGAAGTCGTTGCCGAAGACCAGGTCGGTGCCTGGTATGTCTACCTTTGGTATGAAGCTGAATGCTATCGAGTATTGGTCGCCTTTGTGTAGTTCGTGCTCGAAGTATGCGGAGGTTTGTGGTGATGAGGAAGGGAAGCCTGTAAAGTGCCTGAGACGTACAGCCAGCGATATTATGATGTGCTCATTCTCGAATGTGATTGTCTCGGGACTGTTGACTGGCACGACTTTGTGTGTAGAGGGGTCGTATGCTGGTCCTGCGGTAACTCGTAGGCGGTAATGGCTGTGGTCATGGCTGGTGGTGGCGGCTGTTTCAGCCATATTGTCAGCTAAGGGGTGCTCGTCTACGGTTGATTGTGTACAGCCTGTGCTGCTGGTCGCAAGGTTTGCAGGGAATTGTTAATATTTTGGTGTATACGAAGACCAGGCACCAAGATGATGTGATGATCGACCTCAAGTAAACGATTGTTATGGTCCACAATTGTTTGCAGAATAGAATGCGAATGTTATCAGCTCAGGCAATATGTCGTAGTGATATCGTCGTACACAACCTGAAGGGCACGAGGCATGTGGGTGCGGCACATGTTCGCAAAAGTGCTTGAGGAAATGATGTCACGGTCCAAATTGCTGGGAAGAAAAATGACTGATTGCGGCACGGGACCAGGACTGTATCATCCATCGCTTGTATATGATCAATATCCAATAGTCTCATTAAATAACGTGCTTTTCGTCGACGTTGCAGAGGAAGAGGAGTCGACCTCCTGCATGAGTGATTTCTTCGCATACTTCTATCACTTCATCACTCGAATCTGAGCCAGGCATTTCTCTCCTAACTCGTGCAGTAATTAGCCTGTAGCCTCAGGCTGTTGTGTCTGACAGCATGGTCGTTCATAGCAACCAGAATTAGGATGGACAATCTCAGACCTCCAGCTGTCAGCTGCAACACATTGCAATCTAGCAGAAACAGCTCTTCGGGGAAGGATGAAAGTGTTATAAAGATGGGTAAGACTTCGAGCCAGACCCTGGGGCTAGGCTAGAGCATTTGAAAGGAAGAGCGGACGTCCAATCAGTGGCTGGCCGTGCAGGGGTGCACCAAACAGCGAATCATGTCGGGCTTGCTCGAGCAGGCACCATAGCACTAGTACTATCTCGGAACGTCAACAAATATCGCCAGTAACGAGGCCGCCTTGAGACCATAAACATACATCGCAGACAATAAAATCATTACAACTACTGCTTCTTTACTGGTAACGACAGAAGCGTCCGCAGCTTCGTTCATTCCAGAAATTCTGCGTTGTAGTTCATGAAGGAGGTGTACATCACAACCAGACACGACGCCTCTTTACTGCAAAGACAAGCTTGGCATCTGCGATATCTGCGGTAGATAGCAAGATGTCTTCTGCTACAGACGATATGCCCATTGCATTGCGGAAACCCAAACGTCGAAGCAGTGTCCTATCATCTCCTGTCAAACCTCGTTCGGCACCAGACTCGGTTGAGGGCACGAAGACGCCTGCAACCAGAAGATCGAAGAGAGTACGCTTCTCTGACCCTGGACTCCTGTCCCCAACACACGCAACTTCCACTTCCCTCACACCTGCCTTCAGACGTTCGACCTTGGCAACGCCCAAGCAACGACGACCAGCCACTCCTGCTCGTCCGGCCATTGAAGGTAGCATTCAGTTCACGCCCTTCACCGCGATCCTCGATGAGCGGTGTATTCGCCGTATCCGAAGAAATGGCCTGAGTGAGGAAATGAACAACTATGAGTCCGAAAAGAAGAGCAGATCAACCCTGCAGAACGAGATCGATGCGAAGGATGCAGAATTGAAGCGACTGCGGGCGGAGCTGGAGGCAGCCAAGGTGGAAGCTCAACGCATGGATGATGAAGTACATGAACCTCCACCATCGTCGCAGCAGCAGGTTGACGAGGTTGAAGCCGAGCTCGAAATGCTCCGTCAGAGCTTTCAGGCTGCTGCTGAAGATAATACTTCGATGGCTAACCAGCACGTCTCATGGGAAGACGTTCCGAGAATTAGTGGTCCAGGCAGTGAAGGAGGCGACACCATCGTGATACACGAAGATGAAGACGCAGCTACCTTCCCGTCAGGTCAGCGTCAACCTAGTTTCACTGCTCGTGCCATGGACACAGACGTCCTGAACATGGGGCTCGAGCTTTCCGCAGCTCGTCAAGCCAAGTCGAGCCTTCTTGGTTCTTTTCGTGAACAAGCCACAAATACTACATTTGACTTGGACTTCGCGGACACTCCAGTCCGCCAACAACAGGACGTTCGAAGCACAGCTTCGACCTTTCGCATTCCAGATACACCTCCAAACTTCCACCACGACCTCAGCAAGCAGTTGCGAGAGACTACCAACCGTGCCGAGGAGGCTGAAGTTGCCCTCACGGCCTTGGACGTTGAGATCACTAACCTTGGTTTTGGCAATGCTGACAAGGACGATACGTTCGCTATGGTGGCAGCAATTGCAGACCACTTCCGTAGTGCTCGACTGGAGCTCGAACGATTGATACCTGGTGAAACCGCGTCTGGTTTCGAAAACTCCTCGGTCCTACCTGAAATCCTAAGAAAGACTAAGCTGCTTGCGGACAGAGTGAAGGCGAAAGAGAACAAGCTCAAGGCTTCCAAGGATCAGCATCATAACCTGAAGAATAATTTTGAAAAGGCTATCATTGCAGCGGAAAAGGCGAATGAAAGAGTGAAGCAGCTTGAGAATGCGATAGATGGGAACGCGGAAGAAATGCTGCATATCCGCATGCGGAGCCAGCAGTTGGAACAAGATGTACTGGAGAAGGAGAAGGATGTCACAAGCCTGTCTCATGCACTGAACAAGTACCGTGCCGACGTCTCGCGATTGGAGAACTTGATCAACGACATGCAGCAGGAGTATGATCAACACACAGTCAATGTGAACAAGAAAGAAACCAAGATTGAGGAGCTTGAGGCACGAGTATCGTCCGAGACCAATGGCAGACGTGCAGCAGAAGTCAGCGCAGTACAACGTCTTGCCCGTATTAACGAGCTTGAGACGTCCTTAGCAACGTCGAAACGCCACGCCGCAGACCTCGAAGCCCGACTTACCAGCCTGCAGCAGTCAGATCCTGCTTCTTTCTCAGCGTCCACATCTTTTGCCCATACTCAAGAGATTCAGCAACTCAACCACCGTATCTCTTCCTTGGCAACAGCACTTGCATGCGCAAACGCGGAAGTGGAAAAGCTCAAGATCTCGAAGCAGAAGCTTGAAGAACGAGTCAGATCTGAGGTTGAGCAAGGAGCCAAAGCGGTCGAAACACTTCAAGAGCAGCTCATCCGCACTGTGATGAAGGGCAATGAAGCACGTAAGCGATATGTAAATGGGGCCAAGGTCCGTATTGCTAATTGGCAACTCGACGATGAGAGAGAGATGGACTTGTCAAGTGACGGTATTGGTGAGGATGGACAGTCATTAGCAAGCGAGGCAAGAACGCCTAGCTCGGTTCGGTTCGCTGAGTATGCGGAAGTCGAAACAATCGAGCGCATCGATGGTGCGCATGAGGCAGACCAGTTACCTGATGCTCATGATGGTGCCGAAAGTGGCAGTGAGAGTATCCCTGGCAGTGTCGAGGTTCAGCGTGGACGTGGCCGGTACCAGAAGGTGCCGAGACTGGTAAGCTTCGATAAGGCGAGACGTGCTGGTGGTGGTGGGAAAGGTCGACGAAGATATGACAGTGGCATTGGCATGTCAAGTGACAATGACTTTGACATTTATGACGAGGAGACTCGTGGGAGAGGTGCTGGTGAGGTGAGAAATGGGATGATCACACCAGAACTGAGCTCTGAAGGTGATGTGGAGGGTGTTATTGATGAGGCTATGGTTCTGTAAGCGAGGTGTTGTTTGGACATCCTGACGTTCGTTTTGAGGGCTCTCTTTTGTTATTCTAGAATTGGAACCGTACTCTTAACTCACTTTGGCAATGTTGCTTAGATTTGTATAAGGCGCGCTATGACCTAGGTGGTGCGCAATGCCCTTCCTGTGTAAGACTTGAGATAACTCGTTTGATCACGTGGCAGAATGGCGGCTGAATAAAAATGTCCAGTTTAGATGAACAAAACCCAGTACAACACCGGTGATACGCACGCTCGGGTCGATCTCTACTTAGCCTTCGACGACCAGGCGAAAGAGAATGAGCATAAGTTGTTGGCCAGTAGATCGAAAAAGGAATTCTATTCAGGAACTACCACTTGCTCAACGCTCACGACGAGGTAAGCTCACCTACTAGCTTGTAGCACAGGAACCACAGATTCACAGCTGTCTGCAACAGCCTAGGACGCGACTACTAGCACCCCATTATTTCGTCGGACTGATACCCCTTTTGGCAAGCTCTTCCACAAGTTTGGTATAAATTTCTCCAATAGAGCCCAGAGCAGAAACACTTACAACTTTGCCTTCTTGTCGGAACATATCAACGACTGGCATGCTGGTTTCGATAAAGGTCTTGAATCTCTTCTTGATACTCTCTTCGTTGTCGTCCGATCTGCCACTAGTCTTGCCACGTTCTAATAGTCGCTCCAGCATGACATCCTCAGGAGCATCAAGAAAGATAGTACATTTGGAGGGACAGACACTCTGCTCAAAGAAGACAGCTTGGTCCATCTTTCTGGGAAAACCATCAATCAGGAAGCGAGACTGTTTGTCCTTCGAATCAAGAGCTGTACGCATGGAATTTTCCAGCAGCTTGACAGTGACTTCCATCGGCACAATCAACCCGTCCTTGATATAGCTCTTGATTAGATCGCCATATTGGCTTCCTTCTCGGTTCTGTTCTTCTCGTAGCAAGTCTCCTGCTGATAAGTGTTTGAAGCCATAATCTCGTACCAGGTTGGCTGACTGAGTTCCTTTCCCAGAGCCCGGACCACCGAGAATGTAGACTACGGTGACTTCGTTGGGATCGAAAGCAGGAGTTATATTGGCAGAAGTGATTGGTAGGTCTGGCTGTATCTCAGGAGCAGCGCCCGAAATAGGGTCTATCTGAGGGATAGCAGGCATTGTACGGGATGGTGGTATTAGGCGTTGCGTCGGTACCTCGCAGTAGTGGACTGTGGATTGGAGTCTTCGACAGTTACTGTTTGATTTGCTTTTTGTTTGACCATCCACATATATAGGCCACTAGTAGCAGCGAGGATAAGAGCAAACGGGACAATGGGTAGTCGTTCGCCCAAACCGCCTGGCTGGTGTTTGCTAGTACGCTTGGGATTTGGGGATGGTTGCGAAGAATACTGTCTCAAAATCCTTCTGCTGGCAAAGAATAGTATACGAGGCGCTGCTTGGGGTGTCAGTAAAGATGGATGCATTGGTGACTATAGCAGTACAGGAGAACGGCCTGCTTCAGTCGCACCTTCCATGTGAAAGATTGTTGCAGCTGCGGAATGAGCTCATCGCTTCATCGCTCCTAATTACCGCGACCGACGCAATTCACATAGTTACAGCATAAAGTGTCCGTGTTGAGGTATCAGCCTTGTGCTTCACAACGGTCATTGAATTCTAGCTTTTGCTCGAGCCTCGTAGGTCGTTTGTCATGTTTGTCTGCTCCGAAAGGCCCAAGTTTAGCGCAAGTAGCAGGACAAGTAAGCTCAGAAAATGGTAACCGCGCACAAGGGTAACCGCGCACCCTCCATTTTCTTACCACTCATTCCAACTCACC